TGTTGCCTCCGTGGACCCTGTCACGTTCTGTAGTAACCTTCCCGCTTTACTAATCTCCCCTTCCGTCCACCAAGCAACAGCCTGGTGGACCAAACTCTCACAAGTCAAGCCTGGCCTCGGGCCGGGCTTGGGGAGTAGAACAACTCCCAGAACCCCATCAACCCGTCCTCTCTCTCTCTCTCTGTGATTCGTTGTGATTCGTGAATCACCCATGTGATTCGTTGCCATGGGTGTGTATTTATAGTCGGCTCTGTGTTCACATTATGACTTGTGACATAGCTTTATTAATGTCACGAGAGCTGGCGAGGAGCTGGTTATGCTTGGAGCGAGGGATTGGTGGTGGGTCATTGTTGTTGACTGGGGGCAACATTGGGCAGAGATGTCCTCCCCTGCCACCTTGAGGGTGCGGTGTGTGCTACTAGTCTATTTAGGCGGCACTCAAGATAGTCAAGGTCTCCCCTAACTGCTCCACCCCTCTCCCTTCTCTTTCACACACACACACACACACACACACGCGCGCGCGCGCACACACACACACACACACACACACACACACACACACACACACACACACACACACACACACACACACACACACACACACACACACACACACACAATGATAGCTGAGTGGCAGCGAGCAGGGCTCGTAATTTCGTGGCCCGGGTTCGATTCCCGGACCATGCAGAAACAAATGGGCAGTTTTTCACCCTGATGCCCCTGTTACCTAGCAGTAAATAGGTACCTGGGAGTTGGCCAGCTGTTACGGACTGATTCCTCTGCGTGTGTGCGTGTGTGCGCGTGCGCAAGAAAAAAAAGTTAGTAGTAACAGTTTATTGATAGTTGAGAGGCGGGCCGAAAGAGCAAAGCTCAACCCCCACAAGCACAACTAGGTGAATACACACTGCGGCAGGAGCAGCAGTGGTCCAGGTGTTGAAGCGTCCTCCACGGTCTCCGTCCGCAGGGCCAACCTAACACGCCAATATACTCATTTTTTTCGTTATACGACAAAGAATGCTGGGAAGACGGGACGCCACGAGCGTAGCTCTCATCCTGTAACTACACTTAGGTAATTACACACACACACACATACATTGATCGATTGTAGACGATTGTAATGCCGTTCAAATTGATCTAGATAAAATAAGTGCTTGGAGCGTAAAGTGGCAAATGAAATTCAATGTGGATAAATGCCATGTTATGGAATGTGGAATCGGAGAAAATAGACCTCACACAACTTACTAATTATGTGGAATGGCATTACAGAACTCTTAATAAAGAACAAGACCCGGGATGGTTTTGGGTAGTAAGCTGTCGCCAGAGGAACACATAAAGAACATTGTGAGAGGAGCGTAATGCGTCGCTTTCCAACTTCACACTTGCTTCTAATTATATGGATGGTGAAATACTAAAGAAACTGTTCATGACTTTTGTGAGACCAAAACTGGAATATGCAGCAGTTGTATGGTGACCAAATCTCAAGAAACTGGAAAAGGTGCAAAGGCATCCTACAAAATGGCTTCTGAGACTGAAAAACAAGAGTTAGGAGGAGAGACTAGAGGCGTTAAACATGCTAAAACTAGAAGATAGAAGAAAGTGAGGAGTTGATCACCACTTACAAAATACCAACAGGAATCTACCAAATTGACAAGGAAGAATTCCTGAAACCAGCAACATCAGGAACAAGAGGACACAGATCCAAGCTAAGGAAACAGAGGTGCTGAAAACATTAGAAAGTTTTCTTTTGCAAACAGTGGTAGACGGTTGAAACAAGCTAAATGGGAAGGTGGTGGTGGCCAAAACCGTTAGTAGTTTCAAAGCGTCATACGACAAAGAGTACTGGGAAGACGGGACACCACACGCTTAGCTCTCATCCTGTAACTACATTTGGGTAATTACTTAGGTAATAACACACAAAATAAGCTCAGGGCATACACAGTACACCGATAGATTGACAGTTGAGAGGCAGGACTAAAGATTATAAGCTCAACCCTTGCAAGCACAACTAGATGAGTACCCCAAATTCAAAAGGGAATCAACTATCATTAATATTATACTTGAAATATATTACAAGGTAGACTGGTTGCATAAGTTAGCATGTCATTAATCACCATATTAATGTAAGGTCATTCAGGACTATTGTTTAAACTGTCAAACATACGTTTAATCTGTGAAATATTCGTTTAAACAGTAAAACGTACGTTTAATCTATCAAATGTACGTTTAAAGTATCAAAGGCATGTTTATTAATCTGTCAAACGTACGTTCACTACAACTCTAATATGTATGCCATTGCTACGTCTCACCGACGTGGCTTCTATAAGCACGTCTCTGAGCATAGGGTGCACAATAAACTACCGCTCACAGGATGAGTATGGGGTGCACAATAAACTACCGCTCACAGGATGAGTATGGGGGTACACAATAAACTACGACTCACAGGATGAGTATGGGGGGTACACAATAAACTACCGCTCACAGGATGAGTATGGGGGGTACACAATAAACTACGACTCACAGGATGAGTATGGGGGGTACACAATAAACTACGACTCACAGGATGAGTATGTAGTGGTCGGTAGCATTAATAATTGTGGTGTATTGCAAATCTGCACATGGACATAACATCACATGAGAACAGGAGACATGGCAGGATGTGCAGAATATTCCCGTTGAAAAGCAGAGGTACAACAGGTGCTCCGAGATAAAACTCTATTAACATCAGAGGCCCAAGACTTCTCAACACTTTCCATGCACGTAAGGCGGCATAACTGGCCGGCCTCTCACGGTGTTCAAGAGAGAACTCTATAAACATCTCCAAAGGATACATAATCCTTTGGTTGTGATTCATACGTCGTCCAACAACCTGGTTGATCAGAAAACCAACAAGGAGGATTGGCCAGAGAACGGGCCGAATGGACGTTGATCCTTGGAATCACCACAAGGTAGGCATTACCCAAATCCTCCTCCTCCGCGTGTCCCTTTGCAGGCTCTCCAAGAGGCTGCAAAGGGCTACAGCAAACCCACGCTACGTGACATAGAGCAGCATTACAGTTGAGAGTGAGGTGTCATGATCCACCAGAGATATACACACGCAGGCTTCCCCCACAGTTAAATGTGGTTTACGGGCTCACCATAGCCCGTGCTACATGGACACTTCGTCCTGCGTAGCTAAATCTTTAACAACAACAACAAAAAAAACACAGTACAGAGCACCATGCAACCTTCAGCGCACACGCAACTAGGGATGAGGAACGGGTAACACACTGCCACTGCCACGACAGTAGAAAGAAAATGCAGATATTGTGGACGACCAAATAGCCATTCCCTGAATCACTGTTTACTAAACTGTAATAAGTTCCAGAGTGAGAACCAAGTCACGGGAAAAAGTCGTGGGGCTTAATTAAGACATAGAATTGAGTAGTTGTGGCCTACAATACGGTTCCTCCACGTAGTCTCGCACGTGTTGGTCGTTGGATCATTAATTACCACCAACGCTGTGATTGCAGTCATCAATGTGCAGCGAGTGACTGTCGCAAATTATAGTTTGATTTTCCTGTCCCATTGTCGGGGACAGGAAAATCTGTTTGGCTTATCGAGGTCCTCCCTAGACCGACTACTGACCATCCCAGGATGCATATTTATTTATTTAATTTATTTATTTATTTAATCATTACAACTGTATAACGCCAGGGTAAGTCCAGCAGTAAATGCAATTGTATTTACTGCTAGATGAAATGAGCCGTCAATTTGTAAGGAAACATGTTCAAACGTCTCCATTAAAATTCAGTTAGCTAAGCAAGTTGCTTTTATAGTACAATTAGTTCAATAACTGGAAGGCCAAGACCGTCAGTAGTTTCAGAGCGTTATATGACAAAAAGTGCTGGGAAGACGGGACACCACGAGCGTAGCTCTCATCCTGTAACTTCACTTAGGTAATTTCAAGCCTTTAAATGGAATGATTCACATCTGTGGTGAGCGAGTTACAACTTTACTAAGGCACTCCACATTCTCATCCAATGGTAGGGGTTGAAAATATACAATCATGTGCATTCACAAAGAAATATAACAATAACGTGATATATATCAATGAGAAAATCAGTTGGAGCACTGAGATGACTCGAATCAGGGCACTCCCATCTAAAGCTGGAGCATACAGTTGATGAACTACTGTACCTATATTAGAGTGCATGAGGGTTATCTTGAAGTTATCTTGAGATGATTTCGGGGCTTTTTTTTTTTTTTTTTAGTGTCCCCGCGGCCCGGTCTTCGACCAGGCCTCCACCCCCAGGAAGCAGCCCGTGACAGCTGACTAACACCCAGGTACCTATTTTACTGCTAGGTAACAGGGACATAGGGTGAAAGAAACTCTGCCCATTGTTTCTCGCCGGCGTCCGGGATCGAACCCGGGACCACAGGATCACAAGTCCAGTGTGCTGTCCGCTCGGCCGACCGGGTAGTTGCATCCTGGGCATAGGAATTCCATGAAGTAACAGCTGTCGATGGGAAATATGTTTGTATGAATTGCTGAATATGTTTTTACCGTATTTGTATTCCATTGTCAGGAGCAGGAAGCTGGTTAAACTTATTGTAGTCTCTCATGCCAAGGACGACGTTGTCCACACAGTCACACATGCAAGACCTAATCATGCTGATCCTGATTGGTTGAGTGACACACATCAGCTACAGTATGAGAATTGCTCTGTTGCAATTCTCTCATCCTCTGTAATCCTCATCCTCTCATCCTCTGCAATGTGTACTGACGCTGTCCTGAAACATAGTTTTTTCCTCTCAACGTGGCTATACAGTAGTTCCTTTCTCTTTTTATATCTTTTAAGAGATTTCTGGAACATTATTTTGTGTATTGGCCATCTTTCTAACATGTTGCACATGAGACATGCTAAGATGTGATACATGACAGTCAACATTTTGAAAAAAAATAAAAAATATTGTTGTAGTGAAATATAACATGTTGACTTTTATGTTAATTTGTGTTGCAGAATCTGAAAGTGTAAACTTGGGCAGAGAGCTACCCAAAACTGTCAACCATGAAGACCAATGCTGCAGAGTACTTCGGAAGCCTCTCACCACTCAAGGGTTAGTATCTTGCAAGGATTAGTCTGTCTGGCTATTTAACTATCAGTTGTGGTGGAATGGTTCAGCTTGTGGTACAGTATTTTTTGTTTTTGTTTACCTGTCTTCACAACTGGGTGTATCTCTCCATGTATGTAATATGATAAAGGTTAGTAATATGGTATTGTTATGATATATGTTTCTGAGGTATAAACATTATAGTACAGTACTTTTGAACTGTAGAAGTCAAGCACTGACTTTTTAATTAATTCTTATATGTAAAATACCTCTGTAAGTATATTAAGATAATGAGGCACCTCACAACATTTGACATGTGCAATATGTGAAATACCAAAAAAAAACATGATATTTTATGTGATGTAGTGTTTTTACTTAAGCTGCCTTATGATATATAACTAGGGTTTGTTACAAAAATAATCAGTAAATTTTTTATAATTAGGCATTCAAGTTCAAGTATGTTTATTGAGATAAGAAAGAAATACATCTCAAAGGGATAGAGTAGCTTAGGCTATTTCTACCCCCCCTTAATTAGGCATCCCACAACTTTGTATCGAATATCTCCATGAGAAAAGAAAACATGAAAAAAAAAAAATTGTGTGAACATAATCTTATCGCTGGGAGCCGCCTTTGTTTAGACTTGTCCTGACTGATAACTTTATCTCGACAGCAGGAGGAACATCACCTGGGAGCAGCCTGTATGAGGCCCATGTGCAGAATGGCAGGTCTGGCAGGTGTCACTGCTGTCCTTATGGTTACCACATTGACCTGGACTTCGTACGCTACTGTGAAATGCTCACGCAGGTTTGAATACATCTTTAGTTGTTGATATTTTGCAACTTATAAAATTCAGTTCCATGACATGTGTTTGGTTTTAGTTATTCATATTTGGCAACTTTTCAGTTTTATGCCATATATATGAGTGTCACAATGTGATAGCTTGCAGTGTACTGTCTATATTATGAGTTGCATTCTATATTTGTAACACTAGTAATTCAAAAAAATTATATTACTGTACAATACAAAATTATGTTACAGGATTTTGAACATCACGTAATTTTTTATTGCCTCTATTCCCGTACTTTAGGTGTAGACAGTCATGAAAGCCTCAGCCTTTTATATTGAAAGTTTATTGTGTGTTCCATATATAAAAAACTTATGTACTTTGTTTAAAATGCAGAAGTAACTTTTATAAGATAAAGTTTATTAAATGAACATGCCTCATAATGTATTCAGTAAGCTCAGTGTTATTCTTTATTCATTGGTTAAGGTTATAAAAATGGATTTTCACCATTTCTGCACACTATGGAATTTTGTAAAGCTTTGAAGTCCCTTGATACATAATTATACATATTTTAAATGTCTCAAATAAAGAATAGTATACAGTATAAGTTAATGACATATAAATCAACTTTTAAATATAGTAACAACCAAATACATGTACGGTATACAACTGTGCTGTACTGTAATTGTATACAGTACTATAGTGTATAGATATGATTAACAATTGTACAAGTTATTGCTCTAAAGAAATTCTGCATACACGATTTAGCAGTGATTCAGATTCAGTGGATTGTCAGTACAGTATTTCTATATTTTTGGGAAAAATTTGTTTATTATTTATGCAAATGATAAATTGTGTATTTTTTCAAATTTGAGAATCAAACTCATATACTGTACAGTATATACATAGAAATAAAACTAAGAAGAAAAAAGCTGATGGCCTTTTATGATCATTTGTTTATCTGCATTATCACCACATTATCCTACATCCCCACACGGAACTCTCTTACTGCTACATCCACTATTTGCAATTTGCTCATGTATTTCAGTTACTATTTTGGATTTTTCCAATTTAATTTATTAACTATTTTTTAGTCAGGTGCACCTCATTGTAATACTGTATGTATAAATAACTTCACAGTTCAGGGGCTAATGCATATAAATTTGGATGTCATGGGCACTAGGATCCAAATTGTGATGGTTTAGTGAAATTAAACCACATTAATTTGAATACTTATTCTCACCAAGGAGCATCAACTCCAATGGTTTAGGTGGGTGGTTATGAGCCATATGCCTGCGGTTAGGCAAATGACGATTAAGATAAAAATTAATTTATGAGAACAGGATGTGATGAAACCAGCACTTAGATTATGCAGCAATAATAATGATGACAATTGTATAGATTATTTTGTACGGTTGTTTAGATTAAGTGACAGTTCAGATTAAAGATATTTGATTGGTAGGATCTTGCTGTACAGCCATTTGTAAAAATTTCAGTTATTACTTTAAAGAATTCTTGTGTTGAATGCTCTTACCATGTCAAAACATGATTACTCTAAACTTAAAAGAATTCCTCACTTGTACTAGGGTTCAAAGAACGACAATGCCACTCTACGACAGCTGAAAAAGCTGAAGCGGGCTCGCCGCAGACAGACCAAGTCAATGGAAGTGCTTCTTGGCTTGTCCCAAGGAAAAGACAATGAGGCACATGAGCTACAGCAGCCCCAGACCAAACTTGAAATTGTAAGTACGAATTGTTTTCACATACTGTATTTATATAGTGTATGCGTAAATCACACTATTTTATTGTAATATTGTATGCCTTTTTGGCCAAATTTCTTATTGACATATAGCTGACTTATTTAACCAGCCAGCCAGGGGGCTTAGATCCCCATGCAGTAATATCCATGAAAAAAATAATAGCTTATTATAGATTTATATTTTGTATTTTTCTCTGACTAATGAGGATTAAATTTTAGAAACTACTGTAGCAATTAGTATCTATATTTTGTCACATGATTTTTTCATTTGAATGGATTTTTAAGTACTGTACTTGTGGTCGATCTCGAACCCATTGTTGATGTGACGACATACTGAATTTTGTAACTAGTTCACCGAGATTGTAACTTGCTTAGCTAAATGAATTGTGGGGTTCAGTCTCTGAGCCCATTATGTGCCTCTGTAACCCTGTCCACTACCGCCCACAGGATGGGTATGGGGTGCATAATAAATTATTTAAACTGAACTAAGTACTGTATAATATTTCAATTCATTTTTATTTTGTTTTATGAAGTACTGCATTGAAAAATAGTTTTTCTGGTATATGGTACAGTGTTTGTTTGCTAAATAGTTCATAGTTCATTGGTGAGGAGAATTATTTAGCTTATTATATTTACCTTATTAAAGGAAACACAATACAGTGGAATCTTGAGTGACGAGCGATTCCAGTTACGAGCATTTCGAAGAAAGAGCGAGCAACTCGCAGAAAATTTCTCGATTGACGAGCTTCCGCTCTATTAACGAGAAAACCATGTGGTGCTTCCTAGCGTTCCCACTGGTTCTCACAAATTTTTGAACACCTCCAACGATGGCCAGTGGCCATCAGCATCTTTTACAATTGTTATTAGTTTGTAACATCTTAAAATGTAAATTAATGTTTATTTCCAGATTGAGGAGCCTGTAAAAATTGATTCGCTGAGCAAAGATGTATCGTCTTTCGTAAGACGAACTCAATCTTTGCGAGAACGAACGCCTCCTCCACCTCCTCCCAGGCGGTGTAGAACACCAGTAATGTCTGGTCCACCTCCAGATGTTATTAACACCACAAATTCTAGTCCTGGGTTAAATACTAGTTCTAATGTGGATGCCAGTGAAGCACTACAGGTAAACAAAAAATACTTTATTGATTCTATGTAATGTTCGTTATTAATTTTCCAGTAAAAGGTTTATCCACTGTTCCCAGGGTGTTATTTTGTTTCCCATTGTTGGGGAAAAGACGCCTTTTATGCTTATTGAGATCCCCCCTAGGCCACGAGTGGGGGAACCCTTTATCATATGAAATCCATATTTTACCTACCAAAGATTTCATAAGGCTGCACATTGTATTATGCTCTTTATATATTCAAATATGTCAAAAACAAATTTGCAGAGCATGTTTCATTAATATTAATTGCTTTCGAAGGCCAGACTTAATGCCATAAAAGGCTGCATGCAGCCTTAAAGCTGCAGGGTCCCCATCCTTGCCCTAGGCCAATGACTGATCCTTTCCCAGAGTGCAACTCACAACAGTTGAATAACCACCAGGTGCCTATTTATCCAATACAGCATTGTTTTATATTAATGACAAAGAACAAGACCAGGCCCTTCACAGTTCCTGGAGTTATTCATCTTTCCATTCCTGGCTATTGTACTAGATTCCCTGTATCCTCCTGGTTGCTAATGATAAGATGTTTTCAATCGGAAAAAGACAGTTGGTTTGCCACATGCTTATTGTGGACTGAAAGGAAGCTTTTTTCCTGTATTTAATGTGTTACTTTAAGAAGAGCAGTTGGAATAAATCACTATGATGATTTAGGCTTCTCTTGTATGTCTGTTTTCAGGGCCATTGCTCCCTGTGCCTCTCTGAAGGGGGCCATGTTCTGGCTAGTGGTTCCTGGTAGGCAGAACCCCATAGACTAATGCCCCATTCTAATGATTCGCATATTAGCCGTATAGCTCCAGGGAGCCTCTGAGGCTCGCCCAGAAAATGACGTTTCATTACATTCAACTCTGGTTTTTTGGTTGTTAACCAGTGTCTACCATTGTCACTCATAGTGATATTTAGGAAAAGCTCTGTAATTCTTGACATAATGAACAGGCCTTCTATTATTCTTTGTTGGATTCATGTTTTCTCCAATAATTTTCTAGCACCCTATGTGATTCGGTAGGGACTCCTGAAAATATCCCTGTGGGATTGGCTGTTTGTCATCTTGTCTGGCTGTATGATCCTTTCCATACCAAACTGCAGACCACATACCCTAGGGAGTGGCAGAATGATATATTCAGATATTTGCTTTTCTTAAGCTAAAAGCCACATTTTTATGTTCTAGTTTCCATAACTCTCATAAATTCTCAACAAAGTTGATATGCTGTGCATGGTTTTATGAATCTACAAATCAGTTATTGCTCTTCAGATCTTTACACATTGTTCCATAATAGAATTTTCCAGCAGATTAACAATTGCACTTTAAATTTAATGAGACTCTCCAATTACCATTTTATATACAGTACTGTATTGGCATAATCTTTGTAGCCTTCTGGTTCATCTGCTTGTATATATACCTTCTTGTTGTGACATCCCAAAATAGTCTAGCATACTTATCTGAGTGTCACCCCACACTCCTTTAATACCCAGGATGATACCTCGTCTGGTCCTACACCTTTATTTTTATAAATTGCTAATAATGTTTAGTTTATTTACCTTCTCTCTAGTTACTTCAATAGGGGTCATTTCATTTGGTTATGCATTTGACTCATTTTTATTCAAATTCATTTGCTTTATATGTACACTTTATAATTTCTTATTTAAACTTCTGGCAATCTAGGAGGCAGTAATGGACTTTGAAGAAATGCTTGAAAATTCCCGTGAAAAGCATCAAGTCAAAGAGAGATCGGAAACCCTGCCACCAAACATTCCTTCTCTGGATCTGTTGCACCATACTCCCCCACTCAAAGCTCAACTTGTCTCTCCAAAGTCAGGGGCAGGAGTAGTTCGGTCTCATTCACTCCCCAGGCAGTGTAAGTTATTTCCACAATGTTTAATAAGAACTGGTGATTAATGGAGTACAAATGGCTGATCACAATAGCAACAAAGAAATACTAAGTTAGAAGCAAGCTTTATTTATGATGATGCATTACTTGTAAAGTTTATATAAAATTCAATCGGATGAAGCTTTTCAGGTAAAATGTTATCTAAAATAAAGACTCCAAGCATGTGTTTACCCCTCTTCATAAAATATTAAAACTCGTATTCACGTTTCTGTTTTCTACTGTTTCCTATGATGCCACCAGATGACCTTATTATAATATGGTCATCTGGCTATTTAGAAATTTAGAAGAATCTTAATGTACCTAAAACAAATTTTGATGATTACAGCATATTTCTTAAATTCTTTGATGCAATTCTTGGAATAAGTTAAATTAAAATTATAATTTGAATGTGATGACAAAAGTATAGAGTTAGTAATTTGTTTTATCTCCTGTGTGGTTATACTTTAGCTTAGAGATAATACCGTGTATATTTTCACTAGGAAATGGATCAAATATAAACTGTATATACTATATCCACAATGCTCTGTCAGCATTTAAAGATCATTGTGTAATAAAAGTTTTACAGTATTTCCTTACCATAAACATGTGGTAAATCGAGTACACAAAATTCAATCAAGGTGTTATGGTCTCCCCCAAAATATCTCAAGTTGAAATGCCCATGTTGATGACACTGTTTTGTCATTGTCATTACACCACATATCTTGCCTCCTCTTAGTGACTCATGATACTACAGTACCTACTATCTTGCCCTTGTCTTTGTGACCCGTGACACTAGCTATCTTGCCCTTGTCTTAGTGACCTGTGACACCACATATCTTACCTCCTCTTTGTGACCCGTGACACTACCTATCTTGCCCTTGTCTTAGTGACCTGTGACACCACATATCTTGCCCTCTCTTACTGACCTGTGATACCACCTGTCTTCCCTTGTCTTACTGACCTGTGACACCACCTGTCTTATCTCTTCTTACTGACCTGTGACACCACGTGTCTTATCTCTTCTTACTGACCTGTGGCACCACCTGTCTTATCTCCTCTTACTGACCTGTGGCACCACCTATCTTATCTCCTCTTACTGACCTGTGGCACCACCTGTCTTATCTCTTCTTATTGACCTGTGACACCACCTGTCTTATCTCCTCTTACTGACCTGTGACACCACCTGTCTTATCTTCTCATAGTTACCCCTGAAAATACTTCAGATACAAAGAATAATTGTGCAAGGTAGTCTCTATTGCCCGCATTATATATACAAGGCTTATTTCCATTCCCTTCCCCTGGGCTCTAGGAGACTCGAATGACGGACCCCAGGTGTGTGAGGCCGAAGCTCTATCAACCGAGCTATTCAGTAGGCTTAATAAGGAAGGCTTTTTTTTTTTAAACCTACCTTCCTTTTATAAGGTTTATCTATACCAGTATATTTAAAATATATACAGTATATATACAAACACAAACATTTGCTACTGTATATAGCTTAGGAATACTCAGTGGCTTGCTTTCAGTTACTCAGGTAGACAAACATGCGTATTGGTGATGTGTGGTACCTACTGCTCTATTATCTAGAACTGTGAGTCTGTTTGGTTCAGCATGAGTCTGCTATCCTTGGGTTTGCTTCTTAGTGGCATTATTAAAAACACTCACATGTACACACATTAAAGCTGTTGACATATACTGTATATGCTCCTCAATGTACACAATTTTTGCAGTGGCATTCATGCAGGCTTGTGTTGTATCCTATTTGTAGAATATTATAAGATGTCAAGTAATGTATCAAGTTTATAAATTATAATTTCAGGTTTACAGAGAGTGAATACTGGTCATTAAAATTACAATCCATTCATGTCTTATTACAATAAAAAAAAGCTATATGATTAGCGCCTATATTTCAATAAAATTTGCTCAGTCAGTACATAATACAGGGATAAGGAAATAAGCTGAGAGGGTCGTAAAATTTAAATGAATGATACTGTACGGTACTGTACTGTATTTGCTGCGGTAATATTTACCTCACTAAAGATAAATAAACAAAAGCTTCTCTTGTTATGATTCAAACCAATATAGAACATAAATTTGTAGTTGTCATCAAAATCATTGTTTTCTACAAAAGACATTTGACTATACATGTATCAATATTTTAAGACATTCCACTGGGTCATTTGTTTGATCCAGGATTTAGTTTCATATTTTATACATCTGGGTTTTGAAGTTTAGTGTAATTCAAGCTGGGAAATGAGTTTGTCCAGTAATATTGCTGAATAAAGAAAAGTATGGCAACATTTTAGTTATTTATTTGAAATATGAAGGTTGATGAATTATGTTTTCTGTGGATAAAACTTCATGTATGAATTGCATGATATTTTAATTGGAGCTCTCTGAGGAGTAAGGATTCATTGATATAAACTAACTTATTTGGATGATTGGATGTTATTTTGAGACTTAAGAACTATGTGAAATAATATAGAAAATGTCTTAATAATTCAAATTAGAATTTTAATTACATAGCATGATGGTCATTGATAACTTTAACCCTTGCACTGCTCACCTATTTTCGGCAAAAACGTCTTGGTGCAATTGACAAGGACATATTTTTGTTATTTTTACAAATGTTCAGGTAAATTTAATGTCAAAATGTTTCCAAAGTCAACTATTTCCATTTCAAAACACAAATAGTAATGAAAACATTAAAAAACATTAAAATATAGCCAAATTAAAAAACAAAAAGCACAACTCTCTGAGTGCCTAAAGGTGCTTTGCGCAGTGCAGTGGTTAATAAGCCTCCAAACATTATCATATTACATAAAACATTTTGCAGGCGATGAGTCACAATAACGGGGTTGAAGATATGACGACCAAACCATACATCAGAAAATTATCAGGTCATTAGACAACTTGATAATGGTCCTGGATCAGCTGAAACCAATAAGGAATCTTGAATCTGAAACCATGAACCAAAAAATGTTGTCTTTTCTCCATTTTCTGATGTGTGGTTTGGTCATCAGAAAACATTTTCCTAGAAATACAATGTTAGTGTTTACATACATAATTTCTGTCATAGTATCATACGGTACTACACTTACAGCTGCTATGTAGATATACATGTAATTCTTGCCTGTCCTTGTGTGCATTTGTAATCCTGCTTTATATTCACCTAGAGTCGTTTTAGTTATTTACATTGTTTGAAGTTACTCTTAAGTATTTACTTGCAAATGTAGTTGGCTTACTTATTTTATTTACATGTTTTAAATGATTGAGGTTCAGAAGCTTATTCCAGCTTTACAACTCATCTCTCTCCTAAGGTAATATTGAAAGCTTTTTCTCTAACCCATTTCCACTGGAATATGCTGAGGAGCTTCACTCATCACTGCCTTTGTGTGTTGCTTTGTGTTACTCATATTTCTCAATGTTCTCTTGCCTCGCTCCCCACCCACCAACCCACCAACCCACTCGCCCTCCTTTACAATCCTGTCCTGTGTCTCAACCTCGCCTCGTCCCCTCGTATTTCTACTCTACTTATCATTCAACTTCTTTGTTATCTTCCTTTGATATGCCTTTACAACTTGTCATTCACACTTCGTTATTCGTCATTTGTTGTTTGACGATAAAATATTTGAATTGCCATAAATCATTATCATAATAAAATATGTTTTGTGGATCTTCCATACTTCTCATTCTAATCACTTTCTCACTTGTCTCTGTGGGTTCACTTTTCCCCAATTAATTTTCTTCTGATAAATTTGTACTATTTTGTAATTCTCAACTGCCCATAATTTAATAATTGGTGTACACTTAATTTTCCTGTATAATATATATTACCTTCTGATCAATCATTGCATATACCTTTTTGTTTTCTGTGTTGTGGCTATGATTCCATTGATTCTTATTCACTCACTGCCCTCTTTTTGGTATTAATTTTAATTTATATTCATTTGTAAGTTGTACTCTTATTCATATGACTTTAAGATAATAATTTGTTCATTATTCTTTATCTGTCTATCTTTCTTATTGTTATGCTGATGTCAATGTTATGCTTGGCTTGTGTTTGCTCCCTGATCTTCCAATGTTTGCTCCTCTCCTCATCTCAGGGTTTAACAGGTCTCTTGTACCTCTATCCCCTCCCACATCCTCCTTGCCCTCTCCTACACACCTTTCCCGTGGGACCCTCGGGGCTGGTGAAGGCAACACACAGATGGCGGTACATAGAACACTGCGTCGCAGTTGGTCAAGAGCTGCCCCTGGAGGCCAGATGCCTCGTCACTCCTCGGAAGGTTCATGTGAGTTTGATAACGGGTGGTCCTTATTGTTCTTAACAGGACAATAGCTTGAGAACATGCAGTAGTTGAGGATGATGTAATGCAATTATTACAATTATTTCCATTTCCATTTTACAGTTAATTAATTTGATGCTTATGAAAAGACCAGGTGCCATGGGGATACTTAAAATGATTTGTTTTTGTTATTTTTTGTATCCTCCTGCCATGATATTGATGACTAGTAAGATGTACTGTATAATGTCACATTGACCATGAGACAGACTTTCCCATGCCATCCCAAATTGACCCCAAATAATAGGTCTCGTCTGGTGATAAGTGCAAACTTGAGGTGGGAGATTTTTAGCCGAGACTGCTTGAATGCAATGTCTTTTTTGTTCATAGTCAATCTCGGGTTTCTTGTAAGTTTGGAAAACTTGGATTTTTTTTCTTTTACTTATTTCTTGCTACAGTACTGTGTTATTCTTGTAACAGCTGTCTTTATAAGTTGATTGCAGGTCAGCTGAATATAAATTTAAAAGGACATGAAACCAATTTAATTTGTTATTGAAATACTGTATAAAAAAAAGTTAATGAACAATGTAGCTTTGATCGAATTGATAGATTTTTGAGGGTTCCATCGTTTCCAGGCTTTATCAGTTTTTTACTATTTATTGCAAAGTATTGCTATTTTGATTTTGTTACTACAATAATTGAACATGTTTGCACAGTTACACATCCATATAATATGTAAACAATACATTTTACATACAGTGCTATATATTAAGTAAAGTAAATTTAAAAGAGAAAACTGTATTTCTAAATTAATCTGCTCAGTTGAATGTGAGGCATAACAATGCACATCACATTTACCAAATCAATATACAGTACAGCAAATTGATGAGAAAGAGGGCAATGGACTCAGAATACGCTGGTCACTGAAAGTTACACAACAAGTGGGAGTTGTAGTAAAAGATCCAACCATACCCTAGGAATAATCAAACAAACTTCAAGGAAAAGAAGGTAGTTTTTCAACTGTATCAATCTCTGGATCACTCTCATTTGGTGTACTGTATCCAATCTTGGAGACCTCATCTGTAGGAGGACATATCAGCTTCAGAGAAAGTTTAACACTGGATGATAAAAAATCATCCCAGAACTAAATCGACTGTCAAACCGGGAACGGTTGAGGGCCACAGGATTAACAACATTGCAAACCTGATATGACAGGGCTGATCTTATTAAAGCTTATAAATACTGAACAGCTTGGAGGATATTGATCCAGATCACTTCTTTAAAAGGCCAAATGCAACACATTCAGTGAGAAATAGCTTTAAGCTCAACAAGTCATAATGTTTGACTGAAAACTGGAGATGCTTTTTCATCCAGAGGGGGTGTAAACCCATGGAACCACCTACCTTTTAACTTGTAATTTTCAAATTGCAGGTAAAGGACAATACTGTATTCAGAGGTTAAAATTGGGAAATAGATTCACGGAAAATGAAAAGGAAATGTGTGAAACATTAAACTTAAAGTTCCAAAGTGTGTTTGCACAAAATGAAATCTTCAGGGAACCAGACACAATAAGAATTCCAGAGAACATCATAGAGCACATAGAGGTGTCTAGAGACGAAGTGGAAAAAATGCTCAAAGAGCTAAGAAAGAACAAAGCAGTTGGTCCAGATTGAGTTTCACCATGGGTTCTTAGAGAATGTGCACATGAGCTCAGCATTCCACTTCAACTGATTTTTCAGGCATCCCCGTGTAAAGGAGTTGTAGCTGATGTGTGGAAAAAGGCTAACATCATTCCAATCTACAAAAGTGGCAGCAGGGAAGACCCCCTTAATTTTAGATCTATATCATTGACAAGTGTAATAGTCAAAATATTGGAAAAAATAATTGAAACTAAATGGGTAAAACACCTGGAGAAAAACGATATAATATCAGACACAGTATGGTTTTCGATCTGGAAGATCCTGTGTAACGAATTTACTCAGTTTCTATGATCGAGCCACAGATTTTACAGGAAAGAGATGGTTGGGTTGACTGCATCTATCTGGCCCTAAAAAAAGCTTTTGACAGAGTTCCACATAAGAGGTTGTTCTGGAAACTGGAACATATTGGAGGGGTGACAGGTAAGCTTCTAACATGGATGAAAAATTTCCTAACTGATAGAAAAATGAGGGCTGTATTCAGAGGCAATGTATCGGATTGGAGGAATGTCACAAGTGGAGTACCACAGGGTTCAGTTTTTGCACCAGTAATGTTCATTGTCTACATAAACAATCTACCAGATGGAATACATAATTATATGAACATGTTTGCTGATGATGCTAAGATAATAGGGAAGATAAGAAACCTAGATGATTGGCATGCCCTTCAAGAAGACCTGGACAAAATAAGTATATGGAGCACCACTTGGCAAATGGAATTTAATGTGAATAAATGTCATGTTATGGAATGTGGAATTGGAGAACATAGACTCCACACAACCTATAAATTATGTGAGAAATCTTTAAAGAATTCTGACAAAGAAAGGGATCTAGGGGTGGTTCTAGATAGAAAACTGTCACCTGAGGACAACATTAAGAACATTGTACGAGGAGCCTTTGCTACACTTTCTAACTTCAGAATTGCTTTTAAATACATGGATGGCGAAATACTAAAGAAATTGTTCACGACTTTTGTTAGACCAAAGCTGGAATATGCAGCGATTGTATGGTGCCCATATCTTAAGAAGCACATCAACAAACTGGAAAAGATGCAAAGACATGCCACTAAGTGGCTCCCAGAACTGAAGGACAAGAGCTACGAGGAGAGGTTAGAGGCATTAAATATGCCAAAACTAGAAGACAGAAGAAAAAAAAGGCAATATGATCACTATGTACAAAATAGTAACAGGAATCAATAAAATTGATAGGGAAGAATTCCCGAGACTTGGAACTTCAAGAGCAAAAAGTCATAGATTTAAAATAACGAAACAAAGCTGCTGGAGAAATATAAGAAAATTCACTTTTGTAAACAGAGTGGTAGACAGTTGGAACAAGTTTGGTGAGAAGGTGGTGGAGGCCAAAACCGTCAGTAATTTCAAAGCATTATATGACAGTGCTGGGAAGACGGGACACCACGAGCGTAGCTCTCATCCTGTAACTACACCTAGGTAATTACTTGCCAAAGCCATAAATGACAAAATGACATTTCAAAATCCACCTGGATAAAATCATCAGGATGAAAAGAACATTTCATACCCTTGATTTTTGACTAGCTGCCAGCTTACTGTCCTTGTCAATGCCACTAGAGAGACAGTGGTTCTCATGTAAATTCAAGTAAGATACAACTGGGTCTGAAGAATAAGATATGTAGTCAAGAGAGATTGGCACTTCACCAATTCCACAGGCACATATTCAACAAGCCCCCTGCCAAGTTGTATTGGTACTCTTCAATACAATAAAAAAATTGTCCCCTAGGACCTGGCTTCAAGTGCCAGTAAGACAGGTCGGTAGGAAACTTTTGTCAAAAAGTCTCAGATATGGACCATCTAATTTTTTAACTGAAGCTCTCAGAGTAATAAGGCTTCAATAATGTAAATTGATTGATTAATAGATTAGGTGTTATTTAGAAGTTGGAGAACTATGTGGAGTGATGCAGAATATATCTGAATGATAACAATTTTAATTTAGTGCATGGCAGGATTGTTATTGATAATTTTAATACGCCTTCAAACATTGTCATATTACACAAAACATTTTCATTGAATTGTTAACCACCATTTATAACAACATTTCTAATATAAGGGATAATAACATTTCATTCACCTGGACACTCGGCGCCTCGAACTGCCGGCCACACAGACAATAGCGGCTGGCTGTTGTCTGTGTGGTCGGTGGTTTGAGGCTCTTGAGTGTCCAGGTGAATGAAATTTTTTTAAATATAATTTTAGCAGTTATATACATCATTTCATTGTGCTGAGCTGAAGCTAAACTCTTTGTCTTCAGTTTTGTGCTGATCTATAACCAATTTCATTGTTACAAGGGCTGGTCTTTAAGATGCAGTCTGAGTTCTTGACAGAATTTGGTTAGAGGCTCCTAATAGTCAAGAGCCTTTGGTGCTCCTAGGATAAAAAGCTTGGAGATTCAAAGCCTAAGATTGACTTTTACTTTACTTCTAATTACAAGTGTGTGGAGGGGGCTTCATCATCCTCAGAAGAGGCTCGTGGCTTCCGTCTCACAGCCCTTTTTTTCCTCACTTGTCTGGACTCTGATATGGTCTTGTGCTGTGTAGTGGTTTCCAAGTTAGATGGCACGTTCTTCTACCAGCTGTCCCAGTATAACTATGGTGACTCCATTCTGCCTCATGTTTGGTTCATTGTTTCCTTCATAGGGGATAATGTTCCATGTCTCTTAAGTTTCCAGTGTATTGCCTTCCAGCCACTCAGACTAAATGTAACTTGAAGTTTTTCTTCCACAAGGAATGGCAACTGTACTTCTGAAATGACTCTTTCACTTCTAAAGTTTAGCTCTTCTGCTGCAGAAGAGCCATCTGAACTATTCAAGGTTCTCTTTGAAGGCTCCTCTGAAAAAGAGCCTTCTCCAGCTCTTCTGAATTCTTAAATGTTCACTGAGGCTTATCTACATATTCATACAATCAATACTATGGGCGGGTAATTGGTGTACTGTACTGAACTGGTACACTGTCATATGGAGACAGGAAGCCTGCTAGGCTTCTCAATGTCCCCCTAACCAATGGTGAGGCTTGTCAGAGCAATCACACATCCAGTTAGTGGCAGATTCTATAAACGTACAGTATATGTTAAATATTTTCTTTAGTATTTTATAAGATGTCAAGCACTGTATCCTAATAAAATGTGCTTCACGGTATTATCCTTACCTTGAGCTTCAACAAAACCCTCACCTGCCATCTCCAGTGTCCACCATCTCAAGCAGTTTAGGAGAGCACTGCCAAATAAGGATAAGCAAAGTGTTTACACATACTGTGTTTGGTTCCAGTACCAGATGATTGTCTGTTGTTGAGCCGCCAGCGTACCAATTCTACTTCCTCCCTCTCATCTGTCTCCTCAGCATCTGGGTACCCAGGTGTTGCTTTCTCAATGGGTCCCTCGGCTGCTGGTTCTGTGGCTGCTGGAGGAGTCATTACCAACAATGGACTTGGCCCTCCTACTGGTGTAGGAATAATTCAACAAGTAAGCCTAGTTCTTCATATATGCTGCCCAATAAATTTTGCAAAGCATTTATTGAGTGTTTAATAACCATGAAATTTTAATAGACTTTAAGGTACTTACAAACTGGTTCTCAGAATGGTTCATACCTGTAGTTGTAATTTAATGATACTGTACAAAATGAAATTTGAATGTTGCCAGTAGTAAAATTTATATTTGCCTGATGTGCAACCAATATGTAAAATACTGAACATGATATATGCAGATCTGTACAAAGTTTAGATATAATAGATTGCTAAAAGATAGTAGATCAGGATTAAAGATTGATTGTAGGTCAGAATTAAAGAAACAAGGTGCTTGCGGGCCGCTCCAAGCAACAGGTCGTTAGACCAAGTTATCATAAGTCAAGCCTAGCCTCAGGCCGGACTCGGGGAGTAGAAGAACTCCCGTAACACACTCCAGGTATGCTCCAAGTAAGGTTTGTGTATTTTGTGTATTTTTGTTAAATGTGTCCTAATTTTTAAGTAAAACATTTATTGCCCCCAGATAACTAGAACTAGGAAATAAAATGTCTGATAATAAATCAGGAATGGTTTACCATTATGTCATACCATTTTACATGGGATGAATACAAGGAATATCTGGTTTACAATCCTGAGCAAGCCGGTAGAAGAATGATAGTAACTGCTCTGTGGGAGAAAGGTGTCAGAGCATTTGATAAGAAAATTAGGTGGATTTTATTGATAGAAGATACTAAGAAAGAAACAACAAAATGGTAGTGCGATGTGAGTAAAAGATATGTGAGAGATTGCAAAGTGTACGTGGCCTTTATTGACTTGAAAAAACTATAAGGCAAAGTTAATAGGGAAGGACTCTGGAAAGCGAAGATCATGTACAGTATGGACTTGGCAGAGTATTATTAAGTGTCGTGAAAATTTTCTGTGCGAGAAATGTTGCTTATCGAGGTTTCCTCTATGGTAATTACTGATCTTTACCAAGTTGCAATCCACAATAATTGCCTAATTTCCAGGTGCCAGGTGCCAATTTATTGGCATCACGTGAAAGGAATATGCCCAACCCTGAGAAACGGACCCCAAATCTAGTGTTGTGAGTAGACGATGTGCTACAGGGCCTATAGTGAGTGACTGGCTTGATATTAATGTAGGTGTATGACAGGATTGTGTGAAATAGATGGGGTAACGAGAATGTGTGTATAAAACTATATGATATTATTGTAAAACTGTACTATATTGCTGTTCAATCAGTCTGTTCATCTGACTTGACAAGCATATCTTACCTTTTGAGACTGATGCGCGTTAGTTAAAATTTAACTATTATAATTCCACTAAGGACCTCAGTGTGGGTGCTGATGTCCATAGCAACAAAATTGATGTGAATTATGTGTGAGGACAGGTTGGTCATGCGCACTATTACAGTTATCAAAGAAAGACATTAGTAATAGGAATATGGTTGGGCACCAGTTTAGGCCTCCAGAACATTTCAGTGAATTCAGTAGAGTTCTGGATTAATAGGCTCTTGTCCTATCGTGGCTGAGTGGGTTAGGGCAGGTGTCTGAGAATCGCCAGAACGCTGGTTCGTCACCTTGTTGCCCCCATAATTATTTTCGCATTGATATATCACGCCATTGTGATTTCTTTGTGATTACAGTAGTAGATGTTTTATTGGAAAACAATAATTGCTGTATACCAAGTATGAAACATGGAGAGCAGTTTGTAAGTATCTTAAGGGAATCTGATTGATAATGTGCAGTATCCTGTCTAGCTAATACATATAGTCGCTATGCTCACTTGCGGGTATAACATTGCTTAACAATCTTATGCGACTTTGTTTTTATTTGCTTAATTGCATCTTGTGTGTAAATTAATTCATTAGATGATTGATGCTTTGGGTGAAATATCTTCTTGTTGAAAATCCACACTTGTTAATACTTTAGATAATTTTTATTTTTTTAACATTGCCTCTTAAGTTGCATTGTGCTCCTTTCTCTGTATTTAATTTCTATGCAATTATAATTCCATATTCCTCTCGCTTCTTTTTTATATATTGGAAATATTGGTGTTTTGTCTCCATTGTCCATGTCTGTGTGTGTCATGTGGTGTTCTTATATAATCACTGTTGTAATATTTGTTAAGCTTTCTTCATTTGTCTTTTATCATCCTGTTTTTATTTGTTCTTTGTGCTTTTCCGTATTATTTCTACTGCATTCCCTCATTATCTTTTCTTAAACCGTTTTTTCCGGTAAATTCTACTCGAGTTGTGCCAGTTTTAATCTCTCTTTTACATGATACTGATTTTCCATTCCATCTTTACCCTCCTATTCTTCTGTTTCTCTTAGTCACTGCCTGCATATGCCAGTACCCTCTTCCATTCATGCAATTTTCATTTATCTTCATTTTCCTTTTGCTCTGTTATATCCATTAAACTCCATTATGTTTCATTCATTGAGGTAGCGTTCCAGTTAATCCTGTTATCATAATTTCTTAAATTTACCTATTTCTTGCTTCCTTTCTATTCTGTTACAGTTTAATTTAACTGTCTAAATAAAGAGAGCTAATCATAAATGCAAAATGTAAGCATGTTGCAAGGTAAGGTTCAGGGAAAGGAGGATGATGTCAAGGATGTTTCTCTCCCATAGCAGAGCTGCTATCATTGTAGTGTGATCATTTAGATGGGTTTTCATAATTGCCAACAGTCTAGCTATAGCTGCCAGTGTTTTGTGGATTAACATTTTACATGTGTAATGGCTTTTCAGGTCATAGCCTCTAATGCAAGGTTCATCTTAACAGGAAATGCTGCTTTATTTGTATAAAAGTCAGCAAACTGCTGTTGCATATTTTAATCTGCTGATATATAGCTAAGTCGGTATTCATACAAGAATTGCTATACTGTATTTTGTTTAATTAAAATGAGCCTTGCCAATGGTGAAGGGATCAGACAGTGTCTGCTGATTAACGCTTTTGCACCTCCTGCCACCTATAGCACATGATGCCCCGCCTCTCAGAGACTCTGGCTGCTCTCAACGCTGCCCGAGGTTGTTCTACCATTCACCAAGACTTTGACACTATGAGTGTCACGTCTGCCATGTCTGGAGTCAGCACCACCACACTCCAGGTATGAGGGAGTAAGGTAATGTGAGGACTCAGACTTAAAAGTAGTTTGTCGTCCAGGTATGTTTCCCATGCTTCTGCATAATGTTTAGAGTAGCATGTATCAAAGTTGATCTTGTATCCTGATAGGAGTATTGGCTGCACTTGTGAGCTGGAGAAGTTATTCCTTTTAAATGTATAAAATAAATGCAAAGATAATTGTGCCCCTGATTTAATTGGTGTATGTTATCTTGTAATTAAAAGTTGTTACATTAATCATTTTTCCTGTCAGTCCATCCGTGACCAGATGGCCACAAGTCTGGCTCGACTCAAGGAGTTGGAGGAGGAAGTGAAGACCATTCCAATGCTTCAGGTATATCCACATTATTCAAGGTTGAAATAAACTATTTTACATTTTAAATAAGGGAAGAGTAAGTAGAATACAGGTACAGGTATTTGTATATAATTAAATAATAGTAATTTCTCTTGTTATATATTTCTTTTTTCTTTTAAGAAAATAGTATTGTTATATATTTTGATTGTAGATGTATTAATAAGCTATATTATAATAAGCTATAAGAACCTGAAATTTTATCTGCAGATAAAACTCAATGTACTGAAAGAAGAAAAGCGACTGCTGATGCAGCAACTCAAGTTAATGCGCAAAGGCAGTGATGCTCCATTCTTGCTGCCACCCAGCTTAGATGGTGACCTTACTGACTTGTCTGAGGATGAATTAGAAGGCCGACTTGTCAGCCTAAAGAATGTTTGTGTCTCGACTACTCGAGCACCTCGGAGACGTAGCGAGTCACGTGAGTAATGAATTACACTGTTTTGGATTCTGAGTTAAACTTTAAAGCTACTAAAAAAAAATGCATATTATAATTTTTCTTTAAGGGTTTCTATTCATTTTAGGCAAGTGCCTCCCCACTGCCCCACCCCAATAAAGTAGAAAATGGGGTAATGATAATATTGTGTTTAATATATCATGAAGAAAAGAGAGATTGAAATATATATTCATGAGTAAATAAAGATAATCAACATTTTATAATTAAGAGAACATATTTTGGGGGAAATTAGCATGTGAAATTTTAAAAATTTTAATTAATTTAAGGTTGTTGTCCCTAAATAAAAATATGATCTTTTTGTTTGAATGAAAGCACATGTATAGAACTTTTTGCCACCTAAAATATCTAGAGTATGATTGGGCTTACTTTGTGTTGATCCCTGGGATCAAAGTCTGTGTGGCTCGGTCTCTGACCAGACCTGATTGGTGGTGTGGTCGACCAGAGTGTTGGATGCAGCTACTCATAGTCTGATGAGTAGCCCAGTTGATGAGGTATCCTTTAGAGGTATTTATCAAGTTCTCTCTTCAACACCATGAGAGGTTGGCCCCTGTTATGCTGCTTTTGTTCAGAGTGCGAGTGTTGAAAAGTCTTCGGCCCTTATTGTTATAAAATTGTCTCTTTGCTTACCTATTGCACATTTGTTTTTCAACAGGGCTATTTTCCAAGTGTAAATTATTATGTACAGGTATCTCTTGCTTTCTCTTTAGAAAATACAGTTTTAAAAATTTTAAGAGTCCCAATAATTTAGATGTTTTATTGAGTGGATTTTGCATGTTGATATATGCTAAACGCAGAAGTTGACATATTTGAAAGAAATTTAATGTTTTTATCATAATCTTGCAGCAATGCGGGTCAACTTGGAGGAGTTCCGTTCTTATCGCCGTGCCCGAAGGGGATCACTGTCGGAGGGCTCGGAAGCTGAATCAGTTCGCTCAGTAATTGAAGACACTCCACTTTTTATTAAAGAAGCTAATGATCATATAACTGACAGACGACTGAGTCTAGAGACTTCAAAAGAAACTCAAACATATCCTGATCAAGAAACATCGGTGGAAAAAAAATTAACTCACAGTTTGCCAAGTACTCCTTTGGTTTTGCGAAAAATCACAAGAGATATGTCAACAAGCTGTCGAGTTTTAACTAGAGATATTGGAGTTTCGCATGTGGGAATTCGAACCCGGTCAGTTGGGCTGACAACTGATAGAGCAGACACTGATAGAAAGAAAGAAATTAAGCCTAAACCATGCATGCAGTGCTATGAAAGAAATCGTAAAACATACGAGAGCAAAGGTGTTGGAACTCCATCAGTATCACATCCAGAAAAATTGAGGAAGTTGAGCATAAGTAGTGTGTCATTAGAGAGTGTTGAACCTGATAATATAGATTCTGAAAATAGGGACCCATTAGAAAAGGAAGGAAGCCCCAAAAATACTTTCTTGCGAAAACTTGGCAAGAAATCGGCAATCATAAGTCGTCTTTCTGAACCACAGCTAGCCCCTCCAGTTTTAACATTTGACAATTCAACCAACACTGACATAGTGTACAGAAGAGAGCAGCTGGTGAACACAAGTTTAAGCATGAGTGATTTTTGTACTAAAGCTGAATTAAATGAACACCTGGCTAAAGCTAAAACAGACTGGGAGACTGCAAGAGAAATACACGACCAAGTCCGAAGTATAGCACAGTCAATTAAGCCCCTCACTGTAGACAATGGTACCCAGGTCATAATTAATGATCCAAATTTAGCTAAAACAAAATTTCAGCCTCTTTTGCAAAGTATTGGTATCTTGGTTAAACCTCATACTGTGGATGCTGGTGTTGGGGCATCAAGGGTTTCAGACAACTTGTGTGAGAAATGTACAAATGTCAAAACACGATCTGTGGGTTCAGGGGAGGGGACCATAACAGGTGTTCTGTGTGATAAATGCATGTATATTAAGATTAGATCTGTAGCAGTAGGTGATTATAGATTAGCTGACACTTGGTGTGAAAAGTGTTCAGCAGTTCAAACTAGATCTGTAGGTTCCAGTAATGACAAAATATGTGATAGAATTTGTGATCGCTGTGACAATCTTCTAACTCGCTCAGTTGCTGTAGGCACCATTCCTGTTATTGATAAAGTGACAGAGAAAACTAAGTTGAAGGCAACTCCTAAATCATCTTCCTATGTTCAAACTAGTGGGCCAGAAATGTGTTCCACAGGAATAAATACTATGCCGTTGAACTTCAAGAAAGAAGAGCTTAATTTTGAAACTAGCGCAAGTCCCCCAAGCCCAGCACTTACCCCAGAGGTAGAACGACGATCATATGGTAGTTCTGGGGTACGAATTTGTGATAAGTGCCACGAAACCATTCATTCAGTTGCTAAAGACATTGTTAACACAAGTGGTACAGCATCTGCCACCACCCTTCCACCGTTGCCTCCTCAAGTGTCCAAAATTCCACGCCTAGTCGATCTCACCAAGGTGGAACCTAGATTAGATTTACCAAAACAAGAATTTAAAATAAGTGCTGGTCTTTCCACTAGTCTTGGATCAAGTCTATCAGAGTCCCAAATTTCAAGCCTTAACAGCAGTTTCATAGAGACTAGACCTTCTTCAGTGTTGACTCACACATCGGCAAGCATAGGAACTGCACACCCAAAACCAACAAAATTTGAACAGGCGTTAACTGCATCCAGTGAAACTTCAACACTAAAGTATAATCAGTCTTCTCAAGTCACTACAACTGAATCTTCAAAATCAACTCCAGGAGTAACTGTGGGCCAAGATGTAAAATCTGTCATGTCGGCACAGGTAGCTGTGACTAATGTGAGCCGTAGTGTGAAACACGAGCAAGCCCCAGTCTTGACAGTCACATCAGCTGGCTCATCCAAGGCTTCGTCGGGAATTCCCTCTGCAAACACTTCTCCTCAGGTGAGATTCTCAACTGCAGATTTTAATTATTTTAATTTTATTTTTGTTCAGCTACTGTTTATTCCATTTCAATGCTTTTTATGAGGCTTTGTTCATTGTCATAAAATTTAGGCTTTAAAAGGTTTTCCAATGAGAAAATTAAGGTATGGTCTATGGAACAGCATGTCAAGTCTCTAATTTCAGAGTACGCCTCAGGTCCATTAATTTATCAGCTAGTGTACTATATATTCACACGTGAGTCATCTCTCAAGATCATTCTCCATCACATTAATGCCATACAGTACATTTATACAAAGTCTTACCAGACAAGCTCCACTTTCCCTACTTGACTTATAATTGTAGTTGTTAAAACAATTTTGTTTTATTTTCCCACCCTTTCTATTTCGTATTAGCATTCCAGTAAGATGAAGTGAATCCAAATGTTTACACAAGTCATGCACATAATTTTGTCAAGATTACTCATTGGTCAAATACTGTAAAGTGCTGATATTGTCATCTAGTTGGTATCAGCAAAATCTGTTGAATTAATGTGTTCTCTTTCATTGAGAAATTTTATATATACAGTACATTTTTGTTAACATACTGTGTTGTACAATAACATCAACAGTTAAGAAACACTTGACCAGTATGATGGCTCCTGATACTATTTTGATCTTCTTAAGACAATTTAGCAGATTGACTTTAATTTTCCTGAGCCTTGATGCACTTGTTCCACCCATCTTAATGGAGTCTTAGGAAGATAGACATGTTGACATTGTAAAGACATTGTAAAAGTAGCCAGAGTGTATATTGATGAAAAAATAAATCAAGATTTACAGTACTCTAATCATTGAACAACCACTTGTAATAATCTAATCATATATCTTATCTTGGTCACTTAATCACCCAAGTTATTCGATGATCTACTCCATTGGTTTTTTAGTGGGCATTATTAAATAAGATACTGCCATAGTGACTTCAATGGTGAAAAGTGTGCATTAAAGAGGCACTCATTATGCAGTGTGTGGACTGGATTTGTCAGAGTTCATGCTGAAGGAACCACAAGTATTTAAGTTATTCCAGCAATGTATCCTGAGTGACTGCAGACATAGTCACCACAGCAGGACTGTATAAAGTCTTGACGCCAAGTAATTCAACTGCAGTAATAGAAGTTGTGGATGGAGTGTTGTGGCTATTTTGTGGCAATAATGCCCTAAATTATCTGCATTGATGACTAAAATTGTTGAAAGCATTTTGAACAGACTAAAAAAACTTTAGTTAAATATTAGGTGCTATTTTCAGTGAAGTCATTTAATATTTTCTGTAATTTCCAGAAATGGGATGTGGTAATAGTAAAGATAATGATCAGACTTCAGATATTAAGCTCAAAAACCCGATACATGTAAAGGTTCATGATACATGTGATGGCATCCCCTCGAAGGATGCGGCTCTATGTTGCACGTCCTATGAAAATAACCCTCTGATGCCAGGTGGTAACGATGCCGTCTCCAGTGTGAAGGACAAAATTGATGCTGCAAATGACATGCGCCTGAGTCAGACAAAACATGTGCATGAACTGGGAACTATGAACATTGTTGAAAATCCTATGAATGAGGTTCTTGGAAATGTGAAATTTGATGATATAGACAATATAAATGATAACAAAGAAGACACAGCTGACAACTTTCAGTCTGAGGATGAGTCTCTCCCAAGTGATCTTGAAGAAATGAGAATGGTACTTACGGAGATAATTAACAACGCTAATAATTACCTCAGAGAACAGTGGACTACAGATTCAGAACAAATTGAAAGTGAAGATGTAAGTGGAAATTCAGGGGGGCTTGGAACACACAAATGTGGTATGTGTGTTGTTATTACAGTAACTGTTTGTTGTAACAGGAGCATAGATATGCTTGTGTTGTTTCACATATACTGTACATTCAACATAAATATACAGTGGGGCCTCGATTTATGATGGTAATCCATTCCCAGAGACGTATCGTAAGTCGAATCGATTTTTCCATAAGAAATAAAGGGAAATGAATTAATCCATTCCACAACCCCTAAAAATATTAACTTAAAAATACATTTTATACTGAATACATTTTTTTCTCTAACTACAATACAGTACATATGTTTATCTTACCTTTATGGAGGACTCTTGATGGCGTATGGAAGATGGTAATGAGGGGGGAGAAGAGTTGTTACTGTTTAGAAAGGGATTCCCCTTCCATTATAACGTCAGGCAGTTATGATTTCTCTGGGGTACACTCTCTCCTACGCTTTGCCTGCATACCGTTAGGACCTGGTTGTGTTCGCCGCTTGTCTGTTTGTCTCATTAAAAAATTTGTTTAGCGACACTTGTTTTTCCCTTCGTTTTAACATTTGTCTGTAGTAATGCATCACATTGAAAAGGTTAAGGCAACGGCCTACTACAGATTGCTCTGGGTGAGTCGTTTCAACAAAAGTTTGCATTTCTTCCCACATTCTACGTAACTTCCTAATTGTTGAGGAAGGGACATTCTGTACTGCCTCCTCCTTCCCTGAAGAAATTTGCTCGGCTGCCTCTATGGTCATCCTCACATGTGTTTTCATATGTTGAACCTTACCACTGACTTTTTTTGGGACCCATGGCGTGATACATAATAATCAGTTTTATGTTCAAAAAGCAAAAAATCACCCCAAAAAAAATGTAATTTCTTATAAGCGTGATCGTCACTAAGCGGGCGACTCTAGTAAACCGAGGCAGGTCAGCTCATTACATTCAAAGCTTTTTTTTTTTTTTTTGTTACATAGTGGGATGAAATGGATGAAGAGTGGCTGATTCCTGGTGCAACGTATGTTTGTATAAGCTTGCATTAGTGAGAATAGTAAGACCAGGAAAGGCACGTAATTTTAGCAATGTCAAATTATTTATGACATTGAATTTTTATTCAAGATCATAGTTATAATTCTTTTTAAATTTCTTAACTGCATTGTTCTACTTTGAAATTTGCTTAATTTCCAGGTGAAACGTGTGCCATATACACGACAGCAGACATACACCAAGTATGCCGAGGGGTTGATCAACCTTGGGTTCGATGAGAATACTGGCAAGGAGGAAGCCAAGGCTCAGAGGGATAAGAAAAAGGAAGACTCCACAAAAGTACTTTCAAGCATTACAGAAAACAACAATACCATTAATACAAAGAAAGTTGAGAAAGTGGAAAAAGAAAAGAAGGCATTAGATTTGAAGAAAGATGAAAGCAAGACCTTGTAAGTATCATTGAGACTCACTACTTGTGACAAGACTGCAAACAAGTTTGAAATTTGTTATTTAACAGAAGTCAATGAGTAGATAGTAACAACACCAACAATTGTCAGTGAGCCATTAACTCAAGTGGGTAATCTGAAGAGTTTGAAGCTGGCAAAATGTAAATACTGTAGTTGACAAATTTATTATTAATTTATATGGTTTATTAAGCATTTTTTAAATACAGAATTTGATGTGCTGCAGTGATTTGGTTTGAGCCACTGACTCACAACTGATTGGCCCTGGGTGTTTTGGCACTCCTGTAATAGAATGCTCGAGGAGTGTGTTTGGTGAAGCATTCAGATGCTTTCCCATTTCAGTATTTGCTGGCTTTTTGCAGGGCTACAGAACCTGAACCAATCATTCAAGGCAAGACAGTGAGTGATGCTCACTCTCAGTCCTCCAGCGAGTCTGAAAATGAAACATGTGATGATGAGTCACTGATGGGGGCATCAATCATCTCACAGCCAGATGATCATGCAGCTTCATTATCCTTCCAAAGTTCATCATCACTGTACACAGCTACCAGTGAAAAGAGCAGAAAGAAGTAAGTGTTAATTGTAACAGGACTTGAAAGTTGGGTTAGTATTGACAGTGACACTGTTTATGCACCTTTTTGTTTTTCTGGTTTTCGATCATAAGAGATGACTACTGGAGTGTGGTGGTACATGTTCATCCTCGATGCTATATACAGTACTGTAGTGTGAATGAATTGAATAATGGACAAGTGATAATTTTTAATACAGTATCTATCTTGAGGTGATTTCGGGGCTTAGTGTCCCCGCGGCCTGGTCCTTGACCAGGCCTCCTTTTTGTTACATATCCCCAGGAAGCAGCCCGTAGTAGCTGTCTAACTCCCAGGTACCTATTTACTGTTAGGTGAACAGAAGCATCAGGGTGAAAGAAACTCTGCCCATTTGTTTCCGCCTCCACCGGGGATTGAACCCAGAACCTCGGGACTACGAATCCCGAACACTGTCAGTCCGCTTTCTATAACATTCCTTCACTATACACAGAGAGTAATCAAACTAACGTGACTGCATCAATGAGAAAATCTATAGGAGCCGTGATGAGGATTTGAACCTGTGCACTGGGTGTTCCCAGGCACACACACTAGTCAACTAGGCTGCGACATGGTACACAAACAAATACAGTATATCTTATTGTTTTACTTACATCAAGTTTATAATTTCCTTTTTAGATTGTAATACTCAGATTTTTTTTATTATTTTTTGTGCAAGATCCAAATTATATTAAAATATTGTTAATTACAGAGCTGTACCATCAAGAGAAATGAAAGCTGCACTAAAGGTTGTCAATGATTCCATTGGCAAACCTGTTCGCTCGGGTCAGCAACTCACTAATGCCCTCAATATCATACAAAGAGAATGGTTCAAGGTAAGTAAAGTTTACATTATATATCCATATACATAATTTCCATGATATAAATAAAAAGTTACATGAATTTTGTTTTCATTTTGCTTATACAGTACAGTATATGAATGCATACATGTAAGAAAGATTGTAAATTTATATTATTTGATAGGTCTCAAGTCAAAAGGAAGCAGATCCCCATGCTGTCGAAGACTATATGGATGTTTTTGAAGAATACTCCAAGGGTCTTCTGCAGCGAGTGGTCAATCTCAGTGATGTTAATGTGAGTCTGTTTTATCTGAACAATAATAATCAAGGGAAATAATCATAAAATGTAGCTTCTTGAGGTTATCTTGAGATGATTTCGGGGCTTTTAGTGTCCCCGCGGCCCGGTCCTCGACCAGGCCTCCACCCCCAGGAAGCAGCCCGTGACAGCTGACTAACACCCAGGTACCTATTTTACTGCTAGGTAACAGGGGCATAGGGTGAAAGAAACTCTGCCCATTGTTTCTCGCCGGCGCCTGGGATCGAACCCAGGACCACAGGATCACAAGTCCAGCGTGCTGTCCGCTCGGCCGACCGGCTCCCTAAACTCCCTCGACCAGCTTGGGAAAAGGGAAATCTTATTTTGTGAATTTGAAATTTGGATTTTGTATTTAGATACAAATGAGGTAGTTAATAGTTACGAAGATATCCACATAACATATCCAGTGTTCTACTGTCTTTGCAGACAAACCGGGATGATTTATGAAGGCACCACCCAAATTTCATAGTCATAAAATATTAATCTTTGCTTCTACAAGTAGCTTTTTCAACATTCATTCTCTTTCAGGGGAACACGGCAATGCACTATGCAGTTTCACATGGAAACTTTGATGTTGTCTCTATACTACTGGACTCCAAAGTGTGCAACATTAACCATCAAAACAAAGCAGGCTACACAGCTACCATGTTGGTGTCTCTTGCACAGATTCGCTCAGAGGCTCACGCAAGTGTTGTTCAGAGATTATTCCAGCTTGGCGACGTCAACATTAAAGCCAGCCAGGTGATTTACCTTTCAGTCTGGTAAAGTAAAATTTGTTCACTAAGAAATGAGAGTACAAAGATAAAAACTAAATATTGAAACCCCTTATGAGTAAATTAATGTGTGCAGCTGACAAAGGAATGTCTTCATGATGAATCAAGCTTGTAAAATGATGTTGTGAAAGCTTTGAAGCATGATGAAAGGCTTAATTCTTTTTGCTTCATTTGAACAAGTTGAATTCAAACTGAATGACATTTGCTGCACTTCTTTCACACCATTTAGCTGGGTAGATGAAAGAAAGAATTGATAGGATGAAGGCTAAAGGAGAAAAATATACAAATTAGGGTAATGGGTATAATAAAAAGCTCCATTCCGAGCTGGTCCTTTGAATGCTTCTTGAGCCAGAGCCTGTATGGTCCTTTCATTACTCCTATTACCCACTTGACTCTTATTGACCTTGTTACTATTGTGACAAGAAATTTTTTAAATGGTCTTTTGATTTAAGAACAGGGAAGGGAACTCTTAGGAGAAAGTGCTAAGCCATTACGACTATATAGCACTTGGAAAGGGTCAGGAAAAGGATTTGGAATGGGACGGGGAAAAGGAATGATGCCCAAACCACTTGGATGGTCAGGAAAGAAGACAGTGACTAGTCTAACTCAACCCACCACCAAGTGGCCACCTCACATTAAGACTGAAGAGAGGTAAATACTCTCAACACCCCGTAATAATAATAATTAGAAATGCAAAGAGAACCAAATATCACTCTGTTAACTACTAGTTAATAATCAAAATTTACTCCAGAAACTACCAGGTGATAAAAACTTGCTACAATACAGTCGATATAGCTGGCAAATCCCTCTTATTAAAGTTCAGACCACCAAAGTAAGTTCAGGAAAGATGGGTAAAAAGGGCTGGAACAGGAGCATCTAAGGGACTGGCTCAGAAAGTAATATTTCAGTCTACATGACATACAATTTCTCGGCTAAGATCTGTTCGATGATCCATGAGCCAACTTTCCATGACGTACAATGATATAAAAAACCCAGAAAGAAACAATAATGTAAGGAAGCTTAACCAGGCAAGAGAATGACCACAGGGTAAAACAGCACTGGTTCAAGAGAACCCAAAAACGAGGCACCCAAATTTACTTTGCATTTCTAATTATCATTTGCTGGTGGTGTGAAGGGTATGAATGTCTTGTTGTGAGCTGGTTGCTCATGGGTGGCTTCAGCTAGACCCAACACTGTACAACATGCCTAAATTACATACCAAGACCATTTGAGAAGTTCCTTGTTATGGTGGGGAACAAAGTTGGCACATTCCTGATGGACGATATGAGTTCGTGGAAGAGTATATAAGCTCTACCTGAGGAAGTATCCAAGAGGACTGTAGGTCAGAATCATGCAATATGTGTTTGCTGGAGAGACATATAGTATATCAGCTGGTATGCTTTTCAAAAGACTAAAATTATATATGAACTCTAAATATTTAAATTATCCATGGGAGGGCAAGGAGCACAAAGTGAATATTCTTTGCCCTGACAATACTACATGCATGTTGCTTTGGTTCTTTTGTGCTAGGCTAAATAAGGAAAGGTTTTGTAATATCTGCTAACTGATGGAGAAATTAAAATTGTTATTGCACTTTTCTCATGTAATGGACACAAATTACATTTGCTGTAATTTTTATTTGAAAGTTTGTGTTTTTATTATGGTGGTTATTCATGTAGGTAAAGAAGTGACTCATTGCACAAGAACATTGATTCACCAAGATTCACTCTCGGTCGATCAAGACTTAGATTTTAATGACGATGAATGAAAGAATTAATGAATATTTGATGCAGTAAGCCATTTTTTTTAACTCATTACCTCAGATTTGTAAATCATTACTGTACTATGACAGGATTATTTGCTTCATTAATTGACTTTACTGTACTAATGTATAGTGTAACCTTGCTTTTAAGTTACTGATAAACCTGGGCATCAAAGTTCAGGATAAATATTAACCTTTCATGTAACTCATATAAATGCATTTGTTGCTTTGTTAATAGCATGGACAGACTGCCCTTATGCTGGCCGTGTCCCATGGTCGACTAGACATGGTTCGGATGTTAGTTGGTGCAGGAGCAGAGATTAACATCCAGGACGAGGACGGCTCAACGGCGCTCATGTGTGCGGCAGAACACGGCCACCTAGCCATTGTTAAGTTCCTCCTTGTCCAACCTGATACTGATCCTACACTCATGGACAATGTAAATTAATTTAATTTTGCTATTAGCTTTAAACATTATATATACACTATTGATAATTACAAGGTTTCTCAGCTGGTGTATAAATTAGGCAAAGCAGTAGTATTAGCTCTCATGATGACCAAACCCACACACCAGAAGATGAGGAGACAACGACGCTTCGGTCCATCTTGGACCATTATCAGGGCAATTGTGATTTAGTCCGTCCTGGACCATTATCAAGTTAAAGACAATCGACTTGATAATGGCCCAGGATGGACCAAAACATCGTCTCCTCATCTTCTGGTGTGTTGTTTGGTCATCATATCTTCAGCCACATTATTGTGACTCATCATCTGCATTAGCTCTCATTATACAAATTAAATAATAAAAATGCTAGCTAAATCTAGGTACAGTATTATATATCAAAGAGGGTTAGCTACGTTTGGATATTCTTTTCATTTTCTTATTGAGTAATACAGTGGAGTGTCATTGATCCAGAACAATGGGAACCAATCAATTTCAGGATGGTTTAAATTTTCCAGTTTACTGATACCTGGTACCAGGATGTTACTGATAACATGACTATTACATTACTATTTTCTTGAAAACCTCTCCAAGGAATCCATACCATTTATAGCTTAACAACTCCTGTGGCAAAGTGGCAGCACACTCACACCATGCCTCATGAGGGCTTTTGGCCAGGTTCATGCCCCAGACAGGCAGGGTTGACTGGTCCCTCATTCTTCACTGTTTGCTCCTGTTCATCCAACAGTAATTGGGGACCTGGTTGTAAACTGATTGGCAAGTTCTGTTCCAAGAAAAGTCATGGCAAGGTAAAGTGCTTACCTTGTTAACATGAGTCACAAGTTGTGACAAAAAAATTGTAAACAATTCTACCACTTTTATTTTACACAAAGACAAAATTTTAAAAATCTAGAATATATTGATGAGAAAATAATAAATATACAATACGGTAATGTAAATGTCTATTTATCTAGATTCAAATCCTTGAATGGATCAGATGAAATGTTACAACTACTATACAGCCTATGGCTTATCCAGTTTGTCGTAAATGTAGCTCGATTTGGGGAAGCAAGAGATGTGCATGGTGCTGCTGCCTGGTAGTGAATGGTGACTGGCACAGGTGGCCATGCAGGTCAACTAATATCTAGTACAAATCCTCTTTAGGTGGCTTTTATGAATGGAGCTCAATTGGTCGTTCTCGGCTAAATGGAATGCTCTCTAGTGATTACTTAAACTTCTATAATGAGCCTGAGGGAACTGTTTGAGAACTTCCATGTCGTGCTAGTAAAAGCTATCAACAAAGCAGCACCAACATTGGGACCTACTGATTCTGATTATGGAACATTTTGCAGATTTAAGATTTTTGTTAAATACAGTACTGTATATGTATTGAAATAATTGTTCTCTATGGGAGCTTCTGGTTAATCAAAGTTCAGATTACTGATGCTCCATTGTAATACAAGGTGCTGTACATGTACCTTATTGATTTCCAGTACTTTTAATAGTATGATCTTGCCCTTACTTTTTGGCTTAAAAATTTATATACTGTATTTTTTTACTCATTTTCATATTTTAATTGCCATCAACATTACTCTAATATAAATTGGAAGATATTATGATGCGTTTGGAGTAGATTGGATTGTCAGTGATACTGGTACTGTAACTAATCAAGTTCTCCAATTCAGGACGGCAGTACAGCTTTGACCATTGCTGTAGAGGCTGGCAACAAGGATGTAGGCGTCTTACTGTATAAACATATGAACCTGTCCCGTGGATCTTCACCATATTCTTCTGTTCGGTGAGTACAAATATTTGTTTGATCATATTGGTTTTCATCATAGGAGTAGGTAGGGGGGAAGGGGGGACTTGGAATGGAGACTTATCTTCCCAAAATTTCTTCCTATTTAATGTTAAAAATAGCATCATATCTAGGGCCTGCATCTGCCCAGGCCCCAGAAAGCAATTTTTCATATGATTGTTTGAAATGTAAGAGGAATAAATCAGGAACAGAGTAAGTTGGATATAGCACGAATTTTGCAGATGAACAGATGGAAAGTACATGCACAATATTCTATGTTTATACGAGACAAAGGTAAAATAAAATAATAATGAAGTGTGGATTGCAGTAAGTGCTACAAGAATGGGAGTGAAAGTAAATCAGAAGTTAAGTAGGAATATTACTGTTCATGAATAAAACCAGTGCTTAATGTAAAGAAACGCCTATTTTTCCTGGTGGCTTCCCTTTGCTATCTCACCACAGAGAATATAATACAAGGGGAGCTCACCAAGGGCAGGGGTGAACAGAAGTCAGGGACAAGTCACCCTACCAAAAGACAAGGCCCAGTGTGGACCAGGAACATTGATGAGTTAGCAAGCATTGTGTTGGACTGCCAAAATCCTGAGGCCAAATATCAGCTTGTAACATTTGAAAACACAGCAGACAGAGCCACAAACTTGAAAACACCATGAGCTCGAGGGTAGACCACAGGTTGACTAAACTTGATAACACATCGGATGATCTGAGAGAAACGGGCCCTGGAGCAAGAAACCAGGTGCTCTGGGAACACAAACAAAGCATCACCTGATGCAGCACTAGTGGTTCAGAGGTAGCGACGAGCAGCCACAAGCAGACAATGAGTCACAATAACGTGGCTGAAGATATGAAGACTAAACCACATGCCAGAAGATGAAGAAAAGACGACGTTTCAGTCTATCCTGGACCATTATCAAGTCGATTGTGATGGGAGCGTGGGAGGAACAGGCTTTAAGTAAGGCAAAAGAGAGAGGTGAGGAGGAGGAAATTCCTAGAGGAAGGTACGAGCAAGGCAAAAGGTACGTATGGGATGGGTGTAAGAATGGGGGTAATAATTATACCCAATTCTTACACATTTTTTTTATGTATTGCATTCTTGCACCCCATTTTAACATAATGGGTAATATTTATACCCATTATTACCCCTATATGTGATATTAATGTGTGATAATGGACCTATTACTAAGATTACTAAAATTACTATTTTACAGAGGCAGTTAAGTTATATACAAGACATACAAATGGTATGGTATATGCAATATACTCTGCTATGAATGACATTCTAATTGTATTGTTACGAGGCAGCATTAACTTAGGTTATACAGGCTGGGATCAAATTAGGTTAAGTAATATAGTGTGATAAGCTGGGGGTCAAGTTAGGTCAAGTAGCCAAGTAGTATGGTATGACAAGAGAGGGAGGGTCAAGTTAGGTTAAGTACTATGGTTTTATAAACAAATCCACAAGGGCCGTGATGAGGGTTCGAACCTACTTCTGAGATGATCCCAGATGCGCCTGAGTCAACTGGGATCTTAGTCGAAACATGTCTGGGATCATCCCGAACGTAGATTCGAACCCTCATCACGGCCCTTGTGGATTTGTTCATTTGATGCATCATGCTACTGTGATTTCTGTGTGTATGGTTTTATATTTTTCCAAAACATGTAATTTTTCAGCCCTATACTTTAAACTTTAGTCAAATTACCTGAAACAAATACCCATGCATTCAAACGTTATTACCAAAAATGTAGCACCATTATATTGCTTTATTTGTGAATTGCAAAACATTCTGACAGCCCTTCATGGTTCTCAATAAACAATATTTTTGTAAGGGTAATATCAGACTTTACAGTTTGTATTTGCATCCATGTTAGAGTAATAACACAAGCTGAAGCAGCACTGTTTGGAGCTCTCCAGCAGACCTCTAGCCAGGTTAGACCATTAAATTGCATGGCCATTAACACTGAATGAATAAGCAAGAATTCAAGTATTGTACTGTAGTATATTATTGTAGAGACTCGAGTTCTACTCCCATGGAGTTAGAGAAGGAAATGAAGAATAATCAATGTTACATTTTACAGCGAAGATGTGATAAACAACATGAAGATAAGGTGTGTTCACAAAGAAGCATGAACTAATTTATATATATAAAAATAAGAGATACAATACCAGAAAATCTGAAAATTTACCGATGTTCTTACCATAGTTTCTGATGCATACAATTTCTATACTCCATAGAATCAAAAGATCTCGTACACCCACTATGAGTAGATCATCGGTGACTCCTCCTCCTCGCTCATCAGCACCGTCCTCTCCTGGCCGCTCACGAAAATCCTCAGCTCCTCCTTCTCCAGGGCAATCCAGACAGAACTCAGCCTCTCTCTCTAATCTATTGATTTAAATGGAATATTGATCAACACTCATAGATTGGTAACTAATATAATATGCTGTATAGTATTCAGAATTTAGCAATTTTTCTCAATTAAAATTCCACATTTTAGGCTTTTATATTTTTGTTAAGCAAAATTTCTTTTGGCTCAAACATTTTAAAATAAGCCTTTTCTGTGTTTCAATGTGATCAGCGACAAGAATGATTGGAAGATATCTTAAAATTTAAATGCATTAAACCCCTTTCTGTTTTGCATTGGTGTATCATATCTTAATATTTACACAAGATGTTTTATCTGTTCAATAAATGTATTGGTTAATTCAGGCAAATGTTTAGCTGGTATAGTATGAAAAGCATTTTGGAAGAGGTATGCGACTTACTTAAACATTTACTTTAAACAGTAAATTATTGGCTAACTTATATTAGTTTTCAAGAAAGTACAACAATATTAGTTTTTTAATTATTTTAAATACTAAAGATTTCATATTTTTAATTATCTGAAATTGTTAAGAGACTGTCTAGCTTCATATTTTCAAGTATAATTTACTCATACAAATACTGTATACAGTAGTTTTAAAACAATAATAAGAAAACATGCCAGTATTATTGTTTTTACCTGAAGCTAATACAGTTGACCCCCATATATAGCATGTGTTAACATAATGCAGGTTCCAATTAGTGACTGAATTTAAATAGGACGTGCAATTATTGTTTAGTACACTCTCATAGCACCCAGTTTTTTAGGAGTTTTTCTACAGCATTATATGAGTCAACTGTATTTTTAATGTTCATTTGTATGCAAATAATACAGTTTACATATATAAAACAATCGGGCATGAGAGATGCTGTGGTATACAGGAGTCTCGAATTAAGTTAGAGCGACTACTTACCGAGCCTCAGAAACACCATACAGTACTGTAAACAAAATTACATGATGTTTTTATTGTAACGCAGGCAGCAACTTACGATGGAAGCCATGAACAGCAAAAATTGTTGCAAATTTTTATGACTCTTATTATGCCTTATTTTGATGAATGTACAGTACAGTATTTTTATTGGGAATTTAGCTGTTTTTGATAGTGATTATGTTATTTATTAATACAATTTTATATGCAATGTTATATTCAAAATTAACACTAAAATAATTTTGAGGCATCACTAAGGTAAACATTTGTTGAACCTATAAAATATTTATTTAAATTATTTTAGATAATTGTTAATAAAAATGTTATCTGAAAGGGCTTTATTGTAATTTTTCTTAAGAGTGCTGGCTTCTGACATGTTATAACAATAATAAATTAGTAATAATAATAATAATAATAATAATAATAATTTGATTTATATTAAGTATATTTGAAATATGATACAGAAGAGTATTCTTTGGTACACAATTGATGCATTTTATATAAAGCCGCTGTAATATGCAAAACATTTCAGGCATAACTTAACATAAATAGCTAGACATAGATAAATTAAAGGTCATGGCAAGAGGATTTTTATTATGAAAAAGGTTTCAGTTGGAGTGAAGATTTTAGCACAAATTTATATACAGAATTTCCGTTATAATTTATGACATAGAAAGCAAACATGGTTTTAGTCAAAGCAGTTTTAAAGGGTTATGAAGGAACAAAATCAGTAGTGAATACTCTACTGTAACTGGTCATGTGGAAGCCTTTTAGTAAAACAAATAGCAATCAGATGTTCAGTAACACTGTGATGTGTGGGATCTGTGAAATGTTAAATGAGCTTTATGTGCAAATATTAACTCAGACCAGTTAAGTGGAATTGCTTGAATGTCTAAATTGTGTTGCTGTGTCTGCAATAACATTGTGTTGCAATATGCTTATATATGTAAGCTTAATTAACACTTTTGATAAGTTTTCAATATCAGAAATTTATAATAAATTTTAAAGCAGTTTTAATTATATTTTTGCTAAACAAGTACAGTTCATAGGTTAAGAAACGACTGAAAATGGTTTATATCACTGTTATCGTGTCCTCTTCTACATGTTGTATATTTTACAAAGATTATGTTGTTAGTCATTTGTAATACAGTACAATATTCAAAGAAATATTATTGTGTAATTAAAATTATATATTTATTCAATAAATAGTTGTTTTAACAGAAAAATTAACTGAAAAATTAATTCAATTTATGTAATTTTTATTTTTTATATATAAAAAATTACAATACTGTACATTATTATGCACTACTCACAAACTTAGCGTATATGTTATGTGACTGAAGATGAATTTGACTTGAATCCGCCAGCAAGTGGAAGTGCAGACCACATCTTGCTGAACAGCAGAAGGCAATATTCACATTAATATGCCTGTAAATAGCATTATGAATGATTACAGATAAGATGCACACTATTGATGGACTTGTCTAACCCATTTGAGAATAAAATAGACAAAACAAAGCCAGGTCCATCAAACATGCTGCTGCTGCCTTCAAAGCAAAAGATATTAATCAAGTGTGCAGACGTAATTATGTAAATATAATGCCTTCTTGAGAATGTGACGTGCCAGATACCAAGACTGGCTGTTGTTGTTGTTGTTGTTGTTAAAGATTCGCTACTTGGAACAAGAAGTTCTAAGTAGCACGGGTTATGGTGAGCCCGTGGGTTCTGGCACTTTCCTTGTTAAGGTAAATAATTTGACTTATAGGTTGTTATACATATAATTTATTTTTGGGCCTAGATGTGAATTGTATAAGAGGTGAAAATGATGCTGAATATTAAAATAACTACAAGGACATATGATAATGTTATAAAGTCACAAGATACCAATTAAAACTAGCATTATGCCATGAAGAAAAGTAAGAAATTGGACATTTAAAACCCAAACTAAGTTAATCCTTCAATATTTTTTACACTGGAGATGACGTAAAAAATGTGAATTCGGAAATGGATGGTGGAACTGACACCATACTAAGGCAACTCATCTGTAGGTCAGCAGTGTGGTATGGGGGAGAATATAAATATCACTTGGACAGTTGAGTTAAATCACTGTATTTGGCCACTAACTGGGTGAGGTACAACATGGGCAATCACTCCTTTGACTTGAAAAACCTCAATGAGTGTATATTCCTATACAAATGTAATGATGCCAAGTTAAGACAACTCACTCGGGATGATGCAGTATTGACACCATACTAAGAAAACTCACTTTATACAGGACAATATAGAAGAGTAACTAAATATAACTGAATTATGTTCATTTCTTTTTACCAAGAAACATACTTGGAGTACTGTGTTATTCTGAGATTCACATATGATGATGTTTCCCTAGCGGTAAATTAATACCTGGGAGTTAGACAGTTAAACAGCTGTTGTGATTTGCATCCTGGGAAAAGTCAGTGCTTAGTTGGTCTAGGGTGACCTTGATGAGCTTAACCCCTGCACTGCGCAAAGCGCCTTTAGGCGCTCTGAGAGTTGCTATTTTTTTTTAATTAGGCTATACAGTTTTTTTAATGTTTTCATTACTCTGTGTTTTTAAATGAAAATAGTTGAGTTTGGAAACATTTTGACATTAAATTTACCTGAATATTTATGAAAACAACAAGAATATGTCCTTGACAATTGCCCCAAGAAGTTTTTGCCGAAACCAGGTCCGCAGTGCAGGGGTTAAAATGCTTCCTCTCCCCGACAATGGAAAACCAAAAGCCTTATCATATTGTGCTTCTTGTGAAACATTTATTGTCGACATATGGTCATTTATATTTTACTCTCCGCCAATTTTTATAACGTCAATAGTGCACGGGTAGCGTGTACCTATGTATGAGTTTCTAAAGATGGAATGCAAGAGATTACTACAATAATCCCTTGCAGTATATGTAACCTTTGAAGGTGTAGGAATGAGCATCTCAGTAATGTCAGCCTTATTATAACATTAGTTTTTTTTAATATTCATTATGAACTAAATTTTCAGTTCTGATCAAATGTTTACATTTTGCGATAAAATGTTTTTATTTATATATACTGTACTTTTATAAATAACTGTTATTTTTTTTTGGTAACTTACAAGTGGTGAACAGGTGTAATGTCCTGAGAGGGATAGGGAGCCTGTAGCTTATGAAATGTCATGTACATTGAATATGATAAACTACTGCAATGTTATTCACTATACATTATTATAGTACTGTGTATGATATATGCATTGTAAAATGTTTTGTAAATTATATTTTGTAGAATCAAATCTGGAACATTTATTAATAGCCTATGGCCAAAACCTTTGTATACTCTTTAGTCTTATAAGATGTATACTTCGAGTGATCTGTAAATTATACCAGCTTGAGGAAAGCCTTAGTTCAGTGCTTGATGGGGTTCTGGGAGTTCTTCTACTCCCCAAGCCCGGCCTGAGGCCAGGCCAGTGCACCCCGAAGGCTTTCAGTCCTACATTATTTGCTGCAAATGATAATCTTCACCAAATTATGAAGGCTAGTCAGAAATTTACAAAAACCCAGCTTTGAGAAAATCAGTTTTAGTAAACATTCCACACACACATTCCATGTATAATTAATTATTGTTATTTTTGGCAAGAAGCTTTAAAATACTGATGGATATTTTTAACAAAAAGTAAATAAATGTCTTTATTAGAAAACTGCGTTAACAAATTTTGTAACACGAGTTTAAGAGAAAGAAATGTGAGGACTGAAATATTATATTATACATTAACACGATTTGTGATATGACTACTGTAGTGAAATGTCAAGTGACATATACTCAATGTCAATATTGTTAAACAAATTTATGTAATCACACTGTACATGTTAACTAATTTTATTAAAGTTTTTCATATACCGTATATAACTAGTAAATGTCACTTGAGTACTAGTATGTAAAGGTACAAAATAGCTTCTTGAATTATAGTTGTATGTAATTTTTATGTATACAGTACATTTTGTGCTCATTATTATTATTATTATTATTATTATTATTATGATACTTAAGAGGCCTAAAATTGTTTTGTCATTAGGCCATAGCCACAGTGTGAGTTATTCTTGGTAGATTTTGTTTTGTTTAATTGTCAAATTAAATTAAAAAACAAATTACAAATTAATTTTACAAATGTACAAATTAATTTTACTAAACTTCAAAATAGTAAATTTGGGCCTTATACATAACTGTTTGTTTTAACAAAGTATAGCTAAAATAACATAGCTTAATACAGAACTGTATATGGGATGTGTCAAGGTACGTCAGTGCACCTTTGCTTCATGCTGAAAATCTTGACACTTGAAAATATTTGGCACTTGCAAAACGCCAAACATTTTCGACTATATAGTATTTGGATGGGATCAAGATAAGGATTTGGAGTTGGATGGGGGGAAAGGAATGGTGTCTAACAGGTGCAAAGAATTATTTTAGTGTTCCAAATAAATAAATTATATGTATGTATATATATATATATATACACATACATACATACATACTGTATTTGTTATTGAAAATTTCATGTTGTGCGTGCAAGTACCCCATGAAGGCTTTCACATACTGTACTGTAATACATAGATATAAGGCATTACTGTTCTAAATTTATAATTTTATTTATATTTTGAGCTTATTTCATGTAGAAGTTCAGTATTGCCAATACCTGATTGTCTTCGTAATTAGTTTGTAACTTTATTTTAAAGATTACCCTATTTGTAATGTTTCACATTGCCTTTTTCTGCCTAGACTATCAACAAGACTATACAGTACTATATACAGTCTATGAAATACATCCTATCTATTTATTAATTAGTTAGACCCACTCTCACCTAAAGGAGTGGCCTTATGTAGAATCTTCCCCCAGACATTTCAATGGCCTTCGAATGTCATTTTAAGGAAAGCCTGACATGTTTGGTGAAAGCTTGAAAAGCCTGTTTGCGAAAGATTTCCATGCGGTAGTTTGTTTACCATACAAATGAAGCATCTGCCTCCTGCTTATTATATCAAACAGGAATGTGTTGAAAGGAAGCAAAGGGTTGGAAAGTGAAAAGAAAAAGCACAAATCAAGTGACATTAAAAAGGATAATAGGAAAACAATATTTGACGAAAGGACATTGTATGTCAAAAATATTGTACTTTATCCTACCGAAAAGTAGCAGTGCTATAATGTGCGTATATCCAAAGACAACCACATAAGATTGGGACAATAAGGGCTCTTCTTTACTACTCCCATGGTTGAGCTTCCATAAGCAGCTGAGGCCAACTGATCTACTACCAGTTCCTATTACCACAATCATATTTAAAGCTGGAAACCACAATGGAAATTTTCCAGTTGTTTGTTTAATCATCTTGGCTTTAAAGTGTTAAAGACTTAACAGCAATTGTGGATTCTGTGAGAATTTTATTATATTAGTATGATCACATAAATGGTATTATTATATAATGACACTTCTGAATGTTTAATATGGAAGAATACTGTATACAGGAGGAAATAAAAAAAACTTAAGATAAAAAGTGAATATGGTCATGAAAAAGACAAGCAATGGAATTGTATCTTCTGTCTATACTTAGTTACCATAAATACTCATAATGCTGTTACATTTGGAAACAAATTACTTGCAAAATATGCTATAAATATTGAATACTGCCAAGTACAGTACTAAATGATGCCATCATATTTGGTGACATGCAGGGTGTTTCAAGTGTGTGGTTGCTGGAATTATAGCAAGCTTTGCAAATACTCCTAATTTTGTTTGAAGCAGAAATGTATTGAAATAACAATCTCTTCTTATTGTTATATTCTTCAATAACTCTTGGCCTCTCTATGACAAGAACAGATTTGAAATGCCCCTTCAAACACTTTATAGGTAAATTTGGGGTTGTGGAGTGACCTCCCCAAATCTTTGGCCTATCACATTTTGAGTTTTGTTAGTGGCAGCATTTGACATTTGCTGTTTACACATAGACACTGCGAACTATTGAGAAATTAATAAATGCGAAAAGATTGGAGCTTCAGCCTATTTATATTTAGAGTCATGAGTGCTCTGCTATCTTGCAATCTTTTCTGTCCCTAGACATTTTAAACACCTTTATATATTTTAAGTGTTAATGCTCAAGTTTAATATTCTTTGGAAATTTTTTCATTAGGTCTGTAATGTATAGGCACCATAAAAAGATCCAGTCATTATGTTTCATGTTACAATAAAATATGGAGTCAATATTTTATACTTTAAAATTTAAAACATTGATATTTGATAAGCTGTATCTGCCTTAAGACATAAAAACTTGACATGAGTAAGTAGGTAATGAATCATTTTGTTATTTTGAACTAACCATTAAGTGTCAGTGAGTGCTGCTTACCATTAACTTCTTAAAGTATTTGATAAATAACAGTTTTTATTTAGCAGCTACATCAAGAGCTTTCATTGAGAAATTAATATTTAGTTCCTACTGAATAGCTTTGGGCTTGCATCTAAAACATTACTCCACTTACAAACCTTCATGGTCAAATATATTGAGATCCCTTAACATAATTTACAGTGTTATGTTTGAACTTGCACAGGCTTACCTAGTTCTGGTATTAACTGAACAAAGCTGTGTTAAATTGAAAATAAAGGCAAACCCCTTTTTTTTTAATTAATGTTCAATAGATTTCACTCTTATTTTCTTAGTGTTGTATCCATATACAAAATCATTAAAAATGTGATTAGAGAATATAAATGAGTTGGCATTTATAACTTCTTACTTCTGAGTAATGTTTTTATGGAGCAACATCTTAATTTTGTCCTCGTATGATGGGTATTCATCAGATGGTTCTGAATATATTGAGTTTTCACACCGATTCCTGGTCATTCCCATATCCCAGCCCCTAAACCATATTTTTGAAAATGCAGCTAGCTCCATGACTATGTTTGGCAAATCCCATCAAACTGAAAATGAAAACCAACCATAACATTTATTTTATCTAAGCTAATAGCTTTCCCACAGTCCCAACTCCTTTTAGTGTTGCATCTATTTACAAAATAAAATTACAAATGCAATTAAAACAATATTGAAAGCGATGTATATTCATACCTCATTTCCCACACTTTTCGGATAAATTTTATTAAGCAAAACCTTAATTTCACTCTCTCATAAATATTCACCAAGTGAACCTGATTACAGAATGTTCACCCTCATAAATTATCAAGATATAATTATCAAGATAATTATCAGGAGAGTAAAAGCATTGAAATATGATTGTTCAGTACTTGAAGGAATATGAAGACAGTTTTGGCTCTAGAATATGAGGATGGAATGATGGAAGTGCTGATCCTGTCAGTATGAGATTGTATCTCTCTAAATATTAATTTAATTGTTTCTGCAATGCAATATACAGTATATATATATGTACTACAGTATATGTATGTATGTACATATATTGCACTTTACAGCCAAAATGCACTACTTGGCCTATTATGCAAGGACTGATTTGCCTAACAAACTGAGTTTGCCTGAAACTATCTATTTTCTAAATTTTTCTTATGGACTGATAAAGCTTTCCTAGTCGAGGACCGGACCATGGGAACGCTAAGCCCCAAAATCATCTCAAGGTAACGTCAAGGTAACCCAAACTATCCTCACCTAACCCAACCAAACCTAACATAACTACGGTAAGTCAGTAATTCATGTTCTTAAATGTTGTTATAAATATATGAATAAATATATACTGTACACTTTACTATATTTATTGTATACAAATACAGTATTATACAAGTATAATAATATTAATTCAAACTAAATTGAAAATTTGTTTGTAAATAACAAAAATCATTGCCTGTTAGGCAAATCAGGTCTTGCATACTAGGCCAAGTAGTGTGTTCTGGTTATTAGGTATGACATATACCAGTATACATACGTATACAGTAGATATATATATATATACATACACACGTACATTGCATACATACATACATATACCAAAAAACATTAGGGCTTAGGAAAGCCAATGTGACTTTTGTTATGAAAGGTTTTCCATTTGAAAATAGAGGAGTTTTAGAGCGGATGTGAAACCATAACTGTAAATATTAATTTAATTGTATTCCCACAAAATTTGATGGAAATCTTTAGAAAAAGAAATAGCTTTGGGTGTGGGGAAAGTAAAAAGGATTGAGTCAAAAAGCTTGTATAGCTTGTTTTCATGCTAAGAGCACTGTACCTAAGATATTTGTATTATTTATGTAATAAATTCTTGGCTTTGAAACAAGTTAATTTTTCCCTCATCAGATCCTTAATGAAAACCAACTTAGTATGAATTTATACGAGGTGTCGAGAAACAAATGTCTGCATAGGTTCATGAGTGGAGTGTATAACAAGTTAGGAATAGTATAAATTAGGGTCCCTGTCCCTTAAATCTGTTGAGTTCTATGTGCAGACCCATAATCTTAAATGTAAAAGAAAAATTGGAGCTATGAGTAAAAAATTATAATAGCCTGTGGTTGAGAGTGTAGGCTCCTTTACCACTGCTTGTGGTTGTGCCAAACTAATATAGAATAAAATATTGTTGCCACTGCAATAAACAGTCATAAGTTTTACTTTGTCATTAAATCTCCCTAATTGTCTTAAACTATTTGAAGCTGACCTCTGTTTGTCATACACGTACTATAGATTTTTCAAATAATGAAGGGTAGGCCTCCAAAAATATTTTGTGAAAGTGTTGAATGTGAGATACAGTAGTAAAATAATATGACTTGATTTTTAAGCAGAAAGAGGATTTAACTAGATCCAGGCCTCTTTGGGATAAGTATGTTACAGAGAGCACTTTTTCATACTGCTAAATTTTTTATTATTTTGTCATATTGCTCTTTTTCCTGTTATTTATTGTTTCTACTGCCTGCATTGGAAAAGGTTCAATGTGGAACAACAAAAATCATGACTGAATTAAGTCAACTCTCATGCTAGGAAACGTTGAGAGCCTCTGGACTACCATCACTAGAAATTAGACATGAGAGGGCTAATCCCATCAAGATTTAAAATACTAAGCAAAATGGAAATACTTAGCTAGACTAAGTTTGTTAAAGGTTCAATGTAACAAGGGTAAGCAGTTTCAGGCTCAAGAAGCAACAACGTATGAGACACCAGAATTTTATTCTTCATTAACAGTATTTTCAACCCAAGGGTAATAAGGCAACTATCTATAGTAGTGGTTCCCAAACACTTTTTGGTCATTACCTCTCTTTCGTATGGTGTCTTTATTAAAGGCCCCATACACTTGGTGAAGAACCCTGTTTGGTATCTTCTGGTATGATAATCTGGCCACTGCCTCAATTTATGGGCCCCTACATATTACAAAAAAAGGCCCAAACCAGTGATTTATAGTGACTGGTGGACAGGGACAGGAGCTTTGCATCTTGACTCGGTTATCTGCTGCGTCTGTTGTCTGTGGAGCTGGCATTGTACAGGAAGTTTGCATCTTGTAAAGGGCACCCACCTCCATTCTCCTTGAAGTTTTTATGGGTGCATTTTTATGTATAATATCTTGAGTGATGGGGGTGGGCAGAAATGAAGTTTAATTTAAAATATTTGAAAGGGCACATGTTGGTTTATCATAAACATACAGTATAACATTAACCACTTGATTGCAGTGAGAAAATATCCAGAATGAGTTATGGCAAGCACATGCCAAGTGAAAGCTGAAGGAAGAATAGAAAGGTGCAAACAAGGAAGAAATAAAAACTATTTATTAACAAGAACAGTGTAGGTGAGAATGATGCATATCAAGTAGTCAGGGTGGCAGCCTATATATGTCACTATTATTCATTATCTCATTTTAAGTGATACAGACATTCAAGTAAATTCAGATAAATATTTAATGAGCAAGGCCATCTGTAGAGCAAAATTAAGTCTCGCCATTCTTTAATGTTTTGTACATTAAATGTATAAAACCTTTAAAACAGGAATATAATTGTCAAATACAGTAATAGTTATCAAATAGCAGGGTCCCAGTTGTACAGTCGGGTTCGTTCTTTACTCACAATCGAGAATTCCAGGTTTATAACCTTTAGGAGGGGGGGGACAAATGGTTGGGCACATTTATCACCTGATACCCCTGTCTACCTAGTAATTCAGCCCTGGGAGTGGGGGGGGGGAGACCCTCGTTATAAGCCTAATATGTACCATATGTACTGGCTGCCTGTCCCCTGGCATAATGAATTATAATTATTAAATCCAGGTAGGTGAGAGAAGCTCACCTTTATGTGACCACAACATTCTAGGATGGAATACAATTACAGAAACTCATATAAAGGTCCAGGACGATGTATTTATAAACTAAGATAAGATTATTCAGGTAAAGGTACATACACTGAAAACATAATGAGTTTCAAACATAATGTTGGATTTATAGATAGAGCTAGTATATACAATGTCTGAAGCCACTAATACGCACAGCGTTTTGTGCAAAAACTTCGACTAAAACTTAATACTAATTGAGGTCAAAAGCATAAATAGAATTGAAAAAAGGAAAAACAAGAAAAGGAGAATGATAATAATTACATGATGTATGGAACAGCAGAAAACGCAACAGAACAGCAGAAAGAATTTTAGCTAAATAAACAGAAGATTACAATTTTCTTTAAGTTTATACATGGCAGATATCAGCAGTTAAACAAGTTGGTCAATAATCAATATTGTTTGAAAATAGCAAGACATGTTGACATTTAGGAGGTAAGGCAGATTACATGGGAGTTTATTGGGTTGTACTTAATTTTTCTCTTAAACTGGTTGAGAGAGGTACAGCCTTTGACATGACTGGGAAGGTCATTCCACATTCTAGGTCCCTTGATTTGCAGAGCATTTCTAGTTTGATTAAGGCACACTAGAAATATCAAATAGGTATTTGTTTCTAGTGTGATTCCCATGGGTTCTGTTACAACCTTCTAGGAAGTGTTTAAGGCCAGGATAGGCATTACCGTTCAGAGTGTTTATTTACATAACATATTCAAAAATTTAAGTAGGGGACCGCATGTTGTCTGGAGGGCCAGAGTTTGTTATATGAAGAAAAAAAATAAAATAAAAATTCAATGGATGTTCAGCATTTTAAAAGTTTCAATTAGAGTCACCCTGTCATGCTTGGTTTGCAGTGTTAGCCCTGTGGCCCTCAAGCATTCCTGATACAAGAGACTGACTTTTGTTGCCCGGTGTTGCACCTTCTCCAGAGCAGCTATGTCCTTCTGAAAATATGGTCTTCATGCTTGGACACATTAATCTAAGTGCAGGCACACCAGAGGAAAAAATATATACAGAGGATATACATTAATAGTAGTACAGTATACAGTACTAGAATGGTTACAATAAAACATAGAAAGGGTCGTCCTAAATGGAAATGAATCTGACTGGAGAAATGGGCTGTTGAGAAATGTAGTGAGTAGGATATTGCAAGGGTCCATTTTGGGGTGAACCTTTGTCGTTAAATACATCAGTGACATAGATGGGAATACTGTACTTATTGTATTCTTACTGTACAGCCACATCATCAAATTTGCAAAAACACTAAAATTTGTGTTTAAGTAGGAAGTGACAAAAATATTGGGGGGGGGGGGGTCTTACAAAGAGATATACATGAACACAAATGGCTGGAAAACTGGCAAAAACGTATTAATATCGAAAATTTAATAAATAAATAATAGTAAATAAATAAATTAATATTCAGTCAAAGTACATATATAGTTGATTTACAAATATAATGTTGGATTTATAGATAGAGCTAGTACATACAATACCTAAAGCCACTAATACCCGTAGCATTTCAGGCAATACATTTTCAATGCCCCACATTGCCATGAAAGATGGGGCATGGCAATACACATCACATCTATCAAATTAACTAATTACCTTGCAGCAGATTGATGACGAAAAGGACCTTGGAATCAGAATTCACCATTTACTGAAAATTGCACAAGTGGAAGCTGCAGTTTAAAAGCCAACCAAACCCATAGGATCCAAACCACTTCTTCAAAAGGTCAGATATAACACAAACAAGGAGCACCGGTTTCAAGCTCAAGGAGCCACAATGGAGGACAGAAAACAGGAGATGCTTTTTCACCCAAAGTGTTGCAAACCTATGGAACTGCCTACCCACCGATGCCGTAAATTCCAAAATGCTGCTAAGTTTCAAAATCCAACTTGAAAAAATCATCAGGATAAATGGGGGGGAGGGGACCTTCGACAAGCCGCCAGCTTCCTGTCCTCATCGTGGCCACTAAGGTTAGTGGCCCTCAGGTAAATATATGCTTTGGAGAGACTTAACACCAGACGACAATGGAGTGTGTCGAAAGACTCAGGCTCTTAAGGAGGAGCATAATGCAGGTGTCTTGTGTTTAGGAGCAATAGTCTTGGGCTTAGTTACCTCGCTCGACCCGGGGGGTACTGAAGTACGTGTAGGCCACGTGCTCTGCCCGGCCACGTGCTCTGCCCGGCCACGTGCTCTGCTCGGCCACGTGCTCCCCCTGGAGAAGTAGGTCGCCTGTCCTCCCTTTCTACAACCGCTCACAGGATGGGTATGGGGTGTATAATAAATTAACTTAAATTTTACTTTAATTCATTTATTATGCACCCCATACCCATCCTGTGAGCAGTAGTGGTAAGGGATTCAGAGCACATAATGGGCTCAAGGGCCCGAAACCCACAAAATTCATTTAGCTAATCAAGTTACACGGGTGCTTTCTCCTAATAATTAATTAAACAAGTTACAGTCTTGATGAGATAGTTACAAAATTTAATGTATATTCTGAGACTGAGCACAAGTACATTCTCTATCTGAGGACATGAGAAGAAGCCGCTGGCTTCCTGTCCTAGTCGAGGTCACAAGAGCGATGGTGGCCATCGGGTAAATTCAGCTGTATCGCCGAGAAATGTAATATACTTTTTGGTATTATGGGCTCTCACCGCTATAGCGGGGGCGCTTACCCCTAAAACCTGTCACCCAGATGGGTATCTGGGTATTATTTTTTAAATTGTGTTGGTGTCCAGTCGACCCCCACTGCGCACCGTCCCCCCCTCCAGAGGCGTCACCTCGTACACTCCAAGTTCGCACGTGCTAGTTTTGTCTAGAAGTTCAAATTTTCAACGCTAAATTTCCTGCTTAGCAACAGATTTGCATACAACCACTACACAATATGCCTCGAAAATGCTCATTGGATGGGTTAGGTTGGAGTGGGATAGGTTATACAATGAGTGTGCGAAGGGTGTAGTGTACGAAGGGAGGTGTGGTGGGGTGGTCGTCCACAACAAACTTGGAGGAGGAGGAAGCTGCTGTTCCTCCTGCTGAGGGTGAGCCCGCGAGGTCCCTGGCCGCCTGGGAACACTATGGCCACAGGGCCCTGACTGTGTGGGTTGAGGTGAGTGGCAGTGCTCAGGGCCACCAGGACCTGCGAAGCTGGAGTGCCTGTAGCACTCTGCTCTCTCTCAAGAGGCAGCAACATGGTCCGTATCTTCCAGACCATGAATGGGTCACATCACACTAAACACAACTGACTTTTGCCATGTTTGTGGCCTGAATTCTTATTTACATTAATATGGCTTGTATAGGTCAAGTTGGGGTTGTATAAGTTCTAATAAATATTGTTAATTAAATGCAAATGTATTTATTACAATAAATTTTTTCGTGTAAACTGATTACATTAAATTATCTTCTTGTCTTTCTCTTCAACCTCATTACTTTACATTTTGAGGACTTTGAACACCAGTAACCATTTATCCAGTCATTCCTGCAGCTTGTCTAGGTCCTTGTGTTGTGTTATACAGTCCTCTCTGTTCACAGCGTTCTCACGTGTTCTGTATCGTCGGCTGACACTGTCATGTATGACCCTACCTCCCGTCGCAACCCGCCCACATTACATAAATCAGAAGCGATACTGTGCCGAGGATCGAACCCTGTCGGGACCCACGTGCTACGTCTCCCTGTTCTGACATGCTACTTCTCCCCATCCTGACATGCTACTTCTCCCCATCCTGACATGCTGCTGCTCCCCATCCTGACATGCTGCTGCTCCCCATCCTGACATGCTGCTGCTCCCCATCCTGACATGCTGCTTCTCCCCATCCTGACATGCTGCTGCTCCCCATCCTGACATGTTGCTGCTCCCCATCCTGACATGCTGCTTCTCCCCATCCTGACATGCTGCTTCTCCCCATCCTGACATGCTGCTTCTCCCCATCCTGACATGCTGCTTCTCCCCATCCTGACATGCTACTTCTCCCCATCCTGACATGCTGCTGCTCCCCATCCTGACATGCTGCTTCTCCCCATCCTGACATGCTGCTTCTCCCCATCCTGACATGCTACTTCTCCCCATCCTGACATGTTGCTGCTCCCCATCCTGACATGCTGCTTCTCCCCATCCTGACATGCTGCTTCTCCCCATCCTGACATGCTACTGTCAAATCATGGCATGTGTTTTGACAAAGCTCGTGTTCTATTTCTTAAGACTTAAACAGCATAACATTCAGTTGGGTTAGGTTATATTAGGTTGGGTTAGATAAATAATAAATAAATAAATGTTTATTCAGGTAAAGTACATACATACAAGAGGTTATACAAAAATTTATAGATTTATAGATAGAGCTAGTACATACAATGCCTAAAGCCACTATTATGCAAAGCATTTCGGGCAGAAATCTTTTGAAATTTGTCAATGCATGAAATAAGGCAAACTGAGTGCAGTTCTAGGATTTATAACAAGAAGCGTCAGAACCACATTATGTTGGATATATGATTGGGATTTAAAGGGACTAGGGGAATATACAGGTTTCTGAAACTATCGAAACAGGTCAAAGCCCACAGTACACTAATGGGTCCTGTCTGGAGAAATTTAGCTTTTAAGTGATATAGGGAAATACTAGTTTGGAAATGAAATTGTCGTAGATGAGTGGAATGGGCTGCCAGTTAACATTGAGACAAACAGTTCAATAGGTTTCAAGGATAGATTGGATAGGCACATGGGTAAGAGGGGGTGGGGATGGATTTAAATTGGACAAACATATAGTAAGAGTCAATACTTCCCTATAGTGCTTCCCAATCCTTTTACCTCTTGATTTATCCATCATAATTTGTCCTCTCTCACTACAATCCTGTTAAATGTTTATCAGATAGTGTACCCTCTGATCTAGTCTATTATCATCCCAGATATTTGTATCATCCTTTTGTGGGAGATGGTAAAAAACTTGTAAGCATTAATACGATGCAAGTTACTTGTTCTACTCTCCCCTGCTATATCTTGCTGCTGTATCTTGCATTCCTTTTATAAGACAAAACTTTGAACATTCATTTTATGTAATTTCCTGCTTGAAATGACATGAAAATAAATCACGAGTTTCAAAAGAATTATTTTTCTGCTATGGATTCTTGTCTGTGACTAGGTTAACAGGGAGTGGATAAAACCTTATGCAGACAGTGAGTCACAATAATTGACTTAAGATACAAAGACTAAACCTTATTTTGATCATATATACATGTAGTTACATATATACAAAGAATGAGGTGATTTGATAAAATGCTATGCCCAAGATTACCATCCGAGTGCCGGCGGGGAAGTGGTTCAAATAGCTTCGGCTATCACTTCCTTATGTCCGGTCGTGATGGTCAAGCGGATTAAGGCGTCCCTGTACATACCAGTTGCGTTGCTCCTGGCAGTATGGGTTCGAGTCACTTCTGGGGTGTGAGTTTTCAGTTGTATATAGTCCTGGGGACCATTCAGGCTTGTTTGCATACATGTAGTTGATTATGGTTTGTTATGCTTGCAGATTTTATCAGAAGAGAAGGAGAGAAGACAAGCAAAATGAGTAACATAAAGATGAATCAGTTCGTGGTGGAGCTGAAGTCTCGACATGAGGAGATTAGGGTGAAAGCCGCGTGTGATCTTCAACGCTATGTCACCACTGAACTCAGGGAGGTGGGTCTTTTGTCTTAAGACCTTTTTCTTGTCTCATAGTCATTAAATCTTTAGATATTAAGGATATTACTTTTTCAGATTTTAAAAGGCAATTTGAATATAGACAAGTGATGTCCTTCAGTAAATCTAATTTCTGAATTATATAGTTAATACTGTACAGTATTGTATGTGCAGAATGTATATATGGTACCGATATATATATCTATATATCTATATATATATATATATATATATATATATATATATATATATATATATATATATATATATATATATATATATATATATATATATATATATATATATATATATATATTATAAATAATACTTTACATCTGAAAAATGAGGATCTTAAATTCATTTCCTTCTTAATTCTGTAACTTAGAAAAGTTACAGAATGCTCTATAATCCTATTAAGTTTAAACTTATGAAAGCTGTGGACAAATGCAGCACTGAGACAAAACTAGTTTTTTGATTTTGAGTTAATTTATTGAAAAGAACTAGTGTGTAATAACTTTTGTTTGATTTTATTTAAATATTTATAGTTGACTAACCTTTGGGAGTACAGTAATTAAAATTGGAAGAAATTGGAGTTAAGTCTACATTTAGTTAGTATTGTAAATACATTTACTACTGTATATGTTGATTAAATTTATAATTTAATTGAAGTGTGATGGTGAGTATTTCTTCGTTAGAATACATATTGTATGGATGATGTTATACTTGTAGTTTCTCCCACCTTTTTCATCATACTGTTGTGTTTTCTCTGGGCCAATGCTTCTCCACCCAATGAAAGTGGAAAATATAGTATGTGATGACGATGATATAATGTTAGTAAATTACAGTATATTAATTAAGTGTCTACTTGCTCCCATAGGTCTCCCTGGATGAACTCCTCTCTTTCCTGGATGAGTTCAACCATCACATCTTTGAGATGGTGTCCTCAAATGACATCAATGAGAAAAAAGGTGGCATTTATGCTATAAGTAAGTATTTTGCATATATAAATTTTTTTTTTATTCAGAATGTTATAAAGTTTGTTCTAATATAGTGTATTAGCATCTAATCCTCTTAACTAAATTTTTTTTAATAATTGTTTAATCATAAGGATGGGGAGTATACAGTATGTACAGCAATCAAAATCTAATTATGCAGAGCTGTATTGAGTAATATTGAAATAGTGCTGTGTAAAATTTAGCTGTCTTATGCAGTACAGTATCTTGGTACTGTATTCATTGTAACCATTTGGTATTCAGGTGAAAAGTCTGAAAAAGAAAAAAAGAGAGATAGATAAAAAAAAGTACAGGTAAGCTTATGTTAGGTCACGTATGTTAGAAAGTTTAGAACATTTGAGTATGTACAGTACAGTACTGTGAAAGGGAAGAGTCGGAGGAGTTGGTAACCAACTCTTGCAAATTTCCATTGGCGATTCATCACCCATGGCTGCTGCTTTCCTGTTTAAATTCCATGTCTTTCAGTGCTACTTTATTTTTTATTTCTATGGCCTGCCTTCATCATTTCAACCTACTGAATCAACAGGCTGAGCAACTCTAGCTGGGAATAAAAGCAAACCTTAAAAGTATCCACAGCAATCACCTAAATAATCAAACAACAAGAAACTACATAATCACTGCGCCCCTTGTACAGATTCCACCTTGTTTATACGGCTGAGCCTAGGGCTTAAATTCACAATCCATCCCTGTGTATATGCTTTATTATGCTTATAAAGAAATCCTTTTTTTGTGGATGTTTTAAATCCCACTGCAAGATACTAATGTTTCTGTAAATCTGTATAGGTGTTCAGGTATTTTATTTTCTAGGTCATCACTGTATTTTCATGCCACACTGCTTATGTATAAATAATTATTGCAGTGAGTCTCGTGGATGTTGATATTGGCCAAACTGGAGTCCGCATCAGCCGGTTTGCTAACTACTTGAAAAACCTTGTAAACAGGTATGTTACTTGTTTTTTTATAATGAGTTTTGATACAGGGAGTTTTAAAGTACTACAGTAATTGAAAAATATTGGAAGTTAAAGACCCAGGGGAATTGGAGGTACTGTACGTGTAATCTTCGTTGCAACTATTCATTATCTTTGATGTCCTGCTCCATCATAGGTCCTCTTTCTCATTGAGGGTTGAAGGAGGGGTGGTGCTGACTCTTATGTATGGCTGCAATACGACAGTGCGGTATAAATGTGAAGAGTTTAAAATTAAAGCAGGAGAAACGGATAATCTGAGAAGAATGTGTGTGGTATTAAGAAAATCAAGTGAGGAATAGAAGAAATGCCATGGAGAAATGTTGAGTGGAAAGTTTGGCAAAAAAAAAAAAAAAAAAAAAAAAAAAAGCGTGAGAAGAGTGTATTGAGGTGGTTTGGTCATGTTAAATGAACAATCGCTTGTAGATTGGTGAAGGGAATGTGTAGTATTGGAGTGTTTTTGAAGGTAGGAGCAGGAGGAGAGGAATGCTGGGAAGATGATGATTTAAAGAAATCACACAAAATGGTAAATGTAATGGTGACTAATGAATGAATTTGGGATAAATATTTTGTAATACTGCATCTATAACCTTTCACTACAAAAACTATTCATCTTTTTTCTCTGGGTTGATGCTTCCCACCCCATGAAAGTGGAGAACTGGGTAATAATAAATTTATGATTGACATTTGTCCTGTAACAAGTGTCTTCCACTATGTAAGTTGAAAATAGTGTATCCTAAAAGCTTACCGAACTGAAAATCCTATGATTTTATTTAAATGTAACTGTTGAAGAATTGCAGCAGAACTATGGAATCAGCAAGAGGAATGTTAAGATTGTAAAAAGGGGTTCATTAAATGATGGAGAAATGTATAGTACAGTACTGGTAATACTGTTGTAACTTTATAAGAATGGGGTGGCATTACTGCAGGAGATTACGTCCCATCACAACACAGTGGCACCTCGACTTGCGATTGCCCCGACCTACAATAATTTCGAGTTACGAGTTAATTTGATCGAAAAATGCGACTCGACTTATGATAGTGTTCTCGACTAACGATATTTGTTAGTACACGTTTGGGTCAACCGAGCGTGTGGTTCCCAGTCACACGGGTCGACCTGCCTCAGTTTACTAGAGTTGCCCGATTAGTAACGATCACGCCTATAAGAAATTCTGTTTTTGTGGTGATTTTTTGCTTTAGTGTACTGTGGACTTCTGATGTTTATACAGTGTTCTCTGATTGTGCTTATGGCACCCTTGCTCTTCACTGGTTCTATTCTGTATTTTCTTCCATATCATTCACTCCAGTAAGTTGTGTACAGTATTTAATTTTTCCTTATTTCAGCCCTGACACAGGAGTGATGGAACTAACAGCAAAAGCAGTAGGGCGCCTTGCTTTAGCATCTGGAACATTCACTGCTGAGTATGTTGAAGATCTGGTGAAACGATCCTTTGAGTGGTTGCAAGGAGATCGTAATGAAGGAAGAAGGCATGCTGCGGTAAGGCATAGTATTCGAACACTTTTTTTTAGGTTTGAACTTGGAGATCTTCAGTTTTTTCATTAATGAGAAAGAAATTACTTGTGTATCTGTCTGTCTGTCTTATCTTTATCTTCTTTTAGGGCAGTTATTACTTAATTGTTAAATGATTCATATAGAGTGGGAAGGCTCAAAACTGTAATGTAGGTATTTAGCATCTATGATCGTGGTAGGGGTGGAGTAGAGTGGTGCTGAAGGAAAAAATCTCATGTGAGGGGTACAAGGAAAATGAGGCTCATTTAGATAGGCATTCTGAAGAATTTTAATGCATGGTCACTCCATAAACTTCGAGCTAGAACTAACAAGATGGAATAATTCAAAAACAGAACAAATTATGCAGATAAAGTACTGTATTAGGATGTTGTGATCCACATCCCACCACTTTGTGATGCAATCAACCCTACATCACCAACACTAGCAGGTGGGATGTTCGACTGGAGACCCATCACAAAATTTCTTCCTACTTAAGATCAAAATAATCTTGGGTCTGATGCCCAGGCCCCCAGCAAGCATTGACACATTTGTATGCATGGAATGTGTGTGAGGAATAAATCTGGAACAGAAGATGATCGTAGCAAAAAGATTTTATAGAAGGAACACTTGATGTGCTCGGCTTATGCGAGACTAAGATAGGAAATTACTATGAATATGTTCCAGTTATCCAGGAATGATGATAATTATTATATTTGTCTGGCAAGTGGTTGATATCGATTGTCATAGACAACCATTCTTTACCAACTCCTCTTTTAGACAAAATGTCACCTGTGATTGTGATTTCTGTTTTGGTTCTAATTAACGTGGAGCACTCCATTTGTCTTCCATGCTTCTGTGGGCATTGAAGACCAGGTAGTGGGACAGAGGATGTCGTGTTTACCCTGCTTGGTTCTGTGGGGCAATGAACTTCAACCAGCCTCCTGGCTTCATCGTAATGATTTCACGGAACAGCGATTGTGTTATCCACATTACATTCATATTTTACTGATTGTTTTAACTTAGCCAGGTCATCGTAACTGTAGGGTATCACCAGCATCATAGATTACAGTATTTAGATGTTTTGTTTGTTACACAGGTTGATATGGTATGCCGTGTTTACAAAATATTTTGTGCATACATGTTTTATATAACAAAAATTGAATGTAATTTTTTTGTATACTTCACGCAGGTATTGGTGCTTCGTGAGTTAGCCCTTTCAGTCCCTACATACTTTTTTCAACAAGTCCAACAATTCTTGGATGTGATTTTCCATGCTGTAAGAGACCCAAAGCCTGCGATCAGAGAAAATGCAGTGGCAGCACTTCGGGTGGCACTCACCATAACTGCACAGAGAGAAACTAAGGAGATGCAGCAAACAATGTGGTATGTGAAACTTGTGATGCATGTAGAGTGCATCGTTCATGTTTTATTCACCATATTCTGCACTCACTGCTGTATGGTGCTCTTTAATTCATCCCTTTTCTGCTAACAATAACTTTTTGTTTGAATTTCTAAGCTTGCTTTCTGCTGCACCCATAGGAGTACAGTCCAGTGTGCAATCTTAAGATCATTAGACAGTCAGGCACCTTGCATAGGGACTCTGTCTCCACAGGACCATATTTTTAATACCTTTGGAGTCATGAGTCAATTTCAGTCTAGCCAGAATAATTTACTTGGAACTGTTTACAAGTACAGTATGAGCATTTTATTGCTCATGTTTGGCTCTTGAAGTGCCCTTTGCCTTTTTTTACCTACCCCTCCCTTTGCCTGTCTGTGGGTATACCAATCTCTGGTTGGGACATACCATGTTCGAGTTATACCTGGAGGAGGGTTCTGGGAGTTCTACTCCCGAGCCCAGCCTGAGACCAGGCTCGACTTGTGATAACTTGGTGCAACAGGCTGTTGCTTGAGCGGCCCGCAGGCCCCATGTGGCCTTCCCGTATATGTCTGTGGATCAGGGTTTGGTGTCAGATTTAACTTTTTGCATTTCCCTGCCTCTTCCTCTCCAGTAGTTGCTATCATTGGGTTTCCTATTTTTCCTATTTTGTCAGGTTTCTTTTGGCAGGGATTTGAGATGTCACAACCCCTGGTGACCGTGCCTTATTGAAGGGCATGATTACCTTGAGAGACTGCTGGCTTCAGGCTGTTCTTTGCTTGTATTGTCCTTTTTTGGACACTAACTGGTCTGTCTTGACCTTTTTTTTTTTTGTATCTTATTTCTCCTTGCTTTGCTCAGGTCTGGTGTTTTGTGACTGTGGCTTGGTGCACTAAGAACATAAGAATAAAGGTAACTGCAGGAGGCCTATTGGCCCATACGAGGCAGTTATTCTTTATAACCACCCAAACTACCTACTATGTGGGTGTTTCTTGGACTCTGTTTTCCTTTACTAATGTTATTTTTCTGTCTGATGCTTCACCAGGAAAACTTAACTAAACAAATTATGTGCAAAAATGGTGATGGGCACTATATTAATATGTAATTAAATAATGACATATTTGTAGTTTGTTTAGATATGCCTAACATAGAGACCAATAATCCCTCTCTCTCTCTCAGTAGTTTGTGATCTAATTGGACTTCAATTTTCAATATCCTCAGGTATAAACAATGTTTGTCAGAGGTCTGGGCTGGCTTTGATGATTCATCTAACAACAAAGATCGAAGTCTCACCCGAGATGACCGGATCCATGGTTCATTGTTAGTGTTGAATGAACTTCTTCGCTGTAGCAACTGTGAGTGGGAAAGACTTTTAAAGAAATTACGTCACCTCACTGATTACCAAACACCAGCTCCAAAAAAGGTATGGCAGTGCCATATTGTTTATTAGTGTGTGTCTGTTTTTATTGTGCTTTCTTCATATTACTGTATTATTTTGAATGCTCAGGACTTAAAACCTGAGATGTGAGGTTGATACTTTGGCACAGCATTGTTGGAATTGTGATTTGAGTTGGTAGCTTGCAATGTCCTATGCTAAATTATCTCTTCTTGAATTTTTCATTTTATAGCTGGGAAAATATATAAACTATATTTTCTGTTATTCTAGACTTAGAAATACAGTGAATTACTGTGTACAGTATTAGAATTATCATCATTTTTGTGTTTGGCTCTCTGGTAACTTTATATAAATACAAATTTCTGTGCTGTTCAAATAGTAATGATGTTATATTTTTCCATAATTTATTAATCATCTGATTTTGACCTTGATACATTTCCCAGGATGGCATGTCATCGGTAGTGAAGCGTCTACGTGGAGGTCAAGGGTCACTGACACCATCACCCCATGCACCACATGACCTCTCCAATCTACCATCACATTCTAACTCGACCATAGTGTAAGCAGTTGGTTTCAATTTGTCTGACTGATATTATGGTTTGGTACAGTTGTTCAATACTGTATGACATGTTACCATAAAATGGATTAGAATCTCTTCTCGCTACTATACATACTGAATATCAAAATTGAATTCACTCTCACACAACTTGTTCATGTTTTTAAAACAAAAAATTCAAAAGGGGATTCTAATCCCCTTTTACATGCTATTTATTTATTTCATAACAAACTTGTTTCATAACTTTATTTCATGATGCCACTTGTGTAGTGGTAGTTCCTGCCACTACACAAGTGGCAGAAAAACTGATGATAAAACAGCCAACATTCTGAATGAGTACTTAGCATCAGTGTTGAGAGTAGACTATATAACTAATATAGAACATGGGAATTAAGTACAACAGTAATGAGTTCTTTCTTGTCACAGGGGTCAGGAGACCACCATCTTGGATCAGCCTTGCGAGAGCCGAACTTGTCGAGAACTCATCTTGGAGAAATACGATGAAATCTGTTCTCAGGTTAGACTGTAACTATGAGCTGGAGTCTTGTATTTTTACATTTGATATATTTATTTAATAAATTATTTGTTAAGCTTTTTTATCTGCAATTTTGATTAATTTGTTATTTTCTTCCTTATTCAATTAGGTGTTGAACCAAAGGAGTAGTCGTAGCAATGTAATCCAGGGGGCCCTGCTACAGATCTTGCCCAGATTGGCTGCACTTAACAAGGAAAAATTCTCTCAGAGGTGAATTTTACCTTTAATATTTTTTAAGAAAATGGGCTTTTTGAAAAGTAACAAATTATTTTAAAATATGTATCGAGAAGACTTTAAGACTTTATTGACTTTGGTTTTTTAAGAACCAAAGTCAATAAAATGGCATCATTGATAATGTCATAATTGACATACTGCTGATTTGACATTCACTGGTTTCTTATATTTCCTTCTACATTTCTTTTTATATAACCTTGATATTACTTTTTTCTTGTGTTACTGGGCTTGTGTACAAACCTTTAATATTTTATTTGATAATTTTCCCAGTGTTTGTTATTTTCTATATTACTTTCCTTCTCAAACTGTAATATTAACTTTTCTGGCCATTGCCATCACTCAGTGGTCCATTAGGCATGGTTTTACTGTTCCTATAGACAACACTACACATAGTTGACATTTAACACCAGTGCAGCAAATATATTTTCAAACGTGTTTGCTGGGCCATACTAATGCAGTAGAGATGCTGGAGAATTTTCTACCCAACCTGGAATTACCTCATTCATCTCGGCTAAAAAGCTTTCCTGTCACTGCTGTGCATCAGAGAAGCTGCCAATGATTACTCTGCTCATTGTTAGTTTTCTAGCCTGGCTGCTACCCCAACTGCCTCCAGATGTCATTACTTACAAGGCAACAGAATTCCCAGGCTTTGCACACCTCATATTTCTCTTGACTGCTAATATTAAATTAAGTGATGTGTTCATTAGAAACTGCTCTTTCATTATGCAGTAGACTTGTGCTTAACAATCCCCCAACTCCCATGGGTTAGGAGGGAACTGGCTCGGGGACACGTGCTACTGAGTGCCCCACTAAAATGAACCATTTTATTATATTCAGTACTGGATTTCTAAATCTCACCTGGTGAAGAAATGAAGACTTGGAGGGTACATTGTTATGATACTCGGGTTGATGAGGTGGGCAAAGATGAGCTGTTTTATAAGGAATGAGTTCAGATTTGGGAAGGCAAAGGATAAATGAACACTTAAGTGAGTTAATAAGATGTAAAATTGCCCTTATTCTGTATAAGAGTAGCAAGTGTAACATGTTAGAAGAGAAAGCAGTGAAGACATAATTCCGTATATGCATTTAATAGGATATTACAAAGACTATGGTCTTTGGGAAACCATCTCACAAGCCAGTTCATATATGAAGGTGCAGCCAAGAAGCTGGAACTTGCACCCTGCACGTACAATTAGGAATCAACCGAGATGGATGCATATGTAGGAAATGAGTCACTGAAAAGAAAACCCATAGGTAGATTTTGTAAATTTAAATGTCACACGTGGATTCTACAATTTCTTATGAGTTTTATACTGTACAGGTTTATTTTTTATTTCATAATAATTAGTCAAGCAGGGACATGGTAGTTCTGTTTTTATATGAAATTAAATACTCTTTCCATTTCAGAGTATGTAATCACTTGTGTGTAATTGTACAGCTATTTCAAACAGTATTGTTAATATACATTAAGTAGAATTAAATACTGTAGTTTTAAATGTTGAAGCTATTTGCTTCTTAAATTGTGGTTTGCTCTATATACTTTACTGTACTCCTTAAATGTGTGGGACCATATGTACTCCTGTATATGGTTAATCCAAATTCTAAACATGTACTTCACTTGCTATACGTGTTAACCCAGTTGTATCTCGATGTGTTAATCCTTGCCTTAATATCTTATTGCACTCTCTTTGTTTTGTATTTGAAAATGTCAGGAAATATTGACAAAAGATCAAAATACCTACTTGGAGTATTGCAACCATCTTGTAACATTTCTCGAGTTTCTTCACAACTTGTCAGTCTAGTTGAGTGGAAGTCTGCTGTGTGTCAATCTTATTTATTTGCATAATAAAAACAAATCTCAGTATTAGATATGAGATTTTTCAGTTTCTCAGTTACTGTACTGTACCTGTGAATGGAAGTTTACTCCAGTGTGCTAGAATCATATACATTTCTTTTCAAGCACACCTTGTGCCGGCAACCTGTGTATATTACGGTACAATTGGCGCAGGTAACGCAGGCAGGGGAGCAATTTTTATAATATGATTTATTTGGTAACTTTTTAAATTGCCTTTATTGAGCTTTAATGAGTACATTTTATTATACAAAAAGTAATGGATTAATTTCAAACCAAAATTGTCAATACAGAAGTCATATATTCTTGACCATATAATGAAACTACAGTACTGATGATTGAGTTAATATTTGTCAAGATTTGTGTTTTGAATGTGATAAATGTTAATTTGTGAATATTATATAGCCGTGCATGTTTTAGATGTACAGTACCACGTATTTTCAGTATTAAAAGCTATTTTTCTCGGGTTTGCATCTGAATTAATGCTAATGTTTACATATATGTTTTGTGAAATTTGTTACATGATGAATACCAGAAGCTGCCATTGTGTATGGAGGAGGTGCTAAGAAGTAAGATTGCAAAACACAGGGAATCACAAAATCTACATAACCCTGGACAGCATAACTCCAGAACAGGGCGCTCCTGCCTGTCACAATTGCTAGACCACTATAACATGGCCTTGCATGCCAAGAAGGACCCCCCCCAAAAAAATGCTAATGTAATATACACAGTCTCTGTAAAAACTCTCAGCAAATGTGACCACAGTGCACAAAATGAATCACTGTCAAAGTAGGGAGATGGATCTTTAATTTCCAATAGAACAGAACCCAAAGAGTAATAGTCAATAAAACAAAATTTAACCATTCACACTGAGAAGCTCAGTTGCTCAGGGTACTGTACTTGTTCCAGTACTTTTTACATTCTTTGCATATGACATTAGGATTTATAAGATTAAAAAATATAGAGGACATGCCAAATCTCCAAGTTGATAATCAGATATATCAACTCGTTCTCCTATTTATATACAGTAGTACTTTTTGTAACCATGTGGACTATCGTACATGTATTGACATTAAAGGCAATTAGACAGTAGAATTTGGTACATACTCTTCACTTTATAGTCTGACGAAATTAAGCTAAAAACAAACTTGTACATTCCTAGGCCTAATATAGCACATATATGTACTATATTAGCCCTCAGATAGTGTGTATTAGGCCTAGGAAGGTTAGGTTAGGTTAGGTTTCCTTTGCAACATAAATACAAACCTTTACCGGTTGGTCCAAATTCAATAGTACCAATTTCTACTTTCTAATTGCCTTTTTACGTTAACACATGTACGATGGTCCTCATCGTCACTCTAAGTACTTCCCAAACAGGAGGATGGGCTGGATATTTCAGTGGGCCACAGAAAAACATGATTTTTAACAAAGACAAGTTCCAGCTTCTGCACTATGGAAAAAAATGAAAATATCAGAACGGAAACCACATGTGAAACGCAGTTAAGTAATAGAAAGAAAAATCTGTATAAAAGATTTGGGAGTGACCATATCAGATGACTTTACTGTTAAAGAAAGTGTTAATAAAGTACTTTACTGTTAATAAAGTAGCTGTCACAACTGCAAGAAAAATGGCAGGTTGGAGAATAACAACATTTCAAGCAAGAGATGTCCGACTAGTGATGGTACTTTTTAAGATGCTATTGCTCTCTAGGGCACTAGAGAGCCTTGGAGAGCCTAGAGATATTGTTGCAAACTAACTCATTCAAACTGGAGAAGTTGCTGACTTGGTGAACGTGCAGACATCTTTTACTGCCCTAATCCATTCAGTTAAGCATCTAATATATTGGGAATGCTTACAGTTTTTAAAGATGTGTTCTCTAGAGTGCAGGTGAGAGGGGTACATAATAATTTGCACTTCAAAAATATTAGAGGGATTGGTTCTAAATCTGTACATGAAAATAACACCTCATTAGACCAGGAAATGCAGAATAGCTCAATTGAAGAGCAGAGGTGCGATAGATATGCTAAGAGAGAATTCTAACAACATCAAGGGATCAAGACCTCATGGGACCAACACTCTCCCAATAAACTTTAGAGGCATATCTAGTTGCTATCTCAAGGAGTTCAAGAGAAAACTTGATAAATACCTCCAAACGATTCCTGATCAAACAGGCTGTGAGGTATACATCAGACTGCAAGCAGCAACGTCTAACTGTCTGGTTGACCTGACCACCAACCAAGCTGAATGGACGTTGATTCCTGGAACCAACAGCAGTTAGACAACAAATAGAAACTCGACAAAAGACAGAGTTCAAAAAGAGCAGTTGATAAGTTCAAGAATATTAGCTACAAGAAATTCAGAGTGAATAAATTGGAAAGGCTGATAATGAGCGAATGCAAGTTGGATATACAGTGGTACCTCCATTTACGAATTTAATCCGTTCCCAGAGACGGGTTGTAACTCGAAACAAATTTTCCCATAAGAAATAATGTAAATTTAATTAATCCACTCCACGCTCCCAAAAATATTAACTTCAAAATACATTTACTGTAATTGATAATACACGCACATATTTTGTACTATAGTACAGTATGTACAAGTTATGGCTTACCTTTATTGATGGCTCTTGTTGGCATATGGAAGACGGTGAGGAGAGGGGGAGTCCAATGGAAGGGGAGTTCCCTTCCATTATAACATCAGGCAGTGATGATTTCTCTGGGGGTACTTTCTCTCCTATGTTTTGCATGCATACCACTAAGACCTGGTTGTGGGTCACTGCTTGCTTGTCTTACTAAGAATTTGTCTAAAGACACTTATTTTCCCTACGTTTTAACACTTGTCTGTAGTGAGACATTCATTCACTATGAATGATCTCTTGTTTTTCCTCTAAGGTCATCCTCACATGTGTTTTTTTAGGTTGAACCTTACCACTGACTTTCTTGGGATCCATGGCGTGTTATATAATAATTTTGTTTAAAAAACAAAAAAAGCACAAAAACAATGAAATTCTTTACTAAGAATTCATGTGGGATTACCACTAAACGCGGGCGGTCAGGTAAACTGAAGCGGGATCGCCCGTGCCACCAGGAACCACGAGTTCCATTAAGCCATACGTGTATCAACGAAATTGTAAGTCGAGTCAAATTTTTTGACGAAATTGGGATCGTAACTCAAAATATTCGTAAGTCGAGGTTCCACTGTATAATTTGTATAATTGCAATGGGTCCCATTCTAATTGGTATAGTCTGTTCTATCAAGGATACACTGTACTGCACATAGAAGTGCTGTATGCATTTTATATATCTATATTTATATCTGGCAACTTGTTTTCTCTGGAAAGTCCTTCTGGCAACTCAAAGAGCACTCTATACATTGTCCCAAAATGTGTGCAAGCTTGGCTATCCTACATGTTAAGGGGTCACCACTTACATTGGAAACAACATGTGTGTGAACAAAGTTTGTGATGTACTCATGGCAAGTAAATCCAACTGAAAAAGTAGAATGGAAGAAACAAGATATAATTTTGGTTTATAAGATGGTTATGTAGGTACTGTTCTGTATTTTATTAAGTCTGGATTAATCATCATCAGTTCAGCATTATATACACTTAATTATATTTTTAAAAGCTATATTTAGTTTGGAAGCTGTTGAAAAATGGTAAATTGAAGCAACAGGTCATTTCATATAAATGAATGTAGTTTCTCTTGTTTGAAAGTTTGGTTTTAATGAGCATTTATTCCAATACCAAAAAATACAAATCTTCTACCAATTCTAACTGAACCACATAGTGCTGAATGGGTGATTCATAGTCCCATCTCTTGGTCTTGTGTCTGACATTCATCAGTCCTGCCTAATAAAGGATGATAAACTTGAAAATAGCAGTGCTAGTGAGTGCCATTGTTGGGAGCTGTGAGAGCTCAGTCTAGAGTTGTGCTAATGTGGCTCAGATAGATAGCCATTGTAATCAGTGTCATGAGCTGAGCATCTTTTGGTTTGAATTAATTCCTTGGAAGTAATGTTAATTTTTTGTCTATTAATTATGTGCTGAAAGATCTCATTTATTTGTAAAATCTTGCGACACAATAATAATAATTTTAAATGAATTGTTAAAAATGATACTAATGCATCATATTCACAGACAGCATGAACAGTTTACAATGCATGCAAAGTAATATTTCCTAAGAAGCACTTGTTACTGTATGACAGCAAGTCCCCTTGATGTTTTAATATTGTTTCTGCAGTCTTGTGTGTTATTTCCTTAGTGTAGTTCCTCTACTTTACCTGTTAAGTCAGTGATGTGTGACTGAAGATAGTATTAAGTATTAGTTTACCTCATCTTTGAAGTTGAGTTTATGGGTTTAAATTTACCTATTATTTATTCTGCATACACATAATATTGTTGCCTAACTAGTCAAATACATCTGGTTGGAAGAATCTTCTGTATTTTGGGATATTTGGAATGTATTTATTTTTCTGTATTCCTTTATCAAATTCATCCAATTTTTTAATACTAATTCCACGGTCAGCTTATTGTATGGAGTCTGTTCTCTCTCGAGCATTTATTGAATCTTAATTTTATTAAACTGTAAAAAGATTTCTTGACAGGATATCTTCATAAATTTTCTGCACTTGTGCTATGTATGGGTTTGTTAAACTTTTGCTTGCATTTAGATATAAAAGTAGTATACTGTATTCTCTTAACTTTAGCATCTCATGTTTGCACCTGACACACAACTTCCCAATGAATTCTTGTGTGATTTGCTGCTTCTTATGCTTCCTTGTAAATATTTCCTAACATTCAGAGTGATGTGGATTATAGTATTTAATTCAGCAAATTTTTGATACTTGTTAAATAGAAAAGATTGTAGGAGAATCTATTTTATTTTTAACTCAAGCTTAGGTGAGTTGCATGTAGTTTTTTGTAATTTTCTGTAAAATAATATGCAATTTTTGTAAAGCATTCAATAACTCTTAGTACAGATTATTTGTATATAATCAGGAATTAACTTTTTCATTAAATTTGCTGTTATTTTATGACTGGAATAATATTAACATTTTCAAAATTTAATGTCATTCATTCCCACAAATAGATTTTCTCTTCCTAAACCCTTGTTATTGTTGTTACTTACTTAGTGTGTTAATAAACACTGAACTAACAGCAGAATGTATCATGGCTTTAGACATTTTTTAGGATTATATGCAGAAGAGTTTTCTGTATTGTAGCAATTGTCTGTATTTTCATTTAACTGTTTTCTGTACTTTCATGTAACAGTTACCTCTCTGCAACGATGAGCTACCTGTTGGGATGCTTACGAGGAAGAGATAAAGAACGTCCCAATGCTTTTGTTACTCTTGGTCTGATGGCCGTGGCAGTGGGTCCTTCCATCAAGAAGTACTTGCCGAAGATCATGGACGTCATAAAAGCCTCACTTCCCACTAAGGTTATTATGACTGCTGTATAGTGAAAATTGTTTAATTACTGTGAACAATCACTGATAGATATGCTTGAGTGTTAGAGTAATTGGATGTACAGTAGATTTGTGCATGACTAAATGCATGGTTTTGCAGTTACGTGTAGTCACCAACCCGGCAACTTGATGCCACTTGCTAGGAGTGATCTCATTTTTTTAACCCATTTTTATTTGTAAGAAACACTAAGGTGCTACAAAATTACCCACCCTACACCTGTGTAGCATCCCAGTGTTGTTTTTGCGTTCTGTGTATTTAAGGTTATCTTCCTTTACTCTAGTGGATTTCTCGCATAAAAATTCAGAACATCATTCCATCATATCTTTAACAATTCTATGTTGTACAGTGTTTTGCACAGTCTTTAACAATTCTATGTTGTACCTAGAGTAAGGAGGACTGATAATACTGACTCTTGGTATCTCCTTGCATAGGTTCACCCAGGACAAAATATTATTGTCAGGTTCTCGTTGGTCTTGGTCTCATAGTAATAAGGAAGCTTTCAGATGAACACCGAGACCAACCATTAAATTACCAGGCTGATGCTACAAAGCATGAAGCTCACTGGCATGATGTCCCATAGTGAGAGAATAATAACAAAAGCTTCAATGACAGATTCTCAAATGGCTGTGAACCCAAAAACTGAAACAAAAGCAAATATGTTTTAGAGAGTTAACCCTTGACATAACAAAGCCTATGTCGTCAACATTGTTTACCAAGTACGGGTCTTCTGACGTTCCCATTTTTTTATTTTTATTTTAATTTCTCAACTATTTGTTCTGTAAGGTTGTTCAAAATACGTTTTTTGGGTGTCTGAACCATTTTTCAAAATTTCAAGCGTTCAGGTCCTGTAAAAAAAAAAACAAGAAATAAACTAATCATCTTCTGTAACGTAGTATACCAAGTGAAGTCTTTCTGGGACCCCAAGTGTGTTTTTATTATTTTACGTTTTTTTTTTTTTTTTGAAAGAACGCATTATAAGCATAACAATGAAATATTTATCGCTACTTTATCCGGGAAGAATAGAAAAATCAAGGTTAAATTGGTTGTTATAGTTATGGCAGGATCACAAAAAAATCACCCTCTGGGGTCCTCCGAGGACCCCTCTAGGTATGTTAAGGGTTAAACAATAAGATTGGTGGGTTAAACTAGTACATCAGAGATATGTTAGAAATAGAAAAATGGACATATTTTTAAAGTTAGTTGTTAGATAAAAAAAAATGGTTAATAGTGGCTGAAATGTCTTGAGATTTAATGAGGAGATACTGAGAAGGAACAAGGCTTCAAAGGATAAGATACTAGCCAGAAAGGGAAGACTATACTAGCCATGGGAAGAATGAAGGTTTACCTGTATTTCAGATAACACTAATTCAATTTTATTTTATGCTGTACTGCATATATTGTAAATGGAAGCTTGGTAATCTAGATTTGGAAGAACTGTTCTGATAGCACAATATTTCTGATATTTGGAAATTAGTATTTTAGAGGTTAGATTGTTCTGAAGTTACTGAATCTGTTTTTAACAGGATACACCAAGCAAGAAGAGAGTGGTAGAACCAGCAGTGTATGTTTGTGTGAGCCTGGTGGCTCGTGCGGTGGGAGGAGCCGTACGTAATGACGTCAAGGACCTTCTTGAGCCTATGATGGCCACAGGATTGTGTCCTCCCTTGACATTAGCTCTCCAGGAACTTGCAACAGAAATTCCTCAGCTCAAGGTATATCTTCATTGTACTCTACAAGTACAGTACTGTACTGCTCATGAGTACAGATAAGTGTGATGACTGTACAGTATACCATAGTTGACAGTGAAATTTAATATTAAAGTAACCTTATACAGATATTTTGTTATTACAGTAATATTGTTTTTCTTAATGATCAGCGTGATATTGCGGAAGGATTGTTGAGGATGTTGTCTCAGATCTTAATGCATAGATCCCTGCCTCATCGTTCGGGTGCACCACCACCGCCACCGTCACCTGATCATCAAGACACGGCCAGTATTGTCCTAGCACTGAAGACTCTTGGATCTTTTGATTTTGAAGGGACAGGTTAGTTCATTACATTCAGGTTTTGATTTTTTGTAAATTCTTTTGATTTTTACTGTAAATATTGCACCCATTTTACAAAATTAAAATCTGGTGGTTTGCGTGTAGAGCAGCATCTTGATACTTTCAAGTTTTGGAGCGCATGTCCTAGTCTTAGTTTCTTAACAGAATTACATTTCTGTACTTGTGTTTTTATGAGTACTGTACTCGTTGATGTTTATGCTTTGAATTTACATGTCATATTCTTTTCCAGGACAATCCCTAATGCAGTTTATCAGACATGTGGCAGATCAGTATTTGAGCAGTGAACATCGGGAGGTGCGCCTGGAGGGAGTGCGGACGTGTTGCCAACTCCTGCGACCCACCTTTGCAACTCTTGGACGACGTACTTCACAGTCCCAGACTCACATTATATTTAATATTGTGAGCAAAGTCCTGTGGGTCTGTGTTACAGACATGGGTGAGTATTTATTTTTTCTCCACACTTTTTCAGTAAAAGTAACTTGTGATTGCTACTCTGTTAACCAAACAAACAAGCAGAGGATTTTATTTATATTGTTGATGGTAGATTTGTGTAGGGTTATTAACTGTGTAGGGTTATTAACTGTGTAGGGTTATTTTAAAATAACCTGTGGCATTTGTGCCTGACTGTATATTCCTGTCCTAGAATACAGTAGACATATATTTTTGGGAGCATGTTGAATAACTCTGCTTATATAATTTTTTTTAGTTTCAAAAGTATGTCACAGCTCAGTTTCTAGAAATGTTTGATAATAATTTCTGTAAATTTGTTTGTTTTGGAAATGTACTTATGCCCTGGCAATATGTTTATTTGTGCATAAAGATTTTTGTGACAGGACTATTATGTGCTGTTTACTTAACTCACTTTTAAGGTGTCATTCAAGTTAATTGACTTTTCAGATCCCGATGTTCGTTTGTGTGTTCTGGAATCTCTAGATGAGAGTTTTGACAGACATCTTGCCCAGCCAGAGAATCTCAATGCCCTTATATTTGCTTTGAGTGATGAAGTGTTTGAGATTCGAGTATATGCTATTTCCATATTGGGCCGTCTTTCTGCCATCAACCCTGCCTATGTTCACCCATTGCTAAGGAAAGCATTGCTCAAGGTACAGTTTTAAGTTAACATTTTTGTGGAGCATTAAAATTATTCTTGTTTAGTTTATCATTGTAATGATTTAGTGTTAGTAAATGATTTAATTTTTGTGTTGTTACATATAAAATATGTGCCTGTGACTGGGGAAGGTTGGGTCTTTATCTTTGTGTACAGTTTGAGGTACAACTCTACTCAGTTTTGTTACGACTATTATAGCTGTTACTTTTATTGTTGTGAAATAAATTGTCTCAATCATCTGCTCTTGTTTATTTCATCTGTTCACTTGTGCAATGAAGGAGTGTTCCCTTATATCCCCATAAGTTATTTGCATTCCCAGTTTTTACTTTTGTTCTCTAGTCCTATTTCTCATCTGGAGAAATCTGTGATTATCCACTATGTGTATGTCTCATTATATTGTATGTTATAACCATTCATCTTCTGAATCTTTTGTCCAGTGTTTGCAGGAATCTTTAAGCTTGTCCTCATTGTTCAAATCATATTTCTAGTATCATCGATGTATCAAATTTCTGAACTCTATTAAAGATACAAATTTTCATTAGATGGGGTTCCATGCTGCTTCTGCATACTCCAGAAGTTGAGTTGGCTATGACTATTGGTATAATGAAGAGTATAAGCATTTATGACACTTGTCTAATAATTACCGATTTTCCAACTTCAATTGTTTTCAAAATGTATACTTGCAATTATATATGTTGTATAGTACTAACTTTAAAATAATTGTTAAATTATCTAAACCAATTAAAATGTTATTTTCCCTTCCTTGCTTACGATTCCCTTAACCTTCAAGAAAATCAAGTTAAAGGTTTCCATTTGGTGAAGGAGAACAGGAGAGAGGAGGGAAAGAGCCGGCTTAGAAACCTTCATTGCAGAATGAAATTTCCAGATCTTCCTTTTTTCATATTATCCACAGAATGTCTGAGTACTTATACTTGCCTAATGTTTATCTGATTATGCAGAATAATTTACTATCTTCATTATTTCAAATAAAGATTTTGTTTCCTTAACAGATCTTGGATGAACTGGATTACAGTGGCATAGGACGTAATCGGGAGTTGAGTGCACACATGCTGGGACTCCTAATAGGCAATGCTCCCAGGTTTATGAGGCAATTTGTTCAAGCCATCATGTCTGTTTTAGTTCCAAAATTGAAGGACCAGGACCCTAACCCAGCAGTCACCATGTTTGTTCTTATGGCTATTGGAGACTTGGCTCAGGTACTGTCGTAGCTGCCACTTGACATGTTGGCATGTTTCCGTAAAAATAAGTAACTCGGTATATTATACTCAGATTTTTATGTAAGCATAATGGGCCTTTTGATAAACATGGGAAAAAATGTCTGGATTTTGTAGATTTGGAACTACAGTACCTTGTTGAATTTCTTCTTTCTGCATCTGATATTTTGCTTCCACTGGGAACTTCCCTACTATGATGGGTTGGCTTCGTATGGAACCTTCTCTCCTGACACTTTAAAGGCCTTTGTGAATTAAAGGTTTTATGCTTCAATGTTTGGAAAGACTGAAGAGGCCTCATCATACATATGTAAATGAAAATGTAGAATATAGCAAATAGGAAAGAGAGGGCAAGTGGAAGGAAAGATGAAGATAAAAAGAAAGGCAGATGTTCAGGGGCACCTCGACTTACGATTGCCCCGACTTACAATAATTTCGAGTTACGATGTAAATGTGATCGAAAAATGAGACTCTTACTTATGATAGTGTCGTCGAATAACAATATTCGCTGGTACACATTCGGGTCGACCGAGGTCATGGTTCCCGATCACGCAGGCTGACCTGCCTCAGTTTACTAGAGCCGCCCGCTTAGTGGCAATCAAGCTTATAAGAAATTCCATTTTGTGGTGATTTTTTTTCTTTTTGAACATAAAACTGAATATTATATATCATGCCATGGGTTCTAAGAAAGTCAGTGGTAAGGTATAGTCAAAGAAAACACATGTAAGAATGACCACAGAGGAAAAACAAGAGATCATTCATAAAAATGAAAATGGTACTTGTGTTGTTGAACTAGCTAGGCAATACAACAAATCGTCAGGGGAGGAGGAGGAAGAGGCGGCAGTAGAGGATGTTCCTTCCTCATTAATTAAGAAAATGTGTGCAGTATGGGAAGGACTGCAAAGTTTTGCTGAAAAGAATCACCCAGATAAAGCTGTAATAGGCCGTTACATTGATCTTTTTAATGACAATGTGATGCCTCACTACAGACAAGTGTTGCAAAGAAGGGAAAAACAATCTTCAATGGAATGATTTCTAGTGAGAAAATCAAGCAGTGAGTCAGAAGCAGGTCCTAGTAGTATGCAGGCAAAACGTGCCAGAATGTTTTCACTGCCTGATGTCATCATGGAAAGGGACTCCCCTTCCAAACAGTAACATCTCTCCTCCTCCCCTCCCCCCCTCATCACCATCTTCCATACGCCATCAAGAGTCCTCCATAAAGGTAAGATAAACATATGTACTGTATTGAAGTTAGAGAATTTTTTTTATTCAGTATAGAATGTTTAAGGGGGCCTCAGGTTCCAATTTGCCCTAAAAATGCAACAAATGAAAACTCGTTCGATTTCAATCAAACTTTTTTGACAAGTTCTATATGAAAAGTGTTTCATCTGGTCCAAGTTTCAGCATCGTAGCATAAATAGGAAGGGAGAAAAAAAATATTGAAGTAGTTGTGAAAATTATGCCAAAATGGTCAAAATTGATTATCAATCAAAAGTGTCAACTGAAATCATAGCTATGACTCTTTGCTATCACAATAGTATATATTAAACAAATATTATAATTAGTTGAATTGAAAAAATTTTTTAAGAAAAAAAAACTTTTTTGTTTTTAATTATTATTTTTTTTTTTTCATTTTTTTTCGGGCGATTTGCATCAAACTTACACACCTGACTGTACGTAAGCCTATCTGTAAGGACGCCAATTTTGGAGAAAATTGGTTGATGTCAACCTCAGCCACAGATTTTAGAACCTTAGACTTTATTCATTTCTGTTTTTTTCAATTGACACAAACGTTAACAAAACTGATTAATTTTTTATTCAATTTACATGAAACTTACACAGTATATGTGGAGGGCATGTCTCTACATTGGAGAGTTTTCATTTTTCTCTAAGTTCATTTATTGATTTTATAATAGCAATAAACATGTCATATTTGCAAAAAAAATTTTGGGAACTTTGAACATTTGTATTAGGAAAACTAAAGATGTTTTGGAAATTCTATATCTCAAGGTCCTTTATTATATGCTAATGTGTCAGAAAAGTGTCACAGAATAATTATATCTGAAACGTGTGTTCTGAAGTGTGGACTTGAAAATGTGTAAAAAACGTTGGAAAAAAAAAAAAAAAAGATCTCCCTTTCTATTTACGCTGCAGTACTGAAACTTGGGACAATTTCAGCACTTTTCATATACAACTAGTAAAATAATATTGGTTGACATTGAACAACTTTGAAATGACCAAGGTGATGCCCCCTTAAGTTAATATTTTTGAGGGTGTGGAACGGATTAATTCGATTCCCTTTATTTCTTATGGGAAAAATAGTTTCGACTTACGATACGTCTCTGGGAACGGATTACCATCGTAAATCGAGGCCCCACTGTACCTTACTTTTCAACTTGGGTTCAATTGATAATGTCCACTCTTCTTTTTCATCTGCTTCACTGCCTCATCTATATATGTACGGGTATATACAATACTGCATGTTTGCTTATGAATATTTTTTATGAGAAGTAAGATGTAGCTCTAGATTATCACCTCGAAGTAAACAGCCAGAAATGGCTCGGCACATGGCCCTGTAAACAGGAAGTTCCTGATCTACTAGGTTCTAATAGATATGTCGGTCTGCAGGCTGCTGCAAACAACAGCCTAACTGATTAAGTTATCATTAGAGAAGCCTGATTTCCCAGAGCAGGTTTGGGGCATAGAAGAACTTTGGAAGTCAATTACAGGTAAACTATAGGATTATTTGCCTCGTTATTTCTTGGTACGTAAGTTTCCCTGAGCACTTACTTGTTTATTTTTGTCTGTGTCTTCCGGCAAATTTTTTCTCGGCTGTGGGTTGACCTCCGATCCCCAAGCTCTCCTCAACTTGTAGAACAGGCCATGTTTTGGGCCTGATTTCCATTAGGCAAGAATAGGTCTCAGAGGCCTGGTGCATCTCCATAAAGCATGGCTGAATCAGTGCTGAGCTTCAGACAACAGTGAGTGAAAGAAGGAAAACTCCAAGTAGCAAGCAAAGTATTGTTCTGTACTAAAGTCATTAAATGTCTGAAGAAATATCAACAATGGATTATTTCTTAACTTGAATATTTACAGGTACAGTACATTTTAATTTGAGCTAATATAAAAATAACATTGCTACTTCAGGTAAGTGGTGGAGAGATGCAGAAGTGGCTGACAGAACTTATGCCCTTACTTCTGGAAATGTTGGGTGATGGTACATCTGGGTGGAAGCGGCGTGTGGCTCTGTGGACTCTGGGTCAGCTGGTGGAGAACACCGGCTATGTGGTCCACCCCTACACCCAGCACCCTACTCTGCTTGATGTTCTTCTCTCATTCCTCAAAACTGAACAACAGTCTGTTGTTAGGTGAGCCACTTATCGCATTATTTGTATAACAAAAAGCCATTAAAAGTGTTTATAAGAAGCTAAAGGAAGAAAGGCAAGGAGGAGACTGAGATATGATGATAGGATGGATTTTGGGTATGGAGAGGTTCAGATGTGCTTTGAAGACTTATTCATTGTTTAAATTAGTAGAAATAATTTGAAGGATATTGTCTTTGTGAAAAACCTTGTTTTTCTTTGCTACTCTATACGTATTTTATACTGAAGCTACTCAAGTTCATTAAAGAATAATATACTTGTTACAACAATGCAAGTGGAATAGAAAGATATTACAGTTTACAACTTCAATATTTTCAGGCGTGAAACTATACGAGTGTTGGGTCTGCTTGGAGCCCTGGATCCATACAAGCATAAGATGAATGTTGGGATGATTAAGATTCAGGAAGACACTGGTGTTGCAGTCATATCCATCACCGAAGCAAAGAATGATGATCTCACTGCTGGTATATTATTTGTCATAAGCATTTACACTAAACAGGAAGCGAGATTTTTTTTTTTTTTTTTCCTTATACCATTCAGAAGTTTATAAATTAATTAAGGATTTATTTAGATGTTATTCAACTTTTTAAACTTGGTTTGATCTGCCTGTAGCATAATAATGTACAGTAAATAGAGAGCGTATGTACTGTAATATTCCTGTGATATTAATTTTTACATTATTGTTTAACTCAACAGATTTAGGCACGAGTGAGATGCTAGTGAATCTGAACTATTCTTCCCTGGAGGAGTTCTACCCAGCTTGTGCCATTGCTATGCTCCTCAAGGTTATTAAAGACCCATCACTCGCTCAACACCACAACGAAGTTGTTCGGGTAAGTTTACTTTCGTTACAGTGATATTGTTTGGGCAAGTTTGTGTGTGTTCAATACTCTATGGAGATATTTTGCTTTCATTCAATGCCAATCTTAGGTTATATAAGTAAGTTTCCCCTTTGTTTCCCATAACAAGACTTGACAGGTATGTATGCTTTTTTAAATACAGGCATACCTCAGAATAAGAGTTTAATCCGTTCCTGGAGACGCCTCGCCTTCCGAAAACTCGCATTCCGAAGTTAATTTCCCCATAAGAAATAAAGGGAAATGAATTAATCCGTTCCTGACTACCCCAAAAACCCCACATCAAACTAAATTTTTATACCTAATTTACCTAATTCATCTAAATAAACCTACAAAACTGTGTTCCAGTTATTACTTACCTTGCTGTCGAGTGCTGTAGGCGTATGGAAGATGGTGAGGAGGGGGGAGGAGGAGAGGAGTTACTGTTTGGAAGGGGAGTCCCCTTCCATAATCACATCACATAACCCCATGCCTTGTAACACTATGGATACCACTTCTCTTTCTAAATTTTTCAAACCAGCCCCTGCTTGCCTTAAACTCTTTCTTATCTGCATCACTCGTTGCAGGGGTATTCTTTAGAAGGTCTTCATGCAACACCCTGGCTTTCTCACAAATAATGGCCTCCGAAACACTATCACCCCTCAACTCCTTGTCGTGTATCCAAATTAATAACAACTTTTCCACTTCTTCAAGTATTTGTGGTCTTTGTGCCGTTAATGTTCTTACTCCTTTTGCCACTTTAGCACCCATAATCTTATTTTTCTTCTTAAGTATAGTGCATATTGTTGATGTGGCTTTGTTGTACTGCCTACAAAGTTCAACAACACGTGTACCATTCTCATGCTTCCGAATGATCTCTTGTTTCTCCTCTATTGTCATCCTCACATGAGCTTTCTGGCCTTTATCCTTACCACTGGCTTTCTTGGGACCCATGGTGAGATATATAATAACAAATTGTATAGGCAAATCACCAAAAATCCAACAAAACACTGAAAATCCGCGAGAAGAATTGATGTGGGGGTAGTCACTGAGCGCGAGACAATAATAAACTGAGGGGCGGCGGGGCGGAGGGGCGACGAACGCGCTAGGTCGGCTGTACGCGTATCAACAAACTCGCGTCCAAACTCGCCTCCCGAAGTAACCCTCGCCTTCTGAGACAAATTTTTGGAGTAAATACACCTCGCCTTCCGAAAACCTCGCATACAGGGACAATCGCATTCCGAGGTACCACTGTAATGTAAAAATGTCACACAGCTCATAATATTCAGTGTGCAAATCAACATTGATATGAAATGATTTTGTTTGCCTGTCTCATATGTGGATGTTAACTTATGCACATGTGCATCCACTGTTTAATCTGTTATTTTGTCTTCTCCCCGATCTCTCTCATTCTGGTACATGTAATTGCCTTTCCCTCTTAGGGTGTAACTTTCTTCCCTTCTTCTTTTATATATTCCCATAGACTTATATTTGCTGTGGTTGAACTTCAGCAACGATTTGTCTCGTAACTTCTGGAGTTTGTTGTGGCCCTTCCTGCAGCACTGTGCACTCTTCCTCAGTTTGAACTGTTTTTCATTGTCTGCAAACATAAATATGTACTATCTCTGGTTAGTCAGTAACTTAGATTATGAACAGGGATAGATACGGGACTGAGATGCAAGGGACATGGCTTGCTATGTCTCTAGTTTATGTTCGTAATGTGCTCACCCAATTGTGCTTTTTAGGGGATTGAGGTTTGGCTCATTGGTCCCATCTCTGAACTGTCAGTCAACTGATGTATAAGTTCAGGAAACTGTACACCATTTGATTGGCAGTTGAAAGGTGGAACTGAAGAGTTGATGCTTAACTCCCACAAGCACAATTTGGTAAATACATCACTTCTTTAACTGTGACATTCCATTTCCTGTTCATTTAGTACTTCTTTACCTAGTTCAGGGTCTTTGCAGTTGTCCTAAGCCTGCCTTTTTTTTTATATGCTAGACTTTTATGTGGAACTGTAGAAATGGTTTGTGATGCTCTACATAGATTAAAGCTACTCAGCCCATTCTTACACCTTCACCCCACAATAAAGGTGTTACTGTATTTGATAACGGAGATGTTGGTTAGATAGGTTTAAACTATTTCAAAGATTATCTGCTTCTCATATTTAGGTGTATTTTTTATTTTTCAGGCTATTACATTCATCTTCAAATCATTGGGTGTGAAGGGAGTGCCATATCTTGCGCAGGTTATTCCTTCTCTCCTCATCGTCATAAGAACTTCAGATGCTAACTTTAGAGACTACTTATTCCAGCAATTGGCTACACTCATTGGCATTGTTAAGCAGCACATTCGAAATTATCTAGATTATATCATTGATATTTTGAAGGTGAGTTCCAGGAAGTACTGAATATTTATTTTCTGTTCCTAAAAAATTTATTGATATATATAATAGGCCCTCGCGTAGCATGCCAGATGTATTCTGGGAACACTTCATGTTACTGGAGTATTGCTCTACATGATCTTTGTTATATAGGAAGAATATTAATGCAATTAAGACATCCCAAAGTCACCCATTTTCCACTTATATTTCAGACACAAGTTTTGTACCACATTACATACTGTACAGTAACTCTTCCAAAATCTGGATAATTTCATTCCAGATCTCATCTGGATTTCTAACAAATTACACGCCTTTGTTATTTATCACCCAGTTTTCCATACATAAAAACGTAATATAAGAATAAAGGAAACTGCAGAAGGCCTACAGACTCATACAAGTCTTCCTACTTATATCCACTTAATCTCATTCATATATGTGTTAAACTACACTTGAAACAATTCCAGATTTGTAATGTTACTGTGTGATTTTGGTCTGTAAATCAAATGGTCTTGTTTCCAGACCAATATTTAATTTTTTTTTTTTATCTGTTCACCAGGATTGTTTCTACTGGGATTAACATTAGTCATCCTTGTTTGTATTCATTCAAGGGAATTTATGACCATTCTGTGGTACGGAAACCAAAACTGAGCCACATAATCTAAATGGGGCTTAAAAAAGGAAAGATAAAGCTAATGAAACATACTAGATGTCTTGTTGGTAATACTTCTAGAAATAACTTCCAGTATCCTCTTTGCTTTATTCTGTACTTATTTGCATTTATATTTCTAGGGGAAGCCCCTTTGGCTTCCCGGAGCTTACTAGGCTGATATGCCCAGGTATTCCCAGGCAGGGTACTGCTACCCAGTGCCCAAAACTACCAACTGTCTAAAGCTGAACCCCAGAAATGTGTACACTCACGGGGACCTAGCAGGGGTCACCATCAGAATAGAACCGTGCACAAGTCAGGCACAAAAAAGGGGGAAGCAAGGCAGACCCCCTACAAGGCAAAAACAAAACCCCGCAAGAGGACAGCGTACCCCAAGGAACAGAGCCGGCCGCTGTAAGAGGTGAAAACAAGCTGCGCAGTACCCTGCGCCTCACCAGTGCAAACTGCCTCTTTCCCTAAGGTAAACCAGGAAGACAAAACCCCTAAGCACCCAAAGGGCAGTCGAGAACCGAGCAGTGATATGGCTTAGTAGAGGCACGCCACGAGGAACTTGTGGAAGGTAACCCCAAGCTCCAAGGACAGTACTTACAGGGCACCTAGGGACAATAACCCTAGACGCATGCAGCCCGAGTACTGTAGAATAACTGCTGGCTCTCACACCACTGGAAGACAGCCACCACACTCACAAAGCACAGTGTTGGAAACGCTGTAGCCAGGCACACGACCTGAGAACTGAAGGGCGGATAGCCAGCACGTCATGGTCGTTTGCTCGTTTCTTTTAGGGGAGTTCTATCCAGTTGTTCGGCTTTTGGTAGCAATATTTTCACCAGAATAGGGGTTTATTTTGGGATGCTTACCTTTCTGGGTGCTTGACCCGGTCAATGGCAGACATAGAATGCCTCCAAGCACACGGGGCTTTCTATAGGCCATTGCTCCCCATGCCTCTCTGAGGGGGCCAGGTTCTGGCTCGTGGTTCCCGGTAGGCCCACAGAACTCCGTTCACATGATCGATGCCAAAGTCTGACATTAACATATCAGCCTAGTAAGCTCCGGAGAGCCTCCAGGTCTCGCCCAGTAAATGGCGTTTCAGTACATTCAACGCTGGTTTTTTGGCTTAAAATCTCTGTTCATCATTACTCCCAGATTTTTTTTTTGTGTTCAGATCTTTGCAATTTCAACTTTGTCCAGCTACTGTCTGGTTATGGTTATTATTATTACCTAAATTTGGAAATTTACATTTTTTGCCATTACTCTTCATCTGACAATCTTTCATCCATTATAAAAGTCTGTCAGGATTGTCTTGTGATTTTTTTTCCTTGTGAAACTCAAAATTAAATGAAGTAAAAAATTGTATTTAAAATATGCTCAGTGGCTTTCCCAAGGCACTGCCTGTTTCTCCCAGTTGTGCATTCATCTTTGAAAATCAATAAAAGCGTGATTGGAGCCATGCTAAATGAGTTACAGTACTATTTATACCCTAATTTCCCCCCCCCCATTCTTTATGCTTTTATTTCACTGAGAAAGTTGTTAATTTCAACCTACTTATGATAGATAACTACCAGGAGAATTTTTTGTGGAAATATGTAATCACATCCAGCTAATTTCCCCACACACCCCAGGTTTATAACCTCTTTTTATTTGACTTAATAAGTTTTTACTGTAGGATACTAATTTTTTTGTTTAAAAGTTAAAAAGAATTTTCTTTGTAAGAATTAAGTACACTGTAGTCTCATTTGTTTTGGCCAATTTATCTCAGGAATCTCATTATGTATTCTAAAATGTTCATCAATTGTAAAGGAATTCTGGGTAACTGGTGGTAAACTGGAGACGACCATCACCATCATTACTGTTGTCGAGAGCATTGCATTAGCCGTGAGCTCCGAATTTAAGATCTACCTCAAAGAGCTGATTCCTATGATACTCAAGTCGTGCATCAATGACTCAAAAGAGAAGCAAGTAACTGGAAAGGTAAAGATTTAATCGTTCTGATAATAACAACTGTACTGTATATTTATCTAGATGTCATTTTATTTATTGAATGCCTTGTTGTTAATTACCTTAAGGTTAAAGTTAAGTTAATGAAATCTTTATGATCTTTTAGACATTGTTGAACATTGTTATTATAATTACTCCTTGGCACAATAACTTGGTACTTCCAATACATAATATATTTGAATTTGGGTGTTGATTTGTATATAAAATTTGTCACTAGCTTTGTGCCTTTGCCTTCAAAGTATGGTCATCTTCATGTGTTGATCATCCATTATAGTAGATGTATTATAGTATATGATGATATATCATCCATTCAATACCATTGTTGCTTATATGTTTCCAGTACAGTAGCTCAATGGTGCCAGTTAGGGGAGGTCAAAAAAAGTATTTGGAGTGACACAAATTTCATCTCTTGGTCCCACATCAACATATGTTTTTACTTTTACATGTAGATTCCATACCTTTAAACATATTTCATAAAAAAAAAAGGTTGCATGTTCCTGGCTAAAAAAACATTCATAATTCTTTAAAAAAAAAAATGACACACCTAATGAGATTGGAAGGCATTTCTTCCCTATTTTGCCGGATATATTCAAAGCTGTTTGCGTTTTATGATGTCTCAATGTGACTACTACGTATCATACATACATGCACGTATTATTAATAGTCTCACTGAGACATTACAAAAAGCAAACAGCTTTGAATATATCTGGCAAAATGGGGAAGAAATGCTTCCCATCTCACTGGGTATGTGAGTCACTTCAGAGTCTATGAATGGGTTTTTAGTATTCTGCCAGGACCAAGCAAATAATATTAAATCATAAGATAATTAACATTAATTTCAATCATCTACAGCTTCTGTTGGCATTCCAAAAGTTTGGACCTACGCTTGAGGAATTTCTACACATGATTCTTCCTCACATTGTTAAACTTTTTGACGCCAGTGATGTTCCCCTCGCTGTTCGCCGCACAGCTCTTGAAACTGTGGATCACTTTTCTGATTATCTTGACCTTTCAGACTATACATCCAAGATAATGCATCCTTTGGTAAGACTAATTATTTGTGCATCTTTTGTGAATGTTAATTATTTTACTGTGGTATTAGATAGTGGTTAAATTAAAATTAAAAATAGGATGTTGAACATAACGAAACACCTCTCTGAGCTGTTTGAGTTGAGAGTATCCCTCAGATACTCTCTGAGGCAGAGCCATTATGGTCCACCCAGTACAGGTCTCCCCTGTTAGGCTATTGTCAACCTTGTCCTTCTTCATGACAAGGATCTTTACAAATTATCTTTACAAATTATGTCAAGGAAATTAGGAAAAGAAGACAGCCACAACTTGAGGACTAATTTGCTGTAACACAAATAATTGAGTAATAACCTCAATCCTCATGCAAGAAATAATTGAAACATAAGGAATACTAATTATTGCTCTGCTAAAAATTAGGTAAGACAAAGTACCCCTGACACCTCCAGGTAGCAGACCTGCCAGCACAGCTGGCAAGGACAAAAAAAAGGGAATGGCTGAGTTTTGTTTAATTTGCACGTGACATCTATTTGGCAAGTGGAAATTTGATTATTGGTTATTCTTCTACTTCTTGGGTGTGATATCATCTAAGAGTCTATACTATACAATGGTCAGATAACAATTATGTTTGAGAGTTCTTGGTCTTCAAATAGTGCCTGGGACAAGAACCCTTAAACTAAGCAGAAGTGGAAAAAGGACAGCCAGATGCATGCAGCAACTAGGCACTGCACAGAAGTGAATAAGAAAACAATATAATGCCCTGCATAAAAATCAAGTCTGAAAGAAAATCAGTCAAGCTTAACTGAATTGGCTTCTACAGAACTCGTAGTGGTGCACTTGCCTACTACTTCAAACCTGTTGTGGTGGTAATATTCCATTTGGTGGTGGTGGTCAGTGCAATAAGTACTTAGCTAGGTGGTAATTAACAGAGGGCAAATTGGTTGTTTTGTCACTGCAATTATCTCTCAAAGGGGATATAGATTGGTAAGGTTCTACTTTTTGCTATTATAGTAATGATTGAAGTTTATCTATGCAGTCTTCCCCTCCTTAACTGGGTTGTAGGACTGTTTGTAAAGTTACTTGTCATCATAAGAAGCAGGTCATGTGGGCAGTGTCTTGGGTGGACCCCTGGCCCTGGCTCAAGGCATGACAAAAGGGACATTCAGAAAGGAGAATTTCATAATTCTCATTTCCAACTTTATATATCCATCATCTGTTTTTTGAGGATTGATAACCTCTTGCCTGAGATCTTCTGAAAATTCTTAGACCTTTGTAATGATGAATAAACATATTTACTTGGTTGCTGATGTTTGCAGCCATTCTTTATACCCCATGGACATGAAGGTGACTTTTTGAAACTTAAAATCTTTCTGAAGCCCATGAGAAACATCCCAGATAACCATAAAGCAGAGTAGTAAAGTACCCTGTATTTCATTTACAGCATTTTTTAAATGTAAGAAGTGTAAATAAATTAGTGCATTTTGTATTAGAAAAATATGCAATAGTTTTGGCTTATGTTTTTGTTTCATCCAGTGCTGATAGTCATTCAATTGTTAATGTTGTCATATATTTATGCACAAGATGCTGAATACACTAACATTGATTTTACTAAAACCAGTTTCCAGTTCCATTGAATCAAGAATATAAATAAATTTGTAGACATCTGTATATTTGCATTTGTTGAATTTTCTAACAAAAAATTTCAGCTACGAACTCTTGACACAAGCCCAGAGCTACGTCAACAAGCAATGGATGTGTTGTGTTCCCTAGCAACTCAGCTAGGTCGGTCGTACGAGTGTTTCATTCCTGTTGTTCACCGCATAATGGCCAAACATAGAATTAGTCATCCAAGATATGATATTCTTGTTGCCAAAGTGGTAAAGGTATGTTGAGCAATCTAATTATTTTTCAGTAGCTGTAGAAGATAGCATATAGACTGTATGTATATTTCTGTATGATTTATGTGTAAGATTGCTTATCTGTAGATACAAAAATGCTTCAGTTTTCTCTTTCTTTCCTTTTTCAATGTACTGTATATTGAGTGTATTCAAGTGTATTCACAAATTTTTAAATATTGGAGTCTGCAAGTAAATTGAAAATATTGAAAAAAATTATATACTGTATGGTACTTGGATATACAAATTTTTTTATTAATTAAATTCTGATATTGATATCATTCGTAAAATTTGGATAGAAAGTTATCCTTTATTTTTATCCTAGTTCCTCAAATTTATATTTGGTTACCATTAGTTTTCATGTGTTTTGTTACATCTCAATTTATTTCACCCTCTTAACCTAGTATTTTGTTTCCAGGGGCTAACAATATCTGAAGATGAAAGTACTATTCTGACAGCACATTCACGCTTCAAGAGACCAAAGTCCAGGGACCACCAACTTGAAACTGACTCAGCCACAATCAAGAAGGTCTGTTTTATCACAATGGCTTTAAAAAATTTGTAATGTACTGTAGGTTTCCTGTCAAACACAACAAAACTATGATGTTGCTACAGCATTTGAACAACTTGTAACATCTTCTAACAAATAGTAACGCATCAAGTATCTAGCAAGTTGTAACAACTTTCTAACATGTCATCAAAACTTTATAACAAGAAGTCTCCGTGGTGTAGTGGTAAGACACTCGCCTGGCGTTCCGCGAGCGCTATGTCATGGGTTCGTATCCTGGCCGGGGAGGATTTACTGGGCGCAATTCCTTAACTGTAGCCTCTGTTTAACGCAACAGTAAAATGTGTACTTGGATGAAAAAACGATTCTTCGCGGCAGGGGATCGTATTCCAGGGACCTGCCCGAAACGCTACGCGTACTAGTGGCTGTACATGAATGTAACAACTCTTGTATATATCTCAAAAAAAAAAAAAAAAAAAAGTAACAGCTTTGTAACAGTTGTAATAAGGTAACAATAGGGACTGTTACGTTGTGTGTTTACAGGGTATGGCCTGCAGTATCTTTATAGTTTGCCAAGATTTGGCAAACTATGGGGCCAAACCTGATTTGTTGGTGTCTTGGAAAAATTGTAACCAGGAAAGTTTTCAGGAGTAAGGTGCAGGATGCAGTGTTTTGTTTAATGTTTTGTAAGTGACAACACATGATAAACACATTGTTCTTATAACACATTGAATTTACTAATGCTCTGTACAGTATCATATCATTATTTTATTTACCTTAAAGAAATATATCTTGCTTGAATCTAAATCCATGGTTCTACAGTACATTATATGCCACTCCATTATTCATACAGTATACTGTACTTAAGAACATAAGCATAAAAGAAACTGCAGAAAGCCTATTAGAGCATATGAAGCATCTCCTATTTATATTCACTCAACTCATTTGTGTTTATGTCTAACCTATGCTTGAAACAATCCCATAATCCGTTGACCAGGCCACACACTAGAAAATGAAGGGACGACGACATTTCGGTCCATCCTGGACCATTCTCAAGTTGATTGTGGACTTGAGAATGGTCTAGGATGGACCAAAACGTCGTCATCCCTTCATTTTCTAGTGTGTGGTCTGGTCAACATATTTCAGCCACATTATTGTGACTCATCATCTGCAAACCTGTAATCCCACGTCTCTATACATGATCAAGTGAATATATATCGATTCTATAGTACAGATAACGTAACTGAACTGCATTTTGTTTTACTACAAATCATAATGCAATATATATTTCTTGTGTTTAAAAAAATTCAAGGGGGGGAAATTTTTGGTCTGGAACATGGCTTTTACCTTAACACTCGGTAGGAAACTTGTGTTTGTTTATTGACTATTTGATTATCGAACACTTTTTTCAGGAAATGTATCTCATTGGTTAAATGAGGCTCGACTGTAGTGTATTGTACATCATATATATTCTTAGTCATAGATTTTTGTCTAATCAAATTATTATCCTATAATATTCAATACTGTACTTTATTAGTTTGAAACTTTCGAGATGGAATGTGACTTCTTCATTCTTCACAAATCTGTGCATACCTCACTTTGTTCTACAGAAGTTTGCCAAATCCAGGGTGTAAATTTTAAACAAAATGTGTCCAATGTAACTAGAAATTTACTGAAGCAAGTGTAGCTGAATGAGGTTGTAATGTATACTGTTATGATCTTTTAAGTGAGCACCCCATTTTGCAGCAGGGGGATTAATAGATTCGTATCTCAGTTTCCTCCTCTTCTCTCCACCAATTTAGTACCTCCTTTCCACAGAGAGAGAAGATGCATGCTATGAGTGTAGATTGTGAAGCCCAGTTTCTGGCTAAAGAAAGGGAATCAAGCTTTAGAGTGTTTATTTATTTAGGTATGAGTCCACAGGTTGTGTTGAATCACTGAGCCAAATTCCCTTAGGTTTGATTCCTTCTGTTTGGTAATTAAACACCAGACAGAGGAACACTTTTTCTCAATAGTCACAAGAATATTGTATTTGTACTGTGCCAGTAACCTCATTGGTTCAGCTGGAGATAAATTTATAATTATGTTTAATACCTCCCCCCCCCCTCCCTCTCTCTCTCTCTCTCTCAATTCTAAGTTATTAACTTGTGCAGGTGACAGTTGGAGTACAGTCTCTCCAGCGAGCGTGGCTCTTCACCCGCTTGGTAAGCAAGGATGACTGGCTCGAGTGGCTCAGACGCTTCAGTATTGAATTGATGAAGGCATCTCCATCCCCAGCATTAAGGTAAGTGATTCTGGAAAATTATTAAATGCTTGGAAAGATTTACATTTTAGGGACTCAGCTGAGATTGAAGTGAGTTCCTTTCTTACTGAAAATATGTTACAAAATTCACATGCATTCAAATTTGATATTTCTTATTGTACTATTGTACATGCATTAAAAGCTCCTTATTGTGCTTTATTGTTTATAGAAGACACTAACAAGAACCCACAGATTGCAGCAGAAGCAAATTGAATGTACTATAAACTAAAGAAAAATCCAACAAATTTTATTCAAAGGCTAACTCAAAAACCAATAGTACTGTGTTTGGTTTGGTTTTCTTTAAAACATGTACTATTTTCTATAATTAAAAATAAATTATAATATATTATGTAATCAGCTTGTAATTGTTTTTAAGATCTGAAAATGTATTTTGAGTACTAGTTTTTTTAATGATGCTTGTTTCAGTGCTTTGGCACTCAGTTACTCCTTAAGGCAAAGAACCTCATGGAACCCGGACGGGTCTATGCCGAGTCACTCCTGAACTAAGTCTGCTTCAGTGCAGCAAGGGATTTGTCAAACTATACCTGTCAGATCATAGTCATAATAGGGAGACACTGGAGAAAATCTGCCAGCTAGAACATTTCGGAGCCATTTTAAATACTAACTTGCAAAGCGAGGATTGTCATTTAGTATTCATGCAAACTTTCAGTTGGCTACACTTGATCATCTCCAGAGAGCAGTAACTGACATGAACACAAAATCTCATGACTGTGTCTGCCTCACAATTGAGCCAAGCCCAGAAACAACGGAATGATTCAGAAAACTGCTTTTTATAAAACTTAAGATTGAATATCTGACCTATACCACCTAGTTGCTTTCCAAGATGTCTTCTTCAAAAGTTGAACAAAAAATACAATACAACTATCAATTTGTGCTAGGTTTCATTCTTGCAAATTTGGTATGAAACAAATACTGCACAAATCAAGCTTAGCCGGGAAAATAGTGTTACACGCAGAGAACCTCAAAGTTAATTTTTTCACTTGACTCAATATTACACCCGTTTAAAAGTTAATATTTAATGATCTCTACTTCTTGCCACAAATGCAGTATATAATGATGTTCATAATGCTTGAGATGTGCTACAATGCAAGAACATAAACAAATTTTGGTAAAATACAAGAAATGTGATGTGTGTGGCAGCTCAACGCATGGCTGAGAATGTGGTGCCAGAGCGAGACACGCAACACAACCATTCACTATGATTGTCTGGAGGCAACTAAGCCTCCCAACTGTGTGGCTTCAGGGAGGTAGCACCACACAGTGAGGTCATGTTCCTGGCACATACGTCTGTCTACAATCAAAATTAAGTTTTAGTCTTAGTGTTTTTCCTGCCCGAAACGCTTTGCGTAATAGTGGCTTTAGGCATTGTATGTACTAACTCTATCTATAAATCCATCAACTTTTGTATTTCACCTTGTATGTATGTACTTTACCTGAATAAATATTTGTTTGTATTTGTATTTCACCACAAGACCATCATTCTTGTTTGTCCCATAAGTATGCACCGCCTCGTGCAGGGCACCGTATACTTTTGACGAATACTGTATATTGCACTGTATGTGAAAATGAGTGCAAAAGTCATTGACTATCACAATTACCAAATTAATTAGTAACCAGTAGTGGTACAATTAATAATTGATTAATGAATTTTTTTGGAGGTAGAAAACTAGATTTGAAGGGTGTTTTGTTAGATTAATATGTTGACAACTGTGTCAAGAGCTGTGTTTTCTTCGTTTATAACCGTGACCAAAGGGACATCATTGAAGATAGTTATCCTATTTCTAGGTCATGTTACTCGGTGGCCACCACATATGTGCAACTCTCTCGGGACCTGTTTAATGCTGCCTTTGTATCCTGCTGGAGTGAATTGAATGAAAGCCTGCAGGATGACCTCCTTCAGTCCCTTCGTCAAGCACTCACCTCCCAGGATATTCCTGAGATCACACAAACTCTCCTTAATTTGGCAGAGTTTATGGAACATTGCGATAAGGTGAGGTATTATTGTACTGTAATAAATGTTTATGGTTATGGCTGATATATGGAGCTTTTGTACTGACATTAAAAAGCATTGTTGTATAATAGGTAAGTTGTTGGAATAGCTATACTGTACTGTTATTCATTTGGCTTAGTACATATATAGCATCATTTTGTGAAGTTGATTCTAAATATGTATGAATCTTAAGTTTTGGGCAGTTAGCTAAAGAAGCGTTACCCCCAACAGGGTCCACTGCCTCTAGAACTTCAGCTGTTGGGTGAGAAGGCAATGGAGTGTCGTGCATATGCTAAGGCTTTACATTACAAAGAGGAAGAGTTCCACAAGGGTCCCACATCAGATGTTCTGGAGCATCTTATCTCCATTAATAATAAGTTGGGGCAAAAAGAAGCAGCAGCAGGTAAAGTAGTGTAACTTTCCTACATCATCTTGTCTTTAAATAGGGGAGAGTTAACACAACAGGGAATTTCATGCGTACCAAATATACCAAATCTATGATGTTTAATTATAAGCTGTCCATTCTGCAGTTCTAATTAAGCTTTTAAGTATGTGCATGATATTATATTTCAGTTTATTTTGTTTCACCACTGTTTTAGTAATGCTTTAAAATTGAATACTGTATGTATTGTTATTCTTAGGTCTCCTGGAGTATGCCCGCAAGAACAACCGCACAGATATGAAGGTCCAAGAGAGGTGGCATGAAAAGCTGCACGATTGGGATCAGGCCCTTCAGGCATATCAGACAAAACTGGAGACAAGACCAGATGATCTAGATTTAGTTCTCGGTCAGATGAGGTGTCTTGAAGCTCTCGGTGAATGGTTAGTAAATGAAAATTGAAAACAAAATTTTTTCTCTTTCATTACCAAACTGTTACTTTTACTTATTACTTATTTACTTATTACTTTCATTTGGTCTTTAGGACCAAAAGAACAGAGCTCAACCTCTGCAAGCATAACTAGGTGAATACAACTAGGCAAATACACACACACACACACACACACACACACACACACACACTTACATACAAATATACATACAAAAATTATCATGTAATTTCCAAGTTTTTATGAGAGTGAATGAAATTTTCAAATTAAAACTCATTGTAAGCACTTTGCATGAGGCTGAATGAAGTTGTTGGTTGCTGCTGCCAATGTATTGATGGGGAGTGAAAATGTGTGGTGTGGAAGGTACAGTGAATAGATGCGGTGTCTTCTTGACCATCTTTGTCAGTCTTATTATAAATTGCTTCCACCCAGCCTTGTCCCATACCATATTGTTCACACTCACTTCTGTCTTCCTTCCGCACTTCACTCACTCACCATGTCTAGCAGTCTTTGTTCTGGGCCTGCCTCTCTTCATCCTACCCTCAAATTCACTCGAAGTATACTCTATTCCCCAGTCTACCATCATCCATTCAATTTAAATGCCCAAATTGTCTTGATATGCTTTTCTTAATCTTAAATTTTGTTGACTTTTGCACTCGACATCTCTCAAAGAACTTCTTGTTCATTACTCTATTCTAACACTACACGTGCTTTTTAATTGATCTGTTTTGACTGTTCTAACTCCTCATTTTTCACATCTATACCACACCATTGTCTCATTTGTTCATGAGAGTTGGCACTTCCATGCCCTTTTGCAGACCTCTATTTCTATCTGGTTTTTGCTATTTGTGGCTTTTATTGCACCAACCCCTTTCCTCTCCTGACAGATCCTACTTTCAACAATAGTTGCACAAATTTTTCTTTTTTAGAATCAAACATTGCATGTCTTTAAGCTGATCAACCATTACAAGCACTTCACCATTCACACTGTCACATGCCTATAAAAGTTTAATTTTCAATTCTTTAACGTATGGATTTAGTGTTTATATGTACGCAGTATTTCCCATGTGAAGAATGGGCTTCCTTGGTAGTTGCATATGCAGACATATTATCTCCTTTGAGCCTTTAATTTTTCACCAATGGTATTGCAGTATATTTGAAGTGTTCTGCTATTCTACCTCATGTAAGTAGTGCAATGCAATATAATTATATGGCATTTTGTAATGTATGTGTGTGTGATACAAGATGTATGTAAATAGTTAATTTAATTTAATTATTAACACTGACATGCTTTACTTATACCACAGGGGCGAGTTGTACAGTGTGTCGTGTGAACGGTGGGATGGCTCCATGGCCGATGAGTTCCGTGGTCAGATGTCACGAGTTGCATCAGCCTCAGCATGGGCAATGGGGCAGTGGACGATGATGGAGGATTATGCCAAATACATTCCACTTGACACGCAGGAAGGAGCATTTTACCGTGCCGTTCTGGCCGTGCACAAGGATCAGTATCATCCAGCACAGCAGGTTTGTAATTCATAAATGCCATTTTATTTTCTTCATATTTAATATATTTAATTTAGGTTAAAAATGTATGTGGGTTGGGCAGGTCAGAACTCTCTACAAAAATGCAAATCAGTATCTTTTTAATTATTATATTTTCATGAATTTTTAAGGTAGACATTAGTTAAATTTTAGCTTCAATTATATTTTGTTGTTTCATTTAATGTGCACATGCGTATGTATATATGTAAACAAAATTGTTATACTATATTACGCAGTTGGACTGACCAAGATAAATATCCTCAGCTAATCGACACAGCCCGAGATCTGCTAGACACAGAACTGACAGCCATGGTGGGGGAGAGTTATCAGCGGGCATATAATGCTATGGTGGCAGTGCAGATGTTGGCTGAGCTAGAGGAAGTGATCCAGTACAAGCTAGTTCCAGAGAGGAGACAACCTATCACTCAGATCTGGTGGGAAAGACTACAGGTTCGTTCTCAGGTGCAAGTCTTGATAATGAAATCAAGTGCGCAAGTGTTCCCCCTAGTGCACGAAGAAATCACATTAATGTGATGTATCAATGAAGCCTACTTCATCTTAGTCAACTAACTACTGCTGGTGATCCAGTTAATTACATATATTGCGGTCTAGCTGCTGTGTTCATGTAGTTAGTAAATTAGATATAGCCAAGGCTAGTCAATTGATTATGACATAATTCTTACTATTTTAAACAAATTTTGTTGTAAATACAGTATGTTGCACTGCATAATAATAAATTATCATCAATTGGTAAGTCAGATAATATACTAAAATGATATATTCTTATGAAAACAGTACTTACACATGAATGTCTATGGAAAGTGAGATCTAGTTGTTTGGTTACTGCCTCATAGTTCTGAATACTTGGTACTGTATTTTTATTTTTATTTGACATTAAGGGTTTTTTCATATGTGCTCTAGAAGCTATAGATAAAAAGTCACTTTCATGATTTCTTCTTTCATTGCGTTCCACTTAACATGACAGTCGGTAAGATAGCAGTGTTAGTTTAACATCTTTTAGTATACCGAGCAGTATTTGTAAAAATTAATCTTGCTCGGTAAGTAAGACATCCAAATTTGTACATTAATTTCAAGATTATGGTATCAATCATACAATGGTAACAGATTACCTATATAAATTAATAATATTAGACAATCCATACTACCAATCTAAATTTTCCTTAAATCGTAGCTAAACTAAAAAATGAATTTGACTGCAAATTCAATGGGTTTTGGTAGTCATTCTCCTTAAAGGCACAAACCAAGATATTGAGCAAAATTATCCGAAGTGAATGTTGTCTAGAACCTCCATGCAAACATCTAGACTTCCTTTTCTTGCGGAAGAGTTTTAGAACATTAGCTGAACAGTTAAGAACGAAAACCATAATCTGGAAAGGAAGAGCTTTCACAAAAGGTAAACTGTCTTAGCTCTTATATCAAGCCACACCTTTCTCCAGTGGTATTCTTCTGGTGACCGAGACCAGTCAGTAACATCTCAAGCTTTCTCTTGAGGTTATCTTGAGATGATTTTGGGGCTTTAGTGTCCCCGCGGCCCGATCCTCGACTAGGCCTCCACCCCCAGGAAGCAGCCCGTGACAGCTGACTAACACCCAGGTACCTATTTTACTGCTAGGTAACAGGGGCATAGGGTGAAAGAAACTCTGCCCATTGTTTCTCGCTGGCGCCCGGGATCGACCCCGGGACCACAGGATCACAAGTCCAGCGTGCTGTCCGCTCGGCCGACCAGCTCCCGCTCTTATTCTGTTTTGTGATTATGCTTCCTCTTTCATTCCCAGTGTTATAGTGTGGATACATCTTTTCTATATACAGGAAAAAATCAAGGTATTCTAGAGAATGATTTATCTAGTGTAATGTTTGTAGAATTATAGTACTGTATTATGATGCTGAATAATATAAGCGTTGATTAACTGCTTTTTTAGAAGACCAGATATTTATGCAAAAGAACATTACACACTGCACAAGTTTTTTTTATTATCTCCATAAATCATTCATCTGACATACCTGGAAATTTGATGCCTCACAATTGCCAAAAAGGTTGAACACTTTTGTTATATTTGTAATTTGTAAAATATATACAGTACTTGCATTTTTGTACTAATCTCAGTTATAATATTCAAGGGATGTCAGCGTGTTGTTGAAGACTGGCAAAAAATACTCCAGGTTCGCTCTTTGGTTTTGAGCCCACAGGAAGATATGCGACCTTGGCTAAAATTTGCTTCTCTCTGTCGCAAGTCGGGTCGTTTGGCCTTGTCTCACAAAACTCTAGTACGGCTCTTGGGCTGTGATCCGTCCGCAAATCCTACTCAGGCACTCCCAGCTACCCATCCACATGTGACTTATCAGTACTGCAAACATATTTACACATATCCCAATAGGAGACTAGAAGCTTATGGGTATGTACTATTAACTAATATTTTGGAAGTGTGTTTGTTAAGGTGTAATGGTTAAAATAGTTGGGAAAATTGGATACTAATGACAATAGATATTCCACATGTTTGCAAGTTTCCATATCGATTGACTTAATAATATTCCTGTATAAATATGTCCAGAATCTCTACCAATTCAGAAAAGGCTAATATCCTTCTTTTTTGCAGGCGGTTACAGAAATTCCTACAGTTTTTGGCACCCGCTGTTGTTGTTGGTCAGAATGGGGACGGTAAGCTGCGCAAGTTAGTCTCCAGGGTCTACCTCAAGCTTGGTGAATGGTGAGTTCTTTTACATTCACTATTTCTAACCTGCACTTTTTTGCATTCTTATAAACACAAGACGAGGGACACTGCTCATAACAGACACAATATTGCCTCTAGAAGCTTTGGCTTTTGTGCACAAACTTAGAGCATTATGTTGTACAGTATAACCTAACACATGATAGAAAGTACATATGTAAGGCTAATTGGGTAGTTTAGTTGTGTATTATAAGCTATACAGCAATAACATATATTGTTTGTGTGCACAAAGTGATAAGCTTGTCACAGTAAGATAATGGGCTGGCTTTTCCTATACTTTATTTACACTAGTCAACATCAAGATTTCCTTGGTTGCTGGTACTTTGTTAATTGGACAAGTTTAGGTTTAGGAAAGACCTGGGTAAATACTGGATTGATAAGAGGATTACCTTACCTTGCATTAATTCCAGGGTTGTGAATTTGTAGAGCAAATTACTGGGAAATATAATAGACGTAGGATCCCTTGATCCTACGTTTCAAGGGGAGATTAGACATATCCCTGGAAACAAACTGAAACTGTCTCTATTTTCCGCTTGTTACAACTTATAATAAAGTTGTTACATCTTGGCTTAACGTGTTTATGACGTATTAGAACGTTGTTACAACTTGCTATATTTGTTGTTATAACTGGTTAGGTGTTAAAACTTGTTCGAACGTTGTACCAATGTTGTAGATTCGGTGTGTGTTTGGCGGGTATATGAATAAGTTTAGATGGATATAAATAGGAGGTGCCACATATAGGCCAATAGGCCTTTTGCAGTATCCTCAAGTCTTAGGTTCTTACATTTATTCATAGTTATCTTCTTCATATTCGATAATAAAAATGTGTTTGTGTTAAATAGCTCTGTGTGTATACAGTATTATGTTAGATTATGCCAAAAGATTTGTTAGTATTTATGTTTTTTAGGTAAAAACTGAAATCATTCCTAGAATAGAAAGTACATATACCAAATGTAAAATACTCCCTATAGGAATTGATAGGTAAATTGCAAGTTCAAATAACATCTGCTTTGCCCATTCTAAACAAAACTTGTTATAGGTTTTGGTATGACTGTATTATACAGGGATTAGTACTTTGTGTTATTTTAATTATGGAATGGGCCTGCCTTGTTAATACACTGTACAAGTGTCATATTAGAAGGAGACATTAATAAATTATACAGAATATTAAACTTGTACGAAAAATTGACCAGACCACACACTAGAAGGTGAAGGGACGACGACGTTTCGGTTCGTCCTGGACCATTCTCAAGTCAGTTGAAATCGACTTGAGATTGAATTTTGTTAAGTGTGAGGATATACACATTTAACAATTAACATGATAATTTTAGTTTAATTTTGGTGTTCTTTGATAAACTAGTTATTTACATTTCTATTGTAAAATGAAAATAGAGCTAAATTCTTGTACTTTTACGACAGTGACTTGTTTGTCAGACATTATGAGTCTCTTGTTTAGAAAGTATCACCTTGCTGAATTAGTGATTCCTGTTTACTTTCTTGAATTTATGTGACACGTAAGATTTATTGATTTTCAAATATAATTTAAGCTCCCAGAGGTGTGGCATTTTGTTTTTATAACTAATGTGATGTATTGAAGCAGCCATGATAATTTTCCACAATTAATGTAATGCACAGTGTACTAAATGTTGGTCTTCTAAGGATGATGTGTAGTAAATAAATACTATATTGTAAATAATGGAAAGAGGAGAGGGAAATGCTGTGATTTTCTTTTTTCTTTTTTAATATATTTATCTTAACTTTGCAGGTATGAACAACTTCATGGCCTTAATGAAGAGAATATTAGTCAGATACTTAGTTATTATACTCTTGCTAAAGAAACAGACGAGTCCTGCTACAAGGCTTGGCATGCATATGCGTACATGAATTTTGAAGCCATTCTTTTCTACAAGAACAAAAGTGATCTTATTAAGTCTGACAGTAGTGGGGAGGACTCTAGCACCCCTAGTAAAAAAAAGGTAAGAGGAAAAGTTCAATCTTTTTATTTATTTTTTATTTTACTTGTTGGAATGCAGTAGTGATGAGGTTTTTCAATCCTTCCTTCAGTTACACTGAAATTATTTTGTCTGATTCTTATACTGTACTTTTCTGACTTTTCCTTTTTCTGTGCTCTAAGTTTGCGTACACACACAGCCATAATTGCTTTCAATTTCATTTTGATGTCCAAAGGGCTTGGCTAAGGATGGGGGGAGGAAAAAGGATGAGGAATTAAAAGTCTGAAAGAGGATGGGGGATGAGGAATGAGGAAGATGAGGAAGGTATAAGAGGTAGATAAGCAGCAATAAGAGGAAGGTCTAAGAGGAAGATAAGCAACAATAAGAGGAAGGTTTAAGAGGTAAAGAAGCAGCAATAAAATGAAGGTCTAAGAGGTAAATACGTAGCAATAAAAGGAGGGTCTCGAAGGTAGATAAGCCTCAATAAGAGAGAGGTCTAAGAGGTAAATAAGCAGCAGTAAGTGAAAGGTCTAAGCAGGAAAGACAGTAAGATTTCATTTGTGTCTGTTCGCAAACTGCATTTCACTTTTTGATACAGGCATTAATACCATATCCAGAGGGGTTGGGGCAAAGACTAAAAGATAACAGATTTGTTTTGGATATAATGCTTTGACCTCTGGACATTTCACAATGTTCTCTCCACTTCAGAAATCTGCAGGTGACTTTACAGTGGCAGCAGTAAAAGGTTTCATTCGGTCCATATCTCTGAGTGATGGTAACAGTCTTCAGGACACACTGCGACTTCTTACTGTGTGGTTTGAGCACGGTCATCAGCCTGGGGTGTACGAAGCACTGGTTGATGGTCTCAAGACTATTCAGATTGACACTTGGCTACAGGTTAGTCTACTCACTTAGACAAGAGGAGGGATTTGTGTTGTATACAAAGTTATTACTGTTTTGCTATTTGCAGTGAAATGCACAATATTTATTATCAATCCTCATATTACTCACACCCTTACTTTGCTATTAGAAATGTTCTTATTATTGCATGTTGTTTTTCTTGGTGCAGGTTATTCCCCAGCTGATCGCAAGGATTGACACCCCTCGGACACTAGTAGGGAAGCTCATTCATCAGTTGCTCATGGACATTGGCAAGCATCACCCTCAGGTAATATTGGAGATTGGCATTAATCAGATACTACCACTTAATAATTAACAAAGTTTGTGAATATGAATATGTGCATCTTCTTCATTGATTATGACCTCATTTTTGATTGTCTTGAGGAGAGGAGACGCCTAGAGATGGTTATATAATTGTTGAAAAAAAAGTGTGTTCAAGGTTGGCTTTAATTAATGTACTGAATAAACTTCCACTGTTATTTATTACCTGTGCTTTAAAATTCAAAGAATAAAATGGTAATTTTTCTCTTTATTTTGACCACATCTGGTTAACATTTTGTGCATTTCTACATTGACATCCATTGTTTCATTTGTGGAACATTTTGTGGAACATCTACATTGAGAAGTTCATTGTGTACTTTGGTGGTGAATGTGGATTTTCCCGGTTTAATGATGTGGTACCATACAATTTTCCTCACTTGTGCTTGCTGGGGTTTGTTGAGCACATAAGGAAAACCCCCCCAACCACAGGGGGGGGGGGGTGGGTTCCAGGGCCATTGCTCCCTGCAACCTCTCTGAGGGGGCCAGGTTCTGGCTCGTGGTCCCCGGTACGTCGAACTCCATAGACTAATACCCCAATCAAATATATCACACATTAGCCTGATAGCTCCAGGGAGCCTCCGGGGCTCACCCAGAAAATGGCATTTCATTACATTCAATGCTGGTTTTTTAATATTTTATCCTTCCTGCAGGCCCTCATTTATCCACTGACTGTGGCAGCAAAGTCATCTGTGGCTGCTCGATCCCAGGCTGCTGAAAAAATCCTCAAGAACATGCGGGAACATTCAGCCAACCTGGTTCAGCAGGCCATGATGGTAAGCCTCTTTGAATTGTTATGACTGTTATAGATCCCAAGGTTATCCATACTTCCTTATTTGATACATCCCAAGCTCCCTATGCTTTGCAACCATACTTCCTCCAGAACCCAAAGACTGGTTTCCCAGAAGCTGCCTGCCAGGTCATGGGAATAACATCGGCAGTCATTTATAATTTAATGCCAGAAAACAGGGTAACTTGGAAGACAAATTGTTTTTGTTAAACTGTAAAGTAGATGAAAAGTGAGAATAAAAAAAAAATAGTCCTCTTAGAAATCATGCAACTACAGTTGACAGTAATATACTTGTAAAGAAATATAAAGATTTTCTGTACCATATTGACTGACTTTGTCTTGTACTGTAGGTATCAGAAGAGTTGATAAGAGTAGCCATTTTGTGGCACGAAATCTGGCATGAAGGTCTAGAAGAAGCAAGCCGACTCTATTTTGGAGAGAAGAATGAATCGGGAATGTTTCGGACATTGGAGCCCCTGCATGCTATGATGGAACGAGGTCCACAAACACTCAAAGAGATGTCCTTTAATCAGGCAAGTCTCAAAATCTTTTATTTATTATTAACTGTTTATTAACTTAACAAAAACTTTCAAAAGTTAAGTAGGAAACACTTGAATAATTAGCTGTGGATGATTTAATGTTTCCATACTATATTATATATATCATTTATGCTTTCACTAACTTTGCTTCATAGAACAATTTTATACAACATAAATTGTAAATGCTACATTACATGTAGATATTTGATATCCATTAATTTATTAAATTTACTTTAATTTTGTAATTGAAATTAAATTTATTTGTGTCTTAATCAAGTGAATAAAAAGATTTGCATGTTTTACTTTGCTAGATTAGGTAGTTTATAATTTGGGTTAACATCTCAATTTATAACCAATTGTATCCAGTAGAATCATTATTAAATAATTAAATTTGTGACCTTTTTATATTTATTTTAGGCCTATGGTAGAGATTTGAGTGAAGCACAAGAATGGTGTCGGCGTTACCAGAGAACACATAATGTACGCGAACTAAATCAAGCATGGGACCTTTACTACCACGTGTTCCGTCGTATTTCTCGTCAGCTTCCTCAGCTTACATCTTTGGAGTTACAATCAGTTTCACCAAGGTTGCTTAAATGTAGGGATCTAGATATTGCAGTGCCTGGCTCTTATGCACCCAACACTCCCGTTATATGCATTAGCCAGGTTCAATCATCATTGCAGGTGTTGTCGTCTAAACAACGACCTCGTAAACTTTGCATCAGGGGAAGCAATGGCCGGGACTTCGTCTTCCTATTGAAGGGACATGAAGACCTTCGACAGGATGAAAGAGTTATGCAACTCTTTGGTTTGGTAAACACTCTTCTCATCAGTAATCCTGATACCTTCCGTCGCAACTTGACTATTCAGCGCTTTGCCGTAATCCCACTTTCCACAAACTCGGGCCTTATTGGTTGGGTCCCACATTGTGACACACTTCATGCCCTCATAAGAGACTGGCGGGAGAAGAAGAAAATCCTACTAAATATTGAGCACAGAATAATGATGAGAATGGCCCAAGATCTAGAGCATCTGACCCTAATGCAGAAAGTGGAAGTATTTGAGCATGCCCTGGAGCATACTCAGGGTGATGATCTTGCCCGCCTTCTTTGGTTTAAAAGTCCCTCCTCAGAAGTGTGGTTTGATCGTCGCACAAACTATACACGTTCTCTAGCTGTCATGTCAATGGTGGGGTACGTATTGGGTTTGGGTGACCGCCATCCTTCTAACTTAATGTTGGATCAGTTGTCAGGTAAGATCATCCACATTGATTTTGGTGATTGCTTTGAGGTTGCCATGACTCGTGAGAAGTTCCCAGAGAAAATACCTTTCCGTTTGACTCGGATGCTGATTAATGCAATGGAAGTGACAGGAATAGACGGGACATACCGCATGACCTGTGAATCTGTCATGAGTCTCATTCGTCGAAATAAAGATTCCCTCATGGCCATGCTAGAAGCCTTTGTTCACGATCCACTGCTCAACTGGCGCTTAATGGATCACACACAGCCCAAAAGTAAACGCTCAGTAGTTGGTGACAGTGATAGTTCTGGTAGTGCTGTAAGTGCAACAGATACTAGCCATACACCCATCATGGAGACTACTCCTGTATCATCAGCAATCCATGCAGGTTCTCAGACAAAGAAATTAGAAATAGGACGGGAAGATTCTGGCGCTTCTGAAGCCCTCAATAAGAAAGCAGTTGCCATTGTTAATCGTGTCCGTGACAAGCTAACTGGACGAGATTTTTGTCACGATGAGCCGCTGGATGTGCATAAACAGGTGGAGTTGCTTATTGCACAGGCAACCTCACATGAGAACCTATGTCAGTGTTACATAGGATGGTGTCCTTTCTGGTGATATGGTTTTCAATGACTGCCTAGTAGTTTAAGCCTCGTGCTTAATAATGACCTTTCATTTAGCTACAGTATGTATGTTTTTGCTATACAACATTGTGTTTTTGATAATGTTACTAAATGTCAGTAATACGCCATTCAAGAAACTTAGCCTTTCCATTGCTACACCATTTCTTGTGTCTAATGGTGATTTGATACCTGTTTTTCTAGACAGGAAACAATTGGCTACTCAATTGGTATTAATATTTCTTGCCTACTGTATATTTGATCAGTAGGAGAACTTGAACCCCCTTGCCAGGTCCTAGCCAAGCCCAAGGCATCAGAGCATTAAAATGTCTTTCTACTGAAGTTACTTACGAAGCTCGGTTTTTTAACAAGATGAATAAGTAAATTTGTTAAAAGTTACTCAAATAAACTTTTAATTGTGTTGGATGAGCTGTAGTAAACCTGTTGATTATTTTTTCCTTGTTAGTGACTGTATGAATTTATTTCTGACAATTAAGAATTTGACTCGTTAAAATCTGCAGACTCACATCACATTAAGATGTGATGGGATGATATCAGTGAGTACAATGAACATAATGACTAACTCTGCACAGTATTTGTGTAAGGTGATTGAAAGAATAGTGGTCCATTGGAACTGTGGAAATCATAAATGATTGAAAATCTAGTGAGGAGTTGGTGAGGTTGAGGAGTAAAATGGTAAATGTGATAAATATCAGAAATGTAAATAAGTTAAGTATAGACACGGAGAAAAGATGTTTTAGTAGGATGGAAAATTTCAAGATTATGATGGGTATATTGAAGTTTTGAAGACTGGATTGAGCACACATTTTTCATTGCATTTAAGATTACAATTTGTGACAAAACTCTTTGTTGTAGTCCACATTTTTTTTTATTTATTTATATATATACAAGAGTTCTTACATTCTTGTAAATCCACTAACACACACAGCATTTCGGGCAGGTCCTTAATCCTAATTATCTCCAGAATACGACCTGCCAAATCATTTAACAACCAGGTACCTATTCACAGCTGGGTGAATAGAGGCTACAATTAAGGATTGGCACCTAGTAAATCCTCCCAGACTAGGATACAAAACCCAGGCCAAAGTGCTCGCAAAGCACTGGGTGAGTGTTTTACCACAGCACCATGGGGACTGCTTATGTTGCAACTTAACCTGAATTTAAAAAAATGTTTTGACGATTCTTTTTCAAATGGCTTCTAACTAAAACCTTTTAGTCTTTTATGCAGATAAATAAATCTGCATAACTTAATTCAAGGATTTTCATTCATTTGTGCATCCCATTATTTTGACAAATTTAGCTTTTGATTACTGTCATGTTGATTTGGTCATATCAACTTGACAATTGTTAAATATAACAAAACAGAGGCCTCAAAAGAGTTGGTGAAACTTGCCTGGTTGCTATGAGAGTACAGTATTCAATTAGTAATGTGCAGTGTATGGTGGGGCGGTTTCTTCCTTGTGGAGCAGAATGCAGATAATAAGCTCTTGCTGTGCTTGAGGCATAGAAGAACCCCCAGTCCCCTATCCAGGTACAGTCCAGGTACACCATTAATTTTCTTTGTCAAAAAATTTCAAATTGATCTTTTCCAAGTTGTGTACAGTACTTGTTTTATGTTCATGAATTTGTAACTATGTACTCCAGGGAATTTGGTTACAAAATTTAAAATTATTTAATAATTTGCTTCAATCACAGTTAATAGAAAGCAGAACCTGTACTGATTTAGTGTTCTACATTTTGTTCAGCTTTTTATGTTGTGTAGCTGGGGCGGTGAGTGCCATGGTGTTGATACACGCTAAACCTACAACATAAACAGTAAACCACTTGGATGATTATTGATGCATTATTATCCCACTGGTGTTACTCTGTAGGTGATCTCAAGTTGTCACATTACTCTTTTTACCCCTTACTGCAGATAGGACATACTTTTATTGTTGCTTTATAAATGTTATGTCAAAAGTGTTTGAAATGTGTCAGTCTTCATCCCATCCTCCAGTTTTGGTAGTACTTATAGTAATGATGAGGGCCATAGTACATATACTGACTTACAACAAAATTAGAAAGTAGAGTTATTGAGTTGGACAAACCGGAAAACTAATTTTTACTAGTGTTGCTTTGATAAACTAAACTAACCTAACCTTCCTAGGCCTAATATAGTACATATGAGTGCTATACTAGGCCTAGGAATATTTCAGTTTGATTTTAGCTTCATTTATTTTAAAAGAATACCTTACTAGTCAGTATACTACTATCTAAAAGCTATGTACGCAGGAATTCGTGACTATTGATGACCATCACTCAAGATAACTCAAGATCACAATAGATACTATCTAAACAGGTGGATGGGTTGCAGTCTTCATTATTTTATATTAGGTCTTTGTTATAAGAAAATGTTTATGTAAGTACTATACTGGAATTTATATTTTTGGCATATAGTACGAGGTTTGGGTTAATAACTTAATAGTTGTATATAAAATATGTAAATTATTGAACATAAATGAAAATATATACAGTATATTCTTTATTTAATTTTCCTTTGTCATGCTTCCTAATAATCATTATGAATTACTTCCACTTTAATATTTTCTGCCCCATCTGGGCACTACCTTATTTCTGGACTGTATAGGGTGATTTCTGCTTCCTTTTCCAGCTTGCTGAGGCAGCAAGCAACAAGGATGCCCACAGTTCTAGAAAATGGTTACTGAAGTTCAACTCAGGAAGGTGTAAAGTAATGAAATTAGGCAAAGGGAGCAGAAGGCTGAGCACATGGTACCATCTGGGAGGTGAAAAAAATAGCAATAGTCAAATAGCGAGAAAGATCTGGGGGTTGATATTACACCGAACCTGTCCCCAGAAGCCCACATCAAAAGAATATCATCAGCGGCATATGCTAGATTGGCTAACATAAGAACTGCCTTTAGAAACTTATGTAAGGAATCGTTCAGGACCTTGTATACCACTTGTGTCAGACCAATCCTGGAATATGCAGCTCCAGCCTGGAGTCCATACCTAGTTGAACACAAGACAAAGTTAGAGAAGATTCAGAGGTATGCGATAGACTAGTCCCAGAACTGAGAGTTATGAACTATGAGAAAAGGCTAAGGGAGCTAAACCTCACGTCCCTGGAAAACAGAAAAGTAAGGGGAGACATGATAACCACCTACAAAATTCTCGGGGAAATTGACAGGGTGGACAAAGACAAACTCTAGCACGGGTGGAACAAACAAAGGAACACAGGTGGAACTTTGTACCCAAATGAGCCACAGAAGAATTAGAATTTTTTTTCAGTGTCAGAGTAGTTAACAAATGGAATACATTAGTAGTGATGTGGTGGAGGCAGACTCCATACACAATTTCAAATATAGATTTGATAGAGCCTAGTAGGCTTTAGAATATCTTCACCAGTTGATAGACAGTTGAGAGGCAGGACCAAAGCGTCAAAGCTCAACCCCTGCAAGCAAAACTAGGCGAGTACAGTCTGGGAGGGAACTATCAGGGGAAAGTGCCAAGCCATTATGACTATACAGTATAGCACTTGGAAGGTATCAAGAAAAGGTTTTGGGATGGGACAGGGGAAAGGAGTGGTACCCAACCACGTGGACGGCTGGGGATTGAACGCCGACCTGCGTGAAACGAGTCCATTGCTCTACCATCCAGCCCAAGTGGTTGGACCTACAGTCATTGGATTTCCCAGTGCTTTTGACATTGTTTAGCTTGTGTAATTTTGATTTCTTATTAGCGTCCTCAATTATATGACATTGACTGTTCTGCTCCACAGACATTGTGTCTGCGTTTGATATTTACAGTACTTAGGATTCCTCTTTGGGGGGGGATGTCGGTAGGGGTTGGCCATGATGGGCTGCCTTGTGTGGATGAATATGGGTGTCCAGGCTGTGGCATAAGGGATTCTGACTACCTTAGGCAAACCCTTTACTACTGTTCAGGTCAATGTCTTCCTGTTGAGAATGGGGAATTGCTTTACAGATGAGGTATCCTGCTCATGCCAGATTGCTGCCCTGGTAGGTGGTATTCTATTGTTCGAGGATCCAATCTTATTATTTCCATATCTTATGAATATTTCACACAATGTTTCTCTCTCTCTCTCAGGCTGGTGTGGCTGGCAACCAGGCTCATGAATCAGAGCCCATCTGTTTCTCCCTTAATGTGGCAGTGGCTACTATTATGTCACTCAGTGTGACCAGCTCTTCATTCCTTACAAATTCCTAGATGACCGTAACGATGACATTGTATGTACCCCTCAATACTCATGGTGGGCCATAGCATCATACTTACCCTTGATTCTTCTCTCATTCATTGCACACTTCCAACCATATTTATCTCACAAGTAAGTTAATGTATTGTGCTAAATAGGAAATAAATTTGAAGTGACATAAAAAGAAAGTACTGTATATTTAACTTGTTTTTGTACTAATGTTCATAGCCAATTCTGCATCTGCTATCAAACAATACTGAACACTTTTGAGCATATATTTTTTCATTTTAAATATTTAATCAAAAGATATTAAAATGACGATAGCTTTTTTTGTAAATCATCATACAAATTCTCTAGAGTAGCTCTGTTTAGTCATTAATTTATTCTAATACAACTTGTATTTTTTGTAATGTGAATGGTGTTCGGCATCAATGACATTTATTGCAAAGTCGATAGGTGTTAGGGGTTTGAATGCAATCCATCCTTGTATGGTTTTTTTTTTTGTAGAGTACAAACCAAGCCATGAAATCACGTATGTCATCCTTCACTAGCCAGTTCAGTCTTGAAAATAAAAATGTTATGAGTGGTGACCCCCTGTCTCTGTGGTCTTCAAGTCTACCAACACCAGATAAGAGGGATCAATAACAACCAAGGCCACATTCCAAATACCTGTATCCTATTGATCTTGTTACTGCACCTGTTCCCATGTTGGCCTTGTCACTGCACCTGTCTCTGCTTGCACCTGCAACTGCTGTTGACCTTGCAACTGCCCCTGCTGAAGACTTTGCACCTACACCAGCTGTTGACCTTGCAACTGCCCCTGCTGAAGACTTTGCACCTGCTGTTGACCTTGCAACTGCTCCTGCTATTGACCTTGCAACTGCTCCTGCTATTGACCTTGCAACTGCTCCTGCTATTGACCTTGCAACTGCACCTGCTGTTGACCTTGCACCTGCACCTGCTATTGACCTTGCAACTGCACCTGCTGTTGACCTTGCACCAGCACTTGCTGTTCACCTTGCAACTGCATCTGCCCCTCATTTGCAGGTGTCGACCTCAACACCTGTAATTTAACAAAGAATAGGTAACAAGAAATATGCACTCATTTATATACATACACACACACACACACACTTTGCATGAGAGAGAGAGAGTGTGTGTGTGAGTGTGAGTGTGTGTGTGTGTTTACTAGTTGTTTTACTAGTTTTTTTACGGGGGTTGAGCTTTGCTCTTTCGGCCCGCCTCTCAACTGTCAATCAACTGTTTACTAACTACTTTTTTTTTTTTTTGTTTTTTTTTTCCACACCACACACCCCCCCCCCCCCCAGGAAGCAGCCCGTGACAGCTGACTAACTCCCAGGTACCTATTTACTGATAGGTAACAGGGGCATTCAGGGTGAAAGAAACTTTGCCCATTTGTTTCTGCCTCGTGCGGGAATCGAACCCGCGTCACGGAATTACGAATCCTGCGCGCTATCCACCAGGCTACGAGGCCCCGTGTGTGTGTGTGTGTGTGTGTGTGTGTGTGTGTGTGTGTGTGTGTGTGTGTGTGTGTGAGTGAGTGAGTGAGTGAGTGAGTGAGTGAGTGAGTGAGTGAGTGAGTGAGTGAGTGAGTGAGTGAGTGAGTGAGTGAGTGAGTGAGTGAGTATGTCATTAAGGCATACAAAAAGAAATTTAGGGACATTGACTAAGTAGTAACATGCTATTGACATTTGGGCGAGACTGTCACTAGGGGACCCACATGGGGGTACAACTGTCACTAGGGGACCCACATGGAGTCCAACTGTCACTAGGGGACCCACATGGAGTCCAACTGTCACTAGGGGACCCACATGGAGTTCAACTGTCACTAGGGGACCCACATGGAGTCCAACTGTTACTAGGGGACCCACATGGAGTTCAACTGTCACTAGGGGACCCACATGGAGTTCAACTGTCACTAGGGGACCCACATGGAGTCCAACTGTCACTAGGGGACCCACATGGAGTCCAACTGTCACTAGGGGACCCACATGGAGTCCAACTGTCACTAGGGGACCCACATGGGGTACAACTGTCACTAGGGGACCCACATGGGGTACAACTGTCACTAGGGGACCCACATGGAGTCCAACTGTCACTAGGGGACCCACATGGGGGTACAACTGTCACTAGGGGACCCACATGAGGGTACAACTGTCACTAGGGGACCCACATGGGGTGCAACTGTCACTAGGGGACCCACATGGAGTCCAACTGTCACTAGGGGACCCACATGGAGTCCAACTGTCACTAGGGGACCCACATGGAGTCCAACTGTCACTAGGGGACCCACATGGAGTCCAACTGTCACTAGGGGACCCACATGGAGTCCAACTGTCACTAGGGGACCCACATGGAGTCAAACTGTCACTAGGGGACCCACATGGAGTCCAACTGTCACTAGGGGACCCACATGGGAGTCCAACTGTCACTAGGGGACCCACATGGAGTCCAACTGTCACTAGGGGACCCACATGGGGTGCAACTGTCACTAGGGGACCCACATGAGGGTGCAACTGTCACTAGGGGACCCACATGGGGGTACAACTGTCACTAGGGGACCCACATGGGGGTACAACTGTCACTAGGGGACCCACATGGGGGTACAACTGTCACTAGGGGACCCACATGGGATTGTGACATTTTCTTAGTGTTAGGATAGCAAGAGCATGATCTAAAGGAAGCAGCGGAATTAATCTCCATAAATAAATTTAAATGTAAATATGACAAATCCCCATGGTGAAAGCCGGCCCGGATTTAGACCTTGGGGTAAGGCCTGGGACACTTCAAATTCGGGGGCCCGCAACAATATAAATTAAATTACATGACAAATAAAAAACTACAATGGTGATTAACCGCATATATTTGAAAACAAATATGTGTGTTAGGTTCCGAGGGAAACACTTGTCTGATTTTATTTTTGTTTTATTGAATAAGAGTAAGTTTGACTCCTTTTCCAGTTTGTAGTATAGCTAAGGTGATATAAATACTGGTGATCAGATATGTTATGAAGTGTTGTGATGCCTTTATTTCTTCAAATTGTGCATACCCCTACCAAGTTCTTTTTATACTGCTGTTTACGATGTTAATGATTGTATTCACACTAAATAACAGCCGAGTAAAAGAATAATGAAGCTTAGTTTTCACTGATTCTGTTCACGATCAACAACAAAAGTTTACAACGAATTAAAAAATGTCATTATTACTCTTTTTTTAAATATATAAGTGAAGTCTAGGGGGCTCGGGACAATTGTCTTCTTATCTTGAGATGATTTCGGGGCTTTAGTGTCCCCGCGGCCCGGTCCTCGACCAGGCCTCCACCCCCAGGAAGCAGCCCGTGACAGCTGACTAACACCCAGGTACCTATTTTACTGCTAGGTAACAGGGGCATAGGGTGAAAGAAACTCTGCCCATTGTTTCTCGCCGGCGCCCGGGATCGAACCCGGGACCACAGGATCACAAGTCCAGTGTGCTGTCCGCTCGGCCGACCGGCTTGTCTTCCTTACAAATCCGGCCCTGGATGTCAGGGCTTCATCTTACTTGGCGATGAATTGAGTACTTACCGAGTTGTGCTTCCGGGGGTTGAGCTCTGGCTCTTTGGTCCCGCCTCTCAACGGTCAATCAACTAATGTACAGGTTCCTGAGCCTATTGGGCTATATCATATATTTGTAAAAACTTTACCAAGTGGTAAGCCCAAGTGCTGAAGCTCTCTCCATAAATGTGAGCGTAGTGAACCATACATCCGCCACCAAGATAATGTTATTAAAACAAGATTAAAGCTAGTGCACTAAAACAAGCGAAAAAGAAGCAGGGTGGAAAAAGAGGAAACCCTACTTCCATTTAAAACTTTGACCCAAATATCAGAGTAACAAGGTTATCGCGAACAACCGAACTCAATTACGGGCTCACCATAGCCCGTGCTACATGGACATTTCGTTCTGAGTAGCTAAATCTAAAACAACAACAACAACAACAACAGTGAACAAATTATGAGGTAATCTTCACGATGAAGTCACAAGATATCAAGTACGTTTATTGAAACAATAAAATACATCTCAAAGGAATAGAGTAGCTTAGGCTATCATTCGATATCACGAATGTGGAGGTAAAGTTTTAGGTCATAGTCTGTTAAGAGAGCTAAATTTATCAGGATACGCAAGCGTACATGTACCCTGGTACCTAAGGTAATGAAACTAGGCAGAGGAAATAGAAGGCCAGACACTGGATACCGAATGGGAGATGAAGTCCTTCGTGAAACGGACAGAGAGAAAGATCTAGGAGTTGATATCACACCAAACCTGTTTCCTGAAGCCCATATCAAAAGAATAACATCGGCGGCGTATGCGAGGCTGGCTAACATCAGAACTGCCTTCAGGAACCTGTGGAGGGAATCCTTCAGAACCTTGTATACCACATATGTAAGACCAATCCTGGAGTATGCGGCCCCTGCATAGAGCCCGTACCTTGTCAAGCACAAGACGAAGCTGGAAAAAGTTCAGAGGTATGCCATTAGGCTAGTCTCAGAACTAAGAGGCATGAGTTATGAGGAAAGGCTGCGTGAACTGCACCTCACGTCGCTGGAACACAGAAGAGCTCGGGGAGACATGATGGTAGACAAGGATGGACTATTTAACACGGGTGGCACACGCACAAGAGGACACAGGTAGAAGCCGAGTACCCAAATGAGCCACAAAGACATTAGAAAAAACTTTTTCAGTGTCAGAGTAGTTAGTAAATGGAATGCACTAGGAAGTGACGTGGTGGAGGCTGAGTCCATACAGTTTCAAATGTAGACATGATAGAGCTCGAGAAGCTCAGGAATCTGTACACCAGTAGATTGACTATTGAGAGGCGGGACCAAAGAGCCAAAGCTCAACCCCCGCAAGTACAACTAGGCGAGTATATGTGGGGAGGGAAGCCGTGAAAGGCAGTGTTAAGACGAGCCCCAACCTGGGATTTGTGTGCGAGGCTTCTGCCAGACCTAAGGCCATTTTTGGATATTTCGAACATAAAAGAGAGTAAGAATTTAATCCGTTCTCTCTAATACTACATCGCATTTGGAGATATAAATCCCCTAAGGCCTAAAACTCATGTTCTAAAAATCATAGCACCTCACAACATTGGCGCAATGTTCCGTTTTCTATTTGTGGGTCCTCGGGAAGGTTAGGTTCGCAACCCGTCCTCCTTATAGGACGTCGTATTTTGACGTATACTCTATACGTAAGGTAAAAAATCGCCGTACTAGAAAATGGTAGCGGCTTGCGAAAGTGACATACTGTCCCGTTTTCTGTTTTGGTAGGTTAGGATAAGGGCACTTCAGTACGACAGTTTCTTGACATGGGGCAACCTTAAGAGGACAGGCTGAGGTTCGGGTAATTTAATACATCAGTTTAGTGACGTTGTGAACGCTCGAGAGGACGGGGGAGCACCTCATGCATAACAATGTTGGCATGCAAATTCCGTTCATACAAAACTACAAATTCATGCATAGCGTTTCCGACAGGTCTTCAAGCTAACAAACTGGTTGAGATATATATACATTAAGAATATATACATTAAGAATGTATATACAAGTGATTGGATCGTAAGCTAAAATAAGTATAGTTATACTTAAAATAGACCACTGCAAACTGCTGACCGAGGCATACACAACGAATTTATAGCACTGATTTGGAAATAGAGTTATCGATTTAGCGAACGGATTACCGAGTTTAGGCGTGGGATTGATGGATTTAGGTATAAGGCATCTATTTTTCCATGTCCTTGTAAGATTTTTTTTTTTTTTGAGAATTACCAACTGGAAGACGGACAACGTTCAAGAAAAGTTTATATTACACCTGATTAATCTTTGTATGTGCTTCGTCCCCCATTTATCCCCTGTGTATCCTCTTGCCTTTTCCTTTATTGTACTTGTTTTATCACCTGACCCCGTACTGGTATAAATAGCTATCCTCAGGCGAGCATACGTCATCTTATGGATCCTATGGTCTCCTCTCCTCACATGATTCACCAGCTAATGACTGTTATACAGCTGGGGTCACTTAAACGTCCTGCTGCCCAAGTGTTACTACCGTCAAGCATGTTAGTGATTTTCTTACAGGAGGATTTGATGTAAATAATTTAATCCTAAACCTCACTTAACTTCGTATATAGTGAGGAGCATAATCACCTCCTCGCGCCTATGAATAATTAGGCTCCTGATTTTATCTATTTAATAGGCACTTAATTGGTTCTAGTCAAGAGCCTTCTCTCAATCAGCAGACATCTAGATGTTACTACTGCTCGGGGGTAGAAATAGCCTAAGCTACTCTATCCCTTTGAGATGTATTTTTTCTTGTCTCAATAAACATACTGGAACTTGAACTACTGCTCGGCTTAGATTCCGTTATAAGTATCTCTGGGAATTCTCCTTATCTACTGATGTAAACCTGACCAAATGTAAACTGTCAACAAAATTATTTGCACACCCTCCGTCACCATCTGATGGATGTGCGGAAAGATACGTGAATTCTGAGGCAATTTTATAACAAATGTTCCAGGATGTCTACATATTTCATTCAAAATTATCTGCTGCCAGAAGTCTTGGCCAAATATCCCAGTTTGCTAACTGTAAGTAGTAACTAAGTGATTGTGATCTATCCACCGCTGCCACGACAAACATCAATTACGTCACTAGCTCTCCACATGTCAATTGCTTAATTTAGAAACTGTACTTGTGGTCGGTCTCGAGCCCATTGTTGATGTGACGATGGGTATTGAATTTTGTAACTAGCTCATCAAGATTTTAACTTGTTTAGCTAAATGAATTGTGGGGTTCAGTCTCTGAGCCCATTATGTGCCTCTGTAACCCTTTCCATTACCACCCACAAAATGGGTATGGGGTGCATAATAAATGAACTAAACTAACTAAAAAACATAGGTTAATAACAGTATATATATAATATTAATATTTTTCATTAATTATGGGCCGTCATTTTATGGGCCCTGGTTCGGCCGCAACACTGCATCATGGTCTATTGTACATTCGGCACTGAAAAAACTTTAGGCCTCCCCATCTTTATTTGAGGCTCTAAGCGCGTGCTTATTGTGCTTATAAAATGGCTAATGCAGGCCTGAGTGGAGTGTTTAATGCTGAAACACAGTAATTAACACATGTAGGCCTATTCCACTCCATACTTAATTCTGCTTTTGGTGTTATTATGGCTAGAAGTAAGAGGCGAGGAGCACCCAGGATTGCTAGCGTGCATTATGATTCCGGGGTGGCCCTGTGGTCAATACTAGATATGCGTGTGTTGATATGATTCCGGGGTGGCTCTGTGGTCAATACTAGATATGCGTGTGTTGATATGATTCCGGGGTGGCTCTGTGGTCAATACTAGACATGCGTGTGTTGACCACAGGGCCACACGACCACAAAACAACTCTTTCTCTTCCCCATTAAACCCCCCAGTTTTCTTTTTCCTATTAACAACCTTCTCAACTTTTACCTCGCGTTCTCACCTTATATATATATATTTATATAGACTTTCTCCGCCAGTCTTTATCCCGAGTTGATAATGGCACAGGAAGTACGAAATGTCGTTACTTCCTTTATTTTAAGATGTGTGTGTTAAGTGTCCAGTTTGTAGTCACGTTTGTTGTTGTTATAGATTCAGCTACTCGGAACAAGTTCCGAGTAGCACGGGCTATGGTGAGCCCGTAGCATACCTGGCACAGGAGCGGGGCAAGTAGCACGGGCTATGGTGAGCCCGTAGCTTACCTGGCACAGGAGCGGGGCAAGTAACACGGGCTATGGTGAGCCCGTAGCTTACCTGGCACAGGAGCGGGGCAAGTAGCACGGGCTATGGTGAGCCCGTAGCTTACCTGGCACAGGAGCGGGGCAAGTAGCACGGACTATGGTGAGCCCGTAGCTTACCTGGCACTGGAGCGGGGCAAGTATCACGGACTATGGTGAGCCCGTAGCTTACCTGGCACTAGAGCGGGGCAAGTAGCACGGACTATGGTGAGCCCGTAGCTTACCTGGCACATGAGCGTGGCAAAATAGCACGGACTATGGTGAGCCCGTAGTGGACTTACCTGGCACAGGAGCGGTGCTATGTCTGCGTTGTAGTCACGTTATTATGACTGCATTAACAGTGTCCGTAGTGAGGCGTGAGGAAGCCTCATCTTTCATCACCAGTAAGTCACAAACGTTACAAATGTTTCTTATGCAAATATTGAGCGATATACATATGTGAATCATCTGGATGAAATACGAATTAAAATGCCATATTTGGGTCAAAATTGTATATTTTTTGTCTGCTAGAGATTTCATGCTAATATCATACATAGTGTTATGCTAGATTTCATGCTGATCTATGAGTTGATATAGTGTGTAGATAGCTGTCACGTCTTTATATATGTACTGTGATGATAAGATATATGTATATAGTCAATTCCTAGTTAAACGGTGCATATAAAGCCAGCAACGAAATCTTTTACTAAACATTTCCGGGATTAATTGAATAAGGTTGAGAAGTACGGCAGTGTGGCCGGGGAGGAGGAGGGTGATGGTGCCAGTCACTTGCCGGCCGGCCGACGGGTTGCACGGGCTGCTGCGGACCTTCGCCTCCCCCGGCTAACACACCACGCCGCTCCTCAACCACCGCCATGGGTTACAAGTGCGTGTCTCGCTCAGTGTATATACGCTCATGGCCAGAACTGGTACACAATAGTCTTGGCGTGTAGGCCTACGGTTGGGTAATTGGTGTGCGGAGGCCACTGCGGACTTGGCCTGGTGTAGTAGTGGTGTGGTTGACCCGGCGCCCCAACACACCGGGTCGGCCCCCACGATCGATGTCTTCAATATAACTTGTCCTGCTACTCTACGGAAAGTAACTCGCTCATTCGGTAATTCAATTCACCTCGGTCACACCCGAGGTGTGTATAATGAATGGGGTGGCAGGTAATCATTAATATTTATTATAGTTACGACACATTGACGCACGTGATTAACGTTTGTTAATTGAGGGAATGAAGCAACCGGAACAATGTATAAAAGGGGTGGACATGGGTCTACAACAGTGGTGTTTTGCTGAAGGAAATCTTGAAGAGAGGTGCATAGTACATCAATTTGATGTAGTATCGAACTTAAATTAGGGTGATTTGTTCATTTAAATTAGGGTGGGTTGGTGTGTGTGTGTAGAGGTGACAGACGGACTGTCAAGGTGGACAGGGCGGCCGCAGACGGGAAGTGCGAGACAACGTCTTTAGAGATAATACTGACATCCGCAGAAAAGCCTCATGCAGATGTTTTATTAAGCCTTTTCCAGTTATAAGACTAGTGTAGAGGATTTGGTAAAGCACAAAAAAGTTTAAGATTACTAAAACAGCAAAGGCAGTCACGCATGCATGGTGCAGACGCGACAGGATGGGATACTTAATTTTTTTTTATTTACGTGAATGGGCAGTGAGTTGCCCCTTAAAACTACGCAGCAGAACCTTTTAACCTTTATCCACTGATGATATAGAAACCCACAAGGTTCAGTCTTCACTGATAAAAATAAGAGGATAATTTGTCCTGTTGATTGCACGGGAAGCGATGATCAGCATTGATCCTGGCCCTACCATGACCAAGAGTGGCACCTGAGCCATCACTAGCCTCCTGCAGTCCTCTCCTCCAGGCACATTTCTCTGCATAAAAATGATCAGTGTTTTGTGATTGTCATTTGCATATATATATATACTGTAAAATAAGCAGAAGAAATTAAGACTAGCACTTATTTGTAACGCTTCCACCAGCAATTTTATGAGTTGTGAGGTTGCAAGATCGCTATCTTGACAGCGATTTTTTTTTATAGTCCCCGCGTGCTACCATCATCAACTATCGGATCAATACGTCAACATCAACAGTACACTTGCTAAGCAATAGAATGTCCTTATCACGTCAAAATATAAATATATATATATATATATATATATATATATATATATATATATATATATGTATATATATATATATATATATACATTATATATATATACATATATATATATATATATATATATATATATATATATATATATATATATATATATATATATATATATATATATATATATATATATATAATCTTCTTCGAGGATGTGGATCCCTTTAATTAAACCAGTGGTGGTACCCCTAAATATATATATAATATATATTAGTATATTTTGGTAGCAGTCTTTCTTGTAAACATATGTTGTTGAATATGACCGAAAGGGTAAGATTAATAATTCTAACACGAATCTTCTCAATATTTCTTACGTTTTTCTTCACTGTCGAGGGTAATTGAAAAATTAACTCTCCAAAATTCATACTTTTATTTTTGGTCTGACGCCTGAACGCGTTTCGTAATGCTTATTACATTTTCAAAGACTAGTTTACACAGATTGATTGATGAAGATTAAGCCACCCAAGAGGTGGCACGGGCATGAATAGCCCGTAAGTGGTGGCCCTTTTGAGCCATTACCAGTATCAAAAGATGATACCAGATCTGTGGAGGCGCAACTGCACCCTGCGTGATGGGAGATGTCTCCCGGATCAAATGGTGAGTTTACATATAACATACATCATACTTATACTCGTTTTGGGTGAGGTGATATGGCTCAAAAGTTTTGGGTGAGGTGACAAAGCTATGCCAGAACACGAATCAATGGGTATGAAAACATAAGAACGGAAGTAACTGCAGAAGGCCTATTGGCCCAGACTTCCTCTTGCTGCTTCTATGTTGGTTCAGGGTCTTGAAGTGGGTAGAATATAGTTGTGCATTAATTGGCTGTTGATTGCTTGTGTTGACTTTCTGATGTGGAGTGCCTCGCTGATGTCGAGTCTCCTGCTATCGCTGTATTTATCGATGATTTCTGTGTTGCTTGTTAAGACTTCTCTGGTGATGGTCTGTATAATATATATATATATATATATATATATATATATATATATATATATATATATATATATATATATATATATATATATGTATGTATGTATATATATATGTATATATATATATGTATATATATGTATATATATGTATATATATATATATATATATATATGACCTACCTTGCGATAATTTCGGGCGGTCCCCGACCAGTCCTGGTTGCTGGACTGGTCAACCAGGCTGTTGGACGCGGCTGCATCAGTAAATAAAAACAGCCTGCCGTTTGAATCACAGCCTGGTTGATCAGGTATCCTTTGAAGGTGTTTATCAAAGTTCTCTTTTGGACACTGAGGGGGTCGGCCAGTTATGCCCCTTGTGTGTAGTGGAAGCGTGTTGAACAGTCTCGGGCCTCTGATGTTGATGGAGTTCTCTCTCAGAGTACCTGTTGCACCTTTGCTTTTCAACGGGGGTATTCTGCACATCCTGCCATGTCTCCTGGTCTCATGTGGTGTTATTTCTGTGTGCAGGTTTGGAACCAGCCCCTCTAATATTTTCCACGTGTAAATTATTATGTCTCTCCCGCTTGCGCTCAAGAGAATACAGATTTAGTAATTTTAGTCAGTCCCAATAGTTTAGATGTTTTACTGAGTGGATTCTAGCAGTAAAGGATGTCTGCACGCTCTCCAGGTCAGCAATTTCTCCAGCTTTGAATATTGTATATTACATCATCGTTTTGCTTGTCTTCCATGGCATCTAAGGCAAATAATTTCATGCACACTTGTCAAAGTTAACTATGGGTACATATCGTACAATGTTTACCTGTGATTGTTAGTCCCAGGCACCGAAAGTCAGCATATTTCAGAACATCTTTAGCATCATGTATTTAACAGTTATAAATATTCATATAAATAAGAATAGCCAGTGACCAGCAAGCCAACCCCTGTCCATATAGAAAGTTAATAGACTATTAACAGTTCCAGTGACTAATTAAGGTGGCTAACATGCCTGTTTAAAACTATAGTGGTAAACAGATTTATAGATACACTGTATAGTCTGTGAAGATCGACTAAAGCTGTGTATAGTATATGATACACGGGGTCGATGTCTGGCCCCAACAATCAGCTCTTCATCACGTGCTCATATAATCTGTGAAGATCGACTAAAGCTGTGTATAGTGTATGATACACGGGGTCGATGTCTGCCCCCACAATCAGCTCTTCATCACGTGCTCATATAATCTGTGAAGATCGACTAAAGCTGTGTATAGTGTATGATACACGGGGTCGATGTCTGGCCCCAACAATCAGCTCTTCATCACGTGCTCAATCCAGTGGCTTCCTGTGCCCGAACCACTGGACGCAGGTCAGGATGTTACCCTTGACTAACATTCATTTCAGGAGTGATCCTTCTCACTTCCCGGCAGATGTTGACCTTGAGCTGCTCCAGACTATGGAGCAAGCAACTCGCCCTCCAAAATTAGAGTACATTTGGCGACTGTGGCACCCGAACACATTTTACGTTTTGTACTATTGGTATCCTAAAGGGCACGGAACAATTGCAATAATATAAGCTAACCTAAAACGGCAGAGAGAGACCCGGGCACAGCTGGGTACTCCATCTAGTGAAAATATATGAAGTGTATAGTGAAAATGCAAAAATCATCGTCAAAAGTAACCTTTCGTTCCCTCTTATAAATTTTGCATTAGCACTCGTGTGCACTTAGTACCTGGTGCACAATAAACTACTGCTCACAGGATGAGTATGGGTTTACACAATAAACTACCGCTCACAGGATGAGTATGGAGGTACATGACAAACTACCTCTCACAGGATATGTATGGGATGATGCACTATAAATAGCCGCCGCTGACAGCAAGAATCCTACCACTTAAGGCTATCCATGTCCGTGTCACCTCTGGGGTGGATTAATCTTCATCAATCAATCCTCGGCAAGAATCCGTGGTGTTTACGGTGTGGGCCCGCGTGGTGTGCTCTGCTCTACTGTGTGGCCGCGGGAATAATATTCATGTGTATTTTGTGGATATTTCCTCATAAAAATGATTGAGATCCGATTTCTGAACCCAGTATATGTAATCCCTTTGGTGGTATTTTATCAAATCACCTCATTCTTTGGGGCACACGTGAGGAACACAAATAAAAATGATTGAGATCCGATTTCTGAACCCTGTATATATAATCCCTTTTCCACCGCCTTCAACATGTGTATATGGGGTTCACAGGAGTCAATAATAAAATATTTGAACTAAACATGAAAGTTTCTGTAGTATATATATCACAATAAATTCTCAAAATAATTTGGGATTGATCTAATGGTTCTTTTCTGTCAATCTTGTACACAATTTTGTTTCAGTATGTGTTAACTGCTCGTGGTTTATGTCGTTTGAAGCATTTTATGCAGATATTGACGAACCGAGATGTGTTGATTAATAATATAATGGCATCACTTGTTTTTCAGTTGGTGAGGTGATAGTACTGATAGCCTCATGCGTGAGAAATGAGAGCGAGGCTTCAGGAGGCGTGAGTGTGTGAGGAGGGGTGAGGGAGCGACCAGAGTGGACAAGAGTGAGTGATCCAGGATGGAATGGCACAGTCTGTACACCGAGTGCCCCAGGATGGCACTCGGTGTCCTCGTCGGCGTGGGCTGCTTCCTCTATTACTTCATAGAGGCCGTCAAGGTCAGTGACGTGTGCGTCCATTCATGGCTTCACACAGACATTCCTGGGGATTAAATATTTACCATTTTATTATTTGTTATTGCCGTTTGACACATTTTACTCTTTAAACTTAACCACTCGGGCTGGACGGTAGAGCGACGGTCTCGCTTCATGCAGGTCGGCGTTCAATCACCGACCGTCCTAGTGGTTGGGGCACCATTCCTTTCCCCCGTCCCATCCCAAATCCTTATATCCTGACCCCTTCCCAGTGCTATATAGTCGTAATAACTTGGCGATTTCTCCTCATAACTCCCTCCCTCTTTTTATATATATACTTATATGCTGATCCATACGATGAACTTTCATAACGCTGAATATACAGTTTATGTTGGGCCAGTAGGCTACCTGAGTATGCAGTATTATCATGCAGCTCCACAATACACCACCCGCCATGCAGCACCACTACCATGAAGCACCCATCGTGAAGCACCTACTGTGAAGCACCCACCATGAAGCACCCATCGTGAAGCACCTACTGTGAAGCACCCACCATGAAGCACCCACCGTGAAGCACCTACTGTGAAGCACCCACCATGAAGCACCCATCGTGAAGCACCTACTGTGAAGCACCCACCATGAAGCACCTACCATGAAGCACCCACCATGAAGCACCCACCATGAAGCACCCACCGTGAAGCACCCACCATGAAGCACCCACCGTGAAGGACCCACCATGAAGCACCCACCGTGAAGGACCCACAATGCAGCAGCACCACCATGAAGCACCCACAATGCAGCAGCACCACCATGAAGCACCCACAGTGCAGCAGCACCACCGTGCAGCCCACACTGTGCAGCAGCACCACCATGAAGCACCCACAGTGCAGCAGCACCACCATGCAGCCCGCACTGTGCAGCATCCACCTCAAACGACACATAAGGGACATTAGAGAGGTTTTATAGATTTACATCATGAGTACTCAAGGTTGATATTGTTGAGCAAGGCGATCATACTACGTGAGCCGACTATCACATCAATTAAAGAACGGAGAGCTGGAGGGGACATGATTTGTACATAAAAGATACTTTAGTGGTATCAATGTAATTGACAAGGACATTTTGGAAGTTGGACAGATTGTAGAATGACCACATGGATGTGGGGGAGTGCGTCTTCACTCAGAAAATAGTAAGTGGAATGAGAAGTAGAAATAGTAAATGGTATAAAAATTGGTATAAAAGCATATTTAACAAGAAATGTATGAGTTGTTAATCGTAGCGATAGATGGAAAGGCGGGGTCTAGAGTCTGAAGTTCAGCCGTGCCTGCTATGTTAGGTAAATATTCTTTGCTTCTCATTGTCTGTCTCTTTCACCTGTCTCTGTCTCGCTACACTTACCGTCTCTGAATGTCTCGCGCTCACTGTCAGTTCCCACACTCAGGTTCCCACTCTCACACACACGACAATTTACCACGTCCATTACTCTCATATTGAAACCACAATTAGGTAATTATGTCATTCAAACCAATTCTGGAATATGCGTCGCCAGCGTGGGGCCCTTATCTTGTTGAACACAACGCCAAGCTAAAGCCTGTAGGCTCAGGAACCTTTATTGAAGGTGAGCAAGTGGAATAGAGTAAAAGAAGTGGTAGAAGCCACTTCCATCCACACCATTGAGGACAGATTCGACAAAAGATCTGAACGTGAGAATAGGTAACTTTTAAAGCAACAGGCACAAGGTAAGCGGGGTATGAAATGCTAGACCTCACTGCCTCGTAGTCAATGATGGGTAAATACTGACGAGTACCTTATAAGCACCAGTTGTTTGACAGTTGAGAGGCAGAACCAGAGAGGTGAAGCTCAACCCCCCACAAGCACAACTAGATGAGTAAAATTAAGTGAATACACAAACACACACATGAGAAGAGAGGCAGAAAGGAACTTTGAGGAAGGTCTAGCAGACAAATGTAATACAGATCCAGGCCGTTTCTATAAATTCCTTAAAACCAAGTTGCACGCAAAAGATCAAATCCACAGATTGAGAACGGGGAACAGGACTGCTGAAAATGAAAAAGAAAAACACACACACACACACATGGGGCCTCACGGCTGAGTGGAGAACGCTCTGTGGTCATAGTCTTAAGAGCCCGGGTTTGATCCCCGGCAGGGGTAAAAGCAAATGGACAGAGTTTATTTCACCCTGATGCCACTGTTCACCTACCAGTAAATAGGTACCTGGGAGTTTTACAGCTGCTTCCTGGGGATGTGTGTGTCTGTGAAAGAAATATATGTTAGAAATATTGGTTAGAAAGGCGGGGTCCAAGAGCTAATAGCTCGATTCTGCATATACAAATAGTAAATACAAATAGTAAACACACACACACGCGTGTGTGTGTGTGTATTTACCAAAGTGTAGTTACAGGATGAGAGCAACGCTCGTGGTGTCCCGTCTTCCCAGTACTGTTTGTCATATAACGCTATGATACCACTGACGGTTTTGACCTCCACCACCTTCTCACTTAGAAGGTGGTGGAGTGTGTGTGTGTGTGTGTACTCACCTATTTGTGCTTGCGCGGGGTTGAGCTTTGGCTGTTTGGTCCCGCCTCTCAACTGTCAATCAACTGATGTACAGGCGTGTGTGTTTACCTGTTAGGTAAGCACATGTAAGCACACACACACATACATTAACAACTTTAAGGCAAAGTGCAAGAGATTCAGGAGATCGATGCACCAGATGGCCGATAGTTCAGAGGCGGGGCCTGAGAGCTGGAACCTCTTCCCATCAGACATCAGTAAGGACACGCTTCCCTACACGCACACAGCCTACCCCCCCCCCCCCCCCCTACCGGGTCCAGCCGCTCACAAGTATTAGGCCCTTTGTTTACAGTTAGCAGTGATGTCATCCATGTTGCACCGACATCTGCAGTGATGTCATCCATGTTGCACCGACATCTGCAGTGATGTCATCCATGTTGCACCGACATCTGCAGTGATGTCATCCATGTTGCACCAACATCTGCAGTGATGTCATCCATGTTGCACCAACATCTGCAATGATTTCGCTCAAGTTGCACCAACATCTGCAATGCTTTCATTCATGTTGCGCTAACACCTGCAGTGTATCAGGGTGAGGAAATCTGCCATCAAAAGCACTTATCATCGTCCATTTCCGCTGGGAATAAATAGGGGCCAAGCACTCACAACACACCGTCAAAAATTGCCTCGTCTGCACTTTGCAGCTCGCGGCTCAGAGCTGCACATATCTGAGGGAGGCTCTTCACCGTACAGTTGAAGAATATTAGTTTGGATATATATATAATTGCGTTAGAAAAAGCTAGTATGTGTAATAGAAAATTATGAGATATGATAACTAAGACGAAGACATCATAGGAAGGGTGATATCAAATAAGACCTCCACTAAGCACGCCATATTTACTCCCCGTGCAAGCTAGAAGCACAACTCAAGATAACTTGCACATTTGTGAACAAACACATTTCGTTACTGTTGTAACAGAATGTTTGTGTTTGGCTCACGTAAGCCTCAAGACTAATTTACTCCCTCTTCTCAGAGACCCGTTTTGGCGTGTCGACGGAAGGGCGCCTGGCGAAATTTCCTGGAGACGCATTTGACCATCCTGCAGGAAAGGTACTGGCCCACGCCTTGGTGCTTCGAATCCCGCTGCCAGACTGTTCTCGCCTCTATCCTGCGTCTTAGACTCCCGGACATTATCTACAGACGGTAAGACTTAGTGTAGTTCATTTATTAAGTGTCCCAGACCCATCATGTGAGAGGTTACTGAGGCATATAACGGGCTCAGGAACTGAACCTCAATATTCGCTTAGCTAAACAAGTTAATAAACTAGTTACAGAGTTTCTTAACATTTGTATCAGCAGTCTAGTCACAGTTTGGGCTAGTTTAGCTAATTTACATGAAGGTTACAGCTCCATAATGGGTATGGGAACTGAACCCTAATGTTCTTTAAGTTTAACAATTTACATTTGTGGTGTTACCATTTTTAAGTTTTATTGCCATAAATTTTTGGTAAAGTTAGAAAGATAATTTGCAGGTAGTACAAGCTTACAGACACCGTTTACTACTTACAACAAACTTGGAAAACCTGGCTAAGTTTTGGTTCATATCTTCTGGATAAAGTAGGGTAATATGTCAACCCAGATAAAATATTTATTTATTTATTTATATACAAGAAGGTACATTGGGGGTTAACAGAGAATATAGAAATTAAGTAGAATTTACATTCTTGTAAAGCCACTAGCACGCATAGCGTTTCGGGCAATTTCTTGAACATTCCTTGAGCATTATATACTGTATAGTGATAAGCGTTGCCTCTATATTCTTGATTTGTTCACAGTTAATTACAGTGACGTAATGTTTGCGAATTTTTGTGCCATTTGTTCAGATGTAAGAGAGCAGGTGATGCAAACATCTAGAGTTACTTGTAACAAGCCTAAGTCTAGCAGTAGTAACGTGTAGAAGTCTACTGAAATATTGCATGACCCAGTATAGTCATCTATTAATAATAATAATTAACTTTGTCGGGGGACAGTCAGCCAGTGTATATATACATGATAGGCCTATATCGAAGTCCCCCCCCCCCAGGGTTCAATTACTGACCTCCCAAGGATGTAACCCCACAACAAGCTGACTAAATCTTGGGTATCTATTTACTGCTAGGTGGACAGGAGCATTAGGTGATAGGAAACGTGCTCAACCATTTCTGTTCCGGACGGGATTCGAAGCTGGCATTCCCGATTATGAATCAAGAACGAACCCGACTGTACTACCAGGACTCTAATATGGTGATAGATGGAATAGCTAGCTTAATTTTTGTTTACTCTCATGTCTAGAAAATTGGATTGGAGTTATCGACTTGGCTTTTCATTGGAGAGTTTCCGTGCCGTGGAGAGGGGGGACCTGCTGCATGGGTGACAGCTTCTCCCCTGTATCAACCTACCCTGGCTTTGCATCCTGGAGAGGCCATTCTAGACCGACAACCAGAGCGCAACTCCATAATCTCCTGAGACTGATGGATGTCTACTATTGATATTTTACTCAAAACCTAATAATCAAACTCAGTGTACACTGTTTGACAAAACTATATATTTTTTACTTAATGTGTTATAGAATTATTAGACTTTGAATTCAATAAATTTTTTATATCGTCTCTCAGCCAAAACTATATTGAATTCCAGTTTTGATTATGATGAGTGTTACTGCACTTACGAACTTATCCAAGACATATTTGTTGGCAATTATTCTATTGATCTTAGGACTTTCCAGTATTAATCTATCAAACTATTTACTTTCCTGACGGATTATGAAAAGGTTTCTCTATTCTTCATGCGGCCTACTTTAGTTCTCAGATTTTAAAGGAATGTGATTAATTATGCAAATTTTTTTTAATGAACCTGTACGCTGACCATTTCTTGCTCTTTCCCAAACAGTTTTTTTACACCTTTGTTTAACCCGCTATCCTTCCATCCACTAGGGAGGTACTGGAGCTGAAGGACGGGGGGCAAGTAAGCCTTGACTGGCTGGACGGGAGTGGGGAGCCTGACAGCCCCATCGTGCTCATGTTACCGGGCTTGACGGGATCTTCCCAGAGCGAGTACGTGAAGGGTCTGGTGCGGGCGGTGAAGAGTGCCCGAGCTCGGTGCTGCGTCCTCAACAACAGGGGCATTGGTGGCATCAGACTCATGGTAGGTGAAGACTTGCGGTGGGCCTAGACCATATGCTACATCACGTTACGAAATCAACTTCAAATAAACGCAGGCGATGAGTCACAATAACGTGGCTAAAGTATGTTGATTTCGTAACGTGAGAATGGTCCAGGACGGACCGAAACGTCGTCGTTCCTTCACCTTGTAGTGTGTGGTCTGGTCAACATCTTCAAATAAACGCTTGTCAAATTGTGAGAAGGTCCAGAAGCGTTCGAAACTCACCTAACCTACTTGATACCTGCTTGACGGGGCTCTGGGGGCTTTTCTACTCCCCAAGCCCGGCCCGAGGCCAGGCTTCACTTTGTGATCAGGCATGGAACCGTTCCAAGCCAAAGGCTCTTTTAGTCAGAAGACGCGTCAGTGTTACTGTGTATTTAATTTCAAACAAACACACCGTTATTATGAGGCTGTGGTCAATAGCGTCAAAATAACTGCATTAATTGTGTGAGAACAGTGCGGGTAGGTGGCCCTCCACTACCTTTTCATGATGGGGTTAATTCAGTTCTCTGACCACGACCTGGAGGGCAGTTATGTATGACTTGGTCCAAAGTTCATGAAACTTCTGATTAAAATTCATCCATCAACACATTATTAGCAGACAGTGTGTTGCTGGATGACACTATTGACAGTCAGTGTGTCACTTGGTAACACTAATGACAGTCAGTGTGTCACATGGTAAACACTAACGACAGTCAGTGTGTCACTTGGTAACACTAACGACAGTCAGTGTGTCACCTGGTAACACTAATGACAGTCAGTGTGTCACATGGTAAACACTAATGACAGTCAGTGTGTCACGTGGTAACACTAACGACAGGGACTAAGCTAGGTGCTTGACATTAGTGTAGACCAACAAGGACTCCAGGTGCCGTGTTGTGTTGCAGACGACGAGGACGTACTGTGCAGCCAACAGCGACGACTTGGAGGAGGCGCTGGAACACCTGACTCGAGTACACCAAGGCGTTCCTATCGTCGCTCTTGGCATATCACTAGGAGGGTGAGTCCATCATACTCCACCTTATACTCTACAAAGTACACCTTATACTGTATATATTCCATTCACCTTTGGCACTAGGAGCATCGAACAACCGATCTCCGACCTTTTTATGTTAAAGAAAATATATATTCGAGATTGCGAGCCAGTCGCCTGGGGCCAGCCTCACTAAACTTTGCAGGGTGACTGATCTTCGAACGGGGGTGAAAAGTAGGCTACGGGTCGAGCCCTATGCCACCCTTTGCAGGAAATTATAAATTACTCTACTTTCCAATCTCACTAAATTACAGGCTCCGTTCACCCTAAAATTAATCTTGAATATTATTTTCTGCATGTTGATTAAATGTTAGTTTGTAGTTGTGAAGGATAAGGAAGGTGGTGAAGGGTAGGGAAGGTGGTGAAGGGTAGGGAAGGTGGTGAAGGGTAGGGAAGGTGGTGAAGGGTAGGGAAGGTGGTGAAGGGTAGGGAAGGTGGTGAAGGGTAGGGAAGGTGGTGAAGGGTAGGGAAGGTGGTGAAGGGTAAGGAAGGTGGTGAAGGGTAGGGAAGGTGGTGAAGGGTAGGGAAGGTGGTGAAGGGTAGGGAAGGTGGTGAAGGGTAGGGAAGGTGGTGAAGGGTAGGGAAGGTGGTGAAGGGTAGGGAAGGTGGTGAAGGGTAGGGAAGGTGGTGAAGGGTAGGGAAGGTGGTGAAGGGTAAGGAAGGTGGTGAAGGGTAGGGAAGGTGGTGAAGGGTAAGGAAGGTGGTGAAGGGTAGGGAAGGTGGTGAAGGGTAAGGAAGGTGGTGAAGGGTAGGGAAGGTGGTGAAGGGTAAGGAAGGTGGTGAAGGGTAGGGAAGGTGGTGAAGGGTAAGGAAGGTGGTGAAGGGTAAGGAAGGTGGTGAAGGGTAGGGAAGGTGGTGAAGAAGAGCGACGGTTGTAGATGAGGAACCAGCGGTGCCCAGGTAGTGACCATTGTTAGAGACTCTACAGTATAGACTCTACAGAGGCTTTAGACACTGTATTTATCTTAGGAATCTTCCATTATTCATGTATCTGATGTATGTATTTCATCTTGTTTCAATAAACAATAATTATTATTATAAGGTGGTTACAGTGAGTAGACTACACACAGTGTTGCAGGGTGTGTAGCTAAGATAGTTACAGTGAAGAAGATGATGTGTTGTGAAGATCTGTTGGCCCAGCAACGCCGGGTACTCCTTGTGTATATATTAGTTATTGATTGATTCATTTTTTATTTATTGATTCATCTATTTATTTATTTTGCTGTTATCATTTCGCCGTCAGGATGATCACCGGGAACTACCTGACGACGCGGGGGGAGAAGGCGGCGCGGCACCTGAAGGCGGCGGTAGTGATGTCCATTCCCTGGAACATGGTGGTGGGGGTGAGCAGCATGGAGCAGCCCCTCTGTAATCTCCTCCTCAACCGCTACCTCGTCCACTGTCTCTGTCACCTGGCCAGCACCTTGCGGTACCAGCTGGCCGGGAACCACAAGTGGGACCTCGACCAGGTTATGAAGGTCAGTTGTGAGCAGTGGTGCATCCCGTCCATCTTATAATCCCATTATGTGCCTCTGTAACCCTTTCCACTACCGCCCACAAGATGGGTATGGGGTGCATAATAAATGAACTAAACTAAAACTCCCATAACCCGCCCTCGGACCAAGTCCATTCTATCCAGTGGTCGACCCCAAAGATGCATTTAGCAATTTTAACATTCTTTTCATTTAAAACAAAACTTTTCTCAAATAGAAATTAATATTATATATTAGCATATTGTGTATATTTAGGCACTAGTTAGGTTAGGTCATCGCCAACAGAACCTAAATATCTAACCTAACCTATGCCTATATATGCACAATATGCTAATATATTATAATATTAATTTATTTTTTAGAAATTTCCTGTTTTGAATGAACAGCATGTTAAAATTTATGAATGCGTCTGTGGGGTCGACCGCTGGATGTAATGGACTTGAGTCGAGGACGGGTTGTGTGTAAACTGTTTTTCATTCATAAACAGTGGGTTAGGCGGCTGGATTAACAAGCATTTAGCCTTTGTTTACCATCACAACTACCATTTTTGTTAAATTTTGCCCTGAGGGACGAGGGTATTGGGCAACACCACTCATCGTGTGAGTGGACACACCGCCATAGCAGCATGTACAACACCCCACAGCAGGAAGAAAACCCGCTTGGTTGTTCATCCTGTCACTTGTACCCACACACATCAAATCAAATCAAAATCAAATGTTTATTTAGGTAAGGTACATACATACAAGAAATTTTACAAAGAGTGATGGATTAATAGATAGGGCTAGTACATACAATGCCTAAAGCCACTATTACGCAAAGCGTTTCGGGCATGAATATATAGCTGATACTTGCTGAAACTTGCTTAACTGTCTCAAGCGAACAGCTTCTCAAACAAGAAGATTAACCCACCATACCCTCCCTCGCCTCCGGCAAATATCTGATTCTTCAGTTCTTTCAGATAAACATTTGCTAGAAGTGTATTAAATAATTAATGTCTCCCGTCCGATTATCGACCTGGTGATATTTGGGCTGCAAGATCAAGTCGTCCTCTTGTTGTTTATGTTATTGGAACGAACGTTACAAACGCAACCTATTAAGAAAAGTAACGGCTCACACATATATATAAATATTCTATGCATCGGTCTCGATAGGTTAGGTGGGCTGCTTGGGTGCGTGCGTTTCTGGTTAGGCTAGAAAATTGGATTTTTAACAGAGTGGCTGTAAACAGAGTCCCTTTGTCGCCCCTCACCTGTGTAACACGTCAACATTGCCTGATATCGAAACAATAATCAAGCGTTCTTGTTTATGAAGATAGCGGCCATTGGGAACTATAGATGCGGCAGATTGCAGTGCAGCTGTAGCAGGTGACAATACGCCTGTGTCAGATGTATATACAGCGGTGGCGGATACACCTGTGTCAGATAGAGATAAAGCTGAGATAGATGGCGATACAGCTGTGCCAAATGGCTTACAGCTGTGGCAGAATGCAATACAAGAGAGGGCCGGATCAATACAGAGGGCCTTGGCTTCCTTGTGGAGAATACCGCACCAACATCACCACAAGATTCTGGTCATTCTTGTTAACACTGACTACTTCTGCTGCGGTTCACTTGTTTCTCTGGCTCCCGCCTCCCCAGGCGTGCATGCCTCTACAATAGCTGAAGATATATTAACCCTTACACTGCTACAATCGCTGTCTGCGATGTCCTGTTGGGCTACAATCGCCATCTGCGATTTTTCTCTTGTACTTCAATTACTATATGCGATTTTTATTTTGTTATTTGTTAATTGTATTTGTCATGAACACCTCTATGTAGTACAGTATTTTGAAATAGCTGTGCCGTTTATTAGTTAAATATTGGGCTTTTAGTACCTCATGTTAGAGCCTATTGGGCTCTTATCATGAGGTACTATATATATATAGTACTATATATATATATCATGAGGCAAATATATCTACATTTGAAACTGTGTATGACGTCTGCCTCCACCACATCACTGCCTAATGCATTTCATCCGTTAACTACTCTGACACAAGAAATTCTTTCTAATGTCTCTTGTGGTTCATTTGAGTACTAAGTTTCCACCTGTGTCCCCTTGTTCGCGTTGCACCCATGCTAAATTGTTTGTCTTTGGCCACCCTGATGGTGATGATGTGATGATAGTAATGATGGTTGTGTACTAAAAATGGTTACAGTTATGAAGATAGTGTATAGTGAGGGAAGATTAATTTTTTTAATTTTGCCCCGAGGGGCGAGTTTATTGGGCAGCGCCACTCATCTTGTGAGTGGACACACCGCCATAGCAGCATGTACAACACTCCCCAATAGGAAGAAAACCCGCTGGGTTGTTCATCCTGTCACTTGTACCCAGACACAGCTGGGACTTGCTTAACTGTCTCAAGTGAACAGGGAAGATGTAGCCGCTGTCACCTGAGCAACACCGAGCCGAGTACCCACTCTAGTATATATATATATATATATATATATATATATATATATATTGATACGTGTATATGTTCCCCAGAGCAAGACGATCCGAGAGTTCGATACACGGTTCACGGCGATGCAGTTCGGGTTCCGGGATGCTGAGGACTACTACGTGTCCTCCTGCCTCCATGACAAGCTTCACCGCATCAAGGTGCCCCTCCTCTGCCTCACCGCTGCCGACGACCCCTTCCAGCCTCTCCACGGTAAACCTGGCTTTTGTTCTCTACTGTTGATATTGATGTTCAGGAGACTACGGCTTGTGTTGGCGAGACTGTGACTGTAGTGCCCTCGAGGAGGACCGGGGCCACTGGCTTGTCGAAGGTCCTCCTCCATTTGTCCTGATGATTTTGTCGAGCTGGATTTCGATATTGAGCAGTTTTGGAATGTTCAGCTTCAGCGGGTAGGCGGCTCCTTAAGTTTATAACTATAAGGGTTAAGAAGCATCTCCTGTATTCCGTTTTGCCTTATTGTTTGTTGAGGTTAAAACCGTTGCTCCTTCCCCTTGTGTTACATCTGACCTTTTGAAGAAGAGGTTTGGATCAGTGTCCTCCAAATTGTTGAATATTTTAAAAGTTTCGATTAGATCAGCCCTGTTATGTCTGATTTGCAGTGCTTGTTAGCCCTATGGCCTCCAACCGTTCTTGGTATGATAGTCAAATTAGTTCTGGAATGGTTTTAGTTGTCCGGTGTTGAACTTTCTCCAAAGCAGCTGTCTTTCTGAAGGTGAGGTCTCCATGCCTGGATACAATCATTCAAATAATGGCACACCAGAGGTTTATACAGTTGGATAACTACCTTCTTTTCCGGGAAGTCAAAATTTCGTGTTGACTATTACTAGTACTTGATTGGCTTTATTGTGTGATCGCTCAACTGTAAGGTTGCTCTCTGAAAAGGTGTTCCCAAATCTGTGTAGTATCGGGCTGTGTTGTGAACAATAGGAAGAGAAAAAGACGTGTAACGCACCCAGTTGGAAACCTTGCCCAAGTAATCTTGTATGAACGCTTTCGACGTTGATTCAACGTTAAATCAACGTCGTTTGCCCCCCCCCCCATGCCCAACCTGCGCCCACTGGGGTAGGTGATCTTGCGGGGTAATTTGTGTTACATATTTAAGTGTGTGACTTCACGTTGATGAAGAATGGCTGGTGTTCCCTGACCTGTAAGTAACTTTTACACCAGTTTAGGATTGTCTTGTTTTTGCCAACAATAAAATGCTGACATTATAGTATTGCATATTATATATAATTTTCAAAATCATTAATTTGCAGAACGCTATTACTACAATTTTCACATTCCTCCATTTTCTGAATTCATACTGGTGTGAAAAAGACAGGATTGTCTCGAGTAACTATATGGTGATAAGAAATAATCAAGTAGTCTTATTATTAGAGAGATAAATTAATTAAAGACTACCATTTTGTAAATTATGTTAATCGTGTATAACCAGCATGAGAGAAACTCATAATGCTAATGAGCTACCTCCTCCCTCTGTGTGTATTTTTACCTCAATAAACTTTTTCAATTTCATAATGATAATATGCTTTGTTTACCCTCAGCCATACCACTGGAGGCGGCGGAAGAGTCTAGTCATGTTGCCATCATCGTCACTGCTCGCGGGGGACACATAGGTTTCATGGAGGGTCTCCTTCCCACCACCTCCTACTACAGTGACCGCCTTATTGGTCAGCTCCTTGGCGCCGTCTTCGCCAATCTTAATGCCATGGAGGAGGTAAAGAAGGAGGCAGATGCCTACGCCATCGCCGGCATGGAAGACGAGTGTGTAAGTGAACTTTTAACCGACTCCAAGAAAGAAGTGAATGGCTATGCGAGTGGATCCTGCAGTAGACATGGCAGCGTGTGGGGGGTGAAAGACGCCGACGGCATTATCAGGGACAAGTTTACCAACCACAGTGAGGTGGGGGACGACACCTTTGTCAACCATTGTGATGTGAAGGACGACACCTTTGCCAACAACTGTGAGGTGAAGGACGACACCTTTGCCAACCACTGTGAGGTGAAGGACAACACCTTTGCCAACCACTGTGAGGTGAAGGACAACACCTTTGCCAGCCACTGTGAGGTGAAGGACGACACCTTTGCCAACCACTGTGAGGTGAAGGACGACACCTTTGCCAACCACTGTGAGGTGAAGGACGACACCTTTGCCAACCACTGTGAGGTGAAGGACGACACCTTTGCCAACCACTGTGAGGTGAAGGACAACACCTTTGCCAACCACTGTGAGGTGAAGGACGACACCTTTGCCAACCACTGTGAGGTGAAGGACGACACCTTTGCCAACCACTGTGAGGTGAAGGACGACACTTTTGTCAACCACTGTGAGATGAAGGACGAGACGTGTGCCAACCACTGCGAGGTGGAGGACGATCCATGTGCCAATCACCGCACGGTGCAAGACACGCCTGCCGAGCTCTGTGAGATGGTTGACGTCAAAGAGTTGGTAAACTCCAACTGCGGCGGACTTCACAAAAGGGCGCATGAGGTGTCATAATGAAAAGCCCCTCTAGCTATTCATTGCCGGTATAATGTACATATATCAGTTCTTGAAAAAGGTGCAAGTGCAACTCAGTCACCCCAGGGCATTCAAACCTTTTCGAAATATTCAACACGTGCAAAAAGTAGCCTACTACAGGGCAATGATGAAACATTTTTAAACCGGATATTTCGTTGTTATTTAGTGGCTTCTTTAACCAAGGCAGACTCGTCACGTATGTTGGTGACTTGCCTCAAATTTTGCTTTTACAAAGCTATTGAATTGAAAATAAAAGTAGCCTTCACTTTCAAATTTAGAAAATTAGTTATCAATTGTATTAATTTAAGTGAAACACTTTGAAAAAAATATGGTGGAAGATAATAAGAAAACAGTTTTATAATTAAATGTAAAGAATGCAAGTCATAGAGAGAAGTAGGTTCCGGTTTAGGCTATCTCAGATATTCCTATGTAAAATAACCCCTCCCCCCACACACGTAAGTCTTGGAAGGCGAGAATTACTCATGATTACCAAATTTACGACACAGAAGTATGCAATTGTCAAAAGAAGGCGCCAAGCCTGGAAGACTATATATAGCAATCACCACAATTATTTTTTAAATAGCCTGGAACCTTGGCTGAGACTACCGACAGTGCACGTCCCCTCACCCCAGGCTAGAGAAAGCGCGCGTAAAGTGTTCATCGAGTTGTAAACTGAGAGAAGCCTCATATGAATGGTCAGTTCACACTCGTTAATCTCAAAAAGGTGGAGAACGTCAGATGGTCACAAATTGTAATACTTGTTAGGAGATATGTTCTGAAAAGCGTTGTAACATACTCAACAAGGCCTAATTGGCCTGGGATTTGCATGTTCGTTATAATTTTAATAGCAATACACAACGAAAATATTTACGGTATTGTCCAGGTGCATTTTGACGCCGTTTTTGTTAAAGCTCACTGAAACAGTTGTTTCAAATACTATTGTTAAAAATCAATAATCTTCAGGAATAGTAAGTTCTGTCCGTTATAAGGGAACAGTATTTAAGTGTATAGAAACGGCTTTGCTAAGACCTTTTCTTTGCTCCCAAAATGAACATGATACAAGAGTGTTACCTATGTTAGTTTTTATACCCCCCGTGTAAATAGGGGCGAGAGGGCTTGCAACTGGTAAACAATCACTCTCCCACTGATGTACACTTCTACTTCTGGAAAAACTGAGAATGTAGAGAACACTTTTGTCTATGGCACAGTAGTCTGCGCAGTCGGCTTACAACCGAATGGTCCCGGATTCGATTTCCGGTCAGGGTGGAGATATATAGGCACGCTTCCTTACACTTGATGCCTCTGTTCACCTAGCAGTAATTAGATACCCGGGAGTTAGTCAACTGTTAAGGGTTGCATCCAGGTAAAGGTCAGAGCCTTGGTCGAGGGGACACTTCAATAAACCTAACAGGCTTCCTGCCCCCGACCATGGGAAACCATACCAGTGCCCTAGCTGGTTCTAAGCACGCAATAGTAACATCTTGTTGTAGTCCATATAGATCATTTTTTAAGGTCAAATAATATTATATACAAATCTGCAGAAGACAGCGTTTTGCTGGTAATGCTCACGTATGTTGATATATTATTTGTATTCTCATTTCTCTGTCTCTCATTCCCACAATTGTTTTCCTTGTAACTACCACCAACTGCACTAATCATCCACTGCCAGGACCTTGTCCACCACCATCACGTATACTTCATGTACAGTTCAGTTGTTTTGTTAATGGAGTGTGCCTGCGTGTGACCATGTCCCAGTGTTTTGTGATGCTTGTGACCATGTCCCAGTGTTTTGTGATGCTTCTGACCATGTCCCAGTGTTTTGTGATGCTTGTGACCATGTCCCAGTGTTTTGTGATGCTTGTGACCATGTCCCAGTGTTTTGTGATGCTTCTGACCATGTCCCAGTGTTTTGTGATGCTTCTGACCATGTCCCAGTGTTTTGTGATGCTTCTGACCATGTCCCAGTGTTTTGTGATGCTTCTGACCATGTCCCAGTGTTTTGTGATGCTTGTGACCATGTCCCAGTGTTTTGTGATGCTTGTGACCATGTCCCAGTGTTTTGTGATGCTTCTGACCATGTCCCAGTGTTTTGTGATGCTTCTGACCATGTCCCAGTGTTTTGTGATGCTTGTGACCATGTCCCAGTGTTTTGTGATGCTTCTGACCATGTCCCAGTGTTTTGTGATGCTTCTGACCATGTCCCAGTGTTTTGTGATGCTTGTGACCATGTCCCAGTGTTTTGTGATGCTTCTGACCATGTCCCAGTGTTTTGTGATGCTTCTGACCATGTCCCAGTGTTTTGTGATGCTTCTGACCATGTCCCAGTGTTTTGTGATGCTTCTGACCATGTCCCAGTGTTTTGTGATGCTTCTGACCATGTCCCAGTGTTTTGTGATGCTTCTGACCATGTCCCAGTGTTTTGTGATGCTTCTGACCATGTCCCAGTGTTTTGTGATGCTTCTGACCATGTCCCAGTGTTTTGTGATGCTTCTGACCATGTCCCAGTGTTTTGTGATGCTTCTGACCATGTCCCAGTGTTTTGTGATGCTTCTGACCATGTCCCAGTGTTTTGTGATGCTTCTGACCATGTCCCAGTGTTTTGTGATGCTTGTGACCATGTCCCAGTGTTTTGTGATGCTTCTGACCATGTCCCAGTGTTTTGTGATGCTTCTGACCATGTCCCAGTGTTTTGTGATGCTTCTGACCATGTCCCAGTGTTTTGTGATGCTTCTGACCATGTCCCAGTGTTTTGTGATGCTTCTGACCATGTCCCAGTGTTTTGTGATGCTTGTGACCATGTCCCAGTGTTTTGTGATGCTTGTGACCATGTCCCAGTGTTTTGTGATGCTTGTGATTTATTATCTCACACACACACACACACAGTTGGAGTTGTAGTTAACAGATGGAATGCATTAGTCAGTGATGTGGTGGAGGCTGACGCCATACACAGTTTCAAGTGTAGATATGATAGAGCCCAATAGGCTCTGGAACCTGTTCACCAGTTGATTGACAGTTGAGAGGCGGGACCAAAGAGCCAGAGCTCAACCCCCGCAAGCACAAATAGGTGAGTACACACACACACACACACACACACACACACACACGACATGATAGTATGACATTCTTAGTGATATTGACAGCGAAGAAAAGATAAAATATTCACAGTGAATGCCAGGAGGAACGAAAGGGCACGAGTGGAAGCCTGAGACATACATGATCGAGCTGCACAGATACGTTAAAGTATTTTCTACTTGAAAATTCAAAAGAAAATAGAATAAACTATACGAGGTTGTAGAAGCCAACTCCTGTCATAATTTTAAAAGTAGATATGGCGGAATGTAAGATCAGGAACCACTGCATAAAACAACTGCCAAGGCCCTCGGGTTTCAGAATAGTCTAGGCATGAGGTACGAGAGAAGACTGCGAGCTTGATTTCACAATACTATAGAAGCAAGGGCTTAACCCCAACTTGCAGAGTTCTTTAGGGTGTAGAGCGAGTATACAAGAGCAAGACCGACATAAGAGAAACGGCGACTAGCTAAGGAATATATTCACTTGATGCTTGAGGTCAGTAAGTTTTTTTTTTTGTCCTACTCAAATGGGTACAGGAACAAGCTACAGCTGACTTCTGGTAGCAGGCTGAGAGCTTTTCCTTCCTATAGCGCATGGTAAGCCTTATCCATTAGCTTCCCTAGAATACGCTCCTCGATTTTCTGTAAACAAAATATTTGCAGTTACAACAATGTGAATTATAAGGATTACAGTGTGAATGATGAGAGTCTAAAACCCGAGAGAAGTATGGAATACTTTACGTCATCAATACTCTTGTAAAAAACACCTAACATAAACTAGCCTAACGAAAATTAGAGCTAAAATGTTGAGTTTTATATATGGTATGCACGAAGTGTATGACGTCACAATTTTCATACGGGTACAGGTTTTGGACCCCTACTGAAGTGTTGTGGTTGTGGTTATGGTTGTGGTAGCTGTCAGGATGAAACACGGACTGGTTAGTTAACTCTCCCTTGCACTTATTGTTGTTATTCATTCTCTCTCTCTCTCTCTCTTCCTCTCTCTCTTTCTTCCTCTCTCTCTTCCTCCCCTTGTACACACACACGGATCACATATTTACAAGTCACTATCAAGGATCTTCATATGCAGTATTAATATGTTGTCTACCTAAACAAACAAAACGTTTCATATTCATGCAAAATGTAAATAAGGAAAACCCGTCCCATAGTAAATAAAACCTTTAAAATGTAAACTAACTTTTGTGTAATTTGAATTCTAGGTTTTCCCGACACACAGTCGCAGGGAATTTATATTTTGCTTACTTAAGTGGGCATAGGAGTGGAATCCTTAACTTTGTGAGCAGGCTTAGAGTCACCCACCCACAGCTCAGTGTTTACAAGCTAAGAGTCACCCTCCCACAGTTCAATGTATGCAAGCTAAGAACCTCCATCCCACAGTTTAATATCTGTAGGCTAAGAGTCACCCTCCCACAGTTCAATGTTTGCAAGCTAAGAGTCTCCCTCCCACAGCTCAGTGTTTGCAAGCTAAGAGTCTCCCTCCCACAGTTCAGTGTTTGCAAGCTAAGAATCTCCCTCCCACAGCTCAGTGTTTGCAGGCTAAGAATCTCCCTCCCACAGTTCAATGTTTGCCGGCTAAGTGTCTCCCTCCCACAGTTCAGTGTTTGCAAGCTAAGAATCTCCCTCCCACAGTTCAATGTTTGCCGGCTAAGAGTCTCCCTCCCACAGTTCAGTGTTTGCAAGCTAAGAATCTCCCTCCCACAGTTCAATGTTTGCCGGCTAAGTGTCTCCCTCCCACAGCTCAGTGTTTGCAAGCTAAGTCTCCCTCCCCACATCTGTGTTTGCAAGCTAAGTCTCCCTCCCACAGCTCAGTGTTTGCAAGCTAAGTCTCCCTCCCACAGCTCAGTGTTTGCAAGCTAAGTCTCCCTCCCACAGCTCAGTGTTTGCAAGCTAAGTCTCCCTCCCACAGTTCAGTGTTTGCAAGCTAAGTCTCCCTCCCACAGTTCAGTGTTTGCAGGCTAAGAGTCTCCTTCCCACAGTTTAGTGTTTGCAGGCCCTCCTATAGTTCATTTGTTAAACCTTTCCTTACATATTTTGTAATTTTTGGCAATTTATCTCATTAGATTGGTTAAATATCAGCAATAAAATGTTATACACTATACAGTACATAGTTTTATTTACCCACAGATCATTACTTATGAAGGTGAGTTTGGTGATGGTGAATTTGGAGTACATTGATGAGCGTGGTGTACATATTACACGGAGGATCTATGCTCCATGATGCTTTGAGTACTTGAAGGAGCATTGCGCACATGACAGTGATGAAACTATATTACATGATGCTTGGAAGACTATGATGAGCATGATATATTGAGAAACTATGCTCCATTGTAATAATCTCATTTAATTCAATGTTTTAAAAATTTACTACGGTACAGGGCAGTCTGAAAAACTACTGGTCTTCGTTACCATTTTATGAAGTATTTATTAAAGAGTTGTTGGAGAGTCGAAAATTATGAGAAACAAATAAAGTATACATATTTATGTATGATAAAAAGTGCTTAATAATGATTGCATCAGCATTGAATTATGCGAATGCAAGCGCTAAATTATGTAACTAGCCTAACCTAACAATCTATCCTAATCTAACCTAGCCTATCATAACCCAACTTAACCTGCTCTATCTTAACCTAAACCAACTTATCCTAACCTACCCATTAGTCAAGCGATCACTAAGTACATTTATTGAATGCTAATTGAAGTCTATAAGGTGCTTAGCAAACTACAATAATTACTGTATGGTAAAATATAGTAAGATAATAGATGAAGTGTAACGTGGCGAATCAGGTGAGGCACCGCAAGTTGGATTTGGCCAGTAAGTGGATGGGTGACCGCGCGGACAGCCTATAACTTGCCCTAACTGGCTTCCTGTACCAGAAACTCGGCTTCCACTGCCAGTGGGATCCAAAACCTGTACTGACATCAACATTATGACGTTACAGTGACGTCACACAGTGCACACCATATATAAAACAATTTGTTTTATGTAAATATGATCTTTATATTGTGTATTAGTAAATAAAGAAGAGATAGATATCAAGCAAACTTATACTTCTCTTATGCTCGTTAGGTTAGCATAGGCTAACTCCCTCAATGTATAGGTTAGACTAGGTTTAGTCAGGTTAGGATAGGCTACGCCAGAAAGTACGCAGGCCGGTACTATGCAAGACAAATAGTTAACCATTTGCTAGTGCAGGCTAGTATATAGCTAGTATGTACATATAAATAAGCCCCTTGTACAGAATAACCGGTACTACCATATATACCATGAACCAATCTTACTATTTAAAAAAAGGCATATTGGCATATAACCGTACATAATGAACTGTAATTATGTGTAAACTAATTCAATTATACACGTATAAATATTTAAAGAGTTTTTGAATCTACATGACAGAAAACAGGAGATGCTTTTTCCCCAATAGTTTAAACCCATGGAACAGCCTAGCTGCCGAAGCCGTAAATGCCAAAACGTTGCTAAATTTCAAAATCCAGCTCGACAAAATTAGGATAAATGGGGGGGAGGGAACCTTCGACAAGCCGCGGGCTGCCTGTTCTCATCGAGGCCACTAGAGAGATATTGGCGCTCAGGTAAATTCAGGTAAATATACGGGCTTAGCGCTTATCACCCTAACATTTAATTACTACATTATGCGCGTTTATTAGAACATGAATTATAATTTTTTGAGAAGTTATAGTTTATTTTGGTATCCAGGATATCCTGGATGTTGCTCATACACGGGAATTGGTTATCTTGCTATCATGTTTGATATTTTGTAGGTAATATGCTCAATGTGACGTCACAGTCTACACACCACAGTGCGGCAGTCACGTCATGGTAGACACACGTCGCTGATTCTGGTACGACAACGCTGTCGGGCATACGATAAATACACCAGCTTTGTTATGCCATAAAAATGGTGTATTGTCCATTTCATTTTATATTAATTTTAATATATGAGTTTAATTTATAAAAGAAAATGCTTTGTAATACTGTTTTTTATGAGCACCATAGAAGTTTCCGAAATTATATTAAAAACGTTTCCATTACATTTTCCTAAAATTTTGGGGAAAATTTAATATAATATAATATAAACAAATATATATACTATATATGTATGTGGTACGAGTAGTCTGAAGAACAGTGTATCCTAGGGACGGGCAGCAATAGGATAACTAAGGTGTATAGTGACAAAATCAATGGAGGGAGGGAGGTATGTCCGGCGTGGGTGCCGGCAGTCAGTGCTTCAGGTGCCAGGCAGCGGGGAGGGTCACGCGGGAGCCCAGGGTCGCGCCTCACTGTACCGTCACTCTCACTAGGTATGAAGTACTCTGCTGCCACAGTGTTATATATCATAGTTCAGCTCATCGTGAACATTTCTGCTAGTGTCTAGTTTGTATTTGGCTCGTTTGTGTCGATGAGATAAACTGTTTAGAGAGTTTGAAGTCCCGGTTATGTGTTAGAAGAGCAAGTTTCCTTTCATCTGATGCCTGGGAGTTAGACAGTTGTTCCTAGTGGGATCTCTAGGAGCTTATGTATAGGCTTCCTGTCCACTACAACGGCAATTAGCTTCTGCAGTTGTTACTTCCAAAACCGGTGTTGGGACTTAGAGGAGCGGCGCTGTGGGTGGCCAGCTTACAACCCCCCAATATTGATTCCCGGTCCCCAGTACCAAGCTCTGCAGTCACCAGTAGCAGATGTAAGTAGCAGCTGCAGCCAGACACCGTGGTGACCTTGGCCACTAGGCAGCTGTAATAGAACGGCGCCCCTTATAAACATGTAGCAATTGTCGTCGTTTACGTAGTAAAGGGCTTCAATAACAAGCACAAATGTAAAGCTGTTTACCCAACTGCGAGTGAGACGAAACCCAGCAACCTTGGTATACAACAGCACTGTCCAACACACTTACGTCACATTGTTACTTTCTTGTGATTTAAATAAAGCAAAATAAGAAATAGTAGCAGTATTTCCTGCTGCAGTTTGAACTGGATCATTGTATTGGCGTTTACGGCTTCGACAGCAGGAATACTGAAGGAGTTGTACCCGGTTGCTATAATAGTCGTGTATCTTTAATAAAAGGCTTGAGTACGCGGCGACATGTGCTTCATAGAGTAACTGGGAAAACGTTCCTGCCTATGCTGCTTTAAAAACATGTTACACAGGCTAAACTGCTACGATGCATTTGACAAACGCTAGGTACAGGCAGGACACGTGATTACTGCCAGGTACAGGTGATGATTGATTGATAAAGATTAAACCACCCAAAAGGTGGCACGGGCATGAATAGCCCGTAAGTGGTGGCCCTTTGGAGCCATTACCAGTATCAAGAGCTAATACTGGAAATCTGTGGATGAGGTACAGGTAACGATGGCGGTTGTAAATAGGCTTGCTCCACGATTCTGCATTCCCGTTTCCAAATGGTCGAGGGAATAGATGTTGTCTCCTTTAAAATGGCTAACTTTAACTCCTTTTTTTATTGTTTGTGGTGATAAACAAATACAACAGGAGTCTGGTAGCTTTGGGTTATTGCAGGAGTTAACTTGGTAGACGAAGCATAACATTCACTCTTGTATTCGTGGTCATGGAATAGAAGAGGTGACGTTCTCATGCTAAGATTATCAATATAATATATTGCTTCCGTACAAGAAGCCCTAGAGATACTGGTAGAAAATATCAATCACAATCAGTCAGGTATAGCCAGACTTAAAGCAATGATCCCAGATATATTATCTACTAAAGCTTTTTACCCCCATCAGCCCTTTGGTTACCTAAATTCCTTATTGGTATAGTATCTTATTTTCTAGTAAAGACAATCTAGTGGAAGTTTGCTTGTATCTAGTCGTATAAATATCGACTCAAGTAAACTAACATGCAACAGAAAAAGGTGCCTTTCTGATTTAATCCCCCCTCGGAGTCTTAAGTTCACAAATTATACCCAATAATACATTCAGATATATTTACACGATGCAGAGAAATAGGTAGCTCGATCCAAAAGCATTCCGCATTGCGAAACATGATTAGCCCTTTCCAAGCCAGTATATACCCAGGTGTTCTAATATATAATCTTACTAAATTTATATCCATCGTTTCGTGTTCTATTTTGTGTTCATATATTTCATACTTCATAATATCCCCTTATGTCTATTCATTCAGGTGTACACTTCAGTCATGTCACTGGTAGAAAAGATTTAATCACTGACCCTGGACCCTGGGTGTTATCATTGCACCATGATGTAAATAGATTAACGCTATCAAAAGGAACAAAGATATATACACCCCCCCCCATCTTGGGGTGTAACCCATTTATCGGTGCGTATCCTGTACGCCTAAGATATACATCCAGATTGGCCATGATCTTAGATTTCTTCCTGCAGTTGATAGGTTTAAAGTCGCACACCAAAATAACCTAGGAATTACCAGAACTAAGCAAGTATGCAGAACTATTAAAGTCGCTGGTAAAATCGAAGTACTTGTGCCTAAATATAGATAACTAAAGATTCAATTCACTTTGGAGTATAAACAACCTAACATCTGATTTTACGGGATTTGAGATTTTTTTTTTTAAGTTTACAGACAATCTGGGGTGTATAGCTGTTTATTAGTATCTAAATAAAATAAATTAACTTTAACGTGTGGATTAATAACGTTGGACTTGAGAATTAATAAATCCACATGTCCAACAGTCTGTGAGAGGTAAAAGTTATTTTGAAAATGTTCAACGTTAGTGGAGATTAGAGTTCAACTCGTATGGACAGCTGTTGTAAGGTCAGATTCTAGTTAATTTTACTGTATTCGGCAATGTTTTATAATGGAGAATAAACCTCGTTGAAAAGGTAACATTAAGTGCACTATCGAAAAATTTAAAGGTGCAACTTCAAAGTTGTGTTCGAATGAATAAGTTTATACCGGTTAATTTTGTCCTGCATGATGTTTATGGCAAAAGTACCCTTGGTCGCAGTCCTCTTGGCGCAGTGGTAAAGCACTCGCCCGGCGCTTCGTGAGCACTTTGGCCTGGGTTTGTATCCTGGCCGGGGAGGATTGACTTGGGCGCCATTCCTAAACTGTAGCCTCTGTTCACCCAGCAGTGAATGTGTTTCTTGTTAATAGTTGGCGGGTTGTATTCCGGGGAAAATTAGGATCAAGGACCTGCCCGAAACGCTATGCGTGCTAGTGGCTTTACAAGAATGTAATAACTCTAGGTATGATTTTTTTATTTTATTTATATATACTAGTATAGTTGCTGGTTAGTGAACTGCTGTGGAGGCCTTGATATCCCACCCTTGGTTGATAAACCTTAATCCCAACACCAATCTCAGAATGGCGTGTTATTGAAGTTTTTTAAATTACTGCTTCCCTGTGATAGCAACGCCATTATTTCTGAACCCTGACGTACGTTACACCTGCAATGATTTTAGCGTCTCCCTTTCAGAAAGTAATTTTTTTTTACCTGTACTGGTCCAGAGTTACTATATAAATTAACATAATAAGCAATGAATGTCATTTCTATGGTCCCTTTGCACTGTCACGTGACTACAGATTTGATTTTGTTTACATTAGTTGTTGAAGTCCACGAGTACAGTGTCGATTGTAGTTTTAAGTATATATATTTTCTTCCTTAATATGTTCATTTTCACAAATTTTAATAATATTCGCAAAAGCAAATATGTTATAAACATGTTTAGGCGGAATTATTCAAGCGACATTGAAATAATCTATTGTTTGTCATTGGCTATCAAGGATGTCCTTGTGGACAACGAAATAGTTTTCAAAATATCTTAATCAATAATTACTAGTCATTGGTGTTGCCTGATAACCATATGTTTTATATGTACCGTAAATTAACCTTCGATAATAGGTTGTATAATAAAGATGAGTTATATAATTAAAACTTCGAAAATGGAACAACTTGTTCAGATATGCAGAAGACTTACGTTGCTCCCATGTATTTATAGATAAACACTTAAATTGTACCAAACATATTGTGTATGTGAAACTGTTACCTCACATGCATTGTGTGTGAGAGGTAGCCGCCAGCATGGTCTGAAAGGGGAGGGGGGAGAGGTAGCCGCCAGCATGGTCTGAAAGTGGAGGGGGAGAGGTAGCCGCCAGCATGGTCTGAAAGGGGAGGTAGCCGCTAGCATGGTCTGAAAGGGGAGGGGGGGAGAGGTAGCCGCCAGCATGGTCTGAAAGTGGAGGGGGAGAGGTAGCCGCCAGCATGGTCTGAAAGGGGAGGGGGGAGAGGTAGCCGCTAGCATGGTCTGAAAGGGGAGGGGGAGAGGTAGCCGCTAGCATGGTCTGAAAGGGGAGGGGGGAGAGGTAGCCGCCAGCATGGTCTGAAAGGGGAGGGGGGGGGAGAGGTAGCCGCCAGCATGGTCTGAAAGGGGAGGGGGGAGGTAGCCGCCAGCATGGTCTGAAAGGGGAGGGGGGAGAGGTAGCCGCCAGCATGGTCTGAAAGGGGAGGGGGGAGAGGTAGCCGCCAGCATGGTCTGAAAGGGGAGGGGGGAGAGGTAGCCGCCAGCATGGTCTGAAAGGGGAGGGAGAGGTAGCCGCTAGCATGGTCTGAAAGGGGAGGGGGGGGGAGGTAGCCGCCAGCATGGTCTGAAAGGGGAGGGGGAGAGGTAGCCGCCAGCATGGTCTGAAAGGGGAGGGGGAGAGGTAGCCGCCAGCATGGTCTGAAAGGGGAGGGGGATAGGTAACCGTCAACATGGTCTGAAAGGGGAGAGGTAGCCGCCAACATGGTCTAAAAGGGGAGGGGGAAGCTGCCGCCAGCATGGTCTGAAAGGGGAGAAGTTGCTGCTAGCATGGTCTGCAAGGGGAGAGGTAGCCGCCAGCATGGTCTGAAAGGGGAGGGGGGGGGGGAGGTAGCAGGCATCATGGTGTGAAAAGAGGGAGGGTAGAAGATGTATCCGCCAGCATGTCCTTACGGGGAATGATATAGTGCCAGAGGGGGAGAGGGTAGCCGCCAACTATTGGAGAAATTGGGGAGTTACGCAGCAATTGGGTGTCAAAAATGTATCTAGCCACCATTACTTACAATCTCTCTACCTCAACCCACCTCCAAGTGGCAAGGGGAGAGAGGGACGAAAATAAAGTGCCATGTCCTGCTCGTTAATTTTCCAGCTGCCTTACTACACCCTCCTGGGCGCTCTTACGGTACAACATTATTGGACATTAACCAATTTCAGTGATTTAAGATTAAAATTTGACAAGACATAGATTTTAAGTGGGTAAGTTTTCATGCACTCCATACCCATTCAGTGAGCTGTGGTGAAAGGGTTGCATACTCACACAATGGGTTTGGATACCGTACCTCGACATGTTTAGCTAGGCAAATTACAGCTTTGACAAATTACTTGAAGTTGACATGCTCCGCAGGCATGGCAGGAAACTGACTCGCACACTAAGTTTCAGGAACAAAACAAAAGTTCAAGGTTTTGACCTATTTAAACTTGATTCGTATGTATATATCATGCACACCACACCGCCCATGCATTGAAGGATGCACTGAATAGGGGTAGGGCTTTTGACCCGCTAATTAGGGGGTTTATGAAATATAGCATGTATAGTTTTGCCATTGGTGTATACATAACAATCTAAAGCAACAGGATTCACATTTTGTATATACAAAAAGGTTTGGTGAATTTATGAATAACTTAATAGCAAGCTGTAAGCAAATGTAGTAACCATTATTTGAACCTCTTGTGTAAATATACTTGTATTCTGAACAGTATTCTGAACATGTAAAAAAATTCCTAGTCCTTTTATTTAAACTGCAACATGGTCTTCCCGGCTTGGCGCCTTCTTTTTTATAATTACTTATTTACACGATGCATATCATAATGTACGGTATATGTATATATATATATTTTAACAACCGCAGGAACTAGTGAAGGATACGATGGACTGGTCCAATCTATACAGCGAGAGTCCCAGAATTATCCTCAGCATCACCGTGGGTGTGGGCTGTCTGCTCTATTACTTCATCGAGGTAGTCAAGGTGAGTAAGATTGATACAGATTAAGCCACTCAAGAGGTGGCACGGGCAAGAATAGCCCGTAATCAAGGTCAGTGACACTTATGGTTCCTTCATACCTTTGTTAGCCGGACCCATAGTTGGGTCTTGGGTTTGATTCCCGGGCAGTCTCAGAGGTTTTGGCAAATTTCCTTAAACCTCTGTTCACCTAGCAGTAAATAGGTATCGGGAAGTTTATAGTGTGTTTGTGGGTTGCATCCCCGGGAACCTCGATAAGCTTAACATGCTCTCTCTCTTCCTGACAGTGGAAAGTTTTGTATATTTTCGTATTCATTATTTCGTAACCCATATAAATTCCCACTTGTATTATGTTCTTAAAGAAACAAAATCTGTTGAACTTCATGTATTTCTCATACCGTAGCACAGGATAAACACAGGCTGGTATCTCAGTGTACACAGTTTACTCTGATTATAAACTGTATAACTGGGATACTCTTGACGGTTGTAAACAATGTATAAATGAAGGCCTTGAACCACAGGCACTGGCAGCCGATGAGATCATAAATCATTCACTAGTTTGTTCTTCAGTTAATGGGTGCACTGCAAACCAATAAGTTTAAACTAGTTAATTAATAATTATTAAGCTTTGTAAATAATTAATAATTGTTGTAACGAACCTTTTTTTTTTACATCTAGCACATACACAATTGTACCTGTATATCCCTTCATGTCTATTATGTTCATCTTGTCTGTCCTGGGGATGAATCAGTAGGGGCATCACGATGACTGGGAGTTCTTTGACAGAAACTGTTTAACTGGCAACACTGCCGCGAAGGTCAGCCAAGTGTACCATCTTGTGTATCAAGTGTACCAAGGCTTCAGTGTACCATCTTGCTGTTTTAGTATATTATATACATGTACCCTTGACTGTTTTTGTTTCTCACACTTTTTTATCACTTAAAACGTACCATGAAAAAAAAAATCAGTAGATTGTGCATTATCAGCACTTATTGCTCCTGTTGACATCAGTATGTATTGAATTTTGTTTGTATTTATTGCAACTTTGAGAGAAAAGAAATGTTTGAAAATATTAAGTTGAAAACTTGGCAAGAGTAGAGAATGACGTAACCGGATGGATGACGTAGGTCTTGCTTTGAATACACCTGACTTACACCTGGCTGGCCCGCTTACTCCTGGGTATGTGAAGGGTCCTCCACATTGTCTCCTAAGTTGTTATAGATATACTTTAACGCTGTTCTTCCCTCTTTATTATAAAGCTTTCAACGGCTGTTTAAGTTTTTAGTTTTAAGTTGTTGGTACAATAGACAAAGTTTTTGGAGATTTTCATAGTTTTGTGTATTATTAGCAATGCATTCAAGAAGTAATCCATTATAAGATACAAATGCTTTTAGCATGTTTATTATAACGCGTTTGAGTGTCCCGGAGGAAGTCTCTTCAATAGAGCCAACATCTCTGGTAATTACCATAAGCTCATGTTCTATGTCGTCTAAGTTTTACGGCTGTATACCTGTTCAGTTAGGCCACTACTGGAATGGTTTGTATAAATTTTTGTTGCAAATAGAACTTGTAAATCTAATTCAATCTTTATCATGCTGGCCGGGCTATCATCTCTGCTTATAAAACGCCTTTGTGGATTTGTAGATCTACAATCCTGAAATTGTAGATCTACAATCCTGAAATAGTAGATCTGCAATCCTAAAATTGTAGCTCTACAATCCTGAAATTGTCAAATAATATTGATAAATAATTGACTTAAATAATTTGTTAATATTAAACATTACGAAGGAGGGGGGGGGGATAATCTGGCGGGTGGAGGTGGTTAACAGACGAGCAAAAACAGCTGGCACCAGTCTCGTCTGCGTCAGGCGATTTAGTACATTAGTTTAGTGACGCTGGGAACGCTGGAGAGAACGGACCGCCACGTCACCTGCAGCAGCATGGTGGGGGGGGGGGGGGGGGGGAAACAGACGCGGCACCTCACAAGAGCATTATGTCATAGTGCTCACTATACCTGGTTGATGGGGTTCTGGAAGTTCTTCTACTCCCCAAGCCCGGCCCGAGGCCAGGCTCGACTTGTGAGAGTTTGGTCCACCAGGCTGTTGCTTGGAGCGGCCCGCAGGCCCACATACCCACCACAGCCCGGTTGGTCCGGCACTCCTTGGAGGAATAAATCTAGTTTCCTCTTGAAAATGTCCACGGTTGTTCCGGCAATATTTCTTATGCTTGCTGGGAGGACGTTGAACAACCGCGGACCTCTGATGTTTATACAGTGTTCTCTGATTGTGCCTATGGCACCTCTGCTCTTCATTGGTTCTATTCTACATTTTAATACATTTTATACATCCGAAGCCATTCATTATACGCCACTTTTACTAGAAATAATTTTTTGGCATAGCCTATTTTGATAAAATAAACACTGAAAAATCTGTAACGATGTCAGAAATAATGGTTGCATGTAGGAATTTATAATCGCTGCTATACGTTTCGAGGAGATTGGTTATCTTGAGATGTTTTCGGGGCTTAGCGTCCCCGCGGCCCAGTCCTCGACCAGGCCTCCTTTTTATTACACCCCCCTCCCCCCAGGAAGCAGCCCGTAGCAGCTGTCTAACTCTCGGGTACCTATTTATTGCTAGGTGAATAGGAGCATCAGGGCGAACGAAACTGCCTATTTGTTTCCGCCTCCACCGGGGATCAAACCCGGAACCTGAGGACTACGACTCCTGAGCTCTGTCCTCTCAGCTGTCAGGCCCCTACCACTGACACCCATCCCTAAATATAGAGACCCTCTTTCTGAATCTAAATGTTTAAGTTTCTGTCTGTTGGGGATATTTAATTATATCCAAACTTGCAAATTAAGTGTTGCAGTTCCTATGGAGAACATTGGAGCTTTCAGATACTGTAAGGTGATCTGGCTTATTATTTTTTTTTAAGAGACATGAACGAACAATGTCATATATGAACTGTTAAGAACATATGCACGAGAAGGTTACGAGTCACTGGAGTATGTTGGCATGCTACAGGCAGACCATCACACTCAACGGCCTTGCTCCTAGAGACGCTTCTTGGTGCATCTCTAATTTATCAGGAATCTTTAAGTTTTTAATAGAAAGTTTCAATTTGACGAGTAAAAGTTTACTCTATTTGGGAGTTACTTAAACACGCCGTGCTGTACATCGCACCTTCGGAGCTGCAACAGCAGGGAACCTTCATTCGAGTCCACCCTTTCATAGTGTGAGTCAGCACTCATCAATTCACAGGCCTTTGGTCTGTGAATGGATCAGTTATTGGCCCTCGGAGGCTACACGCGCGTGATTAGTTAGTTGACAATTGGTTGGGTGTATCTATACAAGACAATATTAAATACCCCAGAATGTTAGTGATTGTAGACGTTAAATGACTTTAGTCTCCTGAAAACATGTCCATGAAGGACAAGAAAATGTATATATGCTAGTTAGCATTGTAAATGTGACCACGTCTGTGGTAGAAAATAATAATAATAAAAAAATTGGTCCATTTTGTTCAGCAGACATACAGCCAATTGTCTAACATGGTCCGACAGTGCTCACGCCACGACACATCAGCATTAAAAACTGTCTAAATAAGATCTTAGATTTCCTAGGCTTGTAAGTAATATATTTTTTTCCAGCATATTAAATTTGTTAGTGTTCCTTTTACTTTTATATCTAAGAGTGTAATGATAAACGGTATTAGCTTGTTAAACCCCATGAAACAAAATTATGCATTTTTGTCAATTCTCCCAAAGCCACACGAAGTTATCTAATATACATTCATAAACCGTTCTTTGATTCGTACTCATAATACTAGGAATATTTAGCTTCAACTATCGCCCCCTTTACCCCCCCCCAAAAAAAAAAAAAAATGGCTCACTACCCGTTCACTGACGAAATAAATTCTCTAGCTAGTATTAATCTTAACACTTTCCATCTGTGTCCTCCAGTTTCGTTAATTCTTGTGGTCCTAAGAGGCACCTAAGAGTGCTTATGGACGAGGAGTAGTATCTTAGGAGGCCTGGTCAGAGACCGGGCCGCGGGGACGTTGACCCTCAGGAATCGACTCGAGATAAGCCTGCCTCTTCGTTAGGGAATCTGATGCAACTCTAATCATAATTTACTCTGATAATTATATTTACTAAGTGGTATTGTTTTAGACCTGATTTACTTGGTAAAGACCATTTATCCTCTGGGACCTCTCATTGTTCCAGCTGATAATTCCTTATGATATCATGTACGTTTGATTCATGATTCGCATAATGGTGATGAAGAGTGATTGATTGATGATTGATGAAGATTAAGCCACTCAAGAGGTGGCAAGCGCATGAGTAGCCCATAAGTGGTAGATTTTTTGGGGAGTGAATGTGATCTTTGGTCGTGAAAGGATGTACTGTGTGTTGAGCTCGCATTTAAATCGTCAGTCCTACTATGTGGCTGCTACCGTGGGGGAGGATACTGCTTGACAATATTTGCGGGTGTCCATCTACTGGACACTTTTTTTTTTACCTGAAGAGTGGCAGTGTTGATGGCTTCAGGATGGTTACTGCAAGATTCAGGAACTCTTAAAGCTCTTCTAAGGTAGTTAGTTGCTTCACGTTGCAGGAGATAGTGAAGTAGTGGCTTTTTTGTGATTTGGCAGAAGCAGCATTCCCAATCTCTGGGTTCACAATTTTCCAGTTGCATATGTAATCTATATGAAGTCTATAGAACCGAACTAGTATTTCCTTGTTGATTCCTTTCTGGATATTTAACCTGTCTAACTTGGTGGCCTGAAGATAGGATATTGTAGAGGAGATGAAGTGTGTGTGGGTGTGTGGGGGGGGGGGAACCTTTTTGACAGGGGGTTGTGTTGCGGGGGGGGGGGGAAGAGGTGACGACCGACAGGACACGGTGAGGGGGAGGTAGAGTCGAAGGAACTTTAGTAGGTAAAGAGGCAAGGAAGCTTAGCTGAGGAAGGAAAAAGTGGTAGCTTGGTTGTGGAGGGGGAAGCTTGATTTTGTAGATAGTGAGGAGCAGCTTAGTTGTTTGTCGACGAGAGGAGCAGTTTAGTTGTTTGTAGATGAGGAAGGGTGGAGAATTTGGTTGTTTAGAGAGGGGGAGGAGGAGGAGGAGGAGGAGGAGGCGGAGGAGGCGGAGGCGGAAGAGGAAGATAAGGAGTGCCGGCGTCAGTCACTTAAGAGCACCGCGGCACCACAAGACGGAAGCAACAAGAACGCTATTAAGCTGGTTAGGCTTCCCCTCCCCCACACCCCACTGCCCGGGTGCAGAGGTGACGGGAAAGCCTGTGTCTCGGGTTCTCTTTAACAGTATTGAAATAAGGTCGCTTGTACCTTTATAACTAAGGCCCTTTCATACTGCTTATGAGTCACAGAACAAGGATAAATAAATCTACCTGAATATTATCTGACGAGAATATATTATATAATTATTATATATTCCAGTCGGATAATATTCAGGTGGATTTATTTATCTTTGTTCTGTGACTCATAAGTAGGATGAAAGGGTCCACTTGGAGCCATGAAAGGTGCAATATAAAGGCGCCCTCTTGACTTCCACACAACCCCGAGAATTATTGGACACTTACGACGATGTGGGCTCTTGACAAGTGGTAGTGGTTCACATCAAGCTGTTATCGTGGGACCCGAAGACAGGGCCCACATAGTCATCACTGACATATTAACGTACCATTGCACGTCTTGTTGGAATGCGTTTTATGTAGTGTGGGAATTTTTGTATTTGCCATAAATAACCAGTTTTCAGGCGTGCACTCATTGGAATCCTTTAGGTTGTTTTCTTTGAAGGATAGTCCTTTACACAGACGTGCAGGGATGGTTGACCTAGTGTGAAGAGGATAGTAGTAGTTTATAAAAGATTGTTCTTCCTCGAGATTCTACAAATCGAGGAAATACACACAACTCGACCCTTCTCGATCAGTTTAATTATATCTTTAATATTTTGTACTAGAGGAAAGGAAGATTTAATATTTAGATTTTTTTCCCATACGTTCTTTGAGAAGGACCTCTACTGTATATCACATGCATAATTTTAACGGCTACGGAAGGTGGATGGTTCCATAGGTTTATTGCTGTGTTAAAAAGCCTCGCCTGCATTCAGTCCTACATTGTGGTTTGTTGAGCTTGAAACAGTTGTTTCTTAATGTTTGTTACAACTGGCCTGTTAAAGAAGTGGTCCGGATCAATATCCTCTAAATTTTTGAGTATTGAGTATTTGAGTATATATACTCAAATATTTTGAGTATTTTGAGTAAAAATGAAAATTTTGAGTATTTGAGTATTGAAAATTGTTAAAGACCAGATTTGTTTAACAGTTTAGCGATACTATAAATGAAGTTATCTTGGTTGCCCACAGCGCCCTGTCCTGGCCTGCAGAAACAGTGCCTGGCGAGGATTCTTGGAGACCCACCTGACAATCCTGCAGGAGAAGTACTGGCCCACACCCTGGTGTTATGAATCCCGATGCCAAACTATCCTCGCTTCTGTCCTCCGCTCAAGAATGCCCGATATAACGTACATAAGGTTAGTTGGCTACACAGTATATGGATGATTCATATTAGAGTATTCGTGTTATTTTCCATGATCGTTCTTAATTTGTTAACTCACTTCTCCTTAACACTTTCGCGCTCCGTGGAAACTCGTGGTTGACAGGGGGTAGGTAGCCCCTCCGTGTGGGTAAGCGCGCGGTGACACCCAAATGTGTATACTCGTTCCAGCTTTCTCACCTTAATTCTCGTGCTACGTCGCTCGTTTTGGTATCATTGTGTTCGCAATTAAATTCCCTACAGATGTGTATGAATAAAATGTACAAAAGGCTGGAGTGCCTCCCCGCAGAAAAGCCTAAAGTTACCCGTGAACGAGCACCATTTTGTACATTGCAACCTAATGTTCAACTCGTTCAATTTGATAACATCAAATTTCATGCTACGTCGCTCATTTTGGTATCAAATTGTTCGCAATAAAAAGGCGATTATTTTAAAACTAGTCCCAGAATAATAGAGCAATAACTAGATTTTTAACAAATATTTTAATTCTGGACGCTCATCATCACAAATTTATTTATATCTTTCCAGTGTTCTGACATAAATATTTGTGTTACATCTTTCATTTTGGTATCAAATTGTTCGCAATAAAAAGGCGCGCATTTTAAAACTAGTCCCAAGATAATAGGACAATAAATAGAATTTTAACAAATATTTTAATATTCGGACCATAGGCCTATTTATAATATTTCAAGTGTTTGGACATCAAGTTTCATGTTATATCTTTGATTTTGGTATCAAATTGTGTGCAATCTAAAGGCGCTTATTTTAAAACCACTACCAGATTGATCTGATAAAATTTAAATTTTTAAAAAATATTGTAATGAGTGACTCAGTACTGCGTCATTGGAACACATTCAGTAGAAAAATGAGTGACTTAATAGTCAGTCTGTGGAACGCGAAAGTGTGGTAATGTGTTTTAACCCCCCCCCCCCCTCACACTTTTAGTTAATTTTTTTCTTTTTGTTATGTTTTGCCGAAATGCTTTGTGTAATAAGTGACCTCATTAGTACATGTATGTGTGTATGTGTATATGCAACCTCAATAAAAGCCTAAAATATATACTGTACTGTATATATGCAGGCTTGCTGTTCCCCAACAAAACAAATTATTATACTGTATGTACATTGTAAGAAAATTTGAAGACAATTAGTAGGAATATTAAAGTAAAATTTGAAGGTTATCAACAGGTACATTGAAGTATAATTTGAGGATTATTTCTAGATACGTTGTAGTAAAATTTATTTTAACATGACAAACATGATAAAAGATGGCAGTTATATATAACGGTGAAGTTATATGACATGGGCACATTTTGTGGATGTACAAGATACAGTGAGAGTTTGAAGCACTAGATAGAAAACTGAGGATGAAATTAGGTACGTTTTGGTTTTACTTTTGAATAAGGCATAGGTTGGACACCTTTTTAATTTGTTTGGAAGAGAGAGTTCCATAGACTAGGTCCCTTAATTTGAATAGTGTTTACACAGATTTAGTTTGACTGGGGATATCAAATATTGATTTCTGGTGTGGTGACTATGGTTCTATTACATCTGTCAAGAAAGAGTTTCAGATCAGGATTTGCTTCTAGGAACAAGGTTTTGAATATGTGAATGGCATAAAAGAATGTGTGGTGTGAGTTTGTTTAGCATGTTTAGGGATTTAAACAGTGGGGGCTGTGTGTTGTCTGAAAACAGTTTGTTATTGTTCTGATAGCAGATTTTTGGTGGGTGGTGATGGGCTTGAGGTAGTGGTTGAACCCCATGCACAGATACCGTATGTAAGACAGAAATAGATTAGCGCATACATAGTATAATGAGAGGAGAGCAGAGTTTGGAACATATCTGATTTTAGAATTTATTCCGACTATTTTTGATACTTTTTAGGTTGTGTGTTGAATGTGGGTGCTGAAGTGTTTTGTTGTCTATGTATAGGCCAAGGAACTTTCCATAATTTTTATTGCTGATGTTAACATTGTCTCTCTGAAGCTGAATTGCATTTGTTGATTTGCTTCCAAATAAAATGTAGGTCTTTTCTTTGTTTAGTGTGAGTTTGTTGATTGCCATCCATGAGTGGACATTATTAAATTCGTTATTTACAAAATTATTTAGTGTGTGGGGGTTGGGGTCTGATTGGATGAAGGTAGTATCATCAGCAAATAGTATAGGTTTAAACATGTTAGACACATTAGGCAGATCATTGATGTATATAAGAAATAGGAGAAGTCCTAGGATGCTGCCCTGTGGCACTCCTACAGTTAATGGGAGAATGGGGGAGGTTATATCATTGATGGCTTCATATTGGTATCTGTCATTAAGATAGGATCAAATGTAGTTCATGGCAAAGCCTCGGATTCCATAATGAAGTTTAAGTAAAAGGTAATTATGATTAACAGTATCAAAGGCCTTTCTCATGTCAATGAAGAGTCCAATTGGGAACTCGCATTTGTCAAGGGATGTGTAAATTATATCAAGCTGACTAATAATTGCATCGTTGGTAGTCGTTTTGGAGTGGAAGCCAAACTGACAGGGACTTGGTAAGTTGAATTTTACGAGGTAGGAGTACAGCTATTTATAAATAATTTTTTCAAATATTTTTGATAACGTAGGTAGATTTGATATTGGTCTGTAATTGTTTGTCTGCTGTATCGCCTCCTAAGTTAATGATAGTTGACATGAGAAAGTTGCTAGAAGGAAAAAAGATGTCAGAGCTGTAGATGTAAAGAGAAATGACTGATTATAGTTTGTTTGATAATGAGGGATATTGCGATACAGGGAGCTACTGGAGATGAAGGACGGAGGGCAGATATGTTTGGACTGGCTTCATGGGGCGGGAGAGGCTGATAAACCTATCGTCATCATCCTACCTGGCCTGACTGGGTCTTCACAGAGTGAGTATGTCAAGAGCCTTGTCCTCGCTGTGCAGGAGGTTGGGGCCCGCTGTGCTGTCTTCAACAACCGGGGCCTAGGAGGCATTAAGCTCAAGGTAAGATGTTTGTGCATGTTAAGTTACTTTTAAAGTAAGGAATATGAATGCAGATAACTTGCCTATGAATAGTGTGAACATTTCATTTACAGTATTACTTTATTCTAAAATGGAGATTTGTGTAAAATGTGTTGCTTCGAAGACTACAATTTGTATTATTTCAAAAGTTGTTTGCCTCTGTTAAAATTATTAAAAAGTTATCAAGTAATTCAAGTATTATTAGCCAAGACAATTTTTGCATGAAACAGACTGCCAGGACATATTGTGCAGCCAACAGTGATGATCTGGAAGAAGCCATTGAACACATCAAGGCCAAGTACCCCAAAGCTCCACTCATAGCTTCTGGCATATCTCTAGGAGGGTAATATATATATTGCTTTTGCATTCCATAGTATAGTACAGTAGTAGTATTCATAAAATCGACAAATGGGGAGGAACCTTTGACAAGCCACTGGTTTCCTATCCTCGTTGAAGCCACTAGTGTGATAGTGGTCCTTCGGTAAATTCAGGTAAATTGTAATAGTGCTATAATATTGCTAATACAGTACTGTAATTATATAATCATTAAACTGTAGAACTATAATGTATACTATTTTTTTTTAATGTTGCAAGATGATTAATAACAGCAATACATTACTGCAATTGATAAATATGTTATCAGTTTTTAGAAATGTGCTCTTTTTAGTACAGTATACTGTACAGTATATCTGTACTTTTATTTACCTGAATTTTTACCCGAGGGTCACTAATACTAGTGACCTCGATGAAGACAGGAAGCCTGCAGCTTGTCAAAGGTCCCCCAATTTGCCCTGATGTTTTCCAGCCGAATTTTAAAACCCAGCAGAGTTTTGACATTTGCGTCTTCAGCGGGTAGGCTGTTTGTAACTCATTTTGAATGTATGTACTTTTACCTAAATAAACATTATCTTATCAATAGATCAATATTTTATGCTGGAGTGTGTTGCAGTTATATAAATTTTTAGATACTGTATTAACACTGTTAAAATGTTTAAGTGTTGGACAATGTATTTCAGGGAAGTCTCCTTGTAGGTGATGGTCTTGTTTAAAATCTTAATCATGTATAGGGGACCCTTTTTCCCCATATGGGTACTGCACCCAAACACAGGATAGGTACTGCACTTCATCCCCTCCTTCCTGTTCCGTTTGGCTGCCACAATAGTGAAGCACGCCATCCCTGCCTTCCCAGTCTGGTTGCCACATGAGTGATGTTCACCCTTCTCCCCATTTGGCTCCACAACTGAAGATGGCCTTTTGCAAAATCTTGCTAGCAGGTGAAAGAACTGCTCTCCCCACTCAGTATGGCTACTGCAAGAGTGAAGCACTGCCTCTCCCCTTTGCCAGATACCACAAGAGTGAAGCACACTCCCTGTTTCGCTTCTACACAATTGTTCATTTATTACAAAACTATACGAATTGTCTGCTGATATGCACATCTATGACAGCATGATCCTGGGCAATTACCTGGTGACACGAGGCGAGCAGGCTGCTCAGCACCTGGTAGCGGCTATGCTGCTCTCTGTCCCCTGGAACGTATTCGTGGGCACAAAGAGTGTAGAGAAGCCACCCTGGAATCTTCTGCTTAATCGCCACCTAGCTTATTGCCTGTGTGAATCCGTCAAGAGCATGAGGAAGCAGCTGGAGGGAAATTGCAATTGGGACCTTGACCATGTTATGCAGGTACAGTACTTTATACGTTTTTGTACTCTAGGGGTTCCTCTGAACTTAAGTGTACAGTATTCATTGTTATGAAAGTAATGATGTCAGTGGGACAGCTGTACAGTATATGAAGAAAAAAAAATCTCTATAGTGGTCATTTATGAGAGTAGGGACGAGACTTGAGTAACCCTGATACTGTTTTGTGATTTTTCTCTTAAAAAATATTTTTTCCTAATGACTAGCAAGGACTACTGCCAAAATACTGTTTACTAGAAAGATAGTGTTCTGGATAACATCCATCAGAATTTATTAAAATACCATATAGGTTCTATTCAGTATATTTTACTGTGTAGGTATTTTTAGCCCATTCATGATCTTTATTTACAAAAGTTGGATAAATGATAGTGGCATCTATTAAATACTGTAATTAAAAGTAAAGCAAATTATTGTTAAAAAAAAATTTTTTTCATTACTTGAAGTTCCTTAAGTATTGACTTAATAATTGCACTGAAAAATCTTATTGGTGCCTTAAATTATGGGAACAATTATATTTACAATTTTCTGCATTAATTTTAATTTGCCATGTGATTTTTGCTAAATAATTTTTGATTGTCTTTAGTACAGACTGGTATTCTATTGATACAATATCACCTGTGTTTTTCTCCCCCATGATGCTTGTTTAATATAAATATTTATATATTTTCCAGAGCAAAACTATTAGAGAATTTGATTCAAGATTTACAGCTGTTCAATTTGGGTTCAGAGATGTAGAAGAGTACTACAGAACAGCTAGCCTGCATGATAAACTTGACAACATCAAGGTGCCTCTTATGTGTCTCTCTGCTGCTGATGATCCATTCCAGCCATTGGAAGGTATGTCTTAGTTACATTTTTCCTTTCTCAAGTGTTGTTGCTGTTTGTCAATTAGTTAGTAAAGAAATTATTGTATGTTTATAATGTCCTGGTAGTTATTCGAGGGTCCCAATAGTACAGTCAGGGTCGCTCTCGACTCAGTTGAGAATTCCGTGTTAGAATCCTGTTCTGGACAGAAATAGGTGAGCGTGTTTTCTATCACCTCATGCCTCCTCTCCACCTAGCAATAAATAGGTACCCAGGATAACTTGTGGGGTTGCATCCTGGGAAGGGTCAGTAGGAAGGGAGGGGAGGGATGTCAATATAAGCATAACATGTACAGTACTATGTATGAACTGGCTCCCTGTCCCCCAACACAATAAATTAATTAAAATTGTATACAAAATTGTTTACACTGTTTTAATCTTAATAATATTTAAAGGTCTGTTTCATTTTATTTTGAAATAATCCTTTTTTTCGTTTTCCGAGGTTCAGGGCTTTCTGGGTTAATACTATATCTTTCTTCTGTGGCTCTGGTATCCAAAGGCATTGTATGTTTCCTGTCTGGTCCTTCCTCCTCTGCAGCAGGGAAAGGTCACATGGCATTTGGATTGCTGGAGAGAGTTCGTTGTTGTCCTTTGGTCTTTTTTGGAGATTAGTTTCTTGCCCTCAAGGTATTTTTTTTTCCACAATACTAGACCAATATACATTTTCTTGTCCTCCATGGACTGAGGGTTTGTTGCTCTGTGTTTTAAGGATTTCCTGCTCTGTTCCAGTGTGCAAGGTAGTCAGCTTCTTTGCTCCTGTTTCCCCATAAGTGTTTCTGGGTCCCTGTTCATGGCCTCAATTTGCTTTCCATCTTCCTCCTTGCACAGCCTTCCACCGTTTTGTCTTCTTTAGTATGGCTTGGTAGGACCTCCCATCAGTACCTGCTGCAAAACTGTGACTGCATCTGAATTAGATTAATTTACTTTAAAGTTTTTTAAAATGTACATTTTTTTTAGATTTTTGCCTATACTGCGAGGTCCTGGCTTCATTCTGGTTGGTAGGCATCTTTTTCTTTGGACCGGTGCTAATGTTTGAAGCTGCTTGATTGGGGGGAAGCGCCCTCATTTCTTAATGCATTTTGAGAAGTCCTTCTTTTGTGGCTGCAATAGTGTCCTGTTTGCTCCTGCTCTACAGAGAGGCTTGGCAGCTTCATGTCAGGCATCCCAGTTGCCTTTGGCACTGGTGGCTGTGGCCCACATGACTCTCCTACTTGGCAGAGGTTATTTTTTCTTGTGTGATGCAGGCAGTCTATTCCAGGCAGTTCCTGATGGATTTGTTCCTTTGCTGTATTTTGCTCATCCTCTTCTTTGTCTGCTGTTACCACCTCAGTTGCCATCCCTAGGTAGTTTTTTCTACTTATGCAGTTGCAAATTCTTTATGCCTACTGTCTTGCCCCTTTTTCTCTCCAGGGACTCGCTTGGTACCTGAAAATAGCCTCGTTCCTTTTATCGCGTTTTGGTCCTCGGTGACATTTCCTTACAGACAGTTTGGACATAAGTTTGCTTCCATATGGTCCTGCAAGTTTCAGGTATGAGATACAGTTTCTGGATCATGCAGCATTCACAGAGGGTGGGATTATGTTTCCTCTTTTTTTTTTTTTTTTTTTTTTTTTGTGTGTGTGTGTGTGTGTGTGTGTGTGTGTGTGTGTGTGTGTGTGTGTGTGTGTGTGTGCAGCTGGAAATGGTTATCCTGACAATGGGCGATGTCTTATATTTTGAGTGGGGAGTCCATAAAATAACTGGGCCTCTACCCTTCAGACAGAACTATTTGCTTTGCTTCTTACACTAAAATGTGTGAAAGTCTCCAAACTTGATACATTAATTGTAAGTGACTTTATCTTTAATTGCTCTCAGCTCTTTAAGACATAACTGTAACATGCTCGTGTCTGAAGCTAGACACAAATACAACAAAATTAATAATGATGGTAACAGAATCCATTTCATGTGGACGCCATCTCATGTTGGCCTCCAAATGCATGATAGAGCTGATGAGTTAGCCAAAGAATCTGCCTTTAAAGGAGAAATTTAGTATAACCTTGGATTGTCAATAAGCAGTCTGAGAGCACTAGTACACCAAGAACTTCAACAAAATCTTGTCGATCTGAGGCAAAGTGAAATAGACACCAGTAATTCCATCTATCATCATACTATCATGCAAGAGGAACCACACATCTATGGATCATCCAATAAAATCAGCAGACTTCTAGATGTTACTACTGATCGGCTTGGACTTGGTTACAAGTACTGTATCTGGGAATTCTCATTATCTGCTGATGTAGACCTAACCAAATGCAAACTGTCAACAAAATTATTCGCACACCCTCCGTCACTGTGTTAGTGCGAAAAAATACGTGAATTCGGAGAATTCTATAACAAGTGTTCCAGAGATGTCTAAATATTTCATTCAAAATGATCTGCTACCAGAAATCTTAGCCAAATATCCCCAGTTTAACTGTATGTAGTAACTAAATGATTGTAACCTATCCACCGCTGCCCACTGGAAGGGGGACGGTGTGTAGGAAAAATATATCAGTTGACACTAGCTCTCTACATATGTCAGTTGCTTAATTTAGAAACTACTTGTGGTCGATCTCGAGCCCATTGATGATGTGACTATGTGTATTGAATTTTGTAACTAGCTCAAGATTGTAACTTGCTTAACTAAATGAATTGTGGGGTTCAGTCCCTGAACCCATTGTGTGCCTCTGTAACCCTTTCCACTACCACCCACAGGATGGGTATGGGGTGCATAATAAATGAACTAAACTAAACTCCTTTTTTCCCCTGATCAAGCTGCTGCTTCATGTGTTGCCAGCATTGCAATCCTCTGCCACTTTTTTTTTTTTTTATTGAATGTGTCTACCCCATCCCTAATTCCTGGCCATTTTTCCTTCCTGGGACTCTGCCTTTCCCAGAAGCCCCAGAATTCTCAATGCTTTGTTAATCCACATTGGCACCTTGCTTTATGGGTGTTGTTCTGGGGGCCCCTTCTTCCAAGGGTCGACTAGTCCATCTTTATTGTTTTTTCGGAACAGCTGGCTTCCTTTATCGAGATACCCTGTACTGTCGAGTAAGCTCGGGAAGCCACAGAGGGATATCACTGTTGAATGTACAGTTTTGAAAACTGTTCTTTTGGTGGGTCTCCCTAGTTCCCATCCTTCCTGAGGGGGTGCCGGGATTTTGCAAAGGCAGCTCCAAAGTGAGGAAGCAGGCTGGCTGAGGCCTCAGGTGGCCTGTGGTGCCATCTTGTGTTGCTCAGGTACATCAGTTGGGGTATTTTTATGCAGAAACTAGGGTTTGCCTTGTTGACCGGACAACAAGACTTTGTTCCTTTTCAGGGGGTGCCTAAATCCTTCAAAGTGGTCAATTGTTTTGTTGTGCCTGTGCTTTCTGGTGAGATTTTCCTAATTTTGTGGTTAATCTGTGCACCCCCTCACCTCAGTGGCAGATTTTAATTTGGCTTCTGTAAGGCAGCAGTCTTATGGTATGTTGAGTTAAGGCTTTGTGGAACCAGAGTTAAGCTTTTAAGCTCCCTGGGAGGCCACCAGAAAAGGGCATTAAATTACATTTAAGCTTGATAATTTTTTCCCCTTTTTTATTAAGTGTTCATAATCATATTTTAGCACAATATAAGCTATTTAAATTTTGTATTTGTATAAAATTTGTATAATCTGTTTTTTATAAATAGCATTTAGTTATACCCATTACTAATTATCATCTAAAGTAGTTTAAAGTAAAACTTCTTTAGTAAATGGTGAATACTGAATCTTGAAACGTACAAAAAAAAATCATTCCATTTATAGCCCTTAGATTCTCAGTTTGGACTGATGTATAATAAAGTTGCAATGCCACATAAATCTAGTAATCATGTTCAAATATTAAGACAAATTTCATTTTATCAGGAATCCCAGTTGAAGAAGCCAACAAATCTAGTCACGTTGCCATTGTTGTGACTGCACGTGGTGGGCACATTGGCTTCATGGAAGGGATCTTCCCAACCAACAAGTACTACAGTGACCGTATTTACAAGCAACTAGTCAGAGGGATTTTCTCCAACTTGGGTGATATGAAAGAGGTCAAAAGGGAGGCTGCTGATTATGTAAAGATGATGGCTCACAGCTGTGAGGGAGGTGGATCATAGGACCAGAGAATATTTATATTGATTAATTATTTATGGATGAAGTGCTGTTATTGAAAAGATCTTGTTGAATTTACTTGTATATTTTTGTTTTATTGTTAAAGGTTAATATGATTAAGTAAATCATGCTAGTGTTTACAAGTTAACAATCCTAAAAGTCTATCTTTTATATTGAGCTACTGTACTGGAATACATAAAGGATCATATCACACAATTCCTCTCTCAATCCATTAAGCATTCATCATACTTTATGGATAGGGAGTGGGAGTCTGCTCCATGTATAATATTTGTTTGGGGGAGATATGGGAAAAGAGGCAACACCGTAAGTATCCAAACGAGAGTATACTCATACACACACACACGCATGCACGTACGTGTACGGCATGCACAATGCTTGCTCAGAGCTCTAGTGCTCAATCCTGCAGGTACAAATATGCGAGTACAATTACACTCTTGTACACATGCACTCGCATTTATTCCTCCCTAACGCCCCTATTTCCTCTTTATTTTCTCTATTACAATCTGCTATATGCACACACACTTACATTATGAAATTTTTAAATGGCTAAAAAATGTTAATAGGGAAAACAGGATTTACAGGCAATATATTGTTCAGGACCCTCCCCCTCCTCCCCTTAATGTTATCCTAACATGCACCTGATGTTGGTCATTAGTCCATGCACAGTATCAATATACAGTATATATATATATATAAAATTCACTACAAGATTTATGCGCAAGAAAGTAAAAAAAAGAGGCAAGCTTGGTATTAATTGGCATGCAGAAAGTTGACTATACTGGTCTTGTAAATAAAATCTCTTGTGGTCTAAGGCAAAGATAGCACAACCAAATTATGAATCAAGATTAAAGATACTGTACTGTATAGAAAAGCAGAACATTTTCTTCACATTTTGTATAATTTATATTGTTGTATAAATCTTTCAACGTGTATCACATTAATTTAAAACAAAAATGTTCTCGATTTGCAAGTTTACTGACAGTCTCCATAAGAGAAGACTGTAACTAAATACTGTAGTATGTATTTGCATTGTGCGAGGATTAGGAGGGCGCACGAGGCAAACCTCCTGACTGAAGCGGTGCAATCTTGATAACATGACTAATTCTAGGCAAAGACAATTTTATGCAGTGAAAGTATCATTATTGTTAATTACTCATGTCCTTGACCATTTTACCTGTAAAATGCAAATAGGCCAATATTGTTTACAAATTTTATATTCTAAGTTTTCTAGTACAGTACAAATTTCACCCGAGTTATACTTGCCTGTTCTTTTTTCACCTAGGGAACCAGAAATACAAGACTTAAAAGTGCAGTACTGTAATTAAGACAATATTTGCCAAGTTCGTGTCAATTGTATAAAAAATTCCTGCATTACAAATTTTGATTTATGTTCAGCTAAACTTTCATGACAATGTGCAGGCAGAGAATGGTAGTTCACAAAAGTGCTCATATAATAAGTAGACTTGACATTTCATTGCAGAACTAAATGTACTGGTAGTACAGTATACAAATTACCCAAAATCTTTTTAAGCATCTTGTGGATAAAATGTCTATTTTATTTTTAGTTTGTAATAAATTACAAGGATTTCATAGTTAATGAAGAAGTACAGCAAAGAATTTAAACTATGAGCAACTGGCTCTGTGGCTGCATTTTTTCCATATTAACATTAGCATGATCAGAGGTTTTACAGTTTTATCCAGTGTCATGTATTAAAGATGTATACAGTAGTTTAAATTATTTTATTATATAAATGAGAAAATTTGCTATTTATGTGTTCTACAAAATTCTTGTAAATGTTAGTTTATAGGGATGAAGTCTATATTAATAATCAAAAGGGAAGCATTTTGATCGAAATTAATTCATCATTTCCAGTTCTTGATGGCATACAGCCAGGCTTGGGCATTTAAAATTTAATGTAAAATATCAGTCTTTGCATAAAGATACCTGATGTGCACAGTTATGCATCAGTCATACAGATCCTTAATTCTTGTGTATGTATTACAAGGGAAATGTAGCATTAGGAAATGTTACCGTGTGTTAAGTCAGTGTTGTTAGTCTCCGCACTGGACGTGAGACTTGTCATAACTATAGTACGGGTATAGCATACTTTATTTTCCATTTACTATCTTTTGTAATCTTAAAATTTTATTGGAAATTCCTGTATAGGAAACACTAAGCAGCAATAAGCTGATTTTTAATATTCAGTGTGCAAGGGTGGGTTTGTATTCTCTGTATTTGCAATAAGTTAAATGGCTTTTCCTTAAACATTTTCATTACCATTCATGCACTCTTACTCTGTTCTGTTTATTAATAAGTAGATGTATATCAACACATTAATTAGCTTCTTAGTCATTTTTCCCTTATCAAACTTTTGTACAGTTTCCCAGAACAGTATTTTCATGGGTGGGTTACTGAGTGAACAGCCTCATCCTTGGCTGGGGGACCTTGGTAAACCCAACAGGCTTCGTATCCCAGACAATGGGAACTAAACGTGCAATGGCATTACAATATTTGTACACTTTTGAACATTTCCCGGAACATTTGAATGGAAGACTAAGTACTTTCCTTTATCAAATGGGTAATTATCTAAAAATTGTATTGCTTTTACTTTGTAAGGATGTATATATATATTTTCAAATGATTGCAAATTAATTCACAGCTTGGTTAAAATGCTGAGTATACTTGGGTGAGGCTGTATAAAAACTATAAATTATAATTGAACATGGCAAATATAGGCATGTGCTCAATGCTTCATCACATGTACTCTATAAACAAAAATGTTTGAAAAATGTGGGGTTTGAATTAGGTAAAAATTGTTTAATGAAAGTACACGTTAGTTACAGAGGGAATCTGTTAAAATTAGGTACAAAGTACATCTTGTAGAAAGATGTTTAATTATAGAAAAGTTGCATCCTGAAGAATTTTATCATGCCTTTTTTAATTTTTATCAAGCTTTTTTTTTTTTTTATCATGCAAGCTAATGTATCTTTTCTTTCTTTTCCATTTTAAATTATAATTTTTGTTTTAGGAACTCTTGATTATATTATGACACAGATGGTGTTAAATAAGTTTTCCTAGCTTGATTCCTTTTTTTTTTAATTACTTGCTTGGTTTTGTTTGAAATTGTGTGTTTTGCGACATCTTGTCGGTTGCTGAAATAAGTTAAGTTTGTTACATGCATACAGTACATACTGTATATTACTGTGTGCCTGCAAACATTTTTGGGATCATAGCATCTATATATTTCATTCCAAATGTAATATACAACTATACATTTTTATAATGCATGTTGTTGCTGCTCATCACTGCCAACTTCATCACACGTGTAACTTCACCAGTCATGCACTGCTGTGCTATAGTCGTTCTCCTGTGACCCCACACCCACACCATCCACAACACATCTTTGTCTTGTGTGTGCTAGAACAAAGTGATGTTACCTTGTTCACCTGCAGTTTGAACTTTTGGCCTTTCATCTTTTCAAGAGGAAACATGTCGGAACAAAAGGGCCATCCTTGTTTAATTTGAATATAGAATGAAGTATCAAAATAACCATTGTACATTTAATTTTTATCTTGCTCTTGTATTGTAAAGTTCATTTGCCTATCAGCCATCCACAGCATTATTGCCAGCATATTGTACAAAAAGTAATTTTATTTTGCCAGTGTGATGGTGCAAATTCTAAATGATGCTTCAGTATATGGTGTGGAAAATAAATGATTGTGCATCTTCTTTATCTTAATGTTGCTTAATATACAGTATTGCTATATTCTGGGCTGATGCCTCCTGATTGAGTTATAGCCAAATAGCAAATAATGTCCTCAAATCTAAAACAGCAGTTGCAGTTTTGTCTTTAGTAGGCCTATATTGTCAGGTACAGTAAATGGCAAAGTCCAATGCACCTCAATGCAAATAGTATTAAGTTTAAACAAGAAACTGAACCTGCTACTTTTTTGTGAAATCTTGTTAACTTTTGTTTATAAAAGATGCAATTGAATTGGTTTTTGTTTTAATTCCTGGTAAATTGTCAATGTTGGAATGTGAACAACAAAGGTTATACAGTTGCTCACAATTGTTCATATCATTGGATATGAACAATTTAGTTAATGAAAGGTTTATAGAGCACACAAACCAGCCTGTCCTCCAAACAAAGACCCAAAGTCCATTCCATGCACTAGCAAACCCTGTTTGTTTATGAACGAAAAACAGTTTACACACGACTCGCAACTGATGACATCCGAACACTTCTGGAACAAGTGCTTTGCTGACAATTTTTGTTCGAACTTCAGTGCTGTAAATGCTTCAGACGTACTACAAATAATTGGCAACGGAACTTAAACACCTAACCCAACCAATGCCTAAATATGCACAATATGCTAATATATAATCATATTGATATTTGTGAAAAGTTCTGTTTTGAATGAACAATGTTAAAATTGATGAATGCAGTTTTTGGGGTCAACCGCTGGATAGAATGGATTTTGTCTGAGGTTGTCCAAGGATGGGTTGAATGATATTGAATTAATTGACTGGACTTCCTCGCTGCTCTAGCTGGACAAGCGTTAAGGGTTCAGATGGCCAACTCATTAGTTTATTGGATTTTTAACCTTTGCAACAAAAGTACTGTACTGTGTATTCATTAAATAAATTACAATAAAAGTATCACAACACCATAATTCTATTTACAATAACCCCATAAATAGGGTGTTATGCTAATGTCAGTGTCTATCACTGTCCAAAGTTGGAGGCCAGACACTTGGGGCTAGCCTCACCAAAATTTGCAAAGGGAATGGTAGAGGGTATAGGGCTGACATAGGCTACTCAAGATCAACAGAATTCAAAAGGAAGCAGCATGCCAGTCACATTTATTTATTTATTATACAAGGTACATTGGGTTAATGAGTATATAGCATGGTGCGTATACATTCTTGTAAAGCCACTAGTACGCACAACATTTCGGACATTGGCTCTATGAGAATTTATGGCAATGCCTGCATGGCTAGACAGTTACATATTTTGAAAAGATAAATTTGAGATCGGCTATTTCTTAATCTCAAAAATAAAAAAAGTCCTGCTATCCATACTTCAGCTGTAGTTCCATCAGATGATCCTCCCACAGCAATAAGGTTTCTCAAGCCTTGCCTCTTGCTCAAAGTAAATGAGATAACTATTCTATTTAAATATTTCTCAACGGATTCTCCCACCAGCAGCCCACCCACATGGAAATGTGGAGCCTGGTGTGCGTTGCACATAGTGAGGAGCATGAGAGTGAAGGGGAGCTAGAATGATTGATGAAGATTAAGCCACCCAAGAGGTGGCACGGGCATGAATAGCCCGTAACACAGAGAAGCCAGGCAACATTAAGTACTCCCCCAAGCGAAGGTGAGGGAAGTGACACATGGGTGAGGACAGCAAGGTGAGGCCAGAAGTGACACACACACACGAGTGAGTACAGCAAGGTGAAGGCCAGAAGTGACACACACATGTGTGAGGACAGCAAGGTGAAGGCCAGAAGTGACACACACATGTGTGAGGACAGCAAGGTGAGGCCAGAAGTGATACACACACACACACACGTGTGAGGACAGCACGGTGAAGGCCAGAAGTGACACACACATGTGTGAGGACAGCAAGGTGAAGGCCAGAAGTGACACACACATGTGTGAGGACAGCAAGGTGAGGCCAGAAGTGATAGACACACACACACGTGTGAGGCCAGCAAGGTGAGGCCATAAGTGACACACACACACACATGTGTGAGGACAGCAAGGTGAGGCCAGAAGTGATACACACACACACATGTGTGAGGACAGCAAGGTGAGGCCAGAAGTGACACACACATGTGTGAGGACAGCAAGGTGAAGGCCAGAAGTGACACACACACGTGTGAGGCCAGCAAGGTGAAGGCCAGAAGTGACACACACACATGTGTGAGGACAGCAAGGTGAAGGCCAGAAGTGACACACACACATGTGTGAGGACAGCAAGGTGAAGGCCAGAAGTGACACACACACGTGTGAGGACAGCAAGGTGAAGGCCAGAAGTGACACACACACGTGTGAGGACAGCAAGGTGAAGGCCAGAAGTGACACACACACGTGTGAGGACAGCAAGGTGAAGGCCAGAAGTGACACACACACGTGTGAGGACAGCAAGGTGAAGGCCAGAAGTGACACACACATGTGTGAGGACAGCAAGGTGAAGGCCAGAAGTGACACACACACGTGTGAGGACAGCAAGGTGAAGGCCAGAAGTGACACACACACGTGTGAGGCCAGCAAGGTGAAGGCCAGAAATGACACACACACGTGTGAGGACAGCAAGGTGAAGGCCAGAAGTGACACACACGTGTGAGGACAGCAAGGTGAAGGCCAGAAGTGACACACACACGTGTGAGGACAGCAAGGTGAAGGCCAGAAGTGACACACACGTGTGAGGACAGCAAGGTGAAGGCCAGAAGTGACACACACGTGTGAGGACAGCAAGGTGAAGGCCAGAAGTGACACACACACGTGTGAGGACAGCAAGGTGAAGGCCAGAAGTGACACACACGTGTGAGGACAGCAAGGTGAAGGCCAGAAGTGACACACACACGTGTGAGGACAGCAAGGTGAAGGCCAGAAGTGACACACACACGTGTGAGGCCAGCAAGGTGAGGCCAGAAGTGACACACACACACACACGTGTGAGGACAGCAAGGTGAAGGCCAGAAGTGACACACACACGTGTGAGGACAGCAAGGTGAAGGCCAGAAGTGACACACACGTGTGAGGACAGCAAGGTGAGGCCAGAAGTGACACACACACACACACGTGTGAGGACAGCAAGGTGAAGGCCAGAAGTGACACACACGTGTGAGGACAGCAAGGTGAAGGCCAGAAGTGACACACACACGTGTGAGGACAGCAAGGTGAAGGCCAGAAGTGACACACACACGTGTGAGGCCAGCAAGGTGAGGCCAGAAGTGACACACACACACACACACGTGTGAGGACAGCAAGGTGAAGGCCAGAAGTGACACACACACGTGTGAGGACAGCAAGGTGAAGGCCAGAAGTGACACACACACACGTGTGAGGACAGCAAGGTGAAGGCCAGAAGTGACACACACACACGTGTGAGGACAGCAAGGTGAAGGCCAGAAGTGACACACACACACACGTGAGGACAGCAAGGTGAGGCCAGGAGGAGCTGGGGGGCGCGCGTGCGCGAGGGCGCGGGGCCACAGATCAGCTGTTGGAGGACAACATCCCGCGCGCCTCCCCACACACAACACGCCACACAACACACCTCCAGCACCCTGCACACCTCTTGTTAGGGTGGCGTCAGCCTGCACCTCGGAGCCATGGGTGGCAGCACCTCCAAGCTGAAGCGGTGGATGAGTAGTGGTGTGGAGGACCCGGAGCAGGTGGAGAGGGCTGTCAAGAAGCTGGCCACGCCGTTCGTCTATACTCGCAGAGGGTGAGTGCTGGCTCCTCTGGAAATTTCTAAGCCACACACTAGTCTTCCTTGCTGAGAGAGAAGAAGGCGAGGTATCTTAACTTAGCATAGTTTGCAGTCTTAAGTGTGGCAGCAAACATTAGTACTACTACAAATTTTAAGAGTATTAATTTGGATGATGTCCACCGTCTTAATTCACTGTGTCCGGGGACAGGAAGCCAGAGTGCATTTATACACGTTTGGCTATTATAGAGGTCCCCCTTCCCCCACCAAGGCCGAATTACTGACCACACTAAGGATGCAACCCTACAACAAGCTGACTAAATCCCGAGTACCTACTGACTGCTAGGTGAACAGGGACATTAGGTGGAAGGAAATGTGCCTAACCATTTCTGTCCCACCCGGGATTCGAACCTGGAATTCTTGATTGTGCGTCGAGAACGAAGCCGACTGTACTACTGGCATACCTCTTATGTCCTGTGTGCACCCCCCTATGGCACCCCCCTATATGTGACCCTGTATTCTTGAGTGCTAGTTTCTATGTTCAAGGAATTATCATTGCTAGATATCTCGGAAACTATTGTAGCACAAGAAATATTAGTGTATACATAATAATATATAATATATATGTTATTAACCTACCAAGCTATTATCTGTAGCTTGGTAATGGAGGAATGCAGTGTCGCTAAATTTCTTTGCTGTTGGTGTTAAATTTATTGAAAACCGAGCCATTGTAGTTTGTACTGTATAGCCATTTCTTACAGTGACAATCTCACTTATTGTAATGTTAGAGTTCAAACACTTGTACTGGTTTAGCAATTTCTTCTGGTAATTTGCTTCATTTTAGCTAATACTGTATAACTTTTTATCTCTATTGGTTTTGTGGTTAATGTTGGGACATCATGTACAGCATTCGTGAACATGTGAATTGACACTATACGACACACATACACCAAGTATGGTGTTATCCTTACCAAAAGTTTGTCCTCAATTTTCATAATTTTAATTGATAAGAAAACCTTCCGAACCCTTCGGGATTGAGACTGACTGGATAACCTGTTGTGTTCGAATAAATGGTTCATCATCCTTGGGGGTGGGGGGAATTAATCATCCTGCACATTAGTTCATTATCCTAGGGTGGGTCTTCATCCTGGGGGGGGGAGTTCGTTATCGTTTGGGAGGGAAAATATTGACAATTTCTTACAGAAATTTGACAGTATTTTGTTTGTACTCACCAATATGAGAAGTTCTGATCCACTTGTTAACTTGAAGAAAGTGCCAAGCCATTATGACTATAGAACTTGGAAGGGATCAGGATTAGGATTTGGAATGGGACGGGGGAAAGGAATGGTGCCCAACCACTTGGATGGTCAGTGATTGAACGCCGACCTGCATGAAGCGAGACCATCGCTCTACCACTTAGCTTCCATGTGTTCCCCCTTGTTCATGTATGATCCAATTCAAATTGTCTGTTTTTTTGTCTGTTGTCTATTTCCAATAATGCAGTGAAATAATGATTATGCTTTGCAAGAGGGTCCTATGTATAACCGGAATTCATCTTTCAGGTCTATGTATTTTGATGAAGATGGAGACATTGCACATGAATTTTATGAGGAAGTCCCACCTCTGCGACGTGGTGTAAAGGCGACAATGAAAAGAATATTCACAAACCTTACCCCACAGGTTGGTAAATATTTGTCTTTGAACTTTGAAGTATTTATGAGGCATGTATTGCAGTGTAGAACTGTAATATCTTTAACCACTGCACTGCACAAGGCACCTTAATTAAGATGCTCTAAGGGTCGTGTTTTTTTTAATTAGGCCATATTTTAATGTTTTTAATAAGGTTTTTCATGTTTTCATCGCTCTTTGTGATTTGAAATGAAAATTATTGAGTTTGGAAACATTTTGACATTAACATTAGCTGAACATTTATAAAAACAACAAAAATATGTCCTTAACAACTGCACGATGAAATTCTTGCCAAAAACAGGTGTGCAGTGCAGGGGTTAAGCTTTTTTAAGTTTTAATATATGCTTCATCCCCTCCCCATGAAAGTCTGAAATAGAAAGCATGATTGACTATATACATGTGGGAAATACTGTATAGGGTTATGCTTCAGAGACCTAGCCACCCTTTACTACCCCGAAATACTGTACATGTAAGATACATATGGTATAAAAATATTACATGATTGTATGAAACATAAATATGACACCACTTTTGTAGATGACAATGGTTTAGGCAATTTAAAGAGTGGGTAATTATTAGGAGAAAGTGTAAAGCCAAAATTACATAGCACTTTGTAGGAATATAAGGACAAGGTGGAATATAAGGAAGGAGTGAAAGAACGGAGCCCAAGCAGGGGATCAAATGGAGAGGATACAGAATGCCGGGCCATTACACTACTAGTCAGTCCTAGTGGTTGGATCAGACGAGTAGGGGAACAAATAGAAAAGGATTTTAATTACTGTAATTATATACATTCACACACAAGGCAAAAACACATGGAGCTGGATTATAAGTGGATTGTCTTTACTGAGGTGAGAATAAAATGCCAAAGATAGTGTGTCCAAGAAAAAAAAAAGAGAGTTGAAGGTCAATGTTGGAAAAAATATAAATGTGGTGTGTGTGACCGGGGAATGGGATGCTGTGGATTTTGTTGTTCCTTATAGGGATAAGACAGAATGATTTGTACTACAGGATTGAGATGGGAGAAAGATATATTGGAAGTGGTAGTAAGTTTAATACTTAGTGCCAATATTATATAAATGGGAATGTGGGAGGTGAAATATTAGAGGCAATAATGAGCGGGATGAGAGATCTAGGAGAGGTGACGTATGGGAGATAAGAAAGGCAAGAGATAGTACACGACTCCCAGCCCTGACAAGTTGATGTGAACCTTGGGGCATGGAAAAGAGCAGTGTGTTCAGAAGTATAAGTACTGTAGTGCAAATGGGTTTCTAAGAAAAGTAACTGGTGTTGTGAGTGATGGGTATAGCAATGAGGAATTATGTGAGTGAATGGGGGTGAGGCAAGGAAATGTGGAATGGTAGATGTGAATATGAAATGTGGTGTTTTATGTTTACATCAGCACCACCATCACTGCACCATCACCATCCCAACATCACCATCCCAACACCAGTATAAACCCAAGTTTTATAGATGGTATTGTTAAAGAAATATACGAGTGTACAGTATCGTAATAAAAAAATTACCATAATATGGTACTATACTTACAAATTATGTGAACAATACAAGGAAACATTATAGGGACATTACAATTTGTTATTTATTGATGCAAACAAATTATATCCGAAGTTTACATATGAAAAATGCCACAATAACTCCCTCTCAAATGTGACACAGATTAGATAATTGGTGGGCAAGAGCTCCATTGTCTCAAACCCTGTTCACTGGGGTTGAAAGATGCAGGTTAATTGTGTGGGGTGGATGGTTAATGTTAGTGGTAGGTGTACATGGATGGGGACAAGACATAACAGCAGAGAGAGAGAATGATACTAGAGTTATCATTAAAATCCTTCCAATTCACAGGGTGAGGTGCGCCTGCCATTCCCATGTCTCAACGTGGATTTTCCAATTGTCCTGTATCAAGATAGCTGAGATGAAATGGGGGAGATGGACCCCTGAAATATTTTGTGACATAACATATCTGAAGTCCAGCAAGTGATAGTTAATGCAGACAATGAAAGGCACTAAAATTTATGCCTTTCGATGGGCGTTTTGGAAATTAAGGTCTCAACTGTGAAGGGAAAAGTTGCGAGCTAACTACAGAGTGTAATGTACAGTACTTTAAAATCCTTCTGTTCATTGTTGCAACTCAGATGAAGAGTGAACAGAAATGTGTTGCAGCTATGTGTTGAGTGCCAGAATGCTACCCACTCAGTGCCCCTTTCAATGATGGTTGTGATAATCTTACTGTAAACCTGTTGTAGTATTTAAACTTTCCCATAGCGAGTGAATCCGATAAGCATGATGTGTTCTTCCCTCCATGTCTCAGATCAACTATATTTTCTCACAGGCATGTTTAGTTTGTTCTCTCTCTATTTTATCATTGCTGTTTGGCTGAAGATTGACTATGGTTAAGTTTTTAAAGAATCACCTAGCCCAAGTACGTAATGGAGGGAATATAAACGAAGATGTGGCTATTTTTAATTGCTGTACATGGGTATGATTAGAATACTAGTTACTTTTTATTGGTGCATCAGACTGACCTATGAGTAAGTCATTCAATAAGAAGTGGGTTTATGACCCTAGAGTTTTGAATGGCAGGAGAGTATTCATACCTAAAGATTTGCTTGCTCAATGACTGAATTTTTGTTTTCAATGTTTTGGTCGAAATTTAGTTTAAACAATATAACTTTGAGGATCACTGTAATGTTGTTTAATATAATTGTTATTGTTTTTATAATTACTACTGCTATGTGTAATAAGTATTGGCAGATGGTGAAAGATAAGGTATAATAAAGCAGAATGTGCCAAGTTTTTCCATTTCACTTAATATATTGGGATAATATTGTCAGGTAGAGTTTGTGTGTTCACCTGTCTGTTTCAAACAGCTACCGCATTGTTGTCCCCCCAGTGTCAACCCCCAGGAGATTATGCTTTATGTTATTATTTACGACACAATTTTGTTGTATATATTTGTTATTTACTCAATTCAGTTACAATTTCACAGCCATGTTATACTGTAAAATTATCTGTGCATCAGGAAGTGATTGTATTATGATTTGTACATAATAAGGCTTATTTAGTGGATATGAGACTAGTGTATGTATGTCATGGTTAAGTAAAAAAAATATATATGTATTGGCTTCATATGGAAAGGTATGTAGCCTTTCTTATTCCTATATTATAAGAGTTGTTTATATATACATGTACAGCATATTAATATATTATTATTACTGAATATTGTATGTATCAGAGTCTGTGTATTGCTTATGTGCTATTAAAATAGTTTTTTAAAATGCCATTTATATCAAAACACTCAGAAATATATCAGCTGGACAGAAATTTATTTGTTTTAACTGTTGGTGTATAATACAATGAAGTTCAGTTATCTGACCTTTGGATAACTGATTTACTAGTTACATTTACCAGTAATTATAAATGCATTGTAATAAAATAAAGGTCCTGGCTTTGCACGAGTTCTAATAGCATGAATTTTAATCCATGAGGGCTTTTCTTTATGTAGTTTAGTAGTGTGTGTGAATAGATGTAGATGTGAATAGAGAATTTGTCCATTAGATGTCTGACTAATTGCTGCTTTGGTATGAGAAACCAATATGCTACACTCCAATATGCTAGTGATACCTCTGAACTAACATGTATTTCTGCCCAATCTTAATTACATTACTATGGCACCTCCCAGTGTTCAGCACATGAGGTAGGTGTTTTATTGGGAAAAGTATAAAAGGATGACTTATTGAGATTTCTGGAGCTGTAAATATTTTCCCATATACTGTAAGTTTAAATTATTAGTTCTGCATGTTTCTATGAATGCATCCCTCACATAGAAATCTGACTAAACTGTACTTTAGTTATGCTATCCAGTGCTGTAATACTACTTCTGTAATATTTAATAATATACTCTTGTTTAATAAGTACTTCAGCTAGCACTCTAGGGAAAGGATAGTATTTCAACCTGCATGCCAGAGAAAGGCTAGTACATCAGCAAGCAGTCCAGATAAAGAAAAGGTACAGATTTTAGTATTGAGCCAGAAATAAAAATAATAAAATTAATGTATCTCTTAGCTATCGGGGTATCTGTCATTTTTCAGATATGCGATTACCATCAGATCCCACCAGGGCTAGATAAAAGGACTTTTACTCTATACACTACAGATACCTCTCATCCTGCATGACAGGATATCAGAAAAATCTACTTCAAAGCCAGTTAAATATAATTACCGTAGGTGTTAAATGATGTCATACAGTACTTGTGAGGCTACTGATCATAAAGATCCATTCCAGGTGTTTGTGATACTAATTTGGGCCAGTCATTGAGTCTCTCGAACAGTCATTATAAGGGCTTTTCTTGGAATTGAAGATGTACAATGTCAGTGATGTATGCAGTATTACAATTTCTTGATAAATGTTAAGTACAGTACTCGTTTGATGTTCGATTTTCCAGGCAAGGAAAAAAGTTGAGCTGATTTAAATCGAGTCATTGGAAAAGCAAATTTTTAAGTAAATAAACACTTGCTGCTATATTTATGTTCGTCCTTTATCTATTTCCTATAAAAATAGGTTCATGAATAATTTTCAACCAAAGTAAAGGATTAAGTAATGGATAGCTTGTGATTAATATGTAGTTATTTCAACAAATGGCTGGTGGTAACTGTGTATGACTTGTGAACCAAAACTTTAAACACACTTTGGGACAAACTTTATTGTGGATAATGACAATCAGTTATGGAAAACTTGGATACTTTAATTTTGGACATACTGTACATCATAAAGTACAAGCCTCTCAACTTGAGTATAACAAAATTAGGTTGAACCATATACAGTAGCTACACTTTCCATTGTTGGGGACAGGAAGTCTGTACTTAAGACTTCTATCCAGGTCCCACTAGGCCACCCATCAACTATCACCAGGATGTAACCCACAACAATCGCCTAACTCCCATTTACTGCTAGGTGTATAGAGGTATCAGGTGAAAGAAAATGTGCCCAGTCATTTTTGTCCCACCTGGGGATCAAACCCGGGATCCTCAATTGAGTTGAACTTGTAGATCACTACAACAGGAGCCTATGAGTACAATCTTATAACACATTTTTTTAACTGCTAAATTATACTGTATATCGTAATTTTTTTTTTTTTTTTTTTTTTTTTTTTTTTTTTTTTTTTTTTTTTTTTTTTTTTTTTTTTTTTTTTTTTTTTTTATATATATATATATAAAGAAAGTGCTTCAAATTGTCCATGCTCTGAGGCTCTTCATTAAAGAACACTGCAATACTGTACTGTGTATGAAATCCAAGGTGATGCTTAGTGTGGGTTGTAGAGCAGTTGTCGTCAGGTATCCATGGATTCACTAGAAGGGAAGTGAAAGTGTGCACCTTTTATCCCTCTGGTGGATTTTGTTTGGTAGACTTCAATGCCACTTTGTCATGTCCATATTTTAGACATTCAGATTGCCCTCACACTATGTATAGTTTCCCATTGTCCCCATTTTGTCCTTTTATTGTGCAATAATTTTATATCTTTATGCTTATTGCCCTCTGCTCTCACTTGTATGTATTTGTTAACAATCTTAGCTAAAAAAAAATAATTTACATAATTGTTTAACTAATCATTTTGAATAGTGATGCATTCAAACTGAATGACTACTCATCCCAACCAAGGGCTCAAGCCAGGCATAATAACAATAATAATAATAATAATAATAGAAGATAAATAAATGTCACTATCAAGTATACAACAATTTAACTGAAGTACAAATAAGTATTGATTATTATATTGCAACCTAGAGCCCATTATGAGGGGTATTTAATGAAAATGCCCCCCCCCCCCCTCAAAGGTGGTTCCTTGATGTACTCGCCTAGTTGTGCTTGCAGGGGTTGAACTCTGGATCTTTGGTCCTACCTCTCAACTGTCAATCAACTGATGTACAGATTCCTGAGCCTATTGGGCTCTATCATATCTGCATTTGAAACTGTGTATGGAGTCAGCCTCCATCACATCACTGCCTATTGCATTCCTTCTGTTCACTACTGACACTTAAACAAATTCTTCCTAACGTCCCTGTGGCTCATTTGGGTATTAGGTTTCCACCCGTGTCCCCCCTTTTTCGCATCCCACCCAAGAATGTGGTGAAGGCTAAGGAAGGTGACACAGTTAGCATTGCTGGCATCCTTATCTTTGACCAGTGATACCGGTAGGCTCTGAGACCCTGGGCACCTTGGGTAAATGTGCACTTAAGTTATAATAATAATTTATTTAGGAAAAGTACATACATAGTTGCAGAGCTACAGTACAAACATTCTGTTTGATTTAAAGATAGAGATAGTACATACAATACCTAAAGTCACTAGTACGCATAGCGTTTCGGGCAAGGTGAGGTGGGGAAAAAAACACTTGAAAAACTTAATAGTAATTGAGCTTAAAGTATAAATTACGTTGAAAGAAAAAAATAAAAGATAAAAAAAGGGAGGAACATGGTAGAAAATAGCCAATATACAAGTTGGTCAACAAACAGCATTTTTTTTTAATACTGTAGTAAAACATGGGTTGACATTTAAAAGTAAGGTAGGTTACATGGAGTTAATTAGGTAGTACTTAGTTTTCATCTTAAACTGGTTGAGAGAGGTACAATCTTTGACATGATTGGGAAGGTCATTCCACATTCTGGGTCCCTTGATTTGTAGAGCATTCCTAGTTTGATTAGGTCATACTCTTGGACGAAATCAAAGTCGTACTCTTTAATCAAGTCGTACTCTTTAGTTCTTAAAGGAGGTGGGTGAGGAACTCATTAGGAAAACTAACGACTCAAGAGTGGCCAGTTTGCTGTTCCAGCACCTCAGTGTCGCGATCCAGAGAGGAAATGCTTGCTGTATCTTGGGCACACCCCCCACCTCCGAAGAGATGGATTAGATCTTCGAACAGTGATTGTTATGTGTGTGTGTTTTCTGTAAACACAATGTAATAAAATTAAGAAAAAAAAGAATAAGGGTGGCAGGAAAAGAAAATACTAGTGTTCGGTGAGAATCCACAAGTTCTTCTCTGAATACTCTTATTTTCATCTTCGGGGCTATGGGTCCTTTTCTTTTTTATTAACAAGCTTAGGTATACACAGCAATATGCTACTACCCTATTCCACCGGAGGTGGTACCCCTTAGTGTGTGTATATATATATATATATATATATATATATATATATATATATATATATATATATATATATATATATATATATATATATATATGTCGTACCTAGTAGCCAGAACTCACTTCTCAGCCTACTATTCTAGGCCCGATTTGCCTAATAAGCCAAGTTTTCCTGAATTAATATATTTACTATAATTTTTTTCTTATGAAATGATAAAGCAACCCTTTTCTCTATGTATGAGGTCAATTTTTTTTATTGGAGTTAAAATTAACGTAGATATATGACCGAACCTAACCAACCCTACCTAACCTAACCTAACCTATATTTATAGGTAAGGTTAGGTTAGGTAGCCAAAAAAAGCTAGGTTAGGTTAGGTTAGGTAGGTTAGGTAGACGAAAAAACATTAATTCATGAAAACTTGGCTTATTAGGCAAATCGGGCCTTGAATAGTAGGCTGAGAAGTGCGTTCTGGCTATTAGGTACGACATATATATATATATATATATATATATATATATATATATATATATATATATATATATATATATATATATATACATATACATACATACATACATACATACATACATACATACATACATACATACATACATACATACATACATACATACATACATGCATACATACATACATACATTCCTTTCATTTACATACATTTACATTCCCGGATTATTCAGCCGTAGGACAAATAACCATGAAGCATGAATCATTAGCTGTGCCGTAGTTGGGCTGACACTTGACTAAGGCTGAGGTGTGACGTGTTTGGCTCATACTAGCCAGTCTCGTATTTGTTAATGCTTTATAATAGAATATATACTAAAGTAAGAATGCATTGTATTGGGCTGGTCGTTAAGATATAAGACATGGCAAATACTGAGAACGCCAGTTGTGTGTTTCACGATAGAATGAATGTTAAAGGAACTTAAAGGTCGTTTTAAAGGGGTTAGCTTGGGGGGTGTGTAAACCCAAACAGTTAAGAGGGGAGTATTGGGTTACACTGACCACCCCACAATCACCCTCTTGTTCCCCACTTCCCTTCCACAGAAAATGGTCACCATCACATGAATTACAGAAAATGTAACTTTAACTTATCTTCTATTTCTATGTATATTTCGAATAAATTAGTATTTTCTGTCTCGCTCATATATCAAGCGTTTCAATATAAATAATTACTAATAATATAAAATACATTCCAAGCAGATAGAGCAAGTTAAAGTGAATTACTGAGCATACATAGCTATGCGGAGCGGCGGGACGCACAGCACTACTCCCCACCTGTTTTGGTTCAGGTCCCGGATGACAGGTAACAACATGGCGGCGTGGATCTAACCTGCTAGGATCCTTTTTCTCCCATAATTGCGGTAAATTACAGTGTTTGCTCTCTGTTGTGTGTCCTTGATTTAGAGGGGCGTGGCAGCCGGCAGTGTAGTTTGTGGTGGCCTGTGTAAATGAGCGATTTTAAGGCGCCGAGCCAGAGAATTTGACTACAGGTAAAGAGGTTAACGCGTTTTTCTCGCAGTATTTTGTATCCTTCAGGAGAAATGGTAAACAAAAATGCTCTTGCCACACGTTGTGGCCGAGTGGTGGGCGCGGGGGGCTCTACGGCACGCCCACTACGATAGAAAGAACTTTCATTAGCCTTTTATAAAGGATCTGCAAAAGAATACAAGAGCATAAGTGTAAAAGAGGCTTAAAAAAAGAGGTACGAGGGAGTGAGAGTAGTAGTAGTTGGGAGGAAACATCTCTTGTGGCCTGCTGGCTCAAGGCTGCACTCGTGACATTTTGACTCCTTAATGGGAGAGTAGACTGTTGCCTCCGACGGCGTCTTTTGGTGCAAGTAGGTCTCCCTCTTGTATTCCTCATGAGTGACTCCAACTGGACGAGTGTGGTCCTGGTTACTGCTGGAACTATAATAGCCATTCTAGTGTGAGAATGGTCCATTGTGTGTGTGTAATTCATAGTCACTCAGGTATTTGCAGTGTGTGGCTGAGTTAATACACTCGTGTTGGTCAACACCTAAAATACTGGATGACAAAATGTGTGCTTATTCAACCACAGTTTTCCAGTACTCATAGTACCCTTTACATCCTGTGAGATTGTATCTGGGTTACCCTTGACAACTGAATTTCAAATGTATGGATATAATGTACTGTATATAAATGACAGCATTGCAGAAATGAAATATGGTAGAATGGAAAAAATAATAAATATACAGTACAGGTATACATAAGTATTCAATAATTTTGCAATTCCTACAATTAACAAAATTGCAAAAGAAAATATTAATGTGTTCTTAGACACTTTTTTCATTATTTATCGTTGTTATTTGATTACTTTATTATGGTCCCTGTTCCATTCTTTTGGGCAGAAAATTAATTTAAATGGGTTCAGGAATTGGATCACAATGTTCTTTGAACTAAGCAATTTACATTTGTGTTTAGTTAAGCAGTATTCTATTTTAACACGTTCAACATTTCAATAATAACTGAATAATTTTCGAAGGACGAGAGAATGAACAAATTTTAAATTTCTGAATTAAATGTTGCGACACTGTAGGTAATTTGTTACAGTAGTGTGAAATATATATTTTGAATGCAGTGTTATCAAATTTGGATTCTAATTAAGGCAGGAAGCTGCCATACCTATTCTACTAGTACTGAAAAAGTTTTTTTAAACATGAATTATAATACAGGTTAAAAAAAAATTAAGGGACAGGCAGCCAGTGTACATATACATGTTAGGCTTACATCGAGGTCCCTCTAAGGGCGAATTACTGACCCCCCAGGATGCAACCCGACAACAAGGTGACTAACTCTGAGTACCTGTTTACTGGCATTAGATGATAGGAAACATGCGTAACTATTTTTGTTCTGCCCGAGATACGAACCCGGATTTCCCAATTGTGAGTTGAGAATGAACCTGACTGTACTACTGGGAGTATACTAGTACCGTATGTTCAATATCTGTTTAAAAGATTTGACTAATGCCAAATTTACTGTATGCAAAGTGATGAATTTTTTTTATTTTGAATTGTAATACAAAAATTGCTGGAGTGGCTGAGACGGGCAGTTTTACCCCAATTTGAAAATCAAAAGATACAGTAATATAATCCTGTATTTTCTTTTGACAAAGTTTCCTTCAGCACAGTTTTGGTTCACACTGACATCTTTTTCAGTTGTGAAAGCACACTACTAATAGTTAAACATCAGAAATGGAATGTTATCTTGAGTGGTTAATAACCACCTGTTAGTTACAATACAAAAGTGGAGTCACTCGGTTCACAAGCAGGTGACCTCAGTTCTGAAGTGATTTCACAATTAATGATTGCTTAAGATTCAAGTTTAAAAGTGCCTTTGCATAGGTTAAAGTTTCTTGTTGTATAACTTCACAGTATTATCATTTTTCTTAGTTGTTAGTTGTATAATAAATTATTACCATTCTATTTATACAGTGCTATATAGCCATATTGGCTTTGTGCATTTTTCTGATAATTACCTTAAATTATTACTTTTCTATTTAATGCCATATTAATGCTGGCCAACTTGATGAAACAGTATTATTCATAAAAAGACATATTTTTGCTATATTCTTAATACTGTACTGACAAAACTGCCTATCCTTCCGATTATAAACCAGTTCAGTCATTACAATGTATACTATAGACACACATTTTATTTAGCAAGTTAAGCTTGATGGTGGAGGAATATCCAAATGATGTGTTTAAGACTAAACTCTTTGTTAAATGGCCTAGTTTCGTCCAAGAATGGCATAAGTTTATCGTGATATTACTCGATAATGAGTGATCTGCTCCGATGATTGATGATTCTGTACTGACAATTGCTCTTTCATTTGCGCAGCAATTGATAGATGGTGCTGCCTGGTTGATCGATTTGGTTGGCTCTTCATTTGAAGAGCTTAACAAAATCAAGTATAAACCTAACCTAACCAAACCTAGCCATATAGTGTGGAAACATGCAACGAATCTACACTGGAGGTAAATTTAATTTAATTTATTATTTCCTGTTTGTTTCATATTTTATTGAAACCTTAAGATTTTAATAAGTGATTTGGAAAAATCATGTCTCGTGCAGACTTTGGCCAGCCTGTAAAGTTAAAATTTTTCCACTATTAGATGTCCAATTTGGGTAAAATTTAAATTCAGGTATGCTACTTTATTATAACGGTTTACAAGCTGAAAATTCTTTCTTTCTATTTTTGGTGTTCTATATAGATGTTCGGAGGGGGGGGGGGGAGGAGAACAATTGCTATGCAAGTTTGCTGGTATCGGTATATTCTTTAAAAAATGTTATTGGATGGTTGCAAAAGTATTTGGAATTAGCATGCATGGAGCCAATTAAATGAGATCAAGGGGAAAATTACTGGATAATTATTGTAAAATATATAAATAAACAAGTTAATTAAATTGATGACTACATATTTATCATAATTTTGGGGTATATAGTTTGCCATTTTGAACATTTTTATAATTATTAGCTACAATTTGGCATTTATGCTGAGAAAATATGAAATTTGTAAGGGATGGTTGCTATATTGAGTTGTATTTTAAAATGAATGTTGCAATTCAATTGCAATTCAATTTGCAATTACAATTTGCAATTTGCAATCAAAATTGCAATTCAATTGCAATGCAATTTTGAATGTTAACAATTCTTAAAGGGTTTTATGTCATTACCTTGGTAAATTTGTGTAAAATACCTTGAGGAACTATGCGCCAAAGTTCAGCTGAAATGGGACCACAGCTTTAAAAAGTAGTATCCATAAACTTATATTTTACCCTACTGCATGCGCCTGTTACATTTTAAATGTTGTAAAATTTACTCGTGAAGTTGCAACCAAATCTGTTACCAGTGCAGCACTATTGATTGCTGGAGCAGACTAATGACTGGTGTATAAACAAATATTTAGCATCTTGTGCTTTTTTTAATATAATAGCCAGTGTAAATAAAAATTTTAATTATTGGAAAAGTAATACTGTACTGTATATTTATGTACTGTACTTGGGGCACTCATTTCATTAAACAGTACTGTATGTAATATGCATTGTTACAGTAATGATTTATCAAAAGTGTAGTTTTTAGCAGTCGTGCAGTAAATTTCAAATGTGAGAACTATAGAACTTCATTCCCTGATATTAAATTTATTGGTGTTATCAGTTTCTCAAATTAATGATATCGATAAGTTCAGAAAACGTGATTTTTGTTTGTTTTTCATATTGGTTAAATATTTTATTTGTATTCCTTAAATAAAATATCTAGTCGAACAATATGGTGTGGTTTTAATGTAGGTGTGTGCCTGGGAATTGGCCAGCTGTTGTAGGTTGCATCCTAGGAAGGTCCGTTATTGCCCTAACAGGGAGGCTGTTTAAAGAATAGCTAGGCTATGTATATGTAGAAAAGATTAAAGTTTTTAATTATACCTTACTTAAATTAAGGTTTTAATTATATTAGAATTACTATTTTTGTGATGGCGTAAGTGTAGAAAGTTACTGAAAGCAATTAATAGTTCTTGGGGAAAACTTTGTTTGAAGGTGTTTATGCTTACAGAATGCTTGCCACCATAATATGGAAATTATGCATGATTAGGTATTTTTAGGAATTTGATTTCGTGACCACAAGTGTCATCGTATTTAATTATTTGAGCGATAAATATGGAAAAACAAAATTGGAAAGATGTATTGGAATGGTTATAAGAACATAAGAGTATGGAGACTTCAGTAAAAGTACCAACCTATTTACGCAGCCAAACTCTCATAATCCAGCAGTCACATGCCGTCTCCTATGTTACCCTGTACAGTAATTTGTTGTGTGAATCTACAACCATATTTTGAACCAATTGTCATTTCTGAATCTAATATTATCCAGTTTGAATCTATAGTTATGTTTATTTTGTGTTGATATATTTAGCATCCTGTTAATATTTCCCTTGTAATGCCATTTGATCCATTTGTATATTTTACTTCAATCATGTTAACTCTTACTGTTTGCCTTTCTAGAGAATGTAAATTAAGATGTCTTTATCTGTCCATATGAGAGATTTTTTGTTCTTAAGAGTAACATAACCTATTCTTTCAAATATTGTTAAAATGCATTCCCTGGTCATGGGAAATTAAAAACAAATTATGTAGCTTACTTTGGCTGAGTTGGCGAGAGAGAATATTGTGATGATTCACAATTGCTGGTCATGAGCATAGTCACTAAATTCTGAATATAAACAATTTTTCACATACAGTACAGTGTATTCATTTTCTAAATTACACGAGGTCCCATTTCTCATTTTTTATCATTCTTTGTTACTCATCTTTGTTCTTCTGAATTTTTTTTTACTTCAGTGTTCTTGTTAAAAGCAGTTTTGGCTGAGGCAGACTTCAGTATTTTGAGATTCTTTTTTTTACCTGCCGTTTTAACTGTTGTTGTTTGTGATGGCCAAGTCAACATATTAAATTTCTCACTAAATATTTCAAATTATTCTTTAAAGGTTTTATCACATGAAGGTTGCTGAAATTATTGTGAATACTGTATATGAAGCCACCCTCAGTTGTGGTAATGTGAAAGCAAGTACAGTATGTTTTTAAATGGTGGTGGATACAGTAGTGTGTGTTCTGTGACCCGTTACTGATCTATATGATAAGTGTACATGTGTGTGTAGTACAGTATTTTGATTTATGATTCAATAAGTACTTGCAAATAAACATCTTGGGGAAAACTGTTGCAAGCGTTTCACTGTATATTTACTTCTGACAGGTGAAGAGACGCGGGGCACAATGTTTAAGAAGAAGAGTAAGAAAGTGCAGATTTCAGCACCCAGTAACTTTGAGCACCGCGTCCACACTGGTTTTGATCACCATGAACAAAAGTATGTGTATTATACATTATTTAATTTTTTTACAGTTCTATTCAATATAGTACTTCATTATAACCAACCAACTAATGAAGTACTGTGGTGGTTAAAAATTGTTTGAAATAGCTTTTGGGTGTAAATTTTGGGTGTATTGTTTGGGTTTGGCAAAATGTAAATTGCTGATGTCAGGTGTTTCTAGTTTAATGGTATTGTACAGTATAAAATTGTTTCCATTTCCTCTTTTAAGTGTCTTTATTTAATGTAGTTCATGATTTATGTTTCCTAGATATGTTGGACTGCCACCTCAATGGCAAGGAATTGTTTCAAATGCACTGGATAAAGGCAGGCCCATGCCGCTCGTTGACCCGTCGGAGATTACACCCGTGGATATGCTCGACATGAAGGTAAAACCAAACATGGGTGTATTATGCACTTTGAATATTCAGGATTACATTAACCTGATTATCTATTATTACCTTTGCTATTTACAGTTGCAGATCTTAAAAAGTACAGTAGTTCACTATAATAGTATAGCATTTTCCCTAGTGTTACATTTACTTCAGGCATTGCTTTAAGAAAGTTGTTGCTTTCCATTGTCTTTAAATCCTTCTATTTATTTCCAAACTTGTTTTCAGTATCTACATCTAATGTGAACCCATTTTCTTTCTATCTGGTTCTACAGTACATAGTAGTCCAGTTGGCTTTGTATGCCCTAGTGGTACTACCATGGGATAATTGGAATGTTACTACTAACTTCATTGGTAGCTCTTTTCTTACAGCCACTGTCACCTCCACTGTTCCCATGTTTTATTTTCATTGTTTATGTCTTACACACATATGCATTGTGTTCTTTTCCTATTTCTCTAACTCATTTGCATGTGCTTGCCGAGAAAGTTCTTGTTTATAAAACACATTATTGTTTCAGTGTTAGCAGTTGGTTGCTATTTCACTTGCATGTTTGTCAAAGAAGCATGTGGATTTCTTGGAAATGTTTTGAGTATTTTTGTTTGTCAACAAACAATTAAGATTCTCTTGAGTGTTAAAGGAAAACTACACATAGCAGTCCTCTCAGAAAAAAGTTATCAATGATATGGGTAGATTAATAGATTTATTTAGTTTTATTAATTGTATAATTTGATATATCCTTGTCTAAGGTTATCCGATATCCTCATCATTAAAGTTAACATCCTTATCCAATATCTGCTTGACACTGTGCTGGAGTGAATGATCTCCTGTGCTCCCTAACACGAGTATGACCCTTCACGTTCATATTGAACTGACCATAGAGCACTACTGTATGGTCTAGTCATGCAGCACTGCTATATACAGTATAATAGTCCACGCCCTGACTATTTGGATCCTGTCCTGAAGACCCAGTAGGAGCTTGTATTAGGGCGCAACAGTGTCAAGCTCAAGAGATGCTTCGTGTATATGCTAAAATTTATTATATTTTCAGATGCCACCAGACACGTCCAGAGGACAAGACTCCTCAAACAGACTCAGCCGGGGATTTGCTACACTCAACCTGGCTGATCCCAGTAAAAACCCGCAGGTAATGTTGGTTATTATGGCCTATAAATTAAAGTCAAAAGTATAGAGCATAAAATGGTATGAAGTACCAAGTGAGGACAGTAATTGAAAATTTAAATGCAAGATTGGCAGAAAATGTCAAATATAAGTACTGTACTGTAGTGTTTTTTCTCAAGATTTGATGTTTCAACCCTACTAAATATAGAATGATATTTAGGGAGTGATTTTTTAATTCAAAAGCTTGAGGGAATATTCAATCCAAAATAGATTAGCTGATGAAAGCAGGATTGAACAAGATAAATTTGCATGCAGGGCTGGGTGTTAAGAATCATTATGGGTTGATGGCTTAGCCTATGGCTGGATTTATAGGCTTAGGATACTTGCTGTCCAAGTATACAAACGTTATATATGTACAGAGGAACCTCGGGTGACGAGCGGCTCCATCTACGAGCATTTCAGGTAACGAGCAAGCCACTCGCAGAAAATTTGTCTCGAATGACGAGCTTCCACTCGGTTAACGAGAAAACCATGTGATGCTTCCTAGCGTTCCCGCTGGTTCTCGCAAATTCTCGGATGTCTCCGACGATACAAATCAATTAAATATTTTTTAAAAGATGCTAATGATACTGGGATGTAAAGGGGTGACTGCTGTAATGTTGCAAAACATTGAATTTCTTGTTTTGTTTAGAAATTAAAGAATAAAAAAAATTGAAAGAAGAAGAAATATCAAAAGGTTCATTCAGTGTATGTCAGGTAGGCTGCTCCATTTTCTATAAAAAAAATTAAAATATTGGAAAAAAAATTGAAAAGAAAAAAGTCACAAAGGTTTGTTCAGTGTATGTCAGGTAGGCTGCTCTGTTTTCTATAAAAAATAAAAAAATAAAAAATTTAAAAAAAAAAAGTCACAAAGGTTTGTTCAGGTAGGCTGCTCCATTTTTCTATGAAAAAATAAAACAAATTGAATATACAGTACAGTATTGATGTTTTTCGGTGGTGGAACGGATTGATTTTATTTCCATTATTTTAAATGGAGAAATTCGTTTCGCAAGACGAGCTCAGTGCTGGAACGGTTTAAATTCGTTAACGGAGTCACCACTGTATATACTGTATTATATTTGTTATTTATTTATTATAAACAAGAGTTCTTGCATTCTTGTAAAGCCACTAGCATGCATAGCTTTCCTTTTACAGTAATATTAATTTTTATACAATTCTTTTTATTCACTGTATGATAGAGCAATCATCTGCAGACATTTGTCAGAATTGTAAATATATATATACTGTAACAATCGGGCACATGAAGATAATAGCAAAAATTCTTTTTAAACTAGTGGCCAATTTCTTGGTGCTGTTTACTTGCAGAGGAAAGGGGGAAATGGGGCGGGCTGTGGGCCAGGTACTTATCTGGAGTGCAGTATTAAATACGCTTAAACTCTATTTACATTATACAAATTCTATCATTTTTTATTTTGTTATTGCTACAGGTAAACACACGTGGAGAACGTGGTGGGGGTAATAACAATAATAACAATAACAACAATAATAATACCAGTAGTAATGGACCTGCTAACCTACCCAAGACTTCTAGTGTAGCACGATCCAACTCACTGCGTTCCTCCAGTCCGCCAAGGCACCGGCGGCCTGAACAGTGGGGTGGCTACAACCTCCCACCAACTCTTCATGAAGGTGAAGTACTAGACAGTGCCCCACACAACTGGCCTTCCTATTCTCAGTATCCAGGCCATGCACAGCACCCTGGGCACCAACAGCACCCTGGACCTGGCCAACACATGCCTCACCCTAACCATCCAGGCCACTTCCAGGGGCATCCAGGACACCAACAAGGCCCACCTGGTCATCCTTCTCATCATCCCCTCAGCCCCACACAACCCCCCAAAGGTTCACCTGGTTATCCTCCACACCTCCGTCCTCACCAGGGACATGGTCCACACCACCCTGGGCCACATGGACCTGTATATGCTGGACCTCCCTATCCAGGACCACCCCATGGTCATCCTATTAATGGAGAAGAGCGGTGGGATCCCCGAGATCCGAGAGGTCCTCACCATCCAGATGTGCGGCGGGATGGGTGGGGAATGGGTGGCATAAGAACACCTTCTGGCCCTTCATCTGCAGGTTCAGCTGGCAGCAGTGGACAGCATGGACCTACTCCTCCTCCTCCACATCATCAGAACCTTCATAATGGCCATCCTCAGGTTAGTGTAGCGATTTAAATTTTAAGAGAATTATTTAAAAACTGTAAGAGTTCCCTTGTGACTAGCTATTAGCCAAGCTAATGTAGATTTACCATGTACAGTGATATTATTTCTGCTTCAGTCATCTGCCCCTTTTTCTATTCTCCAGGTGAGGTGACACTTTTTTTTACAGTGTATTTGTAATAATAATAATACTCTATCTGTTGTATTCTATTTCTAAATTTAATTCTATATAAATTTAATTAGTGTTGTTTTTAGCTTCTTTTGGTAGTGGCTTCTATTTTACTTTTGGTTATTATATAAATAGTTTGATGAGGCCCCTAGCCTACAGGCAGTACATTTTTTCAATTGTCAATCTTAATTGGCTTAAAAATTTGATGAAACCTCTTCAAAGTTCGCCCTAAAACACGTGGATCACATCTTGGGCGCTGTAACTAGTACTAGCCTAGCTAGAACTTTTTTTTCTTTTACACCATAACTTTAATGTTAAAATAGCTCATTTATTAATGTATTAATAAATATTAGCAATATATTGGCATAACTGTACCAAAAATTCTACCACAGAAAGTCTGTTGTAAAACTTTCCAAAGTCCTGACTCTTACAATAAGTCTTTACTATTACTAAGAAAGTCCTTACTATCACAATAGATAAACCAAAAATAATAAGCCTCTAAACAACAGCATCATTCATAAGTTATACCAGAGAAACTAGATCCTCCTAGTACAGTACTGTATACTGTATTCAAACAAATTTTTTATTGAGCATTTAAAAATAAATATATAATCTACAGTATGTATACAGGTACTATATACAGATAGATTTAAAGCTACAGATTCGGTAGGTTTTAAAAGTCATGTTATCAGATTGAACTTTTATGTGCCACCTTACCTGAGAGAGAGAATGATTTTTATAACAGAACTTGTAGAATTTGACATTCATTGAGAAAATGAATATTTGAGTGGTCATATGTTGATGTTGTTTAACAACTCTCTTTAAACCAAGTATCGCTAGCAAATGTTTTCTGTGAATTTTTTTTTTTTTTTATTACAGATACAATTTTTTACTTCCATATAGGCACCTTTGTTCATTTTAATTTGTGAATTGCATAATGCTATTCAGTATAGTAATATTGACATAGCTCTTGTTTTGATAATTTATTAGCATTTCTCTACATTGGTTGCACATTGGTGGCAAGTCAAATTTCGATTTGTAGTTGGCAGCTATGGTGAATACAGGTACTGGTATTTTTTAAGAGATTGCAATGGTCTGTGTATTTCTTAATAATGAGAGAAATGTGTGACATTCACTAAAGTTTATTTTCCCCTTTCAGGGTGGACGACCCCCTGCACAGCTTCCACCTGAAGCAGGCAGTGTCCCTGGTCACCACAATGGGCCACACTATCAATCTCAGTCACATCCAAATCAGCTTGCTATGCCTGGTCCATCTCCACATGCTAATCAACATGCTCACCAATTACCAAATCAACATCCTCATCCCTCGAATCAGCATCCTGGACCACATCCTCTCCAGTCTCCTTCCTCACAGCATCCCCACCAGCGTAGACCTCAGCCTCTCCCACCATCACACCAGTCGCCTCATGGTGTTCCTCCTGGTCATCCTCCCCCTCCACATCACACTTCCCAAAATCAGTTACACCACCTGCAACAGCAGCAGCATCAGCAGCAACAGCAGCAGCAACAACCACCAGAACAGCAGTCACAATCCCAACAGCAACCTCAGACCCAACAGCATCCCTCTCAGCATCCACAACAGCAGCAACAGCAATTACCCCCTCCTCCACCACCACACGGAGTACAAAAATTACCACCACTGCCACACCAGCTTCCGCCTCATTCCCAAGTATATTCAAAGGTACATGGTTATATTTGGTCTTTCCCAAATTTAAAATGAATAATGTTCAATTGATTCACCTAGGCTCTAATATTGGTAAAAGGAAGATACCAGTGTGGTGTTTCAAAAGACTATTCAAAGTCAGAGCTCCTTTGGTGAGAAGTTGTGAAAGATTAAGAATTTTCAAGACATTTGTAATATTCAATTATTTCTTGTATGTTCTCAGAGGTACAGTAGTGACAAAAATAAATGAAATGTGTTTTTGAGTTTATCTTGGACAAGCCTGTTAGAGATCCAATATTAATTTGTATCCAATATGGTGTAGCAACTAAATCATTGGATTTAATGACCCCTCTGAAAACTTCCTTGTTTAAGAGGATGATCATGTAAAAGAATTAATGAAGCATATCATCATTGCAAGCATTCATGCAGTACATCAAGTAAGGGCAGTGTAATATTTTTTCAGCCTCCAGCACCCACACCGGAGCAGAACTCTCCAACTGGTAAAGGATCTGGGGCTCCTCAACAAGATCACAATGGCAATCGCTTTGACCCGCAGACTTCCAGCCACAACACTATGCCGCAAGTGATGTTACGAGACCGTAAAGCCAGTGGGGAGGGAAGAGAAGTGGGCGGAAGTGGAGCAAATGCCAACAACACAACAAGTTTACCTGGGAAATCTCCTCCTGGGTTTCCTCATGGGAATGCCACGCAACATCATCCAGGTGCCAAACAGCATGACCAGCAGAGATTATCTCATGAACAGGTTTGTGGGTGGCTTGAACCGGAACATGTTTTGTCTCAAGTATTTATAGATAATTGTGAGTAATTTTGATACTTGTGGGCTAGTTACATTAGTCTACATTCATTGCTATGCCCTTAAATATAAAATTCTTGCATAGTAAGTACTCTGCTGTAATCTTAACACTTTTTTTGTCTGGCAGTTCCGTGCAGCCTTACAGATGGTGGTTAGTCCGGGGGACCCACGGTATAACCTGGACAACTTCATTAAGATTGGAGAAGGATCAACTGGCATTGTCTGCATAGCCAGTGATAGAGAATCTGGTAGTCAGGTACAGTACTATAATTTCAATCTGAAATGTTTTATTACATATTTAATTTAGGTAATATATGAATGAGTGGAAATACATTTAGATGCATCCAATTCACCTTGTTTAACATTTCTGAATTCTTTAGTTTTTACTTGTGAACTTAAAATTCACGTTGATCAGAAAGCAGTTAACTAGAAAAAATACATTAGAACTCGTCAAGTTTTTTACAGTTTCAAGGGATGAAGTGGCTAGTTTTCCTCTTAATGTCTTCATTAAGAGGAAAACAAAGTAATGTTCATTGGTGGTGTTTTATGGGCTTGTTCTGATTCAGTAGAGCATTATTTAGTTAAGGTTTGTACGTAGATGACAACATGTATGTCAGTATACCCTATTTAATGAAAATGCTTTTTCAATTCATGCTTAGGTTGCGGTGAAGAAGATGGACCTACGGAAACAACAGAGGCGAGAGCTTCTTTTTAATGAGGTGGTCATTATGCGAGATTATCACCATCCCAACATCGTTGAGATGTACGATTCATTCCTGGTGGAAGACGAGCTGTGGGTTGTAATGGAATTTCTGGAGGGAGGAGCACTCACTGACATTGTCACACATGCCAGAATGGATGAGGAGCAGATTGCTACAGTTAGTAAATTGCTTTCTTTATATAAACTACATGGTATTATGATGATTACCTTATCCATTTCAAGTATGGACATTCAGAACTTGATTATTCTTATTTGTTTTCCATTTAGCTTTCAAAACTAGAAGTGTTTAATTTAGTTAACAATAACATAACTTGTATATTGACCCTTAAGCGACCTCAGTCACTATCTGCAAATACCTCCTTTACTTGAATCTCCACGTGTAATTTTTGTTACATTTTTTACGTGTTATTTTTTGTCATGTGCATCGTGATGGTGACTTTATTTAGCAGAGCCATTTAAGGATTGGGCACAGATTAGCACCTCTGTACCTAAATAAATTATTGCCCCCTATTTCTCACTTTTATGGAATGGGGGTGGTATCAATCTAGAGAAAAAAGTGAATAAAATGGTAAGAGGTTGAACTTGTGTACAATTATATAATTTATACTATATATAATCACCAACAATTATCCACAGCAGCACCCAAACATTTCATAAGTATGAAATGTTTGGGTGTTGCTGTGGATAATTATTATAGCACGGTACACAGTGCTCCTTGTGAGTATGGTATGAATAATTCACTACCTGTTTGCACTCTGTTTCCACTCAGCCTTGTTCATCACCTTATCCCTTGTGCTGATCACACTTAATTCCCACTTCCTCAAATACTCTGCGAATATAATCATTTATGCTCCCTTCACAAATCAATCGTACATTCATTCATTACAATACTGAACCATGTCATGCTCTCTCCTCAATCTTGCATTGTTATTGAATTTTTATTTTTTGAATTTTTATTTTTTTCTGATATTTTAATTTGTACTCTGTTCTCTTTCCATATTTGTCAAATTATTTATTTCATGTTCAAAGTACATCATCACCTCACATCTGTACATAAAAATCAATACTAGCCCTGATTCAGTCAGGGCTAGTATTGAATGGCTAATTGAGTGGCTAATCTCAATTGATTATTCTTCTCGCAATGCTTATTGGGGCTGGGCATACCTGGTGCTTGTTTGGTGTATGAGGATTTGTAGGTGGGCCTTCAGGAGTTGCTTTGTGCAATGGTACCAAAGAGGCATCCACAAAACTACCAGGCCTCAGGACTTCTGCAAGCCAACCAAACACCAGGACCAAAACCTGGACTGCTCGTAGAGGCAAGGGGTACACGAGGATTTGAAATCAAGCATAAACCAAGAAAAACTGTCTAGAAAAACAGGTGAAGCAAACTAACTCTTCTATCCATAATCAAGCTATAAAAATAGCAGCACATTAAGCAGTAGTTTGTCCAGTGTGTGTGGCGACTCGGATACTTTTGATATCGTTCGCCTTATGTGTTTCTGTTCTCGTATTGGCATCCTTGGTGATATTTAGCGCCCTCTGATTATCTCGCACATTTGATGGTCCTACATAGCCTTCCTGGTTTGGTGCCTTCTTTTGATAATTACTTGCTTGTCCAGTGTGTCAAGATGCTATGTGATAGTATCCAGGTGTACCACCAAGTGGTAGTCCAGGTCACCCAGGGGTACAGCCTGCCTCACCTGTCTGCCTGCTAACAAACACATCACACCTCTGCCAGGGGCAGCAGCAGTAGCAGCTGCTTTATATTTTGAGCTTAGTGGGTTTGGCATTCCTTGGGGAATGCCAATGCCTTCAGTCATGCCTTCAAACTGATATCACTGATTTATATTCGGTGACCACTTTTCATTTTATATCCCTTAAAGGGCTGGGAGTTAAAAAAAAATATTCAAATTTAATGAAAATTATTTGAAAAGTTATACAAATCTCCAATTATTTGGCAACAGTGTTGTGAAAATTTCATCCCAATATGTTAAGTAACTACTCTCAAATTCGGTTTTAAATTGAGGAAAATGAACGTTATATGCCATTCTGAGTCCATAATGAATAAAATAAAAATTGGTGAAATATTAAATTAGTCACCTTAATTTTAAATTCTTGAAACTTTCAATTTTTTATATTTTTTCCTGTTCATGTTATGATATTGAACCATTATTAAAAGTTGGAGCATTTACCATGTAGATAATGCACAAAAAGTTTGAAAGTGTTTGAGGAAGGTTGAGAAATCAGTCTCCCTGCCCCGTAAGTTCGATTTGTATGTATTTTGTGTATATAATGAAGGAAATTTGAAAATAAGTACATAAATATTATAAAAAATAACACTGGTGAAGCTGACATTGTTGAATTGAGTGAGTACCATGCAGAACAATTTAACAGACTTACTTCACCTAGAACAACAAAAACTAATTAAAATGATACAAAATTATGCTAGAATGAAGCAGTAAATTTAAGACACTTGGAAAGTCATTTCGGTGACCATAAGTGTCGCTGCATAGTTATATCATGTTTGTATTTTCCCATGTGGTTGCTGTGGTCGCTTGGCGACAAGTGGGGACGTTGGGTGCCATCTGGCAGTTTTTCTTTACATTTTAATTTGTTATTTTTTGCTTTATTTAATTAAATTCTCTGTGGTCGAATGATACATTAGAAATGTCAATAGTAGTATTAATATTTCATATGAGAAATGTATGTACATATATACTGTAACTACTGGTATATGCTTATCACACTATGAGCACCACATAGCTTTCTGTAAGTTTTGTTATTACATTTCACACATTTTTACACGCTACTGTACTATATACTCGACACAATTATCACCGATTTATTGTTTTCAAAAGTTTTGAAGGTGTGATGGTTTATGGAGCAATTAATGGTATGCATTCCAACTCTGATGCGTGCCTGTTTGTCATTATATTTCCAGGTGTGTAGACAGTGCCTTAAAGCCCTTGCATATCTTCATTCACAAGGAGTTATTCACAGAGACATCAAGAGTGATTCCATTCTGTTAGCAAGTGATGGCAGGGTAAGTCTTTTATTTTCTTCTCTCGTAACTTTAGCTGTACATGTATAAACTGTTATTTAGCAGCATTCTTCATACACAAGACCTAATGGTGGGCCTTATTTTTTCATTAACTGTACTGTATAACTGTTGATGATGAGAGTATTTTTGTTTTGATAACTGTGGAGGAAAATAATGTTGCTTCAATTAAATTATTTACAACTTTTTTCTGTACCTCGGTGAACCTTTGTTTTTCTAGGCATGTAAATTGCTAGCAGGAATATCACTGCCAAAATACTAAAGGGTTGTTTGTTCTTGTAGTATTCAACAATCGTGTTTATTAGTGTTTGTCCACAGTTGTCTAAATTAAAAATGCTACATCTGCACTTAAGCTTGAGAACCACTAGATAGATAAGACAATTTGCTGCTTTTGTACTGAATGAAGCATTGGAATTGTGAAAATTTTAGTATTGTAATAAATTGACGGAATAATCATGAATAAAACATATGTTGATTGCATAGAATTATGATATTGGTTGTTGAAACACCCCCTCTAATTCTGTAGGTTATTCATCATAACATTAAATTATTAAATATTTCTGAACTGTTTTCCTCTACAGGTTAAACTGTCTGACTTTGGGTTTTGTGCGCAAGTTTCTCAAGAGTTGCCCAAACGCAAATCCTTAGTGGGCACTCCATACTGGATGGCACCAGAAGTTATATCCAGACTCCCTTATGGGCCTGAAGTGGATATCTGGTCATTGGGCATCATGGTGATTGAGATGGTGGATGGCGAACCTCCATTCTTCAATGAGCCTCCATTGCAGGCTATGAGAAGAATAAGAGACATGCCACCACCCAAACTGAAGAATTCTCATAAGGTAACTACATGCATTGGCTTACGTTTTTGGCAAGAATTTTGAAACGTTTGTTGTGGACTTACTTTAAGATAATTCTTTCTGAGCTATCGTACTTGATGAGGTAAGATCTTATTGATTTCATTTGTATGAGCTTTCTCAGTCAGGGTAGGTTATCTTGGTCATCTTGAGATGATTTTGAGGCTTAGCATCCCTGCGACCCGGTCCTCGACCAGGCCTCCTTTTTGTTACACACATCACCAGGAAGCAGTCCATAGCAACTGTCTAACTACCAGGTACCTATTTACTGCTAGGTGTACAGGGGTATCAGGGTGAAAGAAACTGCCCATTTGTTTCTGCCTCCACCGGGGATTGAACCCGGAACCTCAGGACTGCGAATCCCGAGAGCTGTCCACTCAGCTGTCGGGCCCCTACCCTGTCAGATCAGGGTAGGTCAATATTTTGCACTGGAAAGATATCTGGAAAGTTTATTCATATACAGTACTGCACACTCCTAGGGGTACCTAATCTTTCAAACTGCCAGGCTGTGCACTCACTACCAATTGGCCTGCTAGGTCACTACCCATTAACACTTTCGCTCGGGGATGACGCAGCATTGCGTCATCCGTTTACTGGCGGTAATGCCGGGGATGACGCAGCATTGCGTCATCCACTTTAAAAATTCGCCAAAAATCAGGTTTTTATCCGATTTTTTTGGGACTGGTTTTAAAATGTGCGCCGATGTCTTCCCATTTTCTTTGTTGAGCCTCGTGGCCCTCAGGCGGCTTGGCACATGCCGTGGGCCCATTGTCTTTGCTCCACTGTTGTGACCAATGTCGCCTCCCCTCGCATCTCAAACGTGTGAACATTTCGGCTATTTCCCGTGGCTATATTTCTTACTGCGGCTTTAGAAACTATCTACGCTTACTCCACGATGGATAGTAATCATGAACAAGGCCCTTCCAGGAAGAAAATTGCGAAAGAAAGGCTTGAAAAGGGTGGGAATTGGGAGTGTAGCAGGAAGGCCTCTGAGCACTCACTCACGGCTAACGCGTGGCCCGTCTTCAACTCGTCGGCGGTTGGAGCGTGACCAGGTTTTTTTTTTTATATGCTAATGTTCCTCTAGAGAATTTTATTACGAACCCATTGAGACCAAATTGAAAGACCTAGGACAAAAATTGAGGTGACCAGAGTGAAAATAGTGAAAACATTTTATCACGTTTGCGCGCTCCCGGGTAACTCGTTCGCACTTTCTCTGTTTGCTGCGGGTAATTAGCTGGGCTTTTGGAGTTTATATGCATTTAGTGTTGTAGAGAATTTTATTGCGAACACAATGATACCAAATTTAATCTCGTAGAAGGAGAATTGAGGTGACAAAGTTGAAGAGAGTATACACTTTTCGAAATTAACGCGCGCTTCCGTGACACGCTGGGGCCCATATCGCCCTGTCGAGGGGTGGCGCGCGGGGTGAGCGAAAGTGTTAATACAACAAGGTGACAGTACTGACCCAAGAACAGTAAAGACTGAAAAGATTGAAATACATCTGGAGACATGGCTGTCCCAGATCAGATCCAAATGTGATGCAGTTGGAAGCATTCTATACAGTTAAGTTGGTTGTGACAGGAACGTGTTTTAGCTTTAATGAGCTCTTCCAAGCATGCGAGGAAATAATTTTTTTGTATATAAACCAAGGTCATTTACCTTACTGTGTGTGGACTTGTCCGAGACTTTAATGAAAGAAATCTTAAGGGTTACCATTCTTTGTTCAACATCATTCTTCAGAATGAGTAGTTTTTGCTTTCCTTTTAGTGTTCTCTACATTTAACATATAAATTCTTTAATACCTCCCAGCCTATTCAGTACAGTAATATATGAAATCTTCAGTTCAATAAAAACTCCTTTTCAATATTCAGAAAAATAAATTAGTAATGTCCCTGAACATCATCCACTATCGATAGGCAATCATACCAGGTTGAGTAGGTATGTGAATTTAAAGTTAATGGAAACTGTCATTGTAAAAAATGGTAGCCACAAGTTTCCAGTGCCTTTGCTTTTTCCAAGGGCAATTGAAAATTTCAGTAACGGTTTCAGTATCTCTTCACAATATCAGTACAGTACATTTGTAAAAGTTTGCCACATATGTAAAAGTTTGGTGCTCCTATCACAAAGTGTACATTTGTGTAGTTTGTAACTATGATGCCCCACTATGCTCTCTATTGAGTTATTTCACAGAAAAGTCCAAATCTACTGTAATATGTGTTTTTTAATCGTTATGAAGCTGTCTTTTCATAGATAATACAAAAATGGATGCTCTTGATTAACAGTCTAATAAAATAAATATAAATAAAATATTTAAGATAAAATGCCAAATGATTTATGTAGATAGCCATTACATTATTGGATGTTATACCAGAACTGTAAATATAAGGTAATGTACTTTATTGTGTTTTGGCGCCATAATATAAAGATTGTTCTGTACATTTTTTTGCAGATATCCCCACGCCTACAAGGTTTCTTGGAGAAGATGCTGGTCAGAGATCCAGGTCAGCGAGCAACTGCATTTGAGCTGCTTCAGCATCCTTTTCTACGTCAGGCAGGGCCCCCATCTCTTCTGGTTCCATTGATGAGATCATTTAGACACTCTCCTTGCTAGCTGTATGCTAATACCCTGGCATTTGTGTAATTGTATTACATTACTCTGTAAGTGCCTTTTATCTAAACGTGAAGGGTTATCATGTGCCTATATGTAAGAAACAGTTTGAGCAGCTGGTACTCCTGAGCTCACTAGAAGAGTGAGCTATAGTGTGTACAGTTTCTGGTCAGCATTGGCAGCTCATGCATATGTATTATATATCATACCACGGTACCTTTTTTTTAAATACAGCAACTACCATTAGACATTCCATGGAATAACATTGAAAACTGAAATTAAAATAATGCTCTGAAGATTTTATAAATTTTCACTACAGGATTTTTTAAATGGATTTTTACAGTGCAAGAACAATCACAAAATCGTGTGGTTCAGTATGCACAAGGAAAGAGGAAAGAAAATCCAAGCATGTTTGTGTGTTAACACGTGTATTAATGTATTTCATTATTTTCATCCTGTTTCATTGTATATCAGCAAAAAGCAGTATTGGCAGCTAATAATTTTAGTTGGGAAGTTGAAAAGTGGCAGCTTGTAAACGAGGTACACGAGCACAGTTTCTGGGAGATTCTTGTCGTTGAGCCCCGTCTGTGTTCCTAAGAGGTTGGTAATTAGTGTATTTATGTCTTATATAAATATACGTATACATATATTATATATATATAAATAAATATACATATTGTGACATATATCACCAAAGAGGCTTTATTTTGCGTTGATTTCTTAGTCTAAATCTGACCTTAATATGTTTCATGTTTAATATAAGCATTGAGAGTGTTTGGTAAACTTTAGCAGTCAAAAATATTTTGATTATAGTAAAGAGAATGCCATTATTTTGTATGTTAATAGAAATAATGAAATGTGAGTACCATAGCAAAGCTTAGTGACAAAAAAAAACAGCATTTCGGATTTATGCATAAATTGTCCTGTCAAAAAAATGTAATGTTAAGTGTTTTTATAATTGTAAAGTTACCACATGCACTTGTATATACCGTGTCAAATTGGTTCACTTGTTTAAATTGACAAAATGGATCTTGCCATTTATTTTTCTCTTGTATGTAAATAATTTTTGTAAATGTTTATTTTTGTGTTTCACTTTTGTAACTAGCATTTATTATTTGTACAGGTCATTCCATCATTTATGTGCAGTGTAATTACTATAGCATCCAGTAATTGCTCAAGGGTACATAGCAGGTATTAAAAGGTCAACATATCTTTCTCATCATCTTTAGTTACATATTAGTGGCTCTTTTATTTACTCTGAACATTATGGTCTCTGTTCCCTCTGGAAGTGGCAGTGTTCTTAATTATCATACTTAATGTTTGAATATTTGTGTCATACAGAAAAATACAATTTTAATTTTTTTTACAAGCTTTCTTAGTTTTTGCTGGTATAGCCTTACTTATCCAAGTTTCTAGATGGGGGATCTGTCCAAGTGCATGGGGCATCTGTCCAGATGGGTGGGTACTATACCCAGGTGAGTGAATGTCCTTATTTGCTCTCTATCTATTTTACTTGTTCCTGTGTGTTTGACATTATCCGCTCTGTCACAACAATGAGAAAGAACGTGCATTCTTGGCATCTATCAAACTTCTCTATACTTCTATCCTGCACTTTAACACACTTCATTTTTATTTTACTGATAGTCTATATATTTAGTGGTTTCCCAAGTTGAATTTGTAAGCACATAATTATTCTCCTTGCCACTATAAACTTTATTTTGTGCAGTTTGATATATTTTTTTATTTGTGTGCATGATTGAAATGTCCAGATAATATTCTGAAGGGACAAGCCAGCTTTAAGTGCTGGAAAAAATACTAATACTTTGTGTCTGTGTGTTTGTGTGTGGTGTATAAAATACATACATGCTGTATCAGGTGCCATATACAGTACCATCATGCCAGCTTTGCTTATATTATGGATTTACTTTTTCTATGGCATTGTCTATTGTCCACCTTAAAAGACGTTGCTAGACACATTTACCAAGAAGCTGCCTTGTGTGTTCGACTCTGAAGTATGTTAATCTCTCTGGTCCTCTGCTCAGAGTGCATACACAAGCAACTTGTAAAGCCAAGAGCATAAGTGCAAACACTGTGACTAACCTCTGTATAGCATGCAAACCATTGAAAGTTTCTATAACTTAAGTTTAAATTAGTTAATCAACTGATTTGAGATATTACATTTATTAGTTAAAAGGATACAAAACCCTTTTTATGGCGAGGGAGGTAGTGATGCATAGCATCTTGGACGAACTTGTATGTGCATTCTGAACCTTCAATGAGTGACATCTAGAAATGAAATAAGTCTGCATCTCATAAAGTAGTTTTTTTCAAATACCCATAATTCTTTCCTTGCATATTCACTTGTATATCATTCCATGGCATATAGACTTAGCAGCAAAGATGGAAAACATCCACATTTTATGGATATGTTACATTTCATTATATCGTGTATTTGCAAAACCTGTTTCCCCATGTTTACTCCAATTTGTTGACAAGATAATCTTTCCTAATGTCCAGTACCAATTTGTTTTAATGTTTTAGTATCGGTTTGTATGGCGGGGAATTCTGTTGCTCATTTTACGTGAAAACATGATTTCTATTAAAACTGTCATCAGCCTGCTGTAGGGATAAATAATTCTGATGGTAGTGTCTGATATTAATTTTTGTTTACCTTTATATTCAAAATATTCTAAGCAAATTATTAGATTTCAGAAAACAAATAAGAAACTAGTTTTTTAATACATTTTAAAGTTGACCCACATAGTCCTTTTACTTTTGTTTCTACATTTTATCTAGTCTAATTTTAACTTTGAAATTTAGAGGAAACCTATATTTTATCATAAGCAGCATGTACTGTATTGTATAAATATCTGTATAAGTGAAACATTGATAAATTGCAAATGAGGATTTACTGTAATCACAAAAAGATGAACAAAAGACTGCATCCATCATCTTTTGATGAAGATCAAATCTTATGTATATAGCAAACTTTGAGGTAATGATCATGTTTTAGTGTGATGAAGTTCACGTCAAGACGAGCTGTTGTGTCTAACAGCATTTTGTTTATTGAAACTTTTACCTCCATAAACTGTTGGAATTGTTCATTCATAATTGTGACAAGACTGTTAGTCAAGATAAGTGTGTGCTAATACTATCCCTCCAGAATAATAAATTGTGCCTTAATGGTGCCTGGAAATATCTAACGAAGACTGGATAAATTATCCCATATGTAATGGTCTTTTACTGACACTGTTGTCTTGTAAAGTGTTGCCTGGCAACTGTCTTAAGATGTTGCACCATCTGTTATTGACAACTTAATAAATACTATAAAAATATATTTTTTATCCAAAATTTAGATAAAAAAATTTATTGAAAGTTTGAATTTTTTCTTTTACCTGGAATATCTTAATTTCTTGTAATTGTAATGCTAAGGAATATAATTATGAAGAACTGTGTGAAGTGGTGTGCTTTGTAACTGTGCGTTAATAGGCACTTCATGTAGTGTGTGTAGTACTGTGCTGTGGTGTATTGACTCGTGTTGTTATTGCTTTGTTGCAAAAAGTGCGTGTACAGCTCCAATCTGTGTCGTAAATTATCCCGTCCACTTGCTGCCTTTCACACTCGATTATCTTGCTAATGTGATAGTTTTACTATCATATCAAGCTTAACAGTTGGTGTTGAATTTTAGTAGTTAATATATGTGCATTTCCATTGGCCAAGGAGTAAATAATTTTAGATACTGGTGCTATATACTTTTGAAGTATCCTGTTCTTACTGTTGAATAATAAGTAAAAATTTGTCAGGGATCTATCTATGACAGTGATTTAGTGGGATCTGCCCTACTAGATACTTAATATTTTCTGGGATGGCCCCCCTCCCACTTTTGAAGCTTCCTGTGTTAAGGACTGGTTTAGCTAAGCCTTTGGGAGACTTGCAAAGTCGAACAACCAAGCCTTTGATTGAAGAAAGTTAGGCAAGTGACGGCATTGAGGGGAAACGATCATTACCTCGATTTGTAACTGCCCCTAGCTGTGCTGTGCCTGATCATCTAGGCTGTAGGCTAGTTCACCTGAAAAGTCTGCCAGTTTTGGGGGCAAGGCTCTCCTGCAGCCCATCCTCATAAACAAAGGCTAATGCTCATTAATCCAGCTCTTAAACCCCATTTATGAATTAAATTTATTTTACACCAACTTGCCTCAGATCAGGCTTGTTAAAGTGGCAGCAGCCCTCATATACTCATTAATCAATGTTAACATACTGGGCATTATAAATAGGTTTGTTCTCATATATAGACTAATATTATTCCTCATTAAAGTTCTGTGTATAGTTAAGCGTAGGTTAGGTTAGGTGTTTAGATTCTGTTGGCGATTATTTGTAATTTGAATACTTGGGTGAAGCATTTAAAGAATGTAGTCAGGGAAGCACTGTTTGAGAAATATTCAAACCTCATCAATTGTGTCACGTGTAAGCTGTTTCATTCATAAACGGGCTTTGGCCACTAGATTAATGAGCATTTGGCTTTTGTTGCGATACCGAGCTGCGTTACACACAACTGATTGTTTGAACATTTCCCAAACTGATATCCTCCCTGAATCACACCAATGCAAGTGCTCCACTCGTGTATTACAAAAACAAATACTGTACTGTAATTGCTAAGTGACCCTAAACATCTAACCGAGCCAAATTTAGGCCTAACTATACACAATTTATATTTAATGACATTAATTTATGTGAGCAAATACAGAGTTTGAATATGAATACAGTACTGTATTATTAAAAGTTGAATCTAATAGACAAAGATTCCTAACAAACTACATTATATTGAATACTGTATTTTTCACAATATTTATCTTGTGGAATGAGTTTATCATAATTTAGATAAAGATTTACTTTTGATTTGTTAAAACTAATTTGGAAATAAGTTTACCTGAGAGCCACTAACACTAGTGGCCTCGATGAGGAAAGAAAGCCGGTGGCTTGTCGAAGGTCCCCTCATTTGCCTTGGTGATCTTTTCCAACTGTACTTTAAATGTTAACAGAGCTTTGGCATTGACCAAAATACCAAGAATTACCACAGTGAATGGGAAGCCTTGCAATTCAAGGTCATATGATCTGTGACCAGGCCAGAATGGGGAGGGAAAGGCAGGTGAGCCAGTTGGCATAGGCCTACAATTTTGAGGGGGGGGGGGCTACTCAGTTCATTTTTATAAATTGTTCTAGTTCTTTTAATCTGTTCAGTTACTTGACAACAATGACAAAGCAAAGTTGCTTGAATTTTCTGGTGTAATTGGTAAATTTGGCCAAAGAAAAGCATGTAAAGCATTTCTGAATGTAAGGAAGTGATGAATGATTCTGATCTGAAATTCCCAAGACAAAATAAACATAATTGTACTAGACAGTGCTTTTAATTTGTATTTACTGCTTCTTATTACAGTACTATACTGTACAATTTTGTCTTGTATTCATTTTGAACAAAATATCTTACCATTATATTTTTTATAAATCATTCTAGTTATTTTATTGTTGTGTTGTACTGTACGTCATATGCACTACATGTATATACCCATACATAATTCGTATGTATTTAGCACTGATTACAAAAATAATTAATAAGCAGTTTGAAATTGGGACTATATTTCCCATTTTCCCTTATCAACTTCGCATGAGCCTTTCTGTGACATCCTGCAGTTGGCTAAGGGTCTCGTAGTACAGTTGGCTTCGTTCTTGACTCGCAGTTGGAGATCTGGCTTTAATTCGGGTGGAACAGAAATGGCTGGTCACATTTCATTTCACCAGATGCCTCTGTACACCTAGCAGTAAATAGGTACCCAGGAGTTAGGCAATTGCTGTGGGGTTACAACCTGGGGAGGGTCAGTGGTTCGACCTTGGGGAGGGGGGACCTCCATACAAGCCGAATGTGTATGTATACATATACAACACATATACATACATGTTTCCTGTCTCCTACAAAATGAATTACTATATATATAAAAAGTACATGAATTAATATTTTATACGTAGTATGTAAGTATTCTTTTGACAACATAGTACAATAAAAATAGTATAGGTCTTTCATAAGAACAGTTCTGGAAAGGGATAATTTTGTCAAGACTAATAAAGTACTTATACAAAATTTTATCTTGTAAAAAAATTTTGCAAAGAATGCTGGAACCTGGAATCATATTGCTGTTGATGGTTTTATATTTTGACATTTCATTTAAATTGAGGTAAATGTCATCTGCTATATATTAGTCTTATATTACGTATAATGTGTTGAAAAATCTTTAAATGCAGTTATGAGTATGTAGACAATGCATTTTGAGTACAGTAGCTTCATACTTGTCTTGTGTGTAGATCTGCATATTTACAGCATACTATTTTTTTTTACCGACAAGATGTTCCACTGGAATATTCCTTTCATGATGCCACATGACTATATTGTATAGAGTTAAGACCTGCACCTTACTGTCAGCACTGCATTATTTTACTAACAGCTGTGCACCTTCTTGTAAAATGTGCTGATTTTCAGAATGATCAGAATTTTTTTCTATTTTCTCTCTTTTTCATAGTCGTACGTTCCTTCATAAAATCCTAAGTGAATCTGACTCCTTTGACATCACTCGTCTGATGTCCTTACACTACTGTATTAGCATCCTGAATGTTATTTAGGAACTTAAGTATTCTGTAACACAGCCAGTGCTATATGTATAGCTTTCTGGTCTTAATGTTTTCTTTTGACTTATATAGGGTTAACTCACTAAACCCACTGATTGCATTTAATACCATTCCCTTCTCATTCCATTATGGGTATTTTGTTGTACTCAAGTGTGCCGAGTGCTATAATATAACATTACAACATGTAGCTCATTTTTAAGGTCACCTTTTGCTTTTTGTGCCAAATTTATTTTTGTAAATGTTTCCAGAAAGGTGCTTGCATCCAAATTATTTAATTTTGTTGCATGTTATCACTGTGGATATTTTTGGCAAATCACTAATTTGTCTTGGAATTAATAATTTTGTTTATCTTGTGAGTGTGTACATTAAGTAATATTAATCATAATACATAAAATATTTGTTATTTCTCTAGCAATGCCAAGGAAACATTCTTCATTAGCAGTGAATAAATTCAGTTCAATTTTTTTTAGTTTCCTCATGTGTTGTGATTGGCTAAATTGGAGGTCTATTAATGATTATTTTAAAAATGAACTGCTTGGGGAGAATGACTGGAGAGGCATGTGTAGTCAGCCATGTGGCTCATCAATATAGTCTGCAAGTCCTCACGGACATACTAAACTTGTATGGGTGACCTGAAACTTTCAAATTTGTCTCAATTTCTTTGTGAATTAAAGTACTTTATTGCTTGCTTTCCCGTGAAGGGGATGAGTTAGATATAAATGTTTTCTTGTATGATTGTATTGTACACATCACTAATACTAGCACACAGCACTCAGGCTTATATTCTTTAATAAGGTACATATGCCAAAGTGTCTACTGTACATAAAAGTACATGTAATGTATGACAAAGTCTGTATTAAAACATAAAAGCTGGCACAACACAGTACCATATTCAGGACCCCTCTCTGACCAATTTCCCAAAGCAATCTTCCTAAATCTGTCCAAGATTATATATTCCTGTCTTCCCTTGATGCATTTCTTATCATTCAACCTTTTGCAGACCCAATTACTGTGAATATTAGTTTACACAACTACTTATTTAATATAAGTCAACTGTTCATTATTTTTGTGTAGATTTTAAGCTCGACAGACTATAAAAGTAATCTTGTAAATACACAGAATTAATGTACTATTTTAGATATAGTAATAAACCCTAGTGGTTAATTTTTATTTTGGTTTTATCTAACCTTAGGGAAGTACTGTACATTAGATTGGTTTGGGTCAATAAATTTTTACTAGTTAACAAAATTAATGTTGAGTTGGCAGATTATTTTGTATGAAGGTTAGTGTTCCTTCAATGAGTACTAGTCTTCAAGCAGAGGTTGGGGATCTTCCCATCGGTACTAGTCTTCAAGAGAAGGTTAGTATTCCTTCCATGGGTACTAGTCATCAAGTGAAGGTTAGTAATCCTCCCATGGTTACTAGTCTTCAAGCGAAGGTTAGTGTTCTCATGGGTACTAGTCTTCAAGCAAAGGTTAGTGATCTTCCTATGGGTACTAGTCTTCAAGAGAAGTTAGTATTCTTTCCCTGGGTACTAGTCCTCAAGTGAAGGTTTGTGTTCCTCCCCTGGGTACTAGTCCTCAAGTGAAGGTTAGTGATTCTCCCGTGGGTATTAGTCTTCAAGCAAATGCTAGTGTTTTCCCATGGGTAAGCGAAGGTTAATGATCTTCCCATGGGTACAACTCTTCAAGCGAAGGTTAGTGATCCTCCCATGGGTAAGCGAAGGCTAATGCTTTTCCCATGGGTACTAGTCTTCAAGCAAAGGTTTGTGTTCTTCCCATGGGTACTAATCCTCGAGCTAAGATTAGTGATCTTCCCATGGGTACTAGTTTTCAAGCGAAGGTTAGTGTTCTTCCCATGGGTTTGGTCTTCAAGGACCAGTACTGCCACCATGGTTGCATCCGTCGAAAGTCAGACGGAATGATAGACATACAGCAGTCAGTAACATCATTAGAAGTTTGGCTAGAGCTAAGTGTCCCACATTATAGGAACCTCAAATATGTAGACCTGACAAAATACAAGTGTTCGGATGGAGTTATCCTGCAGTTTTTTTAGAGATGGTAAGCAGGTTGTCTGGGAATACACACATGCATCTACTTTGGCTGATGCCTATTTTACAGTACGGTGAATCTGAAGGTGGAGTGGCTGCCACCCTCGGGGAGACATTTGTAACTTGCTTAACTAAATGAATTGTGGGATTCAGTCCCTGAGCCCATTATGTGCCTTTGTAACCTTTTCCACTACCGCCCACAGGATGGGTATAGGGGTGCATAATAAATGAACTAAACTAACTCAGGGACTCGGGGAGAACCAGTAGGTACAGCTTCATCCCAATACGTTCATTGATGCTATGTTAACTTATGATCTGTTCATAATTTTATACTCCTCTTTTTTTCCCCTTAGCGCATTTCTTGTCATTCAACCTTTTGTAGACATAATTATTGTGAATATTAATTTACACAGCTACTTATTTAATATAAGTAAACTGTTCATTATTTTTGTGTAGGTTTTAAGCTGAGGTTTAAAAGGGTGCCCCACTGTCAGTATGACTGGGAGGGGGGGAGCCACCCCCAACTTTACCTTAAGTCTCTCTAATTTTACCCAGTTACATGCTTACTTGCACTCTTCCCCTACCTTTTTTTATCATTTATTTATTTATATATACAAGAGTTCTTACAATCTTTTATTTCAGGGATATTTCTGCGCGGGCCCTAAGCCTCTGGGTGGCCCACTAAGTGTTGCTTGTTTCTGTTTTACTTGGGCTTTGTATGAGTATTTATGACTCGTATGGTCGCTTCAGTAAGATTTTGTCCCATGTGCAAAATCCTTAATCTTACAATCCTGTACAGCCATTAGCACGCATAGAGTTTCGGGCAAGTCATTAATCCAAATTTTCACACATACATCCCCAGGAAGCAGCCCGTAGCGGCTGTCTAACTCCCAGGTACCTATTTAGTGCTAGGTGAACAGGAGCATCAGGATGAAAGAAATTGCCCATTTGTTTCCGCCGAGGATCGAACCCCGGACCCTTAGGGCTACGAATATCGAGCGGTGTTCACTCAGCCGTGAGGCCCCCAACCTGTCCAACCTTAACCCTCAGAGGCCCCTTATCTTCCTCACTTCCTCATGCATTCCTCACTCATTTATTTATTTATTTATATATATATACAAGAAGGTACTAAATACTAGAAAGGAATGCTAGTATACTAGACCTAGCAATTAATGTTAGGTTTATTCGTTTCCTTCAATTGTTAGCTCCTCCTCCCCGCCCACAAAATGAATACAGTAGTATAAAACGTGGACATTTTTTATGCAAAACATCGTATTTTATTTCCGTCCACATTAACTATGGCTACTATCATTTTTGGCTGACATAAATACCTCGGGAACCTAAAACTTCCGAATATGCATGACAATTAGAAACTACAGGATAGGTATTAATTAATATTGACCCTTAATATGGCACCATACGCGTTACTAATAATAGTTTTTTATTTAAATTTTACATTGATAGTAAAAGATAATAAACCGCCAAAACTTCGAATATCTAACCGACTATTTTCATAAATTGAATTAATGGCCCTCGGGACAACGTGAACTTTTCGTGCAAATTATTCCTAATGAAGTTACAATATATAGAGACTTATGCAACTTTAATTATAACTGAATTCCGCCAAAACTGTTGAACATCTGGAATAAATTTCGTAAGGTCACGCCCCTCGTGGAGGCTTGGCAGTGTTGCCAGATTGGGCTACAAATAGCGAATTGGGCTACTTTTGAGAGCCCCGCGCTCCCAAATTTTTAATTTCGCTACTTGCTACTTTTTGGGCTAATTTAAAAGCAAGATGTGCTAATTTGGGCTATTAATGTTAAGAATGTACGATTGCGAGTTACATGAAAGTAACTAAGCTATAAATAATTGTAATTAATAATAATTGTAAATATTAATTAATACTAAATAATATTATTTAATAAATTAGTCCCAATTCAATGCAGAGTTTTCTTCCAAGCACAGAAACTTGTAAATATAAATACAAGATAATAGATAGATCGATAAATAAATAGACAACTTTCAAATATTGCACCAAGTAATGGCGAGAGGAAAAAACTAGACAGTATACATTACATTTGAAATTAATAATGGATGAATGGTAATAAATTGGTGTATGTTTGTATGTATACCAGACAAAGTCCATTTAATGGCAGAATTTAGCCATTTTGTGTAAAAACTTTTATATCTCATATTATTAATTATAACAGTAATCGAAAAAAGTCATAGTTTGTATATACAAGAGATGAAACAGAGAGCCATGAGCTAGAGCGATGTGCTGAGTCCATAAGGAGGCGGAGCTTCCAGAGATACCTTCCTGTGATTGGCTGTTGCGGGGAATATCAACACTCTTTTATGAATACAATTTATACTAGAAATAGGTCCTTGTGCACAACAACAAGGTTGTTGTGAAAAAGAACAACAGTTTCTGTTTTGCACCTGACAGAAATCTCCATCTAACTGAATAATTTACTCGAATAAGAGGGCAGAGCAGCGTATCATTATTTGTGTCAAGGCAACCCTCAATAATAACGTCACAAGTCTGGTAGCCAGCCCATGTTTCTGTAACACTCGTTACATCCTGCAGTATTTAATTATCACTATATTAATACTTTTAAATACTTAACATTTCACTTTTTAGGTAGATTAAAGTTGAAGCAGAATGTCATAAACAAGGATGGTGTGCTGAATAAAGATGATTTATTACGTGGATGGAGCCTTTAGCTGATCCCTTCCTGTGATTGGCTGTTGCGTGAATGTCAACAAAGAGTTTCTACCAATGATATGCCATTAATTATGCACCCCATACCATCTGTGGGCGGAGCTTGGAACCTCCTACCCGAGCACAACAACCCGCCTTATGGGTTGCTGTTTGGCTATTTATAGTGCGTTGGAAAAAAACAGATGGCGTTAGTGGTATTTTGTGGGGTAATTTGTTATAAGTGTAATTTGATGTCAACAGATGGCGTAAGCTGTATCTTATGGCCACTGTTGACCAGCCAGTTGATACTGTTCTTATCTGCCGACAGATGGCATCAGCTGTATTATTATTATTTTAATAATATTATTACATTAATAATAATGTATTATTATTACTTTAAACACTGATCTATACGTCTGGTAGCTTATAATAAGGTTTTATACCATGCTGGTATTAGGTAACTAGAATTCTGCAATTATTTTTTTTTATCTACTGTTGAGGATATGTAAGACAAACGTAAGGTTTTGAGGCTAAGTAACGAAGATAGTTACAAGATACGATCCGGATGGTGTTGAGATTGCAAAAGGGATTATGATAAGAACTTAAGCCAAAAAATCAATGCATAAATGTTCGCAAATATGAGACTGGGATTTATTTCTCGAAAAGTTAGCAATAAAATACGCTTTCTAGTTCTTTATTTTTAAAATTAAGACCACGGATTCTGTCTAACGAAGCTGCAAGCTAAAACACCGTTATCCTATAATGTTCATCTGTAGCTTGACCCTAAATACTCGTTTATTAAACGAATTTATAGTTAGAGTTCATTAGGAATCAACTTTGTTGAGGCAGAGTTTCCAACAAATACCTTCCTGTGATTGGCTGTTGCGGGGAATGCCAACGCTTATATGAATAAAATGCAAAATAAGAAATACGTCCTTTTGCTCAATAACCTTGTTGTTGTACAAAAGAACAACAATTTCTGTTTTATACAAGACAGAAATTTCCATCTAACTGAATAATGTAGACCAATAAGAGGGCGGAGGCATTGTATCGCCGATATTATTTGTGTGAGGCAACACCCACTGATGACGTCACAAGTTAGGTAGCCAGCCCATGTTTCTGTAACACTCGTTACGTCCTGCAGTATTTAATTATCACTATATTAATACTTTTAAATACTTAACATTTCACTTTTTAGGTAGATTAAAGTTGAAGCAGAATGTCATAAGCAAGGATGGTGTGCTGAATAAAGATGATTTATTAAGTGGATGGAGCCTTTAGCTGATCCCTTCCTGTGATTGGCTGTTGTGTGAATGTCAACAAAGAGTTTCTACCAATGATATGCCATTTATTATGCACCCCATACCATCTGTGGGCGGAGCTTGGAACCTCCTACCCGAGCACAACAACCCACCTTATGGGTTGCTGTTTGGCTATTTATAGTGCGTTGGAAAAAACAGAGATGGCGTTAGTTGTATTTTGTGGGGTAATTTGTTATAAGTGTAATTTGATGTCAACAGATGGCGTAAGCTGTATCTTATGGCCACTGTTGACCAGCCAGTTGATAGTGTTCTCTTCTGCCGACAGATGGCATCAGCTGTGTTATTATTACTTCCGAATTCCCTTTAAACACTGATCTACAAATCCCTTGGCTTATGATAAGGTTTTATACCATTTATGATAAGTATTAGATAACTGGAGTTCCGCAATTACTTTTATTTATCAACTGTTCAGGATATCATCATATAACGTCTGGTTAGGACGTACTGCTCTCGATTGATGAAGATTAAGCCACCCAAGAGGTGGCACGGGCATGAATAGCCCGTAAATACTGCTCTCGTAATATTATTCAGGGGGGTGGGGGAACTATCAAGTGAAAGCGCCAAGCCATTACGACTATATAGCACTCGGAAGGGATCAGGATACGGATTTGGGATGGAACGGGGGAAAGGAATGGTGCCCAACCTCTTGGGCGGTCGGGGATTGAACGCGGACCTGTAGGAAACGAGACCGTCGCTCTACCGTCCAGCCCAAGTGGTTAAGCGTAATATTATTAAAACAACAATTTATGCATATAAAAGCATTTCACACTAAAAATACTTGGATATATTGAAATTTGGTAGTGAATTCCAATCTAGGAATCTCCTATGACTAAACTGTACTTTTTAATCATTTTTATGTACTTACTACTTATTATTAAATTATTAAGTACTTACTATAATAATTAAATAAATTATTTTATTTAATATTTAAATTAAATGATAAAATAATAGGTAATAATAAATCATTGTGTAGAGGGGACAGGCAACCAGTGTATATATACATGTTAGGCTTATACCAAGGTCCCACAAAGGTGCCAAATTAAAGACTGGATGCTGCCGGGGCGTGCCCAAGGGCTGCTGGCGGCCCTGGCCAGGCTGAACTTCCGTGCCCTTATAATCACCATTGTTTAATAATCTTCACAGGGAGAAACAACTGTAAATATATGAATAGTTTATTACAACATACACGGTAAAGAAAACAGCTCGGAAACTAAGGAAATAAAGCTGCGGAAAAACATTAAAGTCAACTTCAAGTCAAGTATGTTTATTGAGACAATAAAAAATACATCTCAAAGGGATAGAGTAGCTTAGGCTATTTCTTCCCCCCCCCTTCCCCCCTATACTTCAAGTCCCTCAAGGGGCGCACAAATTCAGTGAGTACAAATACACAAACCACATTACAAGAATCCCATTTAACATAGCAGGTTAAAATAGGAAGCACAGCATATAAGTGTTACAACTGAGTTACAAGTTACAAGGGAACAAGTGAGAAGGCGGTGGAGGCCAAAACCGGAATTGCACACTGATTTTAATGCAGATATGTCGTGACTATCATAATATAAAGATGTTAAGGCACGAAAGTGCTATCTACATGTACAAAACCCTTGTTCCTAAATGCTAATCTTGATCTGAAACTTTTCCTTGATAGGTGTAATAGAACACATGAGTACCACACCAGAAATAAATATCTATTTCATATCCCCAGAGTCAGGCTAAATCTGTGTAAACACTCCATGCAAATTAAAGGGGCCCAGTCTTTAAAACTCACTCCCTGATAAATTAAAAAATTGTCCAACCTCTGCCCTGTTCAAAAGTAAAACCAAAAAGTACTTAATTAAAGTACCTAATGATTTCTGTATTGTTTGTTAAGTCTTAACAAACAACACAGAAATCATCGATAGATGCAGCGATAGCAGGCGGCTTGACATCTGCGAGGCACTACACATCAAAAAGTCAACACCAGCAATCAACAGCCAATATGCAGGCGATGAGTCACAATAACGTGGCTGAAGTATGTTGACCAGACCACACACTAGAAATTGAAGGGACGACGACGTTTCGGTCCGTCCTGGACCATTCTCAAGTCGATTGTGATGAGGACAGGTAGGGACAGGCATTAAATAGGCAAGAGAGAGCTGAGGAGGAAAGTCAGGTGTAGGGGATAGTAGTAATGAGAACTGCAGCAGGCCTATTGGCCCATACGAGGCAGCTCCTATTAAAACCACCGAAGGAGATAGTAATAGGAATAAGAAGAGGATCCTCTTCTAGGAATAAGATAGTAATAGGAATAAGAAGAGGATCCTCTTCTAGGAATAAGAAGAGGATCCTCTTCTTATTCCTATTACTATTATCCTCTTCTAGGAATAAGATAGTAATAGGAATAAGAAGAGGATCCTCTTCTAGGAATAAGAAGAGGATCCTCTTCTTATTCCTATTACTATCTCCTTCGGTGGTTTTAATAGGAGCTGCCTCGTATGGGCCAATAGGCCTGCTGCAGTTCTCATTACTACTATCCCCTACACCTGACTTTCCTCCTCAGCTCTCTCTTGCCTATTTAATGCCTGTCCCTACCTGTCCTCATCACAATCGACTTGAGAATGGTCCAGGACGGACCGAAACGTCGTCGTCCCTTCAATTTCTAGTGTGTGGTCTGTTCAACAGCCAATATAATGCACAACTATATTCTACCCACTTCAAGACTCCGTACCAATATAGAAGCATCAAGAGGAAGGAGTGGCCACTCCTTCTGAAGATGTATTAATATACGAAAGTACTTAAGGAAATTCCTGTTTCAATTTTCCTCCGTGGTCTGACACTGTCACATTTTTAATCGCGTGTTTATTTTCGTGATATACACACACATATATATATATATATATATATGTGTGTGTGTGTATGTGCAGAAATAATATTAATAAAACAATTAGCATCGTGTAGTGTACTCTATATATCAAAATATATTACTTTGAAACCCATATCATTCACTAAAAAAAAATTGGGCTACTCTTATTACAAATTCGCTACCTTTAGGCCGTCAGCTCGCTACTTTCAGCACTTTAGACCTGGCAACCCTGCAGAGGAGCTGCCAGAGCCAGTACGTGGTCAGCTGCGGGGATGGGCAGGTGTATGTTACCTCTCTCCGTGTGAAGTTGTTCATACTGACACTACTATATTCTACACCACGTCTAAGGAGAGTTCCCGACATCTGAAGCAATAGGACGGTGGATATTGTCGGGGGGGCTGTGTTAGGGGCGGGGGAAAGATAAGCCGCGGTTGCCGTGTGTGTATAAACAAAGATGCTGAAAGCAGCTGGGTTGTGTGGCCTGGTGGATCAGGTGGTGGGTGGCCACAGGTGCAACATGGCCCGTGTTGTGGCCAGGGTGGCCACCTCTCACCCCTGCTGTGTTCAGGTGAGGGGCCTGGCCACCTCGCCCGCCATGGCCTCGTTATTACCCACCGCTGATGACTTCTCTGTGCGCCACATAGGCCCTCGCGACAAGGATCAGCACGCCATGCTCGCCTTATTAGGATATGAGGTATGTACTCTCTCTCTCTCACTCCTCTTGTGTACTCTTGTTCTCTTTAGGGGCAGGGTGTCCTCTTGCTGCTGCTGCTCTCTTACTAGCGGAGGAGGGTGCCCTCTTGTTCCCACTCCTGTTAGGGAGGAGTGTCCTCTTGCTCGTTCTTGTAGGGGGAGGTGTCTTCTTGCTCCTATCTCTTGAGGTGTAATTTCCTCAGTATAGTTACAGGATGAGGGCTACGCTCGTGGTGTCCCGTCTTCCCAGTACTCTTTGTCGTATAATGCTTTGGAACTATTGACGGTTTTGGCCTCCACCACCTTCTCTCTTAGCTAGTTCCAACCGTCTACCATTCTGTTTGCAAAAGAGAATTTTCTTATTTCTTTGGCAGCTTTTAGTTAGTTTAAATCTATTTTGTACGTAGTGATCATATCGCCCCTTTTCATCTTCTAGTTATGACATTTAATGCCTCTCTAACCTCTCGTAGCTCATGTCCTTCAGTTCTAGGAGAGGGTGTGACCTCTTCCTCGCGTCTTGGGCAGAGAGAAGACATAATTTTGCTTACCTCATTTGGAGGGAGAGAAAAATTCCTCTTGCTCACCTCTCTAAGGGGGGGGGGCGTTAAGAGGGAGTTCTTTTGCTCTCCTAAACCCTCCCCCCCCCCCCCTCCAAGAGAGGAGTCCGTTTGTTTATTTATTTATATAAAAGATACAGTACATTGGGTTCATGAGAGTAATTCTTGTAAAGCCACTTAGTGGCTTTACAAGAATGTAAACCTAATTTTATGTTAAGAAGGTAATTTCTAGCAAAATTACAAAAAAAAATGTTTATAGGTACATTGTAAGAGTTCTTTTGCTCTCCCTCTCTTGGGCCGGAGGAGCGCCTTTTGATTGCCTTTCGTGTGGAGAGATGTCCTCTTGCTCCCTTTCCACCGGAGGGGGGGGGGGTGTTCTCTTGCTCCCATTTCCACCTGGGGGGTGGGAGAGGGTGTCCTCTTGTTTCATTCCCATCTCTGAGTGTGGGAGAGGCTGTTCCCCTTGCTCTCGTCTCCTGGGTGTTACACACCCAAGAGGCCCTTTGAACCTGTTGCTGGAAGGCACGTGGTGGCCGCTCTTTGGCTAGCTAATTAACTCCAACTGTATCGCGAGATATTAGAAGTCCGCAAGATGTAGTTTGTTAGTCAAAACAAACAAGCAAGATGTAGATGTTAGTCCGCAAACCGTAGTTTGAACGGTTAAGTACACACTTATGAATGGTGTACGTGTTGACCCGTGGACCAAGTCAGATAACGGGTGGTTCAGCAATTATACCGTGATAGAATGCAAGATAGATACCGTGCATTTCATATACAACTACGGATATATGTATGTATGTGTGTGTGTGTAAGAATATGTATATATGTAAGAACTCGTGGGTGTGTATATAATATGTATATAATATGTATATGATATATATATGATATATATATGATATATATATGATATATAATATATGCCCTATTTACCATCGAAGTTTCTGACAATAACGTAACAGTTGAAACGCAATGTCAGTGAAAAAGATAAGGAGTGTAAATTATGTAGTATGCCGTACGCCCACACCTTAGAACATTATGTATTAGTGTCACCTTATTGAAAAATATAGAAATAAGGAAATAAATAGTGTACCACATCAAATTGTTTGGATGTGTGATAATGGTATAATAGACAGTATACTTAGGAGCTACAAAAATTTTGCCCCAAGAATGTAACAATTATATGCTGTACTTGCTGTATGCAATGTTAAATGGGATTCTTGTACTGTTATATGTCTATTTGTACTCACTGAATTTGTGCGCCCCTTGAGGGACTTGAAGTAGAGGGGGGTAGAAATAGCCTAAGCTTTGAGATATATTTATTGCTTATCTCAATAAACATACTTGAACTTGAGCTTGAAACGCAATAAAAAATCGTAAATCAGATGTAACAATTTAACTAATCTCATAATATAATTTCATAAACACCAAACGTAAACAAAATCACCTAATGTTTAAAGAAGATTTTAATAAATATTGCCAACAGAAGCGTTTGGGCAGTTTCCTTTCACCCGATGCAATCCTTTCCTTTTAAAGTCCCCAACCCGTCCTTGACTCGGGTTGTCCATTGTTCTTATGTTCTTATTGGAGGTGCTATATTAGGTTGGATTAGGGCATGGCTATTTCAAAGGAAGCAGAGAGTTAGTATAAATGGGGTTAAGTCAGAGTGGGAAAATGTTGTAAGTGGAGTGCCTCAGGGCTCTGTCCTGGGACCTCTGTTGTTTATAATGTATATCAATGATTTAGATTCAGGTTTGAGTAGCAACATTTGCAAATTTGCCGATGATACAAATATCGGCAGGGAAATTAACACGGAAGAAGACTCAATATCACTTCAAGTTGATCTAAATAGTTTTGAAATGGTCAAAGGATTGGCAGATGCAGTTTAATGCTGATAAATATAAAGTTTTGAGGCTAGGTAATGATGATAGAGTTACAAGATACGAGCTAGATGGTGTTGAGATTGCGAAGTCGAATTGCGAAAGGGATCTGGGAGTTATGATTAGTAAGAATTTAAAACAAAAGGATCAATGCATGAATGTTCGTAATAAGGCAAATAGGACACTGGGATTTATTAATCGAAGCGTTAGTAACAAGACACCTGGTGTGGCTCTTCAGCTATATCTTGCTCTGGTTAGGCCCCATTTAGATTATGCAGTTCAGTTTTGGTCGCCTTACTATAGAATGGATATAAATTCACTTGAACGTGTCCAACGTAGGATGACTAAATTAACTCCCCAAATTAGAAACCTTTCATATGAAGAAAGATTAACAAAGCTTAAATTGCATTCACTGGAAAGGCGAAGAGTTAGGGGTGACATGATAGAGGTTTACAAGTGGATGAATGGACATAACAAAGGAGATTTTAATAGGGTATTAAAAGTATCAACACAAGACAGAACACGAAACAATGGGTATAAATTGGATAAGTTTAGATTTAGGAAAGACTTGGGTAAATACTGGTTCGGTAACAGGGTTGTTGATTTGTGGAGCCAATTACCACGTAACGTGGTGGAGGTGGGGTCCCTCGATTGTTTCAAGCGCGGGTAGGACAAGTATATGAGTGGGATTGGGGGGTTATAGATAGGAGCTGCCTCGTATGGGCCAATAGGCTTTCTGCAGTTACCTTTGTTCTTATGTTCTTATTACATCCAGTGGTCGACCCTACAGGCACATTCATAAAATTTTATGTGCTGTTCATTCTAAACAGAAATTTTCTCAAATATAAATTAATATTATAATAGCATAATGTGCATATATAGGGATAGGTGTTTAGGTTCTGTTGGCGATTATTTGTATTTGTAGTACGTGGGTGAAGCATTTACAGCGTTGTGGTTGGAAGAAAATTCATCAGTGAAGTACTTGTTCCGGAAGTGTTTGAACGAAATCAGTTGAGTCGTGTAATCCGTTTTTCATTCATAAACAGGGGGGGGGGGGGGGTTTGGTGGATGCATGGAATTACTTTTGGGTCTGTTTGGAGGATGGGCAGCAAGTCCACGTGGCGCAGTAATAAAACACTCGCCCGGCGCTTCGCGAGCGATTTCTCCTGGGTTCGTTTCCTGGTCGGGGATGATTGATTAGGCGCCAATCCTTCTGCATGCCTCTGTTTACCCAGCAGTGAATGGGGTACCTGGTTGTTAAACGATTTAGCGGGTCATATTCCAGGGGAAATTTGGATTACGAACCTGCCCAAAACGCTATGCGTGCTATTGGCTGTACAAGAATGTAAGAACTCGTGTATATATAAATAAAAACAATTGGCTGTTTGCCTAGCAGTAAATAAGTACCTGGGAGTCGAGGTACAGGGTTGTGGGTTGTAACCTCAAGAAAGTCAATCGTTTATAACTCGATATTATAAGTCTTCCTGACTCCGACAGGGTAAAAACCATAAGGTTATCAAACTCGGAACTTCACATGTATGAAAATCTATATGCTTATGGATATGATCGCGAAACTCATTTCACTCAAACGTCTGTCTACACCCATGACCATATTTAGGCAAACAAAATCCTCGCTAATCTGTAATAATCATTGATGGGGTCAACAGACTACGCAACAATTCTTCTAACGAAAATTGTTAAACCAGCACTAGAAAGAAACTAGCCAATGAGGATTAATTCAGACTGCGCAGTGCAACCTTCTTAAGCAACTTCAATCATTGAAGTCAACAACATGAACTGGAAGATTGAACCTACAATTTTCTTTTCATAGAACAGCGTCCCAACACGCAGTGCCATGTTGTTTATAATCATATTTCTATGTAAATATTTAAGTAGCTCGAACTTGTTTATATATTAGTAATATGTTAATAACCACTATCACACGAGCATATTGTTAGTTTTAGGATTTGTTCGAAATACTGTACGGTAAGCATCCTTATGGTAAGCAGTAACTCTAGGCTACTGTTTAACATAAATAAATGCCAAATGTTCATTCCATGCAGCTGCGAAACAACTTGTTTATAAATGGAAAAATGCTCTACAGACGGCTCGCAATTGATAGCATTCGAACATTTCTCGAAGAGTGCTTCACTGACGGATTCTTTTCGAATTGCAACTCGGTAAATGCTTCATTCATGTACGACAAATACAATTCATTCCACCAATACTTAAACAAAAAAATTATGCACAATATGCTAATATTAATTGATATTTGAGGCAATTCATATTTTGAATGAACACCATGTTAAAATTGCAACCATCCTCGTCAACGAAGGTCAAATGCTCGTTATTCCAGCCGCCAAATCAAGTGTTTATGAATTAAAATGTTACGCATGACTCTCAATTGATAACATTCAAACTTTGAGAAAATCCACAGAAGCCATAAGGATTTGAACCTATGCACTGGGATAGTTTGTTCCCCAAACAATATCCATTGAAAGAGCGGCGTCAGAGATAGAATTCCTAGACGACAGAGCCAGAATGCATGGGGGGAATTGTGTGAAACC